GACGAGTTGGGGGCCGTAGTCGTCGTGCGGGAGGTCAGCCGCCGAGGCCGATACAAGGGTCGTCATGGTGAACCGCTGGGGTTGGTATCTATATTGACATTCTCGTCGACGAGGATGAGTCGATGCGTCGATGAGTCGATGAGCCGATTATGAACAAAGACAAAATTCAAATGATGGGACTGCTCAATGGTTTGCTGAGAGAAGACGTGTCGACAGAAAACGAAAAAATAGGATATCAAAAATGGAAAAGAAAATTAGATGGGATCAAAATCGTACATATCACAAAATGTTGCCAGTCCAGGAACGAAAAGAACGAAAACGACATGATAGGGAAAGTAGCAAAACCAAGTCAAGAACAAACAAAACGAGCGGATCCCAGGTGAAAGTCAAAACAAATCAAAAAGACATTTTTGAAAGATATCTGGTTCGGCAAACAGGGTCTCGTCCTTTTTGTCCCGCGACTTTGGGGCTGGCTCGAGTGTCAAGTCGAAAATCAACGGTCGCAGAATATGAGATCTGGGCAACGGCAAAGGTAGTGTATTCTGCGGCCGACTCTTCCGGCCAATGTGTACATCGAAGAGGTCGATCAGAATTCAGCTTTTGCAGTTGACGTCTTTCTTTTTTTTTTTTTTTTTTTTTTTTTTTTTTTTTTTTTTTTTTATTTGAAGTCAACGTAGATACAGACAAAATTACGCTCTGCATTGTTCTTCGGCCGTATTCACGACGTACGTTGCATCGAGTAGATCCAGGTTGATTATTTGATGTTTTTCACTATGTTTACGAATTTAATTGACATCCTGCCCCATGATGCCTGCCTTTTGGCTAGGATGAAACTGCAACGGCGGCGATCAAGAACCAAAGCGGAGAAATGGACTGAATGTTACGACGAGAGTTTGGTGAGAAAGTAGAATCGGGCCTATGAACATCATAAAAAAAAATTCAGAAGAAACAATACATCAATTCTTCAAAACGCCATTTGTCGACATCTAACGTACAAAGAAAGGAACCACGGCTTCCACTCAAATGTGCTCGTATTAAACCTTGAATGAGAAATCCCGTAGAACAAAATAAAAGATGATGAAACAGTAGGACCAGCATTCTCGCATGTTTGCATTCTTTCTTGCTTGCCATCCTTTCTGACACTTCGTCCAGTTTCTTCCAGTTCTTCCAGTTCTTCCTGTTTTCTCCCGTTTTCTCCCAGATGCACGAATAGACTGTTTGATGCTCACTGCCCTGCACCGATGGCCTTTCCCATTGTTTCTTTTCCGCAGCGCATATTACCCGGTCGATCTGTGGCCAGACAAGGCCAAGGAGGCGAGAAAGGAGAGGAGACAGATAAGAAACGAATATGCAATAAAAAATGCAGATGGCGGTCTCCTGTTTTCCGTTGTCTAATACGCCTTCCACGCGTCATTGTTACACTTTCCCATGCATTCTCCATCTCCAACCTTGGTTGCCCTTCTGTGATCCGCCTTGCAGATTGCAAAACGGTAACGTCCCGAGGCTGAACGTCGCCTCCTCCGCTGTCGTCATCCTTGTCGGGTCTCATCGTTCCTCCTCGTTTCCCCCATAAATTGCTTCTGGAAGGAAACCTAGGTACGGCCGAAGCTGCAGACAAGTCTGGAAATAGTGGGCAGCAGGGCAGCAGTCATCTAGGAAAGCTTGGGTGTCGGGTTTCCGGCGCTTACGTCACCTGTCTCTAGATCTGCCACATTTCTCCGACGCGAAGGCGATGACATGGAGATCATAGAATAATTCATGGCAAATTGATGATAAACTATAGCAAAATAGAGCACGAAAGAGAAGCGACAACGTGAATGGCCGACAAGTCATCACATACTGTCTCCATAAAGACGGTCTGCACAGTGAATCATACCCGGCCAAGAAGTAGGGACGGGGCCGAAAAGACTCGGAAAACCGGCAAGGACAAGAAGCTGCCAAGAGCAGATCTCAACGGGATCCGAACAGTAAAAGTGTGGTTCCTGGGTTTTACTGAATTTCAAATTTATTATCCCCATGTAAAAAATGCACAAAAGGAAACAAACATGAAGACCACGACACCAAAATAAGAAAAGAATAAAAGAACAAACGATGGTATCTTTGTGCAAACCCCTTTTTTCCCGGGGCCGGCATGCATAGAACACAAAATACAAAACAGAGACTCTCCACACACTTGCACGCACTTACGTCACTCCCCCCCCTCATTCTGCCCCCTACTGCTTCTTCACCTTCTTGTCCGTTTTGAACCAGGACCGCGGCAGCAGCTCGCTGTCCACGAGCAGGCGCCACAGACACCACAAGTAACAAATCCCAAAGCCGGCGGCGCCGACGCCCACATTGGCGACGACCCAGAGGTCGGGCTTGTCGGCAGGTGGTGCCAGCGTGGCCTCCAGGACGTGCCACATGACCATAGCCAGGTAAAAGGGCCCGTGGATCAGCGCGGCGCCCCAGAGGTTGGCAGTGTTGGCGCTGCTGTCGGTCTTGGCAGACGAGCTCTGGCTGCTCGCGAGGATGTTGTTGTTGTTGTTGCTGTGGTAGGACGCTTCCGCGCCCGGGAAGTAGGCCGACACAGTGGTCGGCGGCAGGCCGAGCAGGTACGCCCAGAGCAGCGACAATACGGCGTAGGGCACGGCCAGGTCGACCCGCTTGAGCAGGGGAAACATGGTCCACGCGCCCAGCAGGTTGGCAAAGCCGACCCAGGCGCGTGTGCTGCCGCTGAGGCCGCCGTGGCCGGCCAGCAGCAGCGTCATCGGCAGCAGCGGGAGCAGCACGCTCTTCTCGTGGACCTGGTAGCTGAACAGGAAGAAGCCCCAGGCGGTGGCAGCAAAGGCGTAGGGCAGCAGCAGGCGGCTGGGCCGCAAGAAGAGAATCAGGTTGGGCGGAAGGATGGAGGCAAGCGTGGCCACGAGCGCCGCGCGCTGCAGCAGCGCGTCCGGGTACGCGCGCAGCTTGACGACGACGTTGGCCGCGCACCAGAAGTTGGCCACCTTGTCCTCAAACAGGCCACGGGCGACCGGGAAGACGCGGTGGACCATCTGGACGAGCTGCTCGACGACGGGGTAGTAGAAAGCCTTGGGATCGAGGTAGGTCTCCAACACGTCGGCAAAGAGCGGCAGCGGCACGACCGCGTTGGCTGGAAGACCGGCGTGGGCACGGATGCCGCGCCGCTGGTCGTAGATGGTGCCGGCCACCAGCGGCAGAAGCAGCAGCGCAAACGCCACAACCGTGACGGCAGCAACCCCCAGCAGGCGGCCCACATTGATGCGCGGGAACACGCAGGTGCCGAGCAAAAAGGCAAACACGGGCAGCGCGTAGTACAGCGCCATCTGCTTGAAGCCGAGCGCCGCCACAAAGAAGACGGCGGCCCACAGCAGCCGCCCCGCCAGCATGCTCGACATGCTCGCCGTCACCAGGCCCAGCATGACCGTGTTGTACTGGAAGTGCACGTGGTCGATCAGGATCGTCGACGGCTGCAGAAGCACCGCGACCAGCGCCACCGACGCCGTCCACGACGCCACGCCGCTCAGCCGGCTAAAGCGCCGCACAAAGATGACCACGGCCGGGATGTAGACCAGGTACTCGGACACAAAGACCGTCGCCCGCATGAAAATCTTGAGCGCCGGCGTCTCGAGGCCGCGCGACGTGTGCAGCGCGAACCACGACGCGTCCATCAGGCCGCCCACCTTGCCGAGCAGCCAGCTGTGGTAGGCCGTCAGCGGCGGATAGTCCAGGCCCCACCAGTCGAGGTCGTGGAAGTACCACTGCGACACGGGCAGCGCCGTCGTAATCTCCATCCAGTGGCGCTGCGCCTCGTAGTCGCCAAACTGCGGCGGCTTGTGGAAGCCCGAGTAGCCCCAGAGACCGGCGGCCCACCGAAACAGGCCAACCACCATCAGAATCAGCGGCAGAAGCTCCCATTGCGAGACAGAGCCCCGTGCCGGCCACAAAAACGCGGCAAGGGGGTAGGCCGGCGAGCGGATGAGGCCTTCCGCCACGGAGCCGCCGTTGCCGTTGCTGCTCGTGCCGCTGTTCGCGTCGAGATCAGCCAGCACGCCGGTCTTCTTGGGCTTCCGCCGCGGCTTGTGCGGGGATGGTGACGGGCCAGCCATCGTGGGTGAGCCAGACGTCGAAAGGGGGTAGAAGACGGAGGACGATGACGACGGAGCCGCGAAGAACGAGATCGAACGGTCCAGGACAGGGGAGCTCGACTGCGGTCGGAGGAGGGAATTGACCGACTTATGGGGTTGTCATTGAACTGGCACCAGATGGCAGCATGGGCGGTGCGGTCGGGCGTGTTGTATCGAGAAGTCGTAGTCGGACAGATGCCGTGTTGTCGGAATGTCGTCTGACAAAGTGTGTGGATAGCAGGTCGAAATCTGGCCAATTTCGGGGGCCCACTATTTCGAAGCTCTTGGATGCAACGGAAGGAAGGCACAAGGCGCGTCGCTACTTTAGGGAGTGACGTTACCGTGTTCTAAATACACAGCATCCGAACACGCGCCATATGTGATACTACAGGACGACGAAAGCAAACAAAATATAGTCTCTGGATCACAAAGTACAAACAGACAATAGATGAGAGACAATCCAGGTAAAGTAGTTTTATTGCACTATAGTATGCGCAAACAAAAATCAGCAAATGTCTCCGAACCGGCGATGCTCCTTCACTGTAACAAGGTGCGGTGGACAGGGGCCAACTACAGGGGCAGAAAGCTGCCAATAGCGCTAATCAACGGCCAAACTTCGCTAAACGCACAGCCTGTACCTGCACTTTCCCCTTTGGGCATTCGCCTTGGCGTGCAAGAGCGCCCCACCACCGCCAAAGACGACCACCTGCCGAAAGCTACGCCAAGCTTCTGGGCACAATGCGACGCTCAAACAGCAGGTGCGACAACCATCGCCACTTGACTCGTTTCTTGGAATCATGCAAACAGAAAGCCTCCTTTCGTCGTATCCAACTCGACACAGGACGCCGCCGGCCGCATCCCTGACCACGCGCCATGCCGTACCCGTTCGTCTTGCCGACCACGTCGGCCTTTGTCTTCACAACGGCCTTTGACAGCCCGACACACCCCTCTCTGCCGAGCACCGCATCGACCTACCGAAGTGTTGTCCGCGACACGCTGAAGCGCCACAAGCGGATGCCGCCCGAGACGCAGTCGTCCAATCTCGGTCTGGTCGTGTCAAGTCTCGAAGACTATCTGCCGTACCTGATTGCCTTGGCCGACGGTCTGGCGGGGCGCCGCAGGGACGTACAGGTCTCCGTCTTGCCACAGCGAAGGAACAAGGGGCCGGGACCTTTGGCTGCAGCCGGACCTGAGTCTGGGCCTGGATCCGCGCCTGCGCCCGCAGCAGCATCCGGCCCCGCCCTCGAGTGGCGGCCGGTCCTCGCGGAGGCACGCCTGCCCGGGAAAGAGCCGCCGCGGGTGCGTATTCCGCTGAACCGGGCTGCGCTCGACGCCGAAGCCGTTTTTGTCCTCGCAGCTCTCGGCCACGCCTACACATTGCAAGCCCGTGCGGCCCTGCAGCCACTCTACGTCGTCACCTCCGTCGTGCCCGTCGGCAGTGAGCAGCGCAAGGCGGCGCTCGCCACGGCCTTGAAGCACCTGCAGACGGCCGCCGGCGTGTTTTCGTTTGCCACCACCTTTGCCGAGTCGTCGTCGTCGTACGCCGCCTCCGCCTCCCCGTCGCCCGAGGTGTCTGCCTCCACGCTGCGGTCGCTCGCGGCGCTCGCTCTGGCCGAGGCCACCCTCTTGGCGGTTCTGAAGGACGACCCGTACCCGGCGGCCGTCGCGCAGGACCGCAACGAGCACGACCGCGAGTGGATGTACAAGGCGCCCGACCTGCCGAAAGTGCGCGCCCACCTCTATGCCCGCCTGTGTCTGGCCGCCGCGGAACACGCCGCCCGCGCCGCGAGCGGCGTGTCCGGTGTCGCGGGCATCAGCCGCGCGTTTGTGCGCTACCTGCAGGACCTGCGGCACACGAGCCGCGCCAAGGCCTGTCGCTTCTTTGCCATTGATGCCGACCTGGGCGGCCAGACGGGGACGGCCCTGGCATGGGTGCACGGCGCGCTCCTGGAGCTGAGGGACGGTAGCGGTGGACCGGGCGGCGCGGCCGGACGGGGCAGCGCGAGCCCGTCCTCCTCGCCAGCCGCCGACAAGAAGAGCCTGCTGGACCGCTTCAAAAAGGACCGCGCCGAGAAGCGCGAAAAGAAGGAGGACAAGCGCGTCGAGCGCGGCGCCGGCTGGGGCGGCGACGCCGGCCGGCTCGAAGAAACGCGCGTGCTGGCCATGCTCGACGCCAAATGGACCAAGCAAAACGACACCGTCAACACGCAGCGGATCCCGCCAGCCGGGCCCCTGGTGGCCCAAATGCCCTCGGGCCGCGAGTTTGCCACGGTGCAGCCCATGGTCCGGCCACAACTGGATGCCTCCGTCCTGGAAGCCATGCGGGCGCCGCGGGACCCGCTGGATGCATTGGGCGACGAGGTGGATGGTGTGACTCTGGTCAGCTCCGACGACGAGGGCCCGGAGCTACCAACCTCTGGAAGGCAGTCTGCAGCACCCAGCTCCTATTTTTAATGAAAAATGATGGGCGACGTGACTGGTTTTTCAGGTGCATTTCTTTTTATAGCGGCTTTGTTAGATGACACTCTTTGTAAATATTGCAATAAAATATCAAGATGATAGTATCCAAGATCGCCGTAACCCAATGCTATGTCTCCTCTTGCGACAGGACAATCCTGCTTTCCGTTGTAAACTCATGGGTATTGTACTTTTTTCCTTTTCCCTTTCACGTTATATCCTAATACAGCCAAAATACAGCGCATTCAAACATCTACACAATCACGAGCTTGTCAATCTCCTGCCTTGCCATCTCAATCACCTTTTGGCAGTTGGGCTTCTCGCCCGGCGGCAGCCGATAGTAGCCACATTCTCCGCCCTCGTCATGCGTCTTGATCAGACCTGCGTCGTATGCGTCGTCCATGAACTTGTGCCGCATCTTGGATCGCTCTTCCATCATCTCAGCAATGTCCTTGAGGCCAAAGTGGACCGGCACCATGAAGAAGCTTGCCTTGGCCCCGCCGGTGGTCTTGCGTTCCGGGTGTGGAGACGTATAGTTCGCAGCCGGACTTCCGTTGCCGCCAGCCATGTCCGTGTCCGACGCCGGCGAGGGGCCGCCAACGCCCGTGGCCACCATGGCTTGCTGCGCTACGGCCGCCATGCTGTCTGCTGCTTCCTTGTCGTCCATATCGTCGCGGTCGAGATGGATACCATACACGTCCATCTTGAGCAGCGCCCGCACCACCAGCCGCCACAGGGGTGGATCCACCACGCAGTTGTCCATCGACGACGTTTGTGCGCACACATTGTCCCACCGGGCCATGTGGCCCCACACACCGCCATATTCCGTCAGCGACAGCGGTAGCCGCTGTTTTGCTGCAGCCGCACGCTGCGTTTCCTCGTCGACCATGGTCACAATGCGCCGGTATGCGTGCGCAATGGTGGGCAACAGCGCACCCAAAATCATCAGGTTCTGGAATGCCTGTACGGGCGGCTTGACGTACAGGTCGAGATGCGGTGGCGAGCAGCTTGGGCATAGGACCGTGTCGTGCGCCGTATGTGCGGCGTTGCGTGCAACCGTCATGGCCGGTCCGACTTCGGTGGGCAGGTGCTGCAGAGAATCGAGTGCCAGATACAGCCGGGCAAGGCAGCCGCAGACACGGTTGGGTGCGGTGAGCAGCCACGCGGCCGACGACTTGCTGTAGGCATCGACCGGCGTGACTGTCGGTATGCCGCCGACAAGTGTGGGCGTGCCTTCTGGTAACGGGTATGGCTTCGGCTCGAACGGCGGCAGCTCGCCATTGTTCTTTTGGCCATTGTTTTCGCCATCGTATGCAGATGGCGCAGCCTCGGCAGTGGTGGGCAGCGGTGGCAGCTGCTGAGGAATGGCTTTTGGCGACGGCGGCAGAATCCCCAAGGAGGCCTGGCGCGGCAGCCAACCGTGTGGGCTGGTCCCGGCCAACCCAGGCGTCAGCCCCGGAGTCACCATAGGTTGTGGTGGCTGATTTGATGCGGGTGTCTCGGTCGCTTGTGATGACTGGCTGCCGTTCGAAGCGAGTGTCGGCACATCTGACCCGCCGCTCGGTGATTCCCCGTTGCTGTTGCTGTTGCCGTTGCTGTCTGTTCGGGTCGGAGGCGTCGGCACGCCGCCGGCCATGGCATCAGTCGGGCCCGTGTTGAAGTCAATATCGGAAAAGTTGATGCCGAACAGGCTTCGCGGGAAAAGCCTTTCGTAACGGCGTGTGGTAGTGGGCATTGGGGAGTGCCGTGCTGTCGATGGCGGTGAAAGCCCGGAGACGGCTGCAGTTGCAGCGGGAAACGACGTGACAGGTTGTGTATGGACGCTGGTAGGGACTGGATCCTCGTGTGCGGTATGCTGCTGCTGGTCTTGCTGCTGTTGGTCTTGCTGCAGCTGCTGCTGCTGTAGGAGATTGGGATCAAGGGCGTTGTTGTCGCCTATGCCGAGAAAATCAAAGAACGTGAAGCCCGGCGACGACACTTGGTCGGCCAGGATCGACAGGCCCACATCGCCGTCAGGTGTGTCGCGGACCACGTTGACAGTGCCACTATTAGCTCGGACAGCAGCATCAGTAGCTGCCTTCTCGTCTTCCTCATCGGCTCGTGGCCGCTTTCGTGGCCGGCCCATGGGCTTCTGGGCCGAGTAGATACAGGCAATGCCCTCCCGCCTGCAGCGGCGGCAGCCATCGGCCTCTTTGGTGCATGCAAGCTTGCGGGTTCCTGTGTGATAATCGTATGTGAGCGACTTTGTCGTTGGAACAAAAGAGAACGAAATAAGAGGGTCAAGCAGCCGTGTGAATTTCAAAGACATTCCGTCGGCAACTTTTCTAAATACATTTCGAAGCAACGCATAAGCAAACAAACAAACAGCGTGGTGTGGTCACAATGCCATGCAGCAGCTATACTGGGCTATGCTGATAGCAGCTCGGACACAAACAAGACAGAACATGGAGTGAGATCGCAGACTTTGGGGTTTCGGAGACTTACTGCACTCATCACAGGCACGACGCTTCTTCTGTTCCGCCGCGTCAGGCGAGGGGCCGTTCTGGGGTTCTGACATGGCAGGCTGCTACAGGTGCAGTATCCAATGTTTCAATTGGAGAGTAAACAGAGCTGTTGAGCGGGAAATTGGTGAAGAATCGAGGACAGAAAAGCCAGAGACAAAAAGGGAGGCCTGTGGCAATAGCATTTGGTGATGCACTTTGTAAGTTGAAGGCAGGAGCTTCACAGTGGAGTCACAAGGCGCACTCTGCAAGACATGGAAAGCACTCAATAAAGGGAAGGAAGGAGAGAGACAGCAGCTCACAGAAAGCGAGAAGGAGCGAACACGAAACGCAGAAAGGAATCGAGAAGCATCAGTCGAGGAAGGCACGACCTCGCACAATAGCTCCTGCTCATGTGCTGTGGGTGCCGTATTCTGGGTAAGATCGCGGTGCTGAAGCGCTGTGACAGGGGGCAATTACACGAATGGGGACTGCACTCGGAGACTTATTCAAAGGCAGGAGGTGCGCGGAGGGATTCAAGTCCTTCCCGATGTGTAAGCTGACCCGCTTTTTGCAGAAGGCTCGGAGACTTTTCCTGTGTGTAAGTGCTGTCAAAGCATTGCCCGATACGGAAAGGCCAACCGGACTTCGGGGAGAACGGCGTTTCCAAGGCGGTGACCTGATTCGGAAACCTCTGCTTACATAAGTATATCGGGTCCACAATTTAGACGGCAGAATATTCAGACCGCCCAAAAATTTGTAGGCGAGAAAATTTTGGTGCTGCTGGGCGCTGGTAGCAAAGCTGAGTGCTAGTTTTGCACTGTAGGAACGGCAAGTCAAAAGATCGAGCCAACGGTCGATTGAAGACGATTCATACTGCCACCACAACACCAACGGAAACAAAATGGCACCTAAGGCGAAGGCAGCGCCAAAGGCAGAAACGACGTCAAAAGCGGCCAAGGCCGTCGTCCCCGAAAAAAAGCGCAAGGCATCCATTGTGACGACCGACGCCGAGTCGGACAACGAGGGCAGCATCGACGGCCTTTTGGACGGTGTGTTTTCAGACAGCGACGAGGGCTCCGACGATGAGGCCGACCTCGACAGCGATGACGTGCCGTCCGAAGGCGAGGACGACGAGGAGAGCCGGGAGCTGGCCAAGCTGACGCTGAACAATGGCACGGACGGCGCCGAGGACGAACAGAGCGAGGAAGACGAGAACGAGGACGAGGACGAAGACGAGGACGAGGAGGAACTGGAAGAGGACCCCGATCACGACGACGACGACGATGCCGACAAGCCCAACTACCGGGTAACGACGGACGCCAACGGGGGTGTGCGGTACATCTACGACGAGATCGATCCCGTGTACGACTCGGACGACAGCGACAAGGAGGAGTCCAACACGATCGGCAACATCCCGCTCTCTTTCTACGACTCGTACCCGCACATTGGCTACGACATCAACGGCAAGAAGATCATGCGGCCGGCGACGGGCGACGCACTCGACGCCCTCCTCGAAAGCATCGAACTGCCAGAAGACTGGACGAACCTGACGGACCCGGCGACGGGCAAGCCGCTCAAGCTCAACAAGGAGGAGCTGGAGCTGCTCAAGCGCGTGCACAAGGAGCGGCAGAACGACAGCGAGGGCGCGGGCGACTACGACCCGTACCCGGATATGGTCGAGTACTTTTCCGGCGTCGTGGAGACGATGCCGCTGAGTGCCGCGCCCGAGCCCAAGCGCCGTTTCGTGCCGTCGAAGCACGAGGCCGTGCGCATTGCCAAGATGGTGCGCGCCATCCGCCTGGGCCACATCCTCCCCTACAAGCCGCGCGACGAGAGCAAGGAGGACGAGGAGACGCAGCCGCACTACGACCTGTGGCACGACGAGGTGCCCGTGGAGGCGCACATTATGCACATCCCCGCGCCCAAGCTGCCGCCGCCGGGCCACCGCGAGTCGTACAACTGCCCGCCCGAGTACGTGCCGACCAAGGCCGAGCGCGCCGCGTGGGAGGCCACGGACCCCGAAGACCGCGAGGAGGCCTTTTTGCCCGCCAAGTACGACTCCCTGCGCAAGGTGCCCGGCTACGGCGAGTTTGTCAAGGAGCGCTTCGAGCGCTGTCTGGACCTGTACCTCGCGCCGCGCGTGCGCCGCAACCGCCTCAACATCGACCCCAGCTCGCTGCTGCCCAAGCTGCCGCCCGCCGAGGAGCTGAAGCCGTTCCCGACGGTGTGCCAGACGGTGTTCCGCGGCCATGTCGGCGGCGTGCGCGCGGTGGCCATCGACCCCACGGGCAACTGGCTGGCGTCGGGCGGCGACGACGGGACGGTGCGGCTGTGGGAGCTGCTGACGGGCCGGCAGGTGTGGAGCGCGCGGCTGACGGGCGGCAAGGGCCACGAGGACAAGTACAACGACGAGCCGGTGCGCAGCATCGAGTGGCGGCCCAGCAAGGGCGCGTTTGTCCTGGCGGCCGCGGCCGGCGAGGACCTGTACATAATTGTGCCGACGGTGGTGGTCGACCCGGAGCTCGAGCAGGCGAGCCGCGCGGTGGTGGACGCCGGCTTCGGCTATGCCGCTGCCAAGGGCAAGCCGCCGGCCAAGGCCAACGACCCGGCGACGGGCGGCGAGGCGCAGAAACCCCCGGCCAAGTGGAGCCGTCCCGAGGACGCCCGGCTCGTGCGTGCCGGCGTGCTGCTGCAGATCCGCGTGCGCGCGCCCATCGAGTCCGTCAGCTGGCACCGGCGCGGCGAGCATTTCGCCACGGTGTCGCCGGCCGGCGGCCGCAGCGCCGTCGCCGTGCACACGCTGTCGCGGCACCTGACACAGGTGCCCTTCCGGCGCATGCCCAACATCCCACAGGCGGCGCGCTTCCACCCGTCGCAGCCGCTCTTCTTCGTGGCGACCAAGCAGCGCATCCGCGTGTACGACCTCCAAAAGATGGAGCTCGTCAAGACGGTGCTGCCCGGCGCGCGCCAGATCTCGTCCTTTGACGTGCACCCGACGAGCGGCGAGCACCTGATTGTCGGCGCGTACGACCGGCGGCTGGTGTGGCAGGACGTGGAGATGGCGAGCACGGGGCCCTACAAGACGATGCGGTACCACGAGCGCGCCGTCCGCGCAGTGCGCTTCCACCGCGGCGGCCTGCCGCTGTTTGCCGACACGAGCGACGACGGCACCCTGCAAATCTACTTTGGCCGCGTGTACAACGACCCGCTCGAGTACCCGACGATTGTGCCTCTCAAAAAGCTGGAGCGCGGCGCGCACAAGGTGGTCGACGCAGTGGGCGCGCTGGACGTGACGTGGCACCCCAAGGAGGCCTGGTGCGTGTCGGCGGGTGCCGACGGCACGTGTCGGTTGTGGATGTAGGTGTGTGGTCTGTGGTCTGCTTGGTATGTCTGTACGTTTCTGTCTGTCTCGACTTTCCTCTGTCTGTTTTCATATGCTTTTTGTATCGGCGTCATAGTCATCTTGAACCATAGGAGTACAAAATATCAGTGTTTATTGTTTACAAAGTGATCCCTAATATCCAGAAACGCCAAATCCGGTCCCTTGCGTGAATCCATTTATGTTCCACGTATCCTTTTATGCCAATGTATTCCCACAAATGCCTGTATATTCCTGTTTACGCCTGTACACTATCAGTATCACAGCGGCATGCGTTACTGGGCTGACGAATCTGCGGGAGCCCAGGGTATTGTCGACTTCCTCTTGGGGGCCACACTGCCGCTCCGGCTGTCGGTCTGGACCGGGCTCTTCCCCGTCAGTGTCGACGTAGACGTGGCGGCCAAGTCTTTGCACGCCTGCTCGAGTGCCAGTTCCACCGAACACCGGATCTTGAGAGCCGCCACCGCCGGCCACACGGCTTTTTCGCCCTTGTGGATCCAGTAATGCAGCGTCTCGGCGGATGGCGAGTCGAGGAGGCGCACGTAGTCGTGCAGCGGCACCGTCGGAACGAGCACGAGGTGTCCGCTGGGGATCTGCTCGTCCAGCAACAGTCTGCGCAGCGCAAACGGCAGCCAGCCGAGCCGCACCATCTGGTCGAGGCGGTGGCGCACGAAGCGGCCGGTGTGGTGCACCACAAAGGCATTGGCACGGGCGAGCGTGCCCATGGCGAAGCCGCGCATGGCGGGGGAGTGCATGGACGGCTCGAGGAAGGGCACGAGGTACGGGCGGGCCTGGCTGACGATAAAGTGGTTGACGTTGAAGAGCTGCGCCAGCCGCTGCAGCGGCGAGTGGCGCGTGCCGTAGCTGCCGTAGGTCCAGTGGCGGAAGTGGGCCGCGTCGGCGAGCGGCCAGGGCACAATGACGGTGCGGCCTTGGTCGTCGACGTCCTTGCACAGGATGGCCGTCTGGCGGCGGCCGTACCAGGCGGCGGTGGCGGCGTCGCTCACGACACTCGAGGCGTTGGACGCGACGGCGGCCGTCCAGATCAGCACGTTGGGCGCCGTGACGTAGTTGAGCACCGAGGGCACGTCGGCAGCGCCGCCGGTGACGACGGTGATGTTCAGCGTGCGGCCCGTGCGGCGGTAGGCCTCCTCAAAGGTCATGTCGCCCGCGTTGTCGCGGACGCACTGTTCCAGCACGGTGACATCCAAAAAGTAGCCCTCGTTCCAGAAGCGCCGCAGCCGGCGATGCAGCGTCTCCCAGCGCGTGCGGAACGCCGCAGAGAACGGCAAGGCCGACGACTCCGCCTCGGCCTCGGCCGCATCCTGGCGCTGCTGCTTGCGCTTCGCCACCGCCTCAAAGGCCGACAGGTCGATGCCCACGCCGTCGAGCACGCCCGGCAGCTCCTCGTCTGTGTGCGTTCCGAGAAGCGCCGCAATCAGGGCGCCCGTTCCCGTGCCGGTCAAAATGCGAGGCAGCAGTCCGCGGAGGAAGAGGGCACGGGCCACGCCCAAGTGGCATGCACCGAAGATGGAGCCGCCCTGGAAGACGAGCGTCGTGCGGCCGAACGACTGGCGCAGGTTGTTGAAGAGGCGCCGCTTCTCGCCGACCGAAAGCAGCTGGCAGCGGCCCTCGGCCACGGCGCGCGCCAGCTCGGGGCTCAACTCGGAGGACGCGGGTGCGTGGCTTGCCGCCAGCGCATAGCCGGACACACTCGATGCAGGCTCGCCGGCGTCTGGCCCCGGCAGGTTGACGAGGTCGCGGATGATCTCGCAGACTTGCAGGATGTAGTTCTCAATCAGATACTTGGTGCCCGCAAAGGACGCGTTGTACAGCGACGGAACGGTGATGTTGCCCAGGTTGCGGACCAGCCCCGACTGCAGCAGGTGCACGAGTGCCTGCACATGGCCGGCCTGCAACGCGAGGCCAAACGCGGCGAGGCGGTCGCCAATCAGCTCCCAGGCATAGGCCTTGCTCTTGTCGACCTTGCGCCAGGTGTCGATGCGGTAGCGATGGTCGAGCGCGAGGCCGGCCGCCTCCCACTGCTCAAAGGTCTCGGCGTGATGCAGCCGGTCCCAGAGCGCGGCGAGCCCACGGTCCCATGTGAAGAGGGAGCCGACGTAGGTGTAGAGACGATGCAGCCAGAGGAGGAGGACGAGGGGGCTGGTGATGATCCCCCAGATCCAGATGTTCACGGACATGATCGGAGTCGGACGTGGCGGGTGCCGGACGGGATCGAGTTCACCATCTGAGCAGATCGTTGTTGGAAACGCGGACGTTTGACGTACGAAGACACATCACGAGAGGGCGGTCGAAATACGATGTCGTTGTTTGGCATGTGATGTCGAGGCAGGTAACCCCACTTATTCAGCGAACAACACGCTGTGGGAGGAGCAACTACACAGGCTCAGCACTGTAGAGACCCGCTAAGCTGCTAAACTGACCTGTCTAGAGCGTCATACTGAGACAACGCATTCTCGCCACACTTTGCGATGGAATACAAGCCAACGGCATGAAGGATACCTTGCATTCAACCAAAACGCCTCTATTTTTCACCGTCCGAGCCAGATTTTGTTTCGTTTTATAAGACGCCGCTTCGGCGATTTCAACAAACAGCCCCAATCGATACCATGCAAATTCCGTACATGTAGACCGCAGATTCTCCCAGGTAATATGAATCATGACAAAACGAAGAAATGAAAAGAAATTGCAAAAATATAAAAAGAACATCGTCCGCTCGCTACACACCCCCGCCACACTACTCGTCGTCGTCGTCGTCAATAATGTTTCGCCGGTTCCGCCGGGCGGCCGGCAGGTCGTCGTCACCTTCTGCGTCGTCGTCTTCGGCCTCGGCCGTCTTTTGCCGCTTGGCCCGGTGCGACGAGCCGCCACGGCGGTCATCCTCGTCGTCGTCGTCGTCGTCATCCAGCTCCTCTTCCTCCTCCTCTTCGTCGTCGTCCTCCCCGCCCTCCTCGTCCGACACATCGTCGTCGCTGGGTGCGATAAAGTCGTCGCCCTTGTCGTACTCGTCGTTGCGCCGCGCCCCCTGCGGCAGCTCGTCGTCCGAGTCGTACTCGTCTCGTCGCCGCTTTGCGCGGGCACCAGCGCCACCCGAGCCGCCTTTGCGGCGGCCGCCTCCACGGCGGCCACCGCCTTCCAGGTCGCCCACCGAGAGCGCTCCGCCGCCCCAGCCCGAACGCCCGCCGACACTCGCCGATCCGTCAAGGCGAGCAGCCGCTGTCTCGCGCCGCCGCTTGGCCCGCTCGCGCTCCTTCTCGGCGAGCTCGGCCTCCTTCTTGGCCAGCTCCGGGTCGCGCACGGTCCGGATGATCATGTTGGCGGTGTGGTCGGGGCTCTGCGTGGCCGCTTGCAGCCGATCGGTCAGGCGCTTGAGGGCATCGTCGGCCACCGTGTGGTTGGCACGAACGCTGTACTGGGCCGTGACGTGGCCGACGGTCAGAAGCAGCGAGCTGCTCAGATGGGCGGCGGCGGCATAGTAGTGCGCGTCCTGCAGCTCCTGGTAGCCGCCCTTTTCCGTGAGGTGTTCGGGGTCGGCGAGGCCTTTGGTCAGCACTTCAAAGTGCTCGTCGCCGACGGCAAGCGTGACAGAGCCGTCGCTCCACCGGTAGATGGCGGTGTTGCTCTGGACCGCGCCGGTTTCGGGGTCGCGGCGGAAGCGGACGACCGAGTGCGGGTTTTTGGCGAGGGAGTTTTCCAGGTCAAAGTCGGTGGGCACAAAGGTGTCGGGGCGGTACTCTTCGGGGTTCATCTTGATGAATGGGGGGATCCGCAGGGATTGGAGCTATTGACGTTAGCAACCCGCCATGACAGTCCAGTCAGAGGTGGAGGTCCAGCGGTCCTCGCTTCACATACATTTCCGTCCGTCGATTTGGGCGTCCTGTGCCGATACATGTCCACGTCCATCTCCGTCTCCTCGCGCGTCTGCCGCTGTTGCTGTCGCGCGCTGCGCCCGCCGTCCTCGCCATAGCGCTCGCCGTCCTCGTCTCGGTCGTCATCCGAGTCGAGGCCGTGCTCGCTCAGCGGCTGGTCCGACAGCTGGCCCTCGTCATCGTCGTCACCGCCGCCGAATAGGTCATCGCCACTCGCAATCGCGTCGTCGTCATCGGCAATTGGCGAGTCCGCCGGAGGCGAAGCCACAGGCGAATCGGCCGCGGCCGCCGGCGACTCGATGTGTCCTTCGGAGTCGGACATTGTGCATGAAAACAAGGGGGGAAAAGAAAATAAAATACAAACAGATGCGAGAACAAAGTGAAGCTCAACAGGCAGTCGAACCGTGGACGCAGACTTTCCTGGCCAGAAAAGTCGACGGTCGAAAAGAGGTCAAAAGTTTGGCGCCAAATTTGGACACGGCCGCGACGAGCTGTTCGCCGTTTGCTGTTTGCATCTGTCTTGCTTGTGGCTGGTGCAGGCTGGCCGTGTTGGGTTAAGCGCGGCGCGCCAGGGAGTCCTCCAGCGTGTGGCGCCGCCTATTGAGGAAAGCTGCACAATAGGGAGCAAGCTCCACACAACTGGAGTACTGTTAGTTAACGGCGGTCACGTGTAGTCCCTCAACTTTAGCTGTAAGTGGACGCAGATGTCCGCCTTCCCAGGAAAACAGATGGCGCGACTTCCCTCATTTGCAGTAGATAAATTGTCTTAGGGCGACTGCCCCAAATGGAAGTTTCTGTGCTTGGTTTGTTCCCTCTTTCCGTCTGCGTAGGATTTACTCGGCAGCGCCTTCTCGCTTGGGTAGTCCTGGCTCGCGCCTGCCCCCTGCCCCCCCGTAAGAGCGCCCTTTCCGCTAGTGCATCCCCAGCGAGCACCCGCCACTATTCCCGCCCAGACCAAGCCAGGCGTTTCCTCCCCCTGTTCTCCCCTCCCGACCCCTATAGCCCCTAGTAGCGCCCGCTGCCAGCGCTGCAAACCAGCACCAGCTCCACTGGAACCACCCCTCACCGCCGTTGCTGCCCGCTTCCCCTTTTTTGCCCGTTGTTGTGCTCTCCTTCTCTTTCTGGATGCGTCGATCCCGTTTCCCACCACCACGTCCTCGTTCCCATACTCCCCTCCTTGGCTCTTTGGCTCTTGTGACACTGGATCCTCTCCAGCAAATTGTGACCGTTTCAACTGTTCTGCCAACATCAACCACGACGCTCGTTCGCCGTCCCTGATTGCCGCCTGCACCCCATCTACGACAACGGTCAATATCGCGGCCCATACGCACTGAGCCAGGACTTTGCCAGAGTCAGACCCCCTTCCAAGATCTCTCATATTGTGCATCTGGAGCTTTTCGTATCTCGATCTCTTTCTGGTAATTTGTTGTCTCTGTCCGTGCTCTGAGCGTCTGCCGCCTTGCCAGTCTCTCTTCTCGAAACAACAGCGCCCCCGTCCGACCTCCTGTTTCGACTGTGCGTCCCTCCCCCCATCCGCCCCGCCAATGCCCTGCCGCTTCGACCTTCGACTCGAAACACAGAACGCGAACCACCAACCACTCGACGAAAAGACAAATCGACGAATAGGCACGGCCACAACACCCTGTCGCCTCTTTGTTTCTGCCACCAGCATCTGTCCCCCGCCCCTTTTACCTTTCTTTGTTCGCGAGCTTGCCTCGTCTGCCCCGAATCCAACAGCTGTGCTGTTGGAGCCTCTTTCATAACCGACCATGTCGAACCTCTTTTCAGGAATGTAAGTCGACTCTTTGTCCTGTCTGATCTCTCTGATCTCTCTGATCTTCCTGTTCCCCCTGCTCTCCCTGTTCTCCCTGTTCTCCCTGTTCTCGATCTCTGCTCCCTGCAAACAACATACCGTCCCTCAATGGCTGTGCTGCACATCTTCCAAGCAGCCCCGTGGAAAACGCGTTTCGCATGATGGATGTCATTTCACGAGTTCAGGGCGTAAAGGGCCATTGGCCGTTATTGGATGGACATGGCACTTGGCCAGCGGCTGTCGGACGACACAGTAACGAGGGGACGGCTGCCGCGCGCGCACGTTCGTCTTATTCGTCCTATATTATAACGGGCGGCTGCTTGTTGGCAGATCGTCAGCCTGGCCCCAGCACACAACACTGACCATTCTTTGTCACCATTCTTCTGTTCCATCGTTCACTCGCCCTGCATCCATCACTGCGTCCGCTTCTGTACAGCTTTCCCCGCCCTCTCTAACACGCCCCCAGAAACGCCCGCTTTCGCGGCGCATCAGCACGAACAGCCAACACGGGCAACAAGAGCCCAACCTCGTCCACCTCCAGCCAACCCCTGACGCCTACCTCCGGCGTCCCGTCCTCCACCTCCGCTGGCGGCCTACCCACCAGTGGCAGCACCGGCAACCTCCTCCAGAGCCAGAACCAGTCGCAAAGCAACAACGGCAATATTGGCACTGCCACCTCTTCGTCGAACCTGTCCGGCATCGGTGTCGGCGTCGGTGGTTCTGCAGGCGGTGAACTGCCGCCGCTCCCCGGAAGCCAGACTGCTTCGAGCCTGGCCAAGCTGCCACCGCTGCCCAATTCGCCGTCCCTCGCACAGACCATCGGCATGGACGAGTCCGGCGGTCTGCGCCCCATCCTTCCCACGGCGGATGAGGTGCTCACCTCGTACCACCTGCCGCGGCCGCTGCCGCTGTGGCTCAACCCCTCGTACGCAAAGCACATCGTCAAGGGCAACTTTATGACCTTGAGTGCCCGGCCCAAGACAGTCGAGCAGGGCGAGTGGATTGCACACCAGAGTACGTGTTTGGCTTATTTATTGTAGCGGCCCCTGCCTATTCCCCAACTCCCCGTCCTAACATGTCCAGTCGTCGAGCATTACAGAAACCTGTGGAACTTTGTGCGGGTGCTGCACGAAAAGGAAGACGACGGCCAGTCCATCTGCAACCCGACAACGTGCCCGCGCATGTCCGCCGGCACAAACCACTCGTTTACCTGGCTCAACGCCCGGCGAGAGCCCGTCGAGCTGCCCGCCTACGAGTACATGACGCTCATGCAGCGCTGGATCTCGGGCAAGATTGACGACACCAAGATCTTCCCCACCGAAGCCTCGGGCGTCTCGTTCGCCGTCAACCCGGCCCTGTCCACGGGCAGCGGCAACAACGGCACCCCGGCCCAGCTGTCCGGCCTTGTCTCGTCGTCGTCGAGCGGCGGTCTCGGTGGTCTCGGCGGTCTCGGCGGCGGCGACCCGCAGCGCGACTGGGTCGGCAAGCGCAGCGGGTTCCCCGAGAACTTTGTCGATGTCTGCCAGACCATTTTCCGGCAAATGTTCCGTGTCTACGCGCACCTGTACTGGGCGCACTTTGTCGACCCCTTTTACCACCTCAACCTCGAGAAGCAGCTCAACAGTTGCTTCAGCCACTTTGTGCTGACGGCGACGGCGCTCGACATGCTCAAGCCGCACGAGCTAGAGCCGATGCAGCCGCTGATCGACCTCTGGGCCGCCAACGGCACCTTCCCACAAGGCTCCAAGGCCTACGAGTTTGCCAACGTACAGGTCGGCGAACGGCTACTACAGCTGAGCGGTGTTGCCATGTAAACGTCCAGGGAAGGGGGGACCTCTTTTGAAAGACAAAAAGACACTCCTGATGTTTGCCGACGACATTACCGGTCGAGTCACGTGTGGATTATGTTTTGGCATATTTGCGGCGTTTTGTCTGTCCAAGCAGGCGGTTGGTGCTGATGATGGTTCGTGACGGTTGATGATGCAGGATCATATCAAGTTGAGGAGGTATCTCGTTGGTGGGCTGTACGGCGGTAAACCATCCGAATGCTGATGGCAACACTTACATATATATGGCACTTTTTTGTATCTCTTTCATATAAAGAAACGTTCTTTTCTGGATTTTTTTCTTGTTTTCTCGCCCCGACATGTTCGCAGCCGTTTTGGTTTCTACATTGAATGTTTGTCTTGTTTGTCGTGTTTCGATTTGTTTACTTTGCTTGCTCTGTTGTTACTGATATTTTGTCCCAGACTTTATGCCACTCCACGGACACTGCACTTTACACGGACACCTCGCTGATCTTGTACTCGACAATCACAGGCTGGCCGGCCTCGACAATGAAGCGGCCGGCCGCCACGTACAGCTTGGTCCCCAGCACCTTGAGCGACGGGTGGCCCGACTCAAAGTTGACCTGCGTGAACACCTGGCCCTGGGGCGTCGACGCCGCGCCCGGCGCGCCCGACAGCACCTTGGCGATCTCGTCGGTGATCTCAATGAGGCCTGTGTAGGTGTAGTTGAGCAAGGCGTCGTCGCTGCCCTTCTGCTTCAAGACAGAATTGACGTTGAGGCGCAGGCGCTTGCCGTCGTCCTCGGGGCGGATGTAGTCGGCGCCGTGGACGAACTGGGCGTCCACCGCGACGGGGTAGCCCGGCTCGGACACGAGGGAGCCGCCGTGGCCCTCGTCAACGGAGACGAAGCGGACGAGGTTGAGGCCGCCCTTGCTGGAGCCGACGGCGTCGGCAGCGCGGATGGGGATCTGGGTGGGTGGGTATGCGTGAGTCAGCAGTCGTTACCAGCAAATGTGTGTGCTTGCGTCAGGGAGAGTGGACCAACTCTAGCCGTAAAAGCCGGGATCAGCTTGGGGAACGAAGACATGGTGACGGTCGGGGGTGGTGGGGTGGGTGGTGGACAGGTGTTGTTAAGGATCTAGTTAGAGCTTGGTGCGAAAGCCAAGAAGTCTGGGGGATTCTCTTCAGAAAGTGAAGACAAGGGATCACGCTCCGCGATATGGGGTAGTGGGTATAAATAGATAAGCAAACGAAAACATAAACCGATCGTTTAATCGTTCAGATCTTTGCGGAGAGGGGAAAAGGCTGACGAAGCAACATTCGAGATGGGGACATGGGGAAAGAGACAGCGTGAATAGTAAAAGCGTCTCGGGGACGCGGAGGGTTCACAGTTGGTCGGTGCAACGCGGGAGGGGCAAAATTTGGGGGAACTCGGACGTGCTGTTAATCATGTTAGGAGCAATTGCCAGTCCAGAAACATGCAATATCAAAAAGCCGAGCGCTGAGGTCATTGAGGGGCCCAGTCATCCATGTCTAGTACCGTGGGGAAGCCTTTGGCGAAGTTGGGCAAATGTGGAAAAACATAGACAGCGACCGAACGACACCAGGAGGAGCTCAAGGGTGCATTCGATCTATGCGAATCCGTCAGCAATATATTGGAAAATGGAGGCGACGTTAGGCATCGTCGTCACACAGACCGTCCTGCCCCCCAAGGGTTCACGCCTCTAGGAGGATAGCAATCGTTGCAGACAATGCAGAGTCCGGCCAATTGGTGTTTGATAGAATCGAGGGGCCCTCATTTATGTGGCACAATACTTCGGCCCGTGCTCTGCTGTTACCGAGCCGGAACGGCAGCTTCCGTTTTAGCTTGGAAAAATATCGGCCAAGGTCACCTCCGGAGCTCTGAGCTCTGACCGGCCGGGTCAGTGGCAGTATCATGAGGGTGCCGTCCCTCCATATGTCTCGTAGTAATCGAGCTCTAGGTCAGCCACATCGGCGTGTGCAAGACGTCAACTCGCAGAGCGCAGAAATGGGGCCCAAAGTAGCATTCAGGGGTTGCGAGCCAAGGCCAGTTGTATTCGTCGCTTTTTGCTTTTCACGTTATACTTATCGCAACGTTCTTCCTTTTCTTGTCCGATGTACTCTTTCTGTGCTATCAATATTAGTTGTTTGTCTCTTTGTCTCTTTATCTTTTGTCTCTTTATGAGTTTCCTATCACAATGTGTTCAGAAGCTGTACGATGAGTGATGCCTCCTCGTCGTTCTGACCCTGGCATTTCGCACCATCGTCGCATGCAATTGTTTTGTTTCATCTCATCGTTGAACATTCAGCCTCAGCCTATCAGCCGCAGCCCCAAACCCCTGTCAGAGCCAGGTGAAAGTTTCCGGAAACGCACTAGACCACAGCCAACGACTCGGTTTTCTCGTTTACTATCGAAATATGGTAATGCTAATTTCAATATTTCGCACAAGCCATACTATGGCGACAGAAAGTGCAACATTCGAGCCAACGGACAACAGCGTTGCAGCATAGAACTGCTCCGTACAACGATACTTTGTACTTTGCTGTGATAGGTTTACATGTTACTTGTATCTTCAGACATGCAGGCCCCTGAGCAGCGTGTCTGTGTGTTCGTATTCTTGCATTAGGCCAGCCAGACAACGGACTTTGAGTCGCCCCATGTCTGCTCCAGCATCTGTACCTGCTGCCAACCCTTCGTCGTGTCTTAGCCACGTGTAAAACGGATCGTCCAGACTTTACATGCTGTGTTGCCCATCGAGATATGAGAGGACAGCGAAGTTTGACTGTTTTTGTCAGCGATTCGCCGTTGACCAAAATAGTTGGGCGTGGAGGTTTGTCTTGACCGGATTTCAAGGCCCCACCGGTAGGGCCGTACTTTGGCCAGCCCACTCTGCGGCGAGGTCTTGATTGGTGCATGGTTCGTGGGACGTGAAACGTTGAAACAACAGAGGAGGTGGAAACAACACGATTATGTCGGCGAAACGCGCATACCTGATCTGTAGTTCTGCGCCGGATGGAAAACTCTGATGCCCAGTCGTGAACTACGTGAAACGACCATCTTTTCTTCCTCGCCGTAGCCATCGCCACTCGTTAGACAGAAAACAAAACCCGGACGGCGCCAAAAAAGAAAGTAAAAAAGGTACGACAAAAAGGCACAATGGCCTGAAGTCACCAAAAAAGGTCCCCAATACATAAGCGTGCCAAGACGCGCTTGCTCTAAAAAGCCCTAAATGTCAGCCTCGCCACGCGCCGGTAGCTCTTTCCTTTTGGCTGTACGGAGAGACGGAGTACTTACTTCTTGCTTAGGCTTCAATACATTCCTCAATACAGCAAAAAGCGGGAACAATGGCACCGCAGCGTTGCAGTCCAGGCACGCCAGCTCGGCTGGTTCGAGATTTGGGATGTATTTTGCGCATCGGTACCTGAGTGGCGTCTTTGGTGTTTTGTCGTCCTCTTTGTTCAGCATCTATATTTGGCCGCTCCCTTGCAAGGGCGGCTGGCCTCGCACGTCGTGCCTTCCTTTCCCATCATTTTCTAACGTCCGGGTCCGCTGGCTCTTTCCCGGTTGTTTTTCTCGCCGCCGTCTTATCATATTCGTTCCTTCCTTCTTTGTCACTCTCTGTTCAGCCGCTTCTGGGTCGCTCTTTCCGCCGTTGTCTGTCCACCGGTCCCACTTGCTCACCTCACAGCGCATGCGAAGGAAGCTACGCCCCTAGTCTGTTTTGAGGCGTCATTTTCTCGTATTCCACTCCCTTTGCGTTTTCATCGTCCCTCGTTCCCCCGTTTCCTCTTTTTTTTTGGCCGTCTCACTTCTTGGATCAAGAGCAGCTTATTGCTTTCTGGTTTTCTATTGCTTTTCTCATCTTCATTTCCACTTGTTTTCTCTGATTCCTTTTTATTTTTTACTTTCTCTTCCTTCTCCCTGGTGGAACCTGTTTATTCCCTTTATCTTGGATAACAAACAGCTATTTGCTGATTACGACAATCTTGCTTTCTTTGCCTGTCATCTTTGTTACTCGTCATTGATGTTTCTCTTTTGTCTTTGGCAATCGACCACCCTCGGCGAATAGAAACGACGGCTCGACCGTCGTGGTTCCAGAAAACGGCAGCGTACCTACCGCCAGTCTTCCGGCATTCCTCTGGCTTTCCTTTTCTTGGTTCTTCATCCTCTTCAAGCACTTCAAACCATAGCACAGCAATCATGTTGTTGGTCAAGGCGGCCTTTTTGGCGGCTGTCGTGGCGGCTGCCGACGCCGTTGCGCCGGCAGATCTGGCCGTTAACAAAACCGGTACGTCTCCCCGGCCCGTCCGGTCGACGAGGACGACAGTTGACAGTTCACATTTGTCACTGCCTCCAAAGTGGCTCTGTGCTACGGCGTACATCATCTGCAAGTCACTAACAGACTCTCCAGATTCCATCATTGGGGTTGCCAACACCCTGGCCAAGGGCGCCATGTCGTACTACTCTGGAAACGCATCGGTACGTGGTCTCTCTCAGTGCCCCCCTCCCCCCTTCCCCTGCAAAACTCGATACGGGGATGCACTTCAAAATGAACGTCACAGTAATCGTACGGCTTGCTAACATCTTCCGCTTCCCAGAGTTTTGCTGACTTGCCAGACCCATACTACTGGTGGGAGGCCGGTGCATTGATGGGTGCGATGCTGGACTACTCGTACTACACCAACGACACCACGTACGACGACATTGTTGCGACGGCCATCTTGCAAAACACCGGCCCCGCCCACGACTTTATCGTGCCGGCCCACGAACTCGACGAGGGCAACGACGACCAGGCCTTTTGGGGATTCACTGTGCTCACTGCTGCGGAGCACAACTTTACGCAGCCCGCAGAGTTGACGCCCAAGGGCGTGCCCAGCTGGCTGGACCTGAGCATCAATGTGTGGAACAACATGGTCGTGCGCTGGAACACGACCAAGTGTGCGGGCGGCTTCACGTGGCAGATCTACGCGGACAACTTCAACGGCCTGAACTACAAGAACTCGGCGAGCAACGGCGGCTTCTTCCTCATCTCCGCACGCCTGGCGCTGCTCACTGGCAACAAGACGTACGTCGACTGGGCCCAAAAGGTGTGGGACTGGACGGACGCCGTCGGCATCATTGACAAGTACTACAACGTGTATGACGGCACCGACTCGGCCACGAACTGCACGCAGATCAACGCGCTCAGCTTCTCGTACCAAAACGGCATTTTCCTGTACGGCGCCGCGGCGCTGGCCAATCATACGGGTGATGCCGTATGGAAGACGCGTGCCGAGGGCCTGCTGGACGCGGCCCGTCATTTCTTCTCGCCCGACAAGAACGCGACCAACATCATGTGGGAGCACGCCTGCGAGGGCGTCGGCACCTGTACCAAGGACATGAAGACCTTCAAGGGATTCCTGTCCCGCTTCATGTACTCGTCCGTCCAGGTGCTTCCGTCGCTGGCGCCCAACGTGACCGACTACATGCGCGCCTCGGCCGCGGCTGCCGGTAAGGCCTGCACGGGCGCCAACATTGACGGAGCGCCGACGCAAAACGGCACCACATGCGGCCAGAAGTGGTACGTCGGCGGGTTCGACGGAAGTGTGGGCTTGGGCCAAGAGATGTGTGCGCTCGAGACGGTGCAGGGCCTCCTGGGGCTCAACAAGGTGCTGGGCATAGACCAAGCGCCCCCGCCGTCACCGTCGCCAACGGCGCCGGCGCCGGCGCCGTCGCCCTCGGGAGACAAAACCAAAAACGCCAGCCCGCGGGGTATGTCGCACATCGACCTGCGGTGGACGGTCGTCAGCATGGCCTGTGCTTTGTTTGCCTACGGCATGGCATAGCTGTTTTTGGGGCCAAATGCTGTCAACCCGCTCTTTGTCTTTTATTTTTTGTTGCGTTTCGTTTCACCGATGTCCCTTATGCGTATTGTCTTCACCAGCAAGGAGTTGGGAAACATTGGGGCGCGCCAGGCAGACGTCTTTGCTTTGCACAAACGAAGGTAGACATGCCGCGTGCCATTTTTAGATTTGGGTTTTTAGAAAACGTGTGGACGGCATCACGGAGTCACCGTTTCGTCGGCCAGGATTCAAATAGATAAACTCTGCAGCATATACCAAGCAGCATCAATCTCAAAACAACAATCCATGATAGACTAAGACGGCGTCCGCCATATGTCACTTGCCATATGGGGAAAGTTCGTCTTAGTCGGCTATATCAAATAAGTGCGGAGAAGAGCTCGCGTGGGAACAAAAGCTTCGGTATGTTCCCCGAAAGGCGACACGGCTGCACCAGTCATGGGGAACTTACAAGGGATTTAGCGATGCATAGCGCTGTGCCGCGGCCTGATCCGCCCTGAACTTGTTAGGAGTAATCCAGTCGTCTTACACGCCCATTTTGGGCATCGCTGGTCTTAGTCGCCGAGGCTATGATTTCTGTTTAAATGCCCCCCTCACGACCGCGAGACGACTTCGGAGCAAAACGCCGACTCGAGCCAGAGCTGTTCCTTTCTTTATTTGTTTCGCTAAGGCCGTCCAATCTTGTCCACGTTGACAACGATTGCGACACATCCTCCTGCTTGTTCTGCCTCCCGCCGCTACCATGTCGTTTCTCAAACCATTTCCTGTTGGCGCTGTCGTCCGAAGTGCGGCATTCCGGCTAACCTCTGCCCGATTGTGTCGGCCACTACGGAAAGCTGTGTCACCGGCATGGGCTGTCTCTGGTCGTCGGAACATGGCCTCGGCCGGCGGCAGTGCGGCCTCTGACCCCCGACTGAGTCTCATGGACGCCAGCTGTCTGTCCGAGACCCAACGCCAAGTGCGCGAGGCCGTCTTCCGCGTCTGCGCTGACTTTCCCGATGTACGTTGGGCCATATAAAAATGTATTAACAAAAAGAAAACTAAAAAAAAAAAAAATAAGATAAAATAAGTGCTTTGTACTGACCTGCCAGGAATACTGGGCCGAGCGAGACGACACCGGCACCTACCCGCGCGACTTCCACAAGGCCATTGCCGACGCCGGCTACATTGGCATCGCGCTGCCCGAAGAGCTCGGCGGCGTCGGCCTGGGCCTGTCCGAGGCCGTGACCATGCTGCAGACCATTGCCGAGTCGGGCGCCGGGTTCGCCGGGGCCCAGTCCATCCACGCCAACGTCTACGCGACCCAGCCGCTGTCGCGCTTCGGCACGCCCGCGCAGCGCGCCGCCTGGCTGCCCAAGATTATTTCCGGCGAGTGGCGCACGTGCTTTGGCGTGACGGAGCCGGACGCCGGCCTGGACACGCGCAAGCTGCGCACGCGGGCGGAGCGCGTCGAGACGCCGGACGGCGGCTTTGCGTACCGCATCACGGGCCAGAAAATCTGGATCTCGTCGGCGCAGGTGGCCGACCGCATGGTGCTGCTGGCGCGCACGGGCCCGGGCGACAAGGGCGACGCGGACAAGATGGACGACGCGCTGACGCTGCTGTGCATCCCGCTGGACACGACGAAGCCGGGCCTGTCGCTGCAGCCCATTCCCAAGATGGGCGGCCGCGCCGTCGACGCCAACGAGGTCTTCTTTGACAACTACGAAGTCGAGGACGGCGCGGGCGCGCTGGTGGGCGCCGAGGGCCAGGGCTTCCGCATCGTGCTGCACGGGCTCAACGCCGAGCGGTGCCTGATTGGCGGCGAAGCGCTGGGGCTCGGGTACGCGGCGCTGCGGCGCGCGGTGGCCTACGTGGGCGAGCGCGTGGTGTTTGGCAAGCCGGTGGGCGCGTACCAGGGCGTGGCGCACCCGCTGGCCGAGGCGTGGATGGCGCTGGAGGCGGCCAAGCTGGTCGTGTACAGCGCGGCGGCGCAGTACGACGCGCACACGGCACAGGGCGAGGGCAAGCTGCCGGCGCACCTGGGCGTGGCGTGCAACATGGCCAAGTACCTGGCGGCCGAGGCGGCGTTCCAGGCATGCGAGCGGTCGGTCCTGGCCATGGGCGGCATGGGCTATGCGCGGGCGTTCCATGTCGAGCGCTACCTGCGCGAGAGTCTGGTGCCGCGGCTGGCGCCGGTGTCGCGCGAGATGATTCGCAACTTTGTCGCCGAAAAGGCCCTTGGTTTGCCAAAGAGCTATTAGGAGGGAGTCGTTCGGATGCAGGGACATGTACATGAACAATGGATACAAAAATGTCGCAAGTCAGAGCGAAATGAGATGTCCAAAAATAAGGTGAAATTATTCAAAAAATTCAAAAAATTCAAAAAATAAACCCGAAAAAATAAAGAAATTGCACAATGCATTTTAATGCAAACGCTTGCAGAAATTCAAATCTATAATTGCTTCTTTTACACTCTGACCTCGGCCAGCGTCGTCTTGAGCGCCTCCAGGAATCTTGTCACCTCGTCTTCGGTGCCAACGGTAATCCGCAGGCAGCCCAGGCAGCCGTGCTCCTTGCCGCGGAACCGCACGACTACGCCGCGCTGCTCGGCCAGCTTTGTGTACACGGCGAGCGCCGTCGCGTTGTCGGGCTCGCCCTGTTTGTTCAGCATCTCGTACAGCAAAAAGTTGCTCTCGGTGCCGCCGCGGAGCCGGCCGACACCGGGAATCTGCGGGAGCGCAGCCACCAGGCGGTCGCGCTGGGCCACCAGCTTCGCGCGGTTGGCGGCCATCGCGGCCAGCCCGTCGGCGCCCAGCACGGTGCGGGCGAGCGTGCTCGTGGGGCTGGCAATGTTGTAGGGTGCCTTCAAGGCGTTGAGCAGGCGGGCGACGGGCGGCGCGCAGAACGCAGCGCCGAGCCGGATGCCGGCCATGCCAAAGGCCTTGGACAGCGTCTGCATGACCACCAGGTTGGGCCACTCGAGCACCCACTCGGCGAGCGACGCGCTGTGCTGGTCGGCCACAAAGTCGACGTACGCCTCGTCGACCACGACAATGCCATTCCACGTCGCGTGGCCCAGCACGCCGGCAACGTCCTCCTTGCGCAGCGCGCTGCCCGTGGGGTTGCCGGGCGAGCAAAGGTACACCACCTTGATGTCGTAGTCGCTCGCCGCGACGGACGCCGTGAGCGCTGCCAGCACGGCCGGGACGTCGACGCCAAACGCGGGCGCGGGCGTCAGCGGCACCTTGACGAGGCCCAGGTCGTTGACCTGCGCCGAGACGCTGTACATGCCGTACGTGGGCGGACACACCAGGATGCGGTCGCGGCCCGGCACGCAGAAGCAGCGCAGCAGCGCGTCAATGGCCTCGTCGCTGCCGACGCCGACAAACAGGTTCTCGGGCGTCAGCGTCTTGGCCGTGTGGGCGTGCGTGTTGCGCAGCGTGCACAGCTGCTGCTTGAGATCGGCCTGGTGGGGGTCGGGGTAGCGGTGGAGGCCGAGCAGATCAAGACCGGTCGCCTCGGCCTCGGCGGCGAGGGAGGAGGAGGCGGAGCCGGCGCCAAGTGATGGTCCATAAGCGTTCTCGTTGGCATCGAGCAGTACATTGGAGCCGTCGTCCTTGTAATCGCTGGAAAGCATATTAGAAGACGACCAAGGCGATTGGTTGTGGGGGGCAAAAATGCGTCGGAACTCACTCTCTTGCGCAGCGGTACGGTTCGAGGGCTAGGATGTTTGGCCGCGCGCACGTCTGGAGGTTGAAGGCCGGCGACATGGTGGGCGATGTGGAGGATATTGGAAGTGTCAAGTCGTTAAGATGTGCCGGGAGGAGACTATGGCTGTCGGTCGATCGGGACCCCTCTCAGCTTTCAGTTCTCCGGATTTGTTGTCGACTTATAGAGGCGCTTCGCTAAGTTGCGGTGCGCTTGTGTAGCGACCACGATGAGTCTTTGCTCGTCTGGTCGTCGTCTGTTGTGGTCGTCTGAGTCACTCAAACAGAAGTCTGCAAAAAACGGAATGTCCGCGGATGGCTGTTTGGCTGCCAAAATCCGCCGATAGCGGGGGCTCTTTCCTGCCCGGAGCCCTATGACTCTGCTCTTGCCCTCTTAGTCGCCCTATCTTATCGCACTTGCCTGCCGCCAACGTCATTCGCCAATTCCTCAGGGCAGGAGCGGGAAAGGAAGGCACGACTGTAGGTGGCCACTTCCCTTCAGCTAATTCCTTATTCCATTCTGTGGGTGAGCTTGTTCTGGACTAAACAAAACAACACACACAGTCTCTCAACTCAGACATGCTCTCCAGATGTCAATGCTTCATCCCACCTTCAGATACGGTTGCAATATGACACTAGCGCATGAGCACAACAGCTTGCCATTGACGTCGTATATGTTCCGACTTCACAGCTTCTGTCAATCATCGGCCTGGCGTATTCGTTTTCTCGATGAAACTACCGGCTAGCAGTTTGTTGTCGACCCCCTTTCGAGGCGACAGCTAGACGTTTGTACAGCAGCGGGGATCACCCTGGATTGCCGAATTCACGATCTGGTTCTGACAGCACGGCCCAGACCCGCTGCAGTGTAACCGTGACAGTCGGGCGGGCGGCAGCTCTGCTTAGCAATTCAGGCTGATGTCCGGTGAGGAAATTGCGCTAACGGCGACGATCGTCGAGTATAACAAGACGAGGGGAACACCGCAGCAGAGAAGAAACAAGAGACGAACAGCGAAGACAATGCCAGTAGTTGGCTGCTTGGGTCACGTCTTGGGCGGAACCTTTGGTTAAGAGCACCGTTTACCGCTGTTTAACGGCTTGCCGTCCCGTTTACCGCGCCATTTGGCCGCGCGAGCTTTCAAGCATTCAAGCTTTGGCTCCGATTGTTGACATCGTATTATGGTTCGCGTACTGTCGCGGTGCGGACTGTGCACCTGTGCCTCGTCCCGCACAAGCATTTTCAAGATTCGGCGTAGCTCACACCTTCGTCAGAGACAACACCCGCATGCATCCTCGACGGCACTATCTGGTCCCCGCCCTTCCATCAACATCAACATTGCTCTGTTGTTTCCCCGCATTCTACCCGTGTCCAGACGGACTTCGGGCTGTCAATCTTGGAGCTTTTCTGAGCCTCTGTTACACTTGTGTGCGAGCTTCCAAGAGTGCACCTACATACAATGACGGCTGGACGGATCTCGAAGCGAGTGGGAAGTTGGATATCTGCAAGTTCCCGGGCTCCTCCCTTCAAAGCCTGGAATAGTCTGGCGCTTTGCTCCTGCAGGTACAAGCCGCCCACCGTCCATCTCGGCTGCTTGTCCGACTACAGCTTGCGACCAAGTGCTACAGCACAACCGTTGTAGTCTATGCTTTCTGTCCATTTTTTTTGTTGTTTTTCGACTGTCGTCTTGTCTCTCCTCGCTCTCATCCGCTATTCCCGGGAGGCCATTCCCAATAGATGCAATGAGTGAGGAACCCCAGTCCGGTTGAATGCACAGGTTCTGTGAAGCTTTCCAGGCCAAGGGTATCCCTCCTTAATCCTTAATATACACGAGCAGTATCCCGTGTGCAGGGTTATAAATATGAGCATCGTCCCGTGTTGATCCTCTTGGCATCCTCTGTGACGGGTTCTTTGGCTGGTTGCTTGTTTTGCTCATTTCCCTTTTTTTTCCATTGGTCTCGTCTCGCTCATCCCCTCGCCATCCTCATATATTTCTCGGCCTTTCTGCCCTGTCCCCCTTCTCCTTTCTACTTTCCTCTAGCTCTCTCACGCACCTTTCGCCACGCAAGTCAACATGCGGATCCGTCAGAGTCTTCTTGCGGCGGCCGCAAGCAGCGGCCTCATTTCCGCTGCCTGCAACTCATTCGAGAATCTCGTCGCGTTCGGTGACAGCTACTCGGACAACGGCCGCCTCAACTATTACATCGCACACCAAGGCAAGCCGCCGCCTCCCGGCACTCTTTCCACCCAGACCAACGTCACGGCCAGCGGCGGCCTGACATGGGGCCAGTATGTCCAGCAGAGTGCACCCGGCGTCGCCTTCTTTGACTACGCCGTCGGTGGCGCCGTCTGCTCCAACGAGATCACCCCCCGCTACTTCTCGTCCATCAACCGCACCTTCCCTTCCGTCCTTGAAGACGAGATTCCCTCGTTTCAGGAGGACACTGCCGGAAGTCACTCGCTGTACCAGAACCGCACCGCCGACAACACTGTGTACGCACTGTGGATCGGCACCAACGACATTGGCTTTGGCGCCTTTTTGAACGACGCGCAGACGGCTGGCACCAACATTACTACCTATGTGGACTGCGTCTTTTCCGTGCTGGACAGCATCTATGCCGCCGGCGGCCGCCGTATCGTCCTCTTCAACCTCGCACCGCTGCAGCTCGTACCCACGTACCGCCCCCAGAGTGCCGGCGGCGCAGGCGACCACCAGTACTGGGGCAACAAGTCTCTGTACAACGAGACCGAGTATGCCAACAAGATCCTGGAGTACACCGTCAACATCAACACCATTTTCGACTACGGTGTGCCCTTCCACGCTCTCGTGCGCCGCCGCTGGCTTGGCGCCTCCGTGTCCATCTACAACACCCACCAGCTCCTGACCGACATTTACAACAACCCGTCCGAATTCCTGGAGGCGCCGGCCAACAGCACCGGCTACTTCCACCATTGCGAGCCCACCAACTCGCATAACTGTACGGACGCCGCGGGCGTAATCGAAAACTACATGTTTTACGACGAGTTGCATCCCTCGCCCAAGACTGACTCTGTCATTGCGGAGAAGTTTTTGGACGTCGTGGCTGGCGTGTCCAAGTACGGCACGACGTACCAGTCGTGAAAATGGAAACAAAATGCGGCAAAATAGGTGCTGGGAGAGTACTCTGTAGCTAGAAGATAACAGTAGGAAGTAGAGAATAAATTGATGCACAAAACGGGGTTGGACAATAGCTGTTCTTGCTCGTTGTAATGGTGCGTCGGTGTTACAACGTACTTGCCGTTTGGAGTTCGCAGCAGCCCCGCTTTTGGTACGTTTGCAATTGGCTCACTTCCCATCTCCTGCTTCTTGCGCCTGCCCTCTGATTCGCTGGCGCACTGCTTGCGAACAGTCAACGCGGCGACGGAAAAACGGGCTGCCTGCGCGCGAAAATTCATCCAGCCCAGCCAGCGCTAGTGCGCCTCCGCGTCGCTGCCTCTGCCTCGTTCGCACTTGCCAATTCGTGTCTCGCTCCTGCCACGACGAAACCTCCACACCAAGAGAGCCTTCTGTCCCCATCCCCGCGCGCTGCACCGGCATTACGCCCTGTCTCTTTCCGCGCATATTTGTCTTTTTTTCCCTCCTGCCTAGTCGCTTGTGCTCTGTACGTGCCTGCGCTGTTGTGGGACGCGTTTTTCGCTTTCGCATTCAACCTCCACAATCGCTTGTCTCTCGTTCACGCAAACCTCCCATCTCTCCTTCCCGTTTCGCGCCCGTCTCTCCTTCCCTCTTCGCCCGCGGGCGTCATCCCATCCCTCCTTCCCTCGGCACCATCCACCTGGATCCAGGCAGCTCTTACATTTCTCGTGTCCAACTCCTCCCTACCACACCAACCCCCATCACCCCATCACCCTTCATCCCTTCACCCCTTCACCATCCACCCCGTTCCCCATCTCGTGGCCTGGCGCCCTGTCACCTGCTTGGTCTGTCAATGTCACCTGACCCTCGAGGCTCCCAATCGCATCTGCCATTGCTTACGCGCTTCGCGCTTCTTGGTGCCGACCCCCAGCCTTCTCAGGGCTGCAAAAGTCCGATCGACTACCCGCATCAGCGCATCTCGCATTAGCCTGTCGACGACACACACCCGCGCTGCCCCTCTGGCTTATTCATATCTGCCGACGCCCTAGATCTTTCTGTCTTTCGACGGGTTTTCGAACGACCCACACCCGTTTGCGATTCACATCGTGCGCCTCTTGCATTTCGTATCTCGCCAATTTTCCGTCTGCCGACTCTTCCACCCCTTAACCGTCAACTCCTTTCAGATCAACAGCCATGTACCAACCACCCTACGGCTTTCCCAACCAGGGCGGGCCGGCCGCCTTTAACACGCCCCCTCCACAACAGATGCAACAGCCAGGCCAGCAGCCGCCACCACAGCAGCAGATGCCGCCTGGCTCCATGCCGGGCCAGCAGCCGCAACAGCAGATGATGTACGCTCAGCAGTTTGGCATGCCGGGCGGCCAGTCGCCATTTATGCAAGGCGGCGGCAATCCGAATATGATGGGCACGCCGGGGCCCGGCGGAATGATGCCAAGCCCCGGCATGCCGCAAATGGGAGTGAATGGACAAAGTGAGTTTTGACGATGGGCGCCCCGCGTGGTGGCTTGTCCTGCCCCATCTTTCTAACGTTTTTGCAGTGGGATATCAAACTCCATTTACCGGCTCGCCTTACGGTGTAGGGATGCCCGCCAGCGCTGGCCAGCCGCAGATGCCGCCGAATTTCAACATGATGGCCGTCGCGGGCCAGATGCCTGGGTTCCCAATGACGCCTCAGCAACAGCAGGTGTTTATGCAGCAGCAACAGCAACAGCAACAACAACAGCAGCAGCAGCAGCAACAGCAACAGCAGCAACAGCAGCAACAACAACGTATGCAGCCTCCGCAGCAAGGTCCTGGTGGCATGGGCACACCGCAGCGGCCATTCAATCCCATGCAACAGGGCAGCCCTCTGTCCGGCATGCCCATGTCGCAGCAGCAGCAGATCCAACAGCAGCAGCAACACCAGATGCAGATGCAACAGCAAATGCAGCAGCAGCACAAGCAGCAGCAGCAACTTCAGCATCCTCATCAGCATCCTCAACAGCACCCCCAACATCCTCAACATATGCAGCCCCCTCAGCACCCTCAACATGTCCAAAGTCCGCAACAACAACAACCGCCACAACAACCTCCGACACCATCCCAGCAACACATGCCGACTCCGTCCCCAAAACAATTGCAACACCAGCAGATGCCGCCGCACCAGTCTCCCCACCCTCAACAGATGCATCAACCTCAGCCACCTCACCCACAGCAGCAGCAACAGCAACAGCCCTTCAACACGATGCCGAGCCCCCACGGTCCGCCTAACGCGCAGCACCCGAACGCCCCTCAGCCACCGCTCTCGGCCGGCCTGCCACCCGGTGCATCCACCCCCCAGACACCGACATTCCCGGGCACTGGTGGCCCCGTTGTTAACGGCACTGGCGCCGCACAAGGCCCGCCGCTCAGTCCCGGCAGCGAATCTCGCGAGAAGGAGCTGTTCACCGTCCTGCTGAACATCAACCAAGAACTTCTCTACGAGTCGATCCAGCTACGGAGTACCCAGGTTGCACTGAAGAAGGAGCACGCTGCTGAGGCCGGTGTTGAGGAACAGCCCAGCGAGACGACAGAGCCCGTGTCCGAGGAGGAAAAGCTTGTGCGGGCGGATTACATTCAGTGCGTTCTAGCGTTGCCCCCAGCACTCGTCTCTATACGAAGCAACCACTAACCGTGCACAGATGTATGAAACGTATCCAATCCAACCTGGCGTACCTCGCAAGCTTAGCCGACAGGAAGATGACGGCCAACGCCGCCAAGGGTCCCAGCTTCCTCAGCGCGCCGAGTCTCAGCCTTAACTTCCGTCTTCGCCCGGCACCGCCGCCACCGCCGCCGGCCGGAGCCGATCCTGCCGCGCAGCAGACGGACCATGACCCCAACAGCGACCGCGAGGAGCGGCTCAAGTACATTCGCGAACTCTATGGCAAGCTGCAGAGCTTCTATCCGGGTATCGACTACACACGGGAGCCCGCTTTTGCCACCCAGCCGAACCAGCCGAACCAGCCAAACCAGCCAAACCAGGCTGGCGGAGCTGCCAACAACCGGACTGGGCCGGGTAGCACGCCAGGACCGCACGGCGTCAACCAGGGCAGCCCGCCGATGCACCGCACTCCGCAGATGGGCATGATGCAAGGGCCACCCGGTGCGCAGCAAGGCATACCTATGGCGTAGGGCGGGCCATATTGTGTATTTATGTAGTTGTCTGCCTGCGTGCGCGTGTTTGTGGGTATCTCTCTTGTTTCTGGCGTTGTATGGTATATTTTTGTGTACTTTTTTTGGTACGTTCTTGTTTTGCCGTTGTGTCTCCGTCTGGACAGTTGGTTTATTGTTGTCCATTGAAGAAAGACGAAGGCTTGGTAGTATTATTACAGGTCAATATCTCACGACAGCCCACATTATGGTATGTAGTATTTGGAGTCGTCTCGGAGCCATCCTCGTATGAAAAGAATAGATTCGGCCAATTTGGATATTTTCGTCGGCCTCGCCATGGCATCTACGTACACGTATACGAAAGAGCGTGAGTCTTTTCTCTACATTATTTGTATTCTTTTTATTTTAGTTCGTCGTATTCAGTGTTTGTAGATGCCTGTGGAGGATGCAGCGGCGCTTGCCCCGCTTCCGGCGTGTTGGAGGCTGGTGACTCTTGCCTCCCGTGGAGTCGTTAGAGACTAAAGTCGCGTTGCGGCAAAACGCGCCACTAACAACGGCACTAGCTTCAGGGGTAAGAAATAGAAAGAACGTCACAAAAGAGACACCGTCCCGAACGTTCCTTGTCATACCTTACCACAAAGGTGAACCCAGACAGTCTGGCACTCCGTAGCCCAGCCAAGCCCGCCAGACCCAACGTGGCCCAACCCGCTCCTAGCAGAAGGCTGAACTTCCGAAAGCCACCAACAAGAATGTGCCGTTCCATCCAGGTCGGCCGTCGTAGCGTCTGACAGTACTCCGTCGTATGGAAAATCGAAACGCGCAACAGACAATAGCAGGGTGCTTGATCTGAGCATTCGGGGGTGGCCAGTAAACAGTAAACATCTTGGGTGATAGTTGTGTCCTGTAATGTCTTCGCCGTTTTTTCTTTTTCTTTTTTGCCAGTGGAGGGCCGTATTCTAGCAGCCTGCTCTTTCTAACACGAAAGACAAGAACGATGCGACACACCAGGTCCTGCCTGCATATTTTAGCTTGTTCCTGCATGAATATGGGAAATGGCAGGAAGCCTAAAATCCAATGACAGGCAGGCGCGGCCCAAAAAGCTGGGATAGCAAGGCCAGACCACAACAGCACACATGACCACTACCACACAGAGGACAAGAAAACACCCGTGTATCTTACATGTACGAGAGACCGCTGTCGCCAGGCCTTGGACCAACCGGGCAGGCATACGAAGTAGAGTGAGATCGGCGCGTGAGATGGCCCCTGGAAGTCTTAGCTAGCGGTAGTTTAGTGCTCCGTGGTGGCCGGTGCCTGCATTCCTGTGCATGGTCGTGCCTTCCCTTTTGCCTCTGACTGCTCTGTTTACCCTTCCCACCGCTAAAGGGCCCTTCGCACACCCCTTTTTCTCCTCCCACCCTGCTATTATTGGCCCCCGCTCTGCAGTTCCTCTCCATCGTTAAATGAGCTCTTGCTGCATACAGTAATTATTAGCTCCATTGCGACCAAGGCGGGAACAACCTCACAATCGCTCCTTCCCTGCCCCATCTTGACTATCTCATTTTCTTCGTTGACTGGCCTCCGCTTCTCCTGCTGACCAGGGGTTTGCTCTTTCCTTCTTCGTGGTGCGAATTTCTATTCTCGTGTCCCTCATTGTGACTCTTTGTTGATTGCTTTTGTCTTCACTTTCTTTCGCACCATTCCGCCAGCACTCGAGCCATCGTCTAGTCGCTTTCCGCCGTCTCAGTTTCAGTTCAAGCGGAACACGCATAGAGAACCTCCCCCTTTAAACGTCCTCCCACTTTCCGTACGACACCTTAATACGACTTTGTTAAGCCGCACGACATACTCTTCTCGCCTCCACCGCGTTTATCCAGGCGTCCTAAACGGTGTGGTTGTTTTATTCGATTTGTGGCCCATACGACACAGCCCATACGGTGCACGATACTTTGCTTCACAGCACGACGGCGAACAATCACGATTCGCCGCTGATATCGTTCTCGCCGGGCCGCTTCTGGCCAAATCGGACGTCGACACGCTAGAACCATTTTTGTGTGGAATTTCAGTGCAGCACCGGGGCTTGTCTCCCTGCAACCCGCACGCAGTTCTCTCTCCCTTCTCCCTTCGGCCCTCGATGCACATTGCTGCTCGCGCAGGCTTTTGAGGGGGGGTAAGGGGGACGAAGGCCCTTGAACCAACAAACGCGATTTTTGTACCGGCAACTCGATTAGGGTGAAAAGAACACTCGCGGTTCTTGCAGCTTTTGTATACGACTCGCACGACGACCGACGACCTCACATCCGACGGTCGTGTCGATATGCTCAACATGGATGCCCACACCGCAGCCGGGGAACGGACGTCCACACCAGAAACGAAGCATGACCTGGAGGTGGCCGTTAGGAGCGAACACAGCGTCCCTGATGTCACCCCAGAAGCAGTACAGAAAGTAGAATCGGAAGAACATGAAGAAGAGGAGGCTCCAAACGCCACCGTCGCACAAAACGTGTCTGCCTCCACAGCCTCAGCACCCTCCGACTCGACAGATGCATCGCCAACCGATTCGGACGACACAGACGACGCAGACTCCGCAGACGACACACAGCATGAGCCCGCATCTCCTTTAATACCCGGTAAGCCGGCCGAGGAGCTCGACGACGAGATGGTGACCACAGAAAGCACTTCTGAGGACCATACCGCACACGGTGTTGCTCCTCGGTTGGACGAACACGACTCGTTAGTTACAGTCCGCCTGTCCGAGCCGCCCGTTCTGAGTATCAACACGCACAGCACAGCGTCTGGAGCGTCTACAGGGGCAACGGCCGAGGACGCCAGACCGTCGACACCCACCATGGCACGGAGCCAGAGAGCCACGATGCCCACGGTGGCCGAGAACGAGTCAGACAGCGATGACAGCAGCGAGGACGACGAGGACGTGAACTGGGAGCAGCTTCAGCAAACCGAAAACGAGGAGTCCAATGGACAAAATTCCGATCATGTACGACCATTTCTCTCCTTGGCCTTCTGTCCGTCCTTTTCTGCTAACATTTTGTGTACAGACTGCCATGCTCCTTGCACGACTCGAACAAGAAAACGCAAAGCTCGCGACAAATCCCAAAAGCATCCGCGTTCAAGTGCGTGACAGCGCGCCGCAGTCCCCGCGCCGCGTTCGTCCGGTTTCTGTTGCTCAGCTCCGCGATATGGTCCAGGGGCCTACACCCGCCGCACTACGCTACTCGATGCTGCCTCCACCGCCGATGACCGATCTTGAATTCTACGCGGCCCTCGTCCAGGACTACCACCAGACGGCCGCTCGTCTACCAACATTACTGTCCAATAAGATACGCAAGGGCATCCCACCTCCGTTGCGTGGTGTTGTTTGGCAAGGCATGACCGGTGCGACACGCGACGCGGCGCTGCTCGAGCAATACGAGCGATTCTGTGACGCGACCAGTCCCTATGAGGGCATCATTGGCAAAGATCTCGGCCGCAGCTTCCCCGGTGTAGACATGTTCCGCGAACCCGACGGAGACGGGCAACGCATGCTTGGCCGTGTGCTGAAGAGCTACAGCTTGCACGAGCCGCGCATCGGCTACTGCCAGGGGCTCGCGTTCCTTGTCGGCCCCCTTTTGATGCACATGCCAGACAGAGAGGCTTTCTGTGTACTTGTCAAGTACGTTTCTTTTTCTTTTTTTTTCTCTTTTTTTCGTTGTGTCTATTTAATCGATGATGCGAATTTTGTTTATCGCGTCGTAGGTTGGATTGGGCAGTGTTGGTGTTGGTTAGCTATATGGTCTTACGGTCTTGCGTCGCATTTTGATACTAACGTCTCGTTTTACAGACTCATGGAAAACTACGATCTACGGAGCTCCTACATGCCAGATCTGGCAGGGTTGCACGTCCGAATCTACCAATTCCGCGAGCTGCTGCGCAGCACGTTGCCGGAATTGTCGTCCCATTTGGAAGATTTGCAGGTAGACCCCGCTGCTTATGTTTCACAATGGTTCCTCTCGTTTTTCGCTGTGACGTGCCCCCTGCCCATGCTGTTTCGCATGTACGATGTAGTCTTTGCCGAAGGCGCGGCTGAGACCATTATGCGGGTGGCTCTGTCACTCATGCAGAACAACCAGGCCCGTTTGCTAGCGTGCGCAGAACTTGAAGATGCTATCCAGCTTTTGCTCTCGCGAGGCCTTTGGGACTGTTACCACTACAACGCAGACGAGTTTGTGCTTCATTTCCTCAGTCTATCCAATGTGGTCAGCAGAGACCGGCTGGCTTCGCTTGACCAAGCCTACCGCGAGGCACAGATTGCCAATATCAACAACCAAACCGACGCTAGCAGTAATGCGGACCGTGCTTCGACCATCAGCACTATAGCGTCTCGCTTCTTGGGCCGTCTCTGGACATCCTCGTCTTCTTCCTCATCCACGCCTGTGGCAATAACAGCAGCAGCTGCGGCTGCATCTAACCCGCCGCCTTCAATCGACGAGTCACCCTCTCTCTCCAACTCCACCAACGACCTCGCTTCTACCTCTGGCCTCGCCTCTCCGACCACCGCGTTGTCGCCCCCCAACCAACCGCTGACCCTCAACGCGGGCCTCAGCGCACCGCCGCTGCGACCCTTGAGCTTTCTGCAGCGGAGCTCATCAAAACACAGCATCGCCTCTACTGTCAATTCAATGGAGGCGGCTTCGCCTGCAGCTGGTCCGTCGTCCTCCGCAACCTCCTCCTCCTCTTCCTCTGTCTTGAGCTCTACCTCGACAGACGCGACATCACTCTCGCGCGATTCTTCCTCAGACATCACCGCATCCGCCAAGAATGCATCGACTTCCAACAGTGCCAACAACAAAAACTCGGACAACGACCGTTATCTCCACAGCCAAATCGAAGACCTTCTCACAGCACTCAGCGACTTGCAGCGCCAGCATGCTCTCACCACAGACCAGTTGCAGCGAGAGCGAGAGGAACGCAGCGACGACCAGAAGGCAGTGCAAGCCCTGCTACGTAACCTGCGTGAGAAGAGTACAAAGAAGACGGTAGCTGGGCCCATCAAAAAAGCGCCCGTCACCTTTGGTGTACAGCTGCGTACAACTGAACTAGACGAGACCCCCGCTGCATCCAAAAGCACGACAGCCACGCAATCATCCGATATTGAGCTGTCGATGCCTCAAGATGAGCTTTTCGCGCTTCTCGAGCCGGTGGAGGCCCGCTTCGCTGCAAAGGTCGACAACCGACGGTCGTCGGTGCCGCAGACCAAGTCCCAGCTACGCGACGAGCTCGGGCGCGCAAAGGAACAGCTGGTCAACGAGCTTGCCAAGGGCCAGGACCGCAACCGCCAGGTCAATGAGATGGAGCAAGAGCTGGCGACCATGAAAGACCAACTGCGTGACAGCCATGCGCGTGCTCGTGTGCTGCACCAAGACAAGCAGCGGCTGGAGCGCCAGATCCACGACCTGCGGACGCGGGTGGCCTCCGAGGCTGCCTCTGCCGCGGTCGCAGCTGCTGCCGGTGCGGCGCGCATAACGCACAGCAATGGTGCCGATCTCTCCAGTGGCAGTGGTGCTGAAGGTACGGGTGCCCAAGGAATCGCCGATGCCGCGACGGAATGGTTTGGCCGTGCTACAGGTACTGGTGCCGGTGGCGGTACGCCCAGCAAGGGCGGTGCTTCTGGGGGCCTGCGCGAGCTTAAACTTGGACGCAGCAAGTCCACTCCCACACAGGCTTCCGGGCCCGCTGCAACAGGACCGCCGCCCGCGAGCAACGCATTGTCTATGTTTGGCGGTAACGGCAAGCGTTCGTCGTCACTTATCGTCCGTGGAACCGGACGGCGCGAGTCCGTCTTTGGTGGCGGCATGAGTAGTTACCAGAGCGGCAACGAGGAGAGCATGGAGCAGCAGCAGGATGCTCTTGTCCTGGAGCTTGTCCAGGCCAAGACGTCCGAGGCTGTAGCCCGCCAGGAGGCCGAAGAGGCGAAACAGAAGCTCGAGAGCTTGCGAAAGGCACTGGGCCTGTCGGCAAACGACATGGCATCCATGTTGCACAATGCGAGAAACTCGGGCGGCGGAGCAGCTGCCGCCACTGCAGCCACCGCGGCCAGCACGGCAGCTTCGGCAGCCATGGGCGTGCTGGGGAGGTTGACCACGTCAATGTCGGACAGCAACGCGCACGCAGCCAGCACAAAAGCTGTCGCTGCCACTGCACCCGCCGCGGCACCCGCCACCAACACGACATCGTCGTCCGGCTACGGCTTTTTCGGCTGGAGACGCTAAAGCAACGGCTGTAACGGCCGTTTCTTATTCTTCTTTTCTTGGTTATGTGGCCTGGCTAAGGCAAGGCTACTACTTCTTATTTGGTTTCTTTCTTTTCATCTGTTCTAAATTGGCACATGCACACACAGCATATAGCATTGGTCGGCGCAAATACGTACACACGTATACATTATTGACTGCCTGTCGTCAATAGATACCACCCACGAAGTACATACATACGTGGAATATTTGTCGTTTTTGAACACTCCATCGTTGGAGCCGTACGGCAGAGAAAGTACATAAAATACAATACCTAATAATATACTCTGTCAAACTCGTGTCCTTCCCTACGGAGTCACTGGCTCTCTCATTGTACATTGTACGCAAGACATGCAATCCTTCTGCATCCGGGGAACATGTCTCACGACGACTATCCCAGGACGACTATCCCAGGACAAAAATGCCCGTCTGACAAGTGGCCGGTCTCAGCCGTCGCCCGACAGTCGAAGTGTCGAAATGGTCGCGTGCATTCCAGGCGATGTCTTATCACGCAGAGGCGCTAGTGCTGGCTAGATGCCTGGATCACATGCAAGCTGCCGCCTTAGCTTGAACTGGTTGCGAAAGGAAATGACGACACAGAGCACAGAGTTGTGCAAGCATGAGATGTCGGCTCCTGTACGGCGCAGTACAGTGCAGCGGATACCTCCAAAATTGTTGCTGCAGTCCAGCAGAAGAACGAACCATTGAGCAATCGAACAATACGAATTAGGGGCTGGCGAGACAGACCAGGCCTGGCGGATAAGGCCTGTAATTACAGAATAAAGGCCTGTAAAACATGGTGCTTTCGCTCTGCGTCGCACATTCGGTCCAGGTCTCCCAGCGACCAAAAGCGGGCTCAGCAGCCCCACCCAGGCTTGAGTGATACCCACAGTACAGAAGTAGCGGGTTGTTACTGGCTAGCAACGCCTATCAACCGTCAATCCGGTTGGAAACAAAGGCGAGCGTTTTGCCGTTGCGCTTGTCCTTTCATCTTGTTCTCTCTTTTTTCTCGCTTTTTTTTCCGACCTGTCGCCACCTAGATACCAAGCTAACGCATAGTGGACAGCCAAACTGACAGGCAAGAGACGTCACAGAAAAATGGACAGCCGCACTAGGGGGGCAAGCTGTCGATGAGCTCGGTGGTTCCTTACTGTGCGTATGCCGTAGTCTCCTTCTCGTTATCTTACGAATTACAGCGCCCACCCTCCACCACCCAAAAGCCGGTGACGACGTCAATGTAGCAGTTGCGTAGTTGACATCACCTTTCGCTGCGTAGCTCGTCCCTTCCCTTTCCAGACAAGAGGGCCTGGCCATCTCCAGTCTCTCCTTCCCTGTTCGTGTCTCTGTCTCCCCACCTCCTGCTCGCTTTATTTTATTTTATTTTTCCTCGTCTCCCTCGCTCCTTCTCGCTCTTTCTCTGGATAAAACCTAGTCTTGCAAAAGTAAAATCCTTTTTTCTTCCTCCATACACACTTTCTCCCTCATCATTCTTCCGTCTTCTTGCAACGCTCCCACGCTGTTCTCGATCCTCCGCATCATCAGCGCCACACCCAAGGTCAGTTACCACGCTGTTTGCTTGTTTGCTGTGTTTGCTGCGTTTGCTTTCTTTCCTGTTCTGCACCTACGCTTCTCGTCCCGTATGGGCACGCTGTGGCTTGCTACTCTCACATGCTACCCACCCCCTTTTGCACTTCCACTCTTCCCATGTCTGTCTCTATCCTCCCGCGCATTTTGGCTGTCTCCCTGTCTCCTTCGCGCGCGGTTGTCCCGTGTGACCATTCCGTGTGCCGTGTGCACAACAACACAAACCAGTTGCACCTGGTGCGTCGTCATCACAAGCCCATCGAAAATCGGGTCAGAAAGGCTCCCACAGACAGAAGGCCAGGTCGCCTGAACGCGAGGTCTTGGGCAGGCAGCAGTCGAAGCGCGAGAGAGCTTGCATTTGCTGTCTCGATCTTGTCCTGAGATGTATCTGCTTCCTCGGGGCCAAGGGCAGAAAGCGAAAGACATGTGTTTTCCTATCAGGGGGGGCGGTAGTACGAAGCTCCAGGAGATGCTTTTGGCCACTGTTGCATCATGCAAACCATTTTATTTCCACCCCTAGTCCTACCAAGCTGGGCCCCCTTTTCATTCCCTTTTAATTTTTTCGGCCTTCTGCCTCCTACGATCTCCTTCATTTTGACTTGCATCGCCTGTTTCTGTCTTCTGCTTCTCCTATTTTGCTCTCCCAACTGCACACCAGTGAAACGACGCATTTTCTCCCTTATCCGAACCAACCTGCAGAATACTTCGCCCCTCGCTACGACAGCCCCTCCTGTCTTGCGCAACAGCTAACATTGACCATTTGGGTTTAATGGCACAAGCTTGAAACAACAGAACTACGAACATCCAAGCACATCCAGAGACCCCCTCTCTTGTTCCTCTTCCTCCTCCAAATCATCTACGCGATTCTGCAGACTCGCTGCCCGCTTCCGAAGCTTCCAAACAACCATCCATCGTCGGACTCGATTCTCGACTTTCCTTGTCTCCCACACATCCAAGCACACTCGAAGCTATGGCGGACACAGCCGGTTACTCCACCAACGGTGGCGTCACGAGTTAGGTATGTATCAACCATGCGGTTCAACTTTTGCGCTCATCGCGATGCTGCTTCGGTTCCCAATGCGATGTTAATGGACGATGTGCTAACAAGTCCGGATAGTTGTCCTCCTTTGCAGTTTGAGCCCATTGGTGTTACCTTGATTGTCGTGTACTGATAAAGCTTTCCCTTTTATTAGATGACACTTTTTCAACTGGTACGCAGCGCACATTATTTGACTCATAGGTCCTGCCATATACCAACAGTGCAGCTAACACATTTGTCTCTTTTTCACAGGCCCTATTGCCACCGCCGCCAAGGGCGAGGCTGCAAAGACCTCAAGCGAGTTCAACAAGCTTGCCAACGCCCGCCAGACCCCGTCAACACCCGCGGCCACCGGCCAGCCCCTGACGCACTACCACTCATTCTTTTCCGAGCTTCTGTCGTGGAACAACCCCCGTACGTATATCCAACGGACCCCATAACCGACTGCGGCACATGCAACTTGAGCTTTTCATCTACTAACAGCGCTGGGTAGGCGCCTCCGGAATTGCCTATGCCTCGATCGTGGCTTTTATTTTTGCCGTCAGATACCTTGACGTTATCCGGTGGGGTCTGAGACTGACGTGGATGATTCTCGGCGTCACTGTGGCCGCTGAGACTGCGGGCAAGCTGGTCCTGAACAAGGGCCTTGCCAGCCAGATCCGCCCCCGCACGTATTACACCCTCCCGCGCCAGGCGCTGGACAATGTTCTCGGCGACGTGCACGAGCTGCTCAACTTCTTCGTCATCGAGGCCCAGCGCATCGTGTACGCTGAGAACGTCGCCGTGTCCGCTGCTGCCTGTGTTGCTGCTTTCCTGTCGTACTACCTCGTCAAGATTGTGCCATACTGGGGTCTTGCTCTGATCGGCACTAGCATCCTCTTCATCGCGCCGCTCATCTACAAGACCAACAAGGAGCTTATCGACGCCCAGGTCAAGAATGTGTCTGATCTCGTCGGCGCCCAGACCAGCCAGCTCCGCGATGTTGCGAACAAGCACACCGCCCATGCCACCGAGGTTACGAAGCAGTACATGGGCGACTACACGGCCAAGGCCCAGCAGTTGCTTGGCGGCCGTTCTGCTCCCGTCTCTGTCCCGACGCCCGCTTCCTCCAACTCCGCTCCCACTGCCTCCAAGCCGGCTCCCGCCGACACCAAGGCCGCGCCTTTTGCCTCCAAGTCTGTGCCGGTTGCTAAGCCCGTGACCGTGGTTCCCGCGGTCGTGGCGACTGCCCCGTCTGTCCCCACGACCGAACCCGTGACGAGATACGAGGAGACCGACTTCCCTACTGCTCCCAAGGTGGATCTAAATTCGCAGCCGCCCAAGGTTTCGGCTGAGGAGCCCCTTGTCTCCCTGTAAATGGGGCGGTATAGATGGTTTTCTCTATGACGAGGCCACCTTGGTTGTGACCCGTTTACCACTCACGCTGTTTCCTTTTAGCTCTCCGGGGTTGGGAGGACGGGCGTCCCTTATTTTTAATATTTTCGGCTCCTCCCTTTTTTGTTTTTCCTTCCTTCACATTTTATCGTCGGCTGGCCGCCTCAAACTTTCCGGTTCATGGGCAAATAGACTTCAAACGACGAGGAACCAGCTGTCTTCCTCTCTTTCCTTGACGGAAAAGGGGCCGGGCCAAGCTGTATGACTGACAAATGACCTATGGTGAAATTACTTTGTATTCGGTAGTTTTTGTTGCGTTTATATACAAAGGAAAGGGAAAGGAACAAGGCTGCAAGGAGAGATCGAGTTTGTTCTGCTATTGTTACGTATTCATTTTGCTGTTGGGAGAGAATGCGTTCGAAGGAGCTGGCTGGCTTGCTTTTGCATTTTGCCCTTTGCTCCAACTCTTTTTTGCTTTCTTTCTAGGGCAGGACGGGACGAGTTTTGGTACGTTGTTGGAATGCTTTTGCAAAGATTGTACGAAATATTCGTTTTGCCTTGTTTTGCTACGAACGAGAAATTGCTTTTGATGGAAGTAAAGATATTTTGAATGTCCTCCTATGCGTGCTGGCTTCTTGCCTCTAAGAATGTTGTGATGGCTGTCTTTATGGTACGCTTTGTTCGTCGTTGGCGTCGATGCTCCAACTACCTGTCTCGTTGACGTCATTCGATCCGACAGGTGGAACAACTGCTGGTGTTTTGGCGATTGCGGGGCGGACACCGCTCTTGACACAAGGTGTGAGGCTTTGTGTCCTAAAGTATAGAGAATTGAAAAGGTCTCTTATGCTTATTTCGACTATGAAAATAGCAAATAGTGCCATACCAGGCGCCTTGGACAGTAGGTTCTAGTTAGTATGGAAGCAGGCGTTCCTTTTTTTGTTCTCGGCCTCTACTTGACGAGCCCTTTGATATTATGAAAAAAAGTATGATGAAAACATCTAGTAAATCGCTTTTACATGCCAACGCCCTCTTTTTGTGTGTATTTGATACAGATGATAAGAAATAATAAAAAAACCGAACCGTGCACATGATAAAAGAGGATTGAACAAAATCAAAGAAATGAAGAAAAGTAAAGAAATCGTCACGATCCGGCCACGTTTAATGGTAACTCGACAAGTTGCGACGCAAAAGAGGCCGCTGGTCCCGCTCCTCGTCCGAGTCGTCGACGGTGGCGACATCAACTGCGTCAAGGTCAAGGTCGACCTCGTCGTCGTCAGCATCCGTGTCGTAGGAGCCTTCGTCTTCGACGTCGTAGTCGTCGGCGCCCTCCACTCGGTAGATGAAAAACTGCACAAAAATGCACATGTCGAGGAACAGCGTGCCCAGGCTGCCGGCGAGCCACGACAGGTTCACCAGCAGGTAGCGGCCGTAGCGCGCCCGGGCGTCCTCGGGGGTGCATAGGGCGCGGGTGTGGCCGCTGCAGCCGTCAAAGGCAAAGATGGACAGGACGTAGGTCAGGTTGCCGAGGCAGGCAAACAAGAAGAAGAGCATGCTGACGCCCTCGGTGGACTGGCGGCGCCAGTTGAGCAGCAGCTGGGGCACGCGCGAGCCCAGGTAGAAGACGGCGCAGAGGTAGCCAAAGACCTGGCCCCAAAAGTTGAACGACAGGTCGCTGTCACCATCCGAGCCGTCGGCAGGTGGTACGGCCCCGCCGTTGTCGTCACGCTGGCTGCCACCGCTAAGGTACCAGCCAGCCACACCAGCCGTGCAGACCATGAGCATAGACATGGCGTTGAATACAACCGCCTGGAACGCGCTGGCGCCCTCTGAAGATCTGGTCCCGGCCGCCGTCAACGTCGTCGCCGTTGTCGAGGTATGGGCGGCGTGATCGGCAGTCACATCGAGGCTCCCCAGGTCAGGCACAAACGGCACGGCTGGAGACAAGGTGGACCAGTTGGAGCCACGGCGCTCCTGGTGATGGTGGCCGTGGTGTTGGTGGCCGTGGTCGTTCTCTCCAGTCGTGCCAATTCTTCTGTTCCTATCGGTGTTCTTGGCCAGGAGCGATGTGCGCTCGTCGGGGCGGCCATTTTTGGTGGTGGTCGTGTTGCTGCTGTCGCCAGCAGCATCTACTGATCTCCGCGTCTTCTTGGCGCTCAGCTTCGGTGGCACCACGTCGTCGCGCCAGGTGAATCCGCGGTAGTAGAAGCACTGGCCCAGCAGTACAATGTCGGCAATCGTGTAGTAAACGGCAAGAATGATCTGTGACAGAGACGGATGTTAGCAAACGAAGCAGATAGCCAAACGCTCGAGCGCTGGCGCGTGCCATACCATTGTTGGCAGCACGCCTTGCAGGACGGCGCCCAGGATGTTGAAGACGTCGCCGGCGAGCCAGACGATAATGAATTGCAGAGACAAGCCATCGGCACTGCTACGACGGAAGTTTTCGATAATCTGTGGAGAAAAGACGACGACCCAGCATGCAATCGAGATGGATCTAGACAACAGGGCTGTTAGCAAAGGCGGCCGAAGACGGGCCACACCGACGGGGAAGGGAAGAATAGTCATTTGGTATCACGCACCCGCAAATGCCAGAGATGGCCTCAACGTCGAGGTTGAGCGGTCCCGTGGGAGGAACCATGATGGACAGGAAGGACGCCCAAGGTCACCGCCGTCGTTCGCTTGGCGTTCTCGTTGTTCCCGTCCTGTCTACACAGAGCAGCTTGTCGGAAAGCTACAAGGCGAAAAGAAGGTGAAAAAAAGAAACAGGAAAAGATTCGAAGGATGCACAAGACGACAGTTCCTGCAGCCCAGCAAAACAGTGTGGAACCAAAATGACGTTTTTCACAGTGGGTCGGCTTCTAAAATTTGGATGTCGTAGCGCGTCGGCGGTGTCGGGGAGAACTGAACGAGCCTGATGCTGGTGATGGCGAGACGTTTGACAAAAAAGAAAATGAAGAAGAGGACAGAAGAGAGTGGACGTCAGAAGCGATACCGAGAAGGAGCCTACGACAGAAATTGGCAAGAAGTGAGGGGACACGCGTGGCCGAAAAAAGCTGGCAAAGTGGGAACTTGGGGAAAGAGCTTCCCGAAGCTGACGTCGGACTTGCACCTCTTGTTAATCTGTGACTGGCAGAAAATTTTTGAGCCGAACAAAGACGCAGCAGCATTCGCTTACATTCGGCGAGGAAGGAGCCAAACATAGGGGTGGAGTCTTCACCGCCTTCCATTGCGGGCGTGGGACGTTTATCTGGAGTGCATAAGACAAGACACCAAAGGACGTGACAAAACCGGGGACTTTGACCGTATCAAACAAGCTGCTGTATCACAGTTGTATTCAAGGTAAATCTGAGGAGTATCCAACAAGTCAGAATTGAAAAGAGAAGCCAGGGTAGACGTGAGCGTCTGCTTCTAGAAGCGATTCCAAGTTGCATGCACGTGACCATTAATCGTACTCATTTCTGCCCAAATCGTTTCTCAGTGCTTCAGCAGTTGACGACTCCTCGCCTTGATCTCAGCCGTCAGGGACGGCCTCGGTTGACGTCAACCCCAGCAGCCCCGTGAATACTGAAATTCCGTTGTCTTTGTCCCATCTCTATTGTTGTGTCTGGCTCGCTTGTTTTATTTTTTTTTTTTTTTTTTTTTTTTTTTTTTTTTTTATAATTTTATATTTTCTTGTCCTACTTTATGTCCGGTTTCTCTCTTCATCCTTGCCAACTGTTTTCAAATCTTCCGTCCTCCTCTGCTTTCTTCCCCTCTTTTCTCATATACCCAGACATCGGGGACTTACTCCCACGCGGCTGGCCGTCATCGCTTGCGCTAGGCGGTGGCCCGCCGCACGTCCACAGATTGCGACACTTAAGGCCTCTCCACGTTCTTTCCTTTTTGGGCCACTACGCTGATTTATAATACCGGTCCGGGCAGTTTCTCAGTCCTAAGTCCTCGTCTCTGCTGTCCATTTTGCTGTCCATTTTGAGAGCAATAAGACGCACCGGGCTATCATCGCCGGCCATTTCTTTTTATTTCTTTTTTTTTGTCTACTGCATCGGTTGCTATAAGCCCATCTCCGCTCCTGCTTTCCCCTCTTAGCGCGCCATCGTTCACTATCCCCTCCGAAGCGTAATCCCCCCTCTCTGCTCCTCATCGGAATCCGGGCGACAGGGCTTTGTTATCAGGACAGTTAATTTGCTTCTGATCCTTGTCTCTCAGCGTCTCTCAGCACGGAAGAGAGGCACTGCGCCGAACATCGCTGGCGAACTTGAGCCAAAGGCCGGCACAACTGGGCATCGGGGGTTTTCGTTTCCTTTCCTATCTCCCTTCTCGGATCCGATCGTGACGCAATTTCGGCAGGATTTCAACGAATAAGCTGAAGCACGGGAAAAGAAACTCCGGCAACGCTCCCCTTGTTGATATTGACGCACGATCGCAAAGTTGACCGCATCTCAGTCTACCGAACGCAAAAGCTTTCCCACCTTCCGAGAAGCACCCGGAATACAACGCCTCAACATCCACGTCACGCCACGCACAGTACCACACACCTCTACCACCAGATATGTCGGTTCTCCCTGTTGCCGACCTGCCCGAGTTGCCTCCCGACGACTCAATGCTGTACCGCAAGTTCGGCCGGGAGGTGGCCAACTACTTTTCCGGCAGCCCGCTCAACCGCGTGTCGTTCCTGCGTACCGACCACAAATTCCTCCGTACCGCATTCGCCCACCCCTCGGCCCGCTTCCTGCTCATCGACAACCTCGCGCCGCTGGTCCACGACACCACGCCGCCGCGGCTCGCCTGGAGCACGCGCGCTGAGATTGCGTCGGTCGTCGATGCCGACCCTTTCGAGAAGACCGAGGAGGAGGCCATCAAGGCATACAACTCCGAAAAGGACCCGCTGCCGATCGTGCTGTTCCTGGGCATCGACGAGAAGAACAAGTTTGCCGAGCCCAGCGACCCGGCCGCCGCCCCCACGCCCGAGGCGCCCTTTTCCTTCAACAGCTTCTCCGGCAGCCCGTACTTTGCCGTCGACATTACGCCGCGCGGCGGCACCGCCGACAAGGCGCGTGCCCTGATCGAGGCCTGCAAGGCCAAAGGCTTTTCGTTCTTTGCCAACCCCCGCAGCATGAGCCTGTCGGCCGCAGAAGGTAGGCCCCCTCTCCGTCTCCGTCTTCTCTCGTGTTCGCCGTCCGCTCCCTACCCTCCGCTAACTGTCATAATCAGCGGCCGTGTATGGCCAGGCGCGCGGCCTGTTCGACTGGAACGCGCGCAACCCCTTCTGCGCCGGCTGCGGCCAGCCGACGCTGTCCGTCAATGCCGGCACCAAGCGCACCTGCCCGCCGACCGACTTGGCGGGCGTCGAGCCCGGCGGCGCGCCCAAGGACCGCCGTCCCTGCGAGACACGCAAGGGCGTCTCCAACCTGAGCTTCCCCCGCACGGACCCCACCGTCATCATGGCCACCGTCAGCGCCGACGGCACGCGCATCCTGCTGGGCCGCAGCAAGCGCTTCCCCAAGTACTGGTACAGCACGCTCGCCGGCTTCCTGGAGCCCGGCGAGTCGGTCGAGGAGGCCGTGCGCCGCGAGGTCTGGGAGGAGAGCGGCGTCACGGTCGGCCGCGTGGTGATCCACAGCTCGCAGCCGTGGCCGTTCCCGGCGAACCTGATGATCGGCGCCGTCGGCCAGGCGCTGCCCGGCGAGGGCGAGAAGATCTTCTTGGGCCACGACCCGGAGCTCGAGGACGCCAAGTGGTTCACGATGGACGAGGTGCGCCGGGCGCTACAGTACGATACGGCCAGCCTCGACGACCCGATCCGCACGGGCTACAAGGAGGGCGACCTGCGTCTGCCGCCCAAGACGGCCATTGCCAATCAGCTAATCGCATCGGTGGTCGCGGGTTTCCACGAGCAGCCCAAGATTTGATTGTGCGAGACAAATTGTGAACTGAGGCGTGAGGGGTAGGCTCAAAGACAATAAGAAGAAAATTATCACTGAAATCATGGCACCACATAGAAATAGAATCACAAGAACCTTTTTCTGTCAAACGTTAGTCTTTGCCTTGACTACAGGGCGACAGTGTGGTGTAATTGTGTGTAGCTCCAGGGCTACAGTAAAGATTCAATGAGAAGCTTTGGGAGCTGCAGTTGCAGGCCAGCCAGTCATCCATGGGACGCTGTGCTGCCATTGCCAATTCGGAATCCATGAACTGATATCAACATTGAAAGTTGGCAGCTTCCAAGTCAGCAGTGCACTTCCGTAGCCCACCATCTGCGATGTAGCTCATGGCGGCCCGGTTGCTGCATACTAGCAGTAAGCAATGATGCCGGTAACATGCTGTAAAGCGTGACCTCTAATAAATAGTAGCGCTCACAGTGGTCGTGAACTGAGATCAGCGGATGTTTGTCTGGCAACCTCTCGTATCACTGGCAGTCTAATCTCTCGCGTGAAGCATATCATCTCGCTTGACAGTGAACACGAACCGAGGAACGTCCAGCGCGTTTCTCGGAAGACGCGAAATAGGGGCAAAAGGAGGGGGAAAGCAAAACAAGTGCTGGCGAACACAAGCAAGATTCGTCGTCAGATACGATGTAGTGTGCCGTAAAAGGACTGAAAAGCCACAGTAGATCCCGTTTCAGATTTTCAGGGTCTGTTTTGGCACGGCTCGTCAGCGAACGGCAAGCACTTCCAACGTCCCAAAAGCACGAGGAGGCCGGCATTTTGGGCCCGACAAGGATGTCAAAAGGCCTGAATTGTGTACCCCTTTTCGACATGCGTTCTTTCTTGTTTCGTTCGTCTTTTGTTCTCCGTACTGTGTACGCAGGCCTCCTGCGGCCATCATTCCTTCACGGAAAATTAAGGGTGTTTCTAGAAGACGTGCAGAACGAATCCTTGTCCCCGATCATGCAGGTCGTCGTAGCTGGCAGGAGAGAGGAACACAAGGGGTGGCCAGCAGAGCCAGACGGCCCAGCAAATCATTGCCCTCTGTGACCCCATTGTCGCCTTTGTCTATCTGTTCTGCCTCTTCACCTCTTCACCTGCATGTACAACATACTCAACTGCTCAATGTCCACATCCGTCCATACAAGGAACATCAGCCCAGCTTCAAGCTAGACCGACAAAGCAGGGTCCAATGGCAGATGGCAGAGCCCCCTATCTCGTCCCCGATTTTTTTGTTTGGCGGCCCATTGGTCATTGGATGCTTTTGTCTTGTGCCACCAGCGGGAACAGGCAGCTGCAGAAAGAGGTCACGTCGGCCTTGTGCTCTCTTGTGATCAACCGCAACGGCTAGTCGTGTTGGACGGAGGCGGTGAGTACAGTTGTCAAATAAAACCAGCAAAATTGCACTGTCCTCCGTAGACATGCTGCCTGCAATCGATTCACAATGGCACAGCGCAGGTAGCCGATTGCTTGGCTTGCGCTGTCGAGAGTACATTGTCCTGCGTCCATTCCGGCCGGCGCGAACCATACCGGGAGTGTCGTGCAGGACATAATGTAGGAGGATGTGATACTCGGGGCAGCCTGCTTCATAGTTTGTACTTGTTCTGTCGTCGTTTGAATTTCGCGCGTTCGGTCAGGTTAACGGCGACGTGCTTCTGTGTAAGATACGAAGTACTAACCCTTCCGTGCATCGTATCGCATCGTGTCGCAATCTGCAATCACAGGCTGTGCCCACATGGAATCTCTGTAGGTCGTGGGTTTATGGCGTGGGTGGGGTGGACTTGGTCGACGTGACGGGCAAATTAAACACGAAAATCACAAATTCAACGAAACGAGGAAAACAACAAGAACCGGGTGCACTATGTGCCCCGTGCTTTCCTCATTGACGTACAAGGACCGTGTTTCACCAGGAGAAATTGGTGCCGCCAGCGAAGAAAGCAGGAGCGAACAGGGGCTTTTGATTGGGGAGGGAGTATCACTCGATACTTGGTCCCCAGGGAGAGCAAGTGCAATGGGGTTGCAGACGCCCTGAAGTACGAATAAGGAAAGAGCAAAGGGGGGACGTAGGAGCAAGGGAAGGAAGGAAGGTCATGCTCTCATAGTTTCCTTCTTGATCGCCTTGGATGCGGTGTTCCGTTTTCAAGAAGGAAAGTGCGCCTTGCCGTGTCATTTTGACTCTGGCCAGACTCGTCTCAGTCCGAGAGCGTTGCCAAAGCTTCAACAGCAAAAAGCAGACAGCAAGCGGTGGTGAACGCGGCTTCAAAGCTTGCCGGCTCTATTTTACTACGCCCGAAATGTGTTGGACTTTGGGGCTCGAGGGCAGTAATGCTTTACACTTGGACGTCGTCTCGAGAAACAGCCATGGCAAACCAGGGAAGGAGGCCAGGAAGCAACAAGAGAAGGAGCCACTCTGCGCTTGCCAGCGAATAGAAAGCCAGAATACGTGACATTGTCGTTCTGATAGTGGAGACGTCTCGTTTTCTTCTCTTTCATGAAAATATCATTTCTTGCCGTCTTTCGTCTCCGTCTCTCTCTTTTTCTTTTTTTTTTTTTTTTTTTTTTTTTTTTTTTGGCCTGGGCGCGAGCGGTCTGCAATTTGTCCAATACCAACCAACAGACACCGCCAGCCGACCTTTGCGTACCGTGGACAGCTAATTATTTTGCCTGGTTATGCCCCCAAAACGGCCGCCATATTACTGCGGGCACACAGCCTGCATGCCTGGCACGACGCACCTCAGTGGCCCAGAATATAGAACTTACAACACAGTGCCGCTCCTGCTTAATGCCGTAATGCCTTAGCGCATGCTGCGATAAACTGCAACGGCAGGTCAAGCCGCCAGTGAATCGCTCTTTCCTCGCAGTCTGTCCGTGTCTGATGCATTTGATACTTGGCCCAGTGTCCAAGGCTGCTCCTGTTTTTTTCCCGTATTCTGGCTGCCCTCCACCGTTCCTGCTTTCTTCATCTGTTCTGGTCTTCCTATACGTGCTGCTTCCCTGCAATCACCAGTCCATTTTACCGCACTGTACGACATACAATTCCGTATATGAATGTCTGCTGTAATTTTGACATACACAGTGTAAAGTCCTGGCTCCCCTCCTTCCCCACTTCAATGCCCGGCCTATTGAAGCAAAGAGCCAAGTGGTTAGATAGTGAAAAGGCGCAAAGGCGCAAAAGCGCCAGAAGTGAAAGGCGGAAAGAGGCTAACGTCGACGCCAGCTCCCAATCCAAAGCCTCTGCATCCACCCTCCAGTTCTAGAGTTTCGCCCTACTGCTGCTGCTTCTCCGCCTACCTCTGGCCGCCCGTCCCATCCCTCGCTCTTGCCTTATCCAACCCTCTCTCTTACTTGCCATCCACTCTCCCCATTGTCGTATATCTCCTAATTACCTGCTCCAACCTGCGCATCTCTCGTCTTCCGCGCCTCTCCAGTGCCCATCCAAACCACAACTACACCACTGGATACCACCAAAACGCACGCGCCGACAAACGACGACAATTCCCGACCGGACGCTCGAGGATTCTTACCAGGCGGTTTCTTCCCACCCGTCGACAAGCCAATCCCTTCGACAGCACCAGCATCTCGCCCGCAATCGCTACCTTTGCCAGCTTCGCCATCTTCGTCTCCCCTTCTCCTCTGCTACGCCTCGGTTACATCGCCGCTCTGCTCTTCCCTCTAGGTAGCATTCTCAGTTATCGACAATGGTTGTCGCAACAATCAAGTACGTGTTATCTCTCCGGTCTCTCTGCACACCTGGGTGTAGTATCTCTCTTTTGGGGGCTTCCCGGCCTCTTGTTGGTCCTCCGCTCTCCGCATCGGTCTATCGGACTCGTGTACACCCGATTGCTTCTCCTCTCTGCTCCCCTTTCCGTCCAGCGCGTTCCAATACCTGCTGCGTGCGATTCCTACCGACGACGTCATCTACTGTTCTCGTTGTTCATGGTCATCTGCATCTAACCCCCGAAGACGGCCACCAAAAAGCTGTCCGACACCACGTGGGCTGTGACCAGGCATGCGTGTCTGCATGCGGGAGGGCCACATGCAGGCTGGCATATATCAGCGAATTGGGGAATCTTGGGCGGTGAGAGGCGAACGAAAGACCGTTGGCCGACAGCACGCTTAAGGGTTCTGTCAGCTCGACGCCGGTGCCAAGTCCGATCTGCCAGCCGGTTGTCTGTTGTTGCGTCATATTTTACGACCTTTCTGGTTTCATTTTTATTATGTTGCTTCTCCCAACGTTTATCACCGGCTGACATTCTTTTTTGCGCAGGTGCGTGGTGGTGGGCGACGGTGCCGTCGGCAAGACCTGCCTGCTGATCAGCTACACAACGAACAAATTCCCTTCGGAGTATGTTCCGACTGTGTTTGACAACTATGCCGTCACGGTTATGTGAGTCCATATCCATCTGTGTCTTGGTTTCTTGTCCTCCCAACGAAAGCCGCCTGTCGCTAACAGCGCTCTCTCCCTCCTGCCAGGATCGGCGATGAGCCTTACACTCTCGGTCTGTTCGATACCGCCGGTCAAGAAGATTACGATCGCCTGCGCCCTCTGTCGTACCCGCAGACGGATGTGTTCCTCGTCTGCTTTAGCGTCACATCGCCTGCATCGTTTGAGAACGTCCGCGAGAAGTGGTTCCCCGAGGTGCATCACCACTGCCCCGGCGTGCCGTGCTTGATTGTCGGCACACAGGTCGATCTGCGGGACGACCCGAGCGTACGGGAGAAGCTGTCGAAGCAGAAGATGGCCCCTGTACGGAAGGAGGACGGCGAGCGGATGGCAAAGGACCTTGGTGCGGTCAAGTACGTCGAGTGCAGTGCCCTGACACAGTACAAGCTGAAGGATGTTTTTGACGAGGTATGACTCCTGCTCCTACTCCTTTTTTTTCGCTTGGCCTTTGTCTCGTGCACTACTAACAATTGCAAGGCTATTGTCGCCGCATTGGAGCCGCCCGCACCCAAGAAGAAGTCGCACAAGTGCCTCGTTCTTTAGTTGGACGCGTTTATTTGCTCCTTTTCCAATGTCATACCGCTTCTTATCATTCCTTCTCTCACCGCAGAGCGATTCAGATACCTGCCGTTCTGTGAGATAATTGCTGCTGTCGCTTCGGTTTCTCAGCTCCAGCCTTTCGTGTTCGTACCCATGCTATTTTCTCTGCTCCATTCGATCAAGCTCTGCTTGACACGTACCCCACAGCCATGACCAGAGGCTATGTAACCGAGGAAGCCACATGTGGACCCGGTGACGGCCATGATGTTTGGTCGAGGCGATGACCAGCTTGCGCCTGGGAAGCCTGTGTCCTTGCATGGCACAGGACGTTGGAAAGATGGGAAGAGACTATGGGCGACGGGTAGATCCAATGGCGAGTAACTGCCGGCGTGAAAAGCGTCCGATCATCAATAGAAGGGCACGTCCGACATGGACGAGGTCTTGTTCGCACATCCCTCTCCCTCTTTCTGTTCCGTATCCGATTCGCATTTATCCCCATTTTCGTTTTGCTTCAGGCCATTTCTTTTTTCTTGTTTCGCTTCGCTCTTTTTCTCTTGTCTCGTCCCCGAGATTTCTTCTGTTATAGGACAAAGTTTGGCGATTTGGAGTGCAATTGATTTTTCTACCAGCTATTCAAGATACTTCATGCTTTCGTTTGGTTGGCTTTTGTTTGTCGACGCGAGTACTACTGCCGCTATTTATGCACACGCATGACCATGTGCTCCTCTCAGGACGAGGAAGCATATGCCGTGTATCGGAACGGGCAGCGGCTGTGGCTGTCCTACTTCCCAAAAGCGCCGGCGCGTAGCTTCCGAGTTGCTTGGATTCCAAGTAGCACATGGCAAGTTGAGCGACAGGCGCTGAGGCGGTTGTGCATTCCACATTTAGCGCGATGTTGCCGCATCGCAGCCAGCTGCTGTTGCCGTTTTGGGGGGATAGGGCCACTTGGTGGGTATTGGCGAAACGAGCAGGCAGCTCCCCGTTGCCTTCCCCCCTCAGTTTGCGGGCACTATTCAGTAGCGCTTTCCTTTTTGGGAATGTAGACGCGACTGCCGGATAACGCAAGCACGATGGGTACATCGTCGCCCTTTATCTTTGTCTTCTTGAGGGGTCGTCTTTCTGCCATTTCTGTCTTCTTGTTTGTCATTGGGATCTTTTTACGATTTACAGTTAGGAAGAAAACGGGTGAGCTGCCGAACGCCGGAGACCCCTTTACCTGCTTCTCCCCAGTTTTGGGATATTGGCGGTATATAATCTAAGACCTTGTCAGGTTCCGACATACGAGCTTCTTGTTCTCTGAACGTCAGAATTATTTTGAGCATTTTGTCTTCCTTGGATACCATTTCTGCATCTTGCCATACCTTACAAGCATTCTCAATGCCACCATCAAGCGTCCGCGCATGGGTGCTGGCCATTGTGGCCGCACTCGCTGCTGTGAGCCCAACTGAGGCCTGCGGCCATCACCGTCACGGCCACGACGACACACCATTCTCCAAGGAGTACCTCGACGAGCTTCAACGCAAATGGGGCAGCGAGGTAAGAGGCATAAGACATGGGTAGACCGCACACATGTAGCGGATGTTGCTCACCAAGTATTTTCGTTAGTGGTCCTTTAACGGCATCGGCTCCTTTGGGCACCTCGAATACGCGAAATGCCTCACGAACCCGGAGGAACTCTACGATATTGCAATTATCGGGGCCCCTTTTGACACGGCCGTGTCCTACCGGCCTGGCGCGCGATTTGGGCCCCGTGCCATCCGCCAAGCCTCTAGTCGGCAGACGGCCCTTCGCGGCTTCAACCAGCGAGCAGGCATCAACCCCTACCGCAGCTGGGCGCGCATCCTCGACTGCGGCGACATCCCCATTACGCCCATGGACAACGTGGTGGCTGTGCAGCAGATGTCCGAAGCATTTGTGGAGCTCGGCAAGCGGCCGCCGGCGTCGGCTACGGTCCTGCAGCGACCGAAGCTGATCACGCTGGGCGGTGACCACAGTCTGGCCCTGCCGGCCCTGCGGGCTCTACATGCCGCATATGGGCAGCTGCGGGTGATTCATTTTGATGGTACGTAGCAGGAGCAGAGTCTGTACCACGTGTTCGTGTCCCGTCATCTGACAGTCAGTAGCCCACTTGGATACGTGGCACCCTGACAAGTACCCGTCGGCGTGGCCGTCGGAGCAGTCGCGTTACAACCACGGCTCCATGTTCTGGGTCGCCGGCCAGGAGGGCCTGCTCACGAACGCGACCGGTGCGCCCTCTGTGCACGCCGGCCTGCGCACACGACTCACCGGCGACGACTTTGCCGACTACTACGACGACGACCGGCAGAACTGGGTGCGCCTGAGCGCCGATGATCTGGACGACATGGGCGGCGCCAATGCTGTGCTCGCAGCCATCCTCGCAGCCATTGGCGACAACGACGATCCGGTCTACCTCTCCGTCGACATTGACGTGCTGGACCCGGCGTTTGCGCCCGGCACCGGCACGCCCGAGCCTGGCGGCTGGACCACGCGTGAGTTGATTCGGATCCTGCGGGGACTCGAGGGGCTCAACATTGTGGGTGCGGATGTGGTCGAGGTGGCACCGGCCTACCAGGGCCCCGGCGAGGAGACGGCGCTGGCGGCAGCGCAGGTGGTCTACGAAATCATGAGTTCGATGGTGAAGCGTGGTATGGCAGGCATGGGCAAAGAGGGCCTCGTGTATGAGAAGACGGCGGCAGAGTCTGGGTCGTCTAAGCCGTCCAAGAAGGAGCGCATTGTGGACGAGCTGTGATAGAGACGGGTGTGAAAAGAGACGAGGAAACAGGCCTGGCTTGACAAAAGGGAAAGCGAGAGACGAAGAGTCATCTGTGACAGCGATAAGACCAGCCACTGTACCCACGTATCGTACCAGACGGCATTCGCGACCTCTCCTTGTCTCATCTCCTTATAGGAGGGTATGGGAAAGGCCATGGAGAAAGATAACAACGAGGCTGGAGTCATAAGAATGCCCCAAGAATGGCAACTTTTAACCAACTCGTTGAATTTCAGCTCAAACAATCCGGCAAGGGAATAAGAAAAACCAAATGAGGTCAATTTTACTCTTAATGTGTCGTACATGACCCGCCCTGTCGTTATCGCTCCATAAGACGTTGTATGATCGCGGTGACTCGGTCCCAGGCCCAATCTCAATCTGAAACCGGTCGTTTGCAGTCTCGCTGTCTCCTTCCCACAAAAATAGCTGTGACTCAGAAGCGCAAGCAAAAGGCGACGAGCCAGCCCCGCCCCAATTCTGCGCCTGCGCTGCCCTCATCCAGCGCTGGTTCGCCCTAGCAATATTTTATCTCTGATAACCCCACCACTGGACATCTCTTTTTCTTCCCGCTCTCCTGTCTCATTTTCCCTTTTCTCTCCCCAGACCACGCAACCACGCCCGCGATAGACAATTGGTGCTCAAGTAAGTGTAGGATTGACGACGCTTTTGCTTTGCCTTTTGGCACATACGATTTCCTGACTTTTGTCCCCTCCGGCGCAGAGCAATTGGCAATCTACGAGACAGCAGGTCAACAAACAACACCAGACGAAACAACCCCTGTCCTCCATCTCCCTCCGTCCTACTATGGCATCGGCTCCGGATCCCGCCGTGCGCGTCGACAAGGTGGAGGCACCGCCGGTCTACATCGACACCGATGTCGGCAAGGACGACGAGTCGGCCGACGGCACCGAGGCCAAGCCGTTCAAGTCGCTGGCCCACGCGTACATTCAGAACCTGGACAAGCCTGCAAAGGCGTACCTGATGCGCTCGTCGACGACGACACCAGCCGGTGGTGACGCGGCCGACGAGGCGGCTCGTCTGCAGTGGAAGGCGCCGGCCAAGAGCGCGGCCAAGAAGGCACAGACGCTGCTGGACGGGCACAAGAAGAAGCTGGCGCGGGCCGAGCAGACGCTGGCCAAGGAGGAGGAGCAGAAGCAGCAGCGGGCCAAGAACCTGGAGGCGGCGAAGTCGGTGACCATCAAGGAGGACCCGGCACTGCCCAAGGCGCAGACGATCAAGCTGTGGCAAAAGGACGTGCCGCTGGGCGACCCGGCCACGGGCGTCAAGGGCACGCGGGTGCGCGTGTTTGGGCACATCCACCGGCTGCGCGTGCAGAAACAGGCGACGTTTTTGACGCTCAAGGACGGCTACGGGTTCCTGCAGTGCGTCATTGCGGCGGGCCCGCTGACGTCGACGTACGAGGCGCTGCTGTTTGCGCAGGAGACGTCGCTGTTCTTGTTTGGCGAGCTGCGCACGGTGCCGGCGGGTGCGACGGCGCCCGACGGCCGCGAGCTGCACGTGGACTACTACGAGGTGTACGGACGCGCGCCGGGCGATGCGGAGGCGATTACGAACATTGTGGCATCGGGCCAGCAGGACCCGTGGGAGTCGGACATGCTGGACAAGCGGCACCTGGTGCTGCGCGGCGACAAGGCGTCGGCCGTGATGAAGCTGCGGTCGGTGCTGTACGAGGCGTTTGTTCTCAACTTCAAGGCGCGGCGCATCGCGGCCGTCTCGCCGCCGGCGTTTGTGCAGACGCAGGTCGAGGGCGGCGCGACGCTGTTCCGCGTGCCGTACTACAACGAGGACGCCTACCTGACGCAGTCGTCGCAGCTGTACCTGGAGACGTGCCTGCCGAGCATGGGCGACGTCTACTGCATCGAGAAGTCGTTCCGCGCCGAGAAGTCGCTGACGCGCCGCCACCTGTCCGAGTACACGCACATTGAGGCCGAGCTCGACGCCATTGTCTTTGACGACATGCTGGTGCACATTGAGGACATGATCTGCAGCGTCGTGGACGCGGTGCTGGCGGACCCGGTCGGCAAGGAGCTGGTCGAGCTGCTGCACCCCGGCTTCGTCAAGCCGGCGCGCCCGTTCAAGCGCATGAAGTACACGGACGCCATCGACTGGCTCAACGCGCAAGACCCGCCGGTGCTGAACGAGGAGGGCCAGCCGCACGTGTTTGGCGACGACATTGCCGAGGCGGCCGAGCGCAAGATGGTCGACACGCTCAACGTGCCGGTGCTCCTGACGCACTTCCCCGTCGAGGTCAAGGCGTTCTACATGAAGAAGGACCCCGACGATCCGCGCGTCACCGAGAGCGTCGACGTGCTGATGCCCAACGTGGGCGAGATTGTGGGTGGCTCGATGCGCATGGACGACTACGACGAGCTGATGGCGGCCTTTAAGAACAAGGGCCTCAACCCGGAGCCGTACTACTGGTACCTGGACCAGCGCAAGTACGGCACGAGCCCGCACGGCGGCTACGGTCTGGGCCTGGAGCGCCTGCTGGCCTGGCTTGCCAACCAGCACACCGTCCGCACATGCTCCCTGTACCCGCGCTTCATGGGCCGCGCGAAGCCGTAAAGCGATGGAAGCCGCTGGAGCACGTTGGAGGAGACGACGGGAAGTAGAGACGGCATTGTTGTTTGATAGAAAGAGTTCACGGTGAAAAATGGAAGGGATGGGTGAAAACCGCATGCGAGACTATGAAAAGAATAATGAAATTGATGTAAACGCTGCAATTGGGTATGAGCTCGTTTGTAGCGGAGACGGAGATTGTGAAACGTTTTTGGCCGTGAACGGAGTACTGCAGGCCAAACGTGCTGCATGCATGCCGGTGCGGTTCTCCGTTCTAGATCGTCGTCGCCCAAGCCAAGGGGTGCGTCCTGGTTCCTTCCTCAAACATCGGTCATCCGGGCGACCAGGCCAAAGCGAAGCTCCCCCATGGTTCTTTCCCTCTGGCTGCTGGTGTGCCTGTGCTTTGGTCTTTCCGTCTGTGTACTCGTGGGCCGTCCTTTCCTTTTGTCGACTGCTCTTTTTGTATGTTGTACGATTCGTATTATTTCCTCTTCTCTCGTCTCTCTTCTCCGCTTTTTCCTTTTGGCCCATCCCCCTTATGCACGTTCCTGCATTACGCCAAACGGGCCCTGCAGCAGCCCAGTGGACCATTTGGCTGTGTCTGTTTGGGAAGGTGCAATGCCCTCGCGTGCACCCGTGCGATTCTTCACTCTTTGGACCAGCCATTTGGGCCAGCCATTTGGGCCAGCCATCCATCCGCCCGTTTTCTGATGAAGAAACCTTCTGCCGCTTGTGTTGCCAACCCTTGACCAAACATCGAGAGACAGAGTTGTTTCTGTGCGTGCTACTCTGTACTTTGTATCTTACCCGGAGCTGTGGTGAGCCCCTGAGCACGATACGACGCAAAACAATTTTGAATGAAATATTGTGTGCGCCGTCCTCCGTTGAACAAGGCTACCAAGCATTAGCATACAGCATCTCACAATAAGATTACCTCCGCCCTGAGGACACAAGGCTGGGTTGGGTCTTCCGCCCCTGACTTTTGCGTTGCCCGAGGTGGAGTCGTCTCCCTTACTCATACCTTCAGCCGGGTCCCTTGTTCCTTCTCGCAGACTTTTGACTACAATGTACGTCTGCTGCTCCTCCGGCGCTTCTTTTGGTGTCTGTTTAATGTATGTCGTACCCAGCATGGAGTTGCGAGTCACACGAGTCGCAGCGTCGCAGCCACTGTCGTCGCCGTTGATTTCCAGCCAGGGGAACATGGTGACGGCTCGTCATGCTGTGTGCGACTTTCCACATTGTGGCTTTGATGTTGAAAAAGGGGAAGGGCCCTGAGCCTCAATCGAGTTGGGTCGCACGCGAGGCACAATAATACTCGAGAAGCCGAGGAGGACAGGTACGTCGTAAGAGACGTATCGTATATCACATCGTTTCTCCACTTCCTCTTTTTCTTCTCCGGTTTCTTCAACTTCTTTGGCCAACCTCACCGTCGTCCAACATATCCTTCTTCTGCCAGCTTGGAATCCTCGTCTGCTGGCTGTCACTCATTGCCTTGCCCAAGTCACAATTATTTGTGCCTGGACGAGGTAGTTTGGAGGAGATGGGCCAGACGTTTTACAAAGGACGGCTTGTGAAGGGCGTGCTCTTTCTCTTCAGGGTCTCGCCCAGTCCCGAGAGGAGAGAAGCGGATCCCTGGGCCTTGTCTAGTTATTTTACGGAGCACGCGTGTGGCGAGTGCAGAATACATTCTATTATTAACTCGATTCTCCGGAGAAGCTGGGGAGAAAGAAGGAAAGGGGGAAGCGTGGAAAAAGGCCAGAGCACGCATTCCGGTCTGTTTCCTACCCTGATGCGCATTCGAGATTCGAGATTTGCATTTTCAGTGATCAGCAGATGCGCAGATGCGCCACAATATGGAGATCATAGAATACCCCTTATTAACCTCAGCTCTACGTTAGAAGTCGTGGAAAACATGCTCGACGGTTCCCCAGTCTCGCCATCGCACGCACACTTGTGGCCTTTCCAAACGAAGCTAGAGATTGATAAAAATGCAAATTGGGAAAATAGAGGAAAATAGGGACGCTAAAAGCCCTAAATGACGCCAGGAAATGAGCAGTAAGCCGTCTCGGCGCTGGGTTAACTCCTTCTGCACGAATTCTCAACGGCTCTCTGCCCTTCAAGACACTGACACTCTGACGCTTGGACGATACGGTCCAGGGTTGGAAATCACGACCTGCGCGACTTCATTTTTCGTTTTTTAAGAAGCAGTGACGAGGTGTGCAAATGAGGCTACATATACGAATTACCGCACATTCGGGCATCTGACAATGCATGACCTGGATTTCGACATCTCTGCAGCAGCACTCACATCCGGCCACACGCGCCTATATCTCCACCCTTATATAGATCGTGATATTACCATCGTTGTTAACCGTTTCGAGGCCGCTGTCACTCTTTTCCCTTCTTCTCCTTTTCCTTGACCTCCCATGGGACCCTTCACTCCATTCTCCCACACATGTGCCACGTCTCTATTGGCGCTCGCATTCCGTGTCCTTTTCGACATGTGGTAGAAGGACTTGACCCCAGATGTCGTATCTTACGTCCCGGCTGTGAGGGGGCCGCAATTTATCCCCGTCTTGCCCTCCTGCCCTCCGTCTGAGCAGCACAGGGAACCCACAATGTAAGGCATCATACCAGTAATCTTACATCCGTCGCTGGGCCGTGTGCTTGCTGTCCGCACTGCCACGTCCCAATGCGCCAATGGGACACTGTGCCGAATGCCCCAATGCCATCATGCCTCGTACGTCGACTCTCAACGCCATCGCCAGCCTTACCAATGCCCGCTCGGAAGCAGCAGAAATATCCTGGAAATTCTTAGTGTCCTCAGTAACAAAGACGCCAGCGGGATCTGGCAAACAAAGACAGGAACTAGCCCGCTAGCGCAATCCACACGCCAGGCACCTCTTGTCCATTGGCTGAACACGCGTTCGAACAGTCAGGGCAGGTAGGGAATAGTTGCACAGTTACAGTGCATGAGCCGCTTTCGTAGAAAAAGAGGCATTGCCTGATGGTCGGAGGTCAATTGCTCTCTCCAAAGTCACCAGTCGGCACACGGTGCCTGTCATCGGTCGTCCACACGATCCAAGTCATCGTAGACTGTGCTAGTCAGTGAGAAGATGCCTTTGCTCATCGGGTGTGGCTTCGTCGACGGTATCTATGCCTTCTTCGTTCACTGTGGCTCATGGTCACGCTTTCTGCTTCACATATTGTGTCCGTCGTTCCTGCCGTGCATCGTCGGCACGTTCTCTGCGTCCTCTCCATGTTTGCCTCTGTCGGGCGCACCTTCTCCATTCGTCCTTTTTGACCGCATTGCATATCTTTTACAGTGCCATGCATCCCTTCTTACCTTCCTGCTTACTGCCACCTTCTGTACTTTGGGTGCTTCGAGCCTTCCCTTCTTGATGGGTCCGGCCAGGGCTCTTTCCCACCTTAGAAAGCCAGCACCGATTTCCCCTGAACGGGCCTCATTAAACTTAGCGCGCCCCAATTAAATGTCTCCTGTCCGCTTTGGGCAATCGACAAGCGACCAACGGGAACATCACCCCCCCTTTTCCACAATCCACCTAGCCTCTCCCCTGTTTCTCATTCTCTCTCTCTCACCTCTCTGCACCATTCTGCGTCCTTCACTCTAACCTTTTCCCTCCTTTGCCCCTACGATCCTCTTCTTCGCCGCCTCCACCTTCTCCTTCTCTACCCTCAGTCTGGTCTGTCGACTCCTTTCTTCTTCGTCTCTCGCTTTTCTTCATTCTTTCGTTCACACTCTTTTCCCCGTTTCCTCACCTCTTCACTCTCTCTTTTTCGATCTCGTTTTCGTTCCTCGGCCTCTCTTCTCTACTTGTCTTCTTTCTTGGTCATCCACATCTTTCTTCGTGGTACGACTTTCATTCTTCAAACGGCTCTTTTGCCAGCTTTTGCTTCTTCGTTTCTTTTTCTTCTTCCTTTCGTCACTGCTCGTTTATTATCCCTTTTAAATTCGACCTCACTCGTTTGTTTGCCTTCGCTTGGTTTCCGTTCGACTGAGCTTGGGATCTCGTATTCTTATTTTGCTTCGGTACTTCTCGCCATCTCCTTCAAGAATAGCAGTTTTGCACCAAGCTCGATACACACTTTGCAGACATTTTCTTCGTTCACAACATCTCGCTCGCTCGCCGTGTTCTGTTCTGTCGCCTACAATCTCTTACTTATTTGTTTGTTCTCTACCGCCGAAAACAACCCAAAGTCTTTGGCTTTTGCTCTGGTCATTATCGACAACCATCACAGCCAGCCCGTTTATAATTTTTTTCTTGGATACATTCTGTCTTCCCGAAACGACCTTCCAGCTTCGAATCCTTCGACCTCGACCAACTCGTCTCGACGACAAATGATCAGCTTTTTGTTCCTCGATACCCCATAATTCTACGCTTCAATTCTTGGCTCGCCTGGTTTACCTACGTCCCTTTTCTTCCCATTTCAAGAAGCCCGTGTGTTTCCCGAATCGACAAACGGCTTTCTAGACGCCGACGTGTTTAGGTTCCGACCTCTTTCTGTCTCGACCACCTTCTTCTCCCCTATATCCTCGCTTCGACTTCGCGCTCACCTGTCTTCGACCTCCCGCCCCGAACCACTTCCGTGCCCGGTTTCAGGGTACGAATCATCAGTCAAAACGGCGGTCCTATCTCACGTTTCTCGGGACGGCCTTGTCCCCCCTCATCTGCTCGGGATGCAGGACATGAACGCCCCTGTCAGCCAGCCTGGCCCCAACGGCGGCCGCTTCGGTCACGCCTCCAAGCCCTCCAACAGCGATACCGGTTTCTCCCACGGTGCCTTCACCTCCAACATCAGCGGCTTCGGTGACCGCCACCCGCGTCGTGCGAACATTCCCAGCATCAACACCCAGTCCATGAACCAGCCCCCTCCTCCGACCACCACCGCCGCGGCGCCCGACATGACCACCCCAGGCACCGCCTTCGACATGCAGTTCACATCTCTTCTTCCGTCCCAGCTGCTTCTTGGCAGCCCTTTTCAACCGGGTACCCCGGCTGCCTTTGCCACTTCCCAGTTCCAGGGCCAGATCGGCTACCAGCAGGCCCAGCAGCTCCAGCAGGCACAGCTTCAGGCCCAACAGCAGCAGCAGCAGCAGCAGGCCAATGGCCAACTTAACGTCCAGGCGAATGGACAACAGAGCCCTGACCAGCAGAACATGTCGCCCCAGGCCTACCAGACGATCGTTTCACCCTCGACCTACGGCGCGCCCCAGTTCTACTCGCCCCAATCGCCCAGCGGTGCGTTCAACAACGTGGGCGGCCAGATCCAGGTCCCCATGCAGGCCGCGTCGCCAGTGGGTCTGTCGCCTGGCGTCGTGAGCGGCACCAGCCGCACTGTCTACCTGGGCAACATCCCCGCCGACACACCCGCCGACGAGCTTCTGAGCCACGTCCGCAGTGGCCAGATCGAGTCCGTCCGCATGCTGCCTGACAAGAACTGCGCCTTCATCTCCTTCCTCGACGCAAGCTCCGCCACCCACTTCCACTCTGATGCCATCTTGAAAAAGCTCTGCATCAAGGGTCAGGATGTCAAGGTTGGCTGGGGCAAGCCGTCCCAGGTTCCCACGTCTGTGGCGCTGGCTGTCCAGCAGTCGGGCGCCTCGCGCAATGTGTACCTGGGCAATCTGCCTGAAGAGATCACGGAGGATGAGCTGCGCGAGGACCTGGGCAAGTTTGGTGCCATTGACACCATCAAACTCGTCCGCGAGAAGAACATTGCTTTCATCCACTTCTTGTCCATCTCCAACGCCATCAAGGCTGTCACCCAGCTGCCCCAAGAGCCTAACTGGCAGTCTCCGCGCCGTGTCTACTACGGCAAGGACCGCTGCGCCTACGTGTCCAAGACGCAGCAGCAGAATGCCGCTCAGTACCTCGGCATTGCCCCTGGATATGCCAATATGCTGACCGGCGCCGACCGCGACATCATCTCCAACGCCCTGGCGCAGCAGTCTGTGGCTGCTGCTGCGGTTGCCACTACTGCCGGTGGCATCAGTAACCTCGGCAACCGCACCATCTACCTGGGCAACATTCATCCCGAGACCACAATTGAGGAGATTTGCAACGTCGTTCGCGGTGGCCTGTTGCACCACGTCCGCTACATCCCTGACAAGCACATTTGCTTTGTCACCTTCATCGACCCGACCGCAGCCGCCTCGTTTTATGCCCTAAGCAACCTGCAGGGTCTCATGATCCACAACCGCCGCCTCAAGATCGGCTGGGGCAAGCACTCGGGTGCTCTGCCGCCGGCCATTGCCCTGGCCGTGAGCGGCGGCGCGTCGCGCAATGTGTATATTGGCAATCTCGATGAGACGTGGACTGAGGAGCGCCTGCGCCAGGATTTCGCCGATTTTGGTGAGATTGAGCTGGTCAATACGCTCCGTGAGAAGAGCTGTGCGTTTGTCAACTTTACCAACATTGCCAATGCCATCAAGGCCATCGAGGCCATTCGCAGCAAGGAGGAGTACAAAAAGTTCAAGGTCAATTTCGGTAAGGACCGTTGCGGCAATGCGCCGCGTCAGCTCCAACCCGGCAACGGCAACAACGCCAACTCCCAGTCCCCACACAACGAGGCCGGCCGCATCGCGTCGCCTCCGCCCAACGGCTCGACCAGCCAAAACAGCGGCTCGCCGACCAACACCACGTCGCCTGGCAACAACCCCAACCAGCCGGCCGTCACTCTCTTCAGCTCGACCAACAACGCTCTGACCATGTACCTTAGCCACGTCTCGCAGCAGGCCGCGCAGCAGCAGCAGCAGCAGCACCAGGTGCTCGTTGCCCAGCAGGCCGCGCTCTTTGGCACCGCCGCCTCGCCCTCGAGCGAGCTGACCATTGAGGTGCCCCAGGGTCCCATTATTTCTGGCCACCAGCAGTCGGCCAGCATGTCCAACGGCTACGCCAACGGCGGCAATGCTACGACGACCAACGGCACGACCACGATTGGCGGTCTATTGGCGCCCGGCAACCCGCGCGGCCAGCACAACCGCGCCGTGAGCCTTCCTGTTCTGGCCCCTGGCTTTGAAAACGGCGGCACCAGCCCCAACAGCGTTCCCGGCGGCGCCAATGGCGGCGCCAATGAGGGCGAGCGCCGGGGCCACCAGTACCAGGCCAGCTTTGGCGGTATGGGCGCCGGCTTCGGTCTGGCCATCCAGAGCGGCCTGAATGGTTGGGTGGAGGAGGAGGTTGCCAACTAAACGAGAGGTGTACGCGTTTGCATTGTGGGTTAGCTGTGGGCTTTTGTTAGGTGTATAGTGCATTTTTTGGACACGGTAGTGGAGAGCCAAAACGAGTCGAAGCTGTGAACGGCAACGCAGATTGTTTTAGCTGTTGTAATTGCCCCATCTTTTGGATATGTTTCCCCCTATCTTCTGCCTATCTACTATCATTACTTGTTATATTTACTGTTTCGGCTACTTTCATTTCTTGTTCCTATTCATTTTGAACTTTGGCTGTTGTTTTTCTTCGTTTCCTTTGCATCTCCTCAGTCACTTCACTTGTTCTTTTTTGGTTTCTCTACTTTATTTTCGCTATTTGCGCGTCTTGCCTTTGTCTGGCTTGGAAGGCCTCTTGCGTTTACGATCTTCTGTCCCAATCTTTCGCAGTAACAAAATACCAATAATTCCAGGTATGCTTGTACCATGTGTATCTTATACGGACAGGAACCTGTCAAATTTAAACAACTCATTTTTCGTTTATGACAAATCAAAAAGTGTCTTACTTCGTGCAATTGCGTCCCCGCAGGTCGAGAAGGCTAAACTATATAACAAAAGCCGGCAGAAGAAGTATGGAAGACAACCAAGACCATGCTGAATAAAACGGCAATAAGGGTATCGCCTCCAAATGCGTACGCTGACATGTACATGCTATGTTTTGTATGTGGCCGCGCCCAGACGCCAGAAGATATGCCAAATAGATGTGTGATGTGTGGTCCTCTCACGAGGCCAGATGTTGTGCAACCCCAAATCAGGTCGCTATTGTACAGATCGTGATAATAAATAATTTGTGGGAAGAGGGGACTCAGTGGCAGGTCGTCCCCCTCCTCCCTGTTGTCGTTCCTGTCGTAAGGGCCATGCAAAATGCAAAATGCAAAACTGCAACACCGGCCGAAGTAAACCCAGCTGAACGCCATCCCAATGCCATGTCAGTCCCTTCGCCGAGGGGGGGTATCATGATAAATCCAGCCGCTGGTGCAAATCAAAACCCAATGCAGGGAAGAAACAAGAAAACACCAATCTCCAAACAATCAAAAAGACACACCAGTATAGGCCAAACAATAGAAATCGAAAAAGAAAAAGACAAGAACAGGACAGAGCAAGCCAGAGCCAAAGCCAAAGCCACAAGACAAAGCAGATACGCCAGACAGCGCAAGCACAAGCGCCAAAGTAAATCTCAATCAAGCCACCCAAAAACAAGACACATGCGTGTTTTCCTCCCCTCGTTCCCCTTCAGCGCCTCCTCCCCCCACGAGCACTACCTGGGTTACAAGCCCCTTAGCAGAAGACTCTAGGGCCTCCGCCGCCAAGGTTTGAAGGCACCACGGCTCTCCTCACTGATTAACAGTGAGAAGAGACGCCGCACCAGATAGTGCTCGTTCCAGATTCGGCCGGCCCGGAGCGCAAAGACGTCGACCACGTCGAGATGCCAACTCTTAATCAGCATCGCAATGCGGTCAGTGTGCACCACTTTGTGGAGCAAATCGGCTGACGCCTTTGTTGCCCGCTCTGGGACCGGCCATTCCGGATGCTTGCGGACGTTCCTCAGGTGTGCCAGCAGATGGTTCGACACGAAGTCGGCCTTGCCCTCGCGCCGGTAGGTCTGGAGCACGTTGTTGAGCTCCACCCAATCCCCGAGCTGCCAAGCTCGACCCGGTGAAGATACGTTCTTTGCGGGTGCTTCCCAAGGGGCGTACACGATGGCGTTTGAGGGAAAGAAAAACCCCTCGCCCGCCACCGCTGCAGCCGCCGAGGTCTGCGGGACTGGATGGTAGGGCCGGGTTACGCTGATCTGGTGGGTGTCTGCGAGCATGATGTCGGACACCGTCCGGTCAACAACGTAACCCCGGCCTTGGCTTTCCTGCTGTGAAACCTCCTTACGGTCCCACATGCGGACGTCTCCATCCTCACCGACCCGTTCGATGTTGGCTTCCGTTGCGGGGCGTTCGGTGAGGACCGGCGAGGGAAGGCGATTACCTGTGTCGAGCTGAAAGTGCTCAGCAAATTCTAGGTCGGTTGCGTCTAGACTCTCCCGTACCGCTGCAATTTCCTTGCTCGCGCCGGCCATCGTGCTGCTTGTAAACTCAACAACGCGGCCCGGTGTTTTTGGCTTTGTCGTTGGCCGCAAGCACGACTTGGTCGGTGATGCGGACTTTGCCGGCAGCGGCTTTAGCAATGGTGTCACGAACGAGGACTCTTCTTCCTGCTCCTCCTCATTTACCCCTGACTGCTCCTGTGAAAGGTAGCTGTCATCACCTCCTAAGCTCTGGGGAGACTGTTCGACATCGTCGCTTTGGGCGTCAGTCTGTGGGGTGAACGAGGTACGGGGTCCGTCGTTGAAGCTCGCAGGTTGGGCTCCGGCCTGTGTGTCCTTGGCTACCTCCTGGGTACTACTTTCCTGTTGTTGGCTGGCCGAGCGGCCCCATCGCACTGGCTCATTCTGCGCCGCCGTCGGCTTGACCGGTTGGGGTGCAGGCTTTTTTGGCGTGATGAACTGCAGCGAGCTGTTGCGTTCTGTGCGTGGTGGGCGGGCAAGGCTCGGGTGAGCCAAGCTCGGTCGACTGAACATAAACCGTTTCCGGGGCACCTCGGAAGACATGAGAGCCACCAGCTCTTGGTTGACGGGTGCAGGTAAGCCTGGTGGCGAAATTTCAGGCGACCCGACAGGTGATGCGACAGGAGAGTCGACGAGTGGCCGTGAGTGGCGAGATTCCGAGGCAGGGGGCTGGTTTTCTTTGGAACCAGACGCCGTCTCTAGGGATTGGCGGTCGGCGGCAAGTTGGTCGGCGGTGGTAGCAGAAGCAACAGGGGGGGAAGATGCCGAGGCAACACTGGATGTTTTGGCCGTGAACGTAGTACTGGCCTTGAAGTTTTCCAAGAAACGCCTGCGAATTTCACTAGGATTCGCAGGAAGTCGTTCAAGGGCATCCTCGTCTTCAATGATGCGGTCACCTTCAGCAGGCGGGCTTCCTCTAGACGAACGGCTGCGTCCGCTGCCGAGCTGCAGCTGCCGGGAGTCAGCAGAAGCAGGAGTAGTAGGTGACGCCTTCTTGTTGGACGTCATAGGATTGGTGGGAGGCAGTGCGCCGAGCGCATCTGCCTCCGGGGTAGATGTAGCGGCCTCGGAAATGGGCTCGCTAGGAGGATTCGTAGCAGCCAGCTCTCCAATGGAATCTGACTGCTCGTTGAGGTCTGGCTCAGAAGAGGAGACAAAGGAGCGATTGGCTGTTCGAGGAGCTACTAGGTGGCTCTGCTTCTGCTTCTGTACGGTTGCGGACTGGGGCAGGGCCTCGCGTTCCTCACGCCGGCGCTCGTGCTCAAGGAACTGCTCCATAGCTTGGCGGCGGCTCTCCTCATTGTACTGGATGTTCTTCTTCGACGTAGGCGGCAATTGGCGTGGCAGGGCGACCGGGGACGAGAAGAAGTCATCGAGATTGAAGCGACCGGCCGGACGAGGTGAGTTTTTAACTGAAGACGATGGGCCTTGGAGCTCGTCTGCCTCCTCATTTTCGACACTGTCCTCCTCGACAAGAGACTTCTCGCGGTCAGGGTCATAACCGAGCGGCGTTGGGGCAGGCCATTGCTTCCGTGCAGCACGTCTTGCTTCCTGTCCTTGGATGCGAGTGACCCTAGGATCCCGCATCGGCGAACTTTCAGCATTTGGAGCAGATCGTTCAGTAGAGCGAGGAACAACGATGGGTTGATGCTGCTGCAACTTCGTCGTGGCAAATCGAGTCGTACGCTCTGCCTCAATGGCCCAAATGTCGACGTCGTCGTCGAAATGTTCCGACGGATACGCTTCCACAGGGATCTGGTCCTGCTCGCCAGGAATCGGCTTATTAACGGTTGTCATACTGAAGGTATCCATGCCCACGTCGTCTTCGTCTTGCACGTCCCGCTCGCTTTGGGCGGATTGCCTGTCAGGCTCAATCTCAGTTATGGCATGAACATCTTGACCCTCGCCACTGATATCGTTGATCATCGACATTATAGCATCGGAACCGTACTGGGTCGAGTTAGCTTCGCTGGTCAGAAGGGTCGCCTTGGGTCTGCTCTCAGACGTGGTGTTGATATCGGGAAGCGCGGCGGTGTTAACAACCATGTTGTCCTCGGCGCCAACATCAGCTTCAGCCAAGGAGACGATATTAACGTTCATGTTGTCCTCAGCATCAACTGCGGCCTCGTTGCCAGGACTGATCTCAATATCCTCAGAATTTGCTTCGACTTGGGCATCGGCCTCGGTATCGGCACTGGTCTCAGTCTCGCGGTGGTGGTTATCATTGCGCGGCGTCCGAGAGATCAGCTTCGTAGCAAAACCAGTAATCGAGCCGGCGACGCTATTCTCCCTAAAAATGTAGGACCGCCAGGATCGGTTCGTGTCGCTGCCAGAGCCAGGTTGCACGTTGTTAGCACGGGCCGGGGTCTGCATGCGCAGGCGCTTGACGCTGCGCGGGCCGGGCTGAGCAGAGCTGCTGGGCTGAGCATCGAGTTCTGCCTCGGATGCAGTACGCTTCTGTGGAGACGCTGGCGCAGGCCGGGCTGCCGGAGTTGGTGAGGCACCTTGAGCACCACCGGGGGTCGAAGGTGGGAGAGAGGCTGGAGAGCCAGAATCGGGAGCAGAAATTGACAGACGGGGCGAGATGACCTGTGCGCCGTTCAAGACGAGGTTCTTGAATCCAGAAAAGGGTGCCTTGGCCATGTTCCATGCAGCTCTTGGCATGGAGGCTGGAGATTGCTGGGTCGTAGTGGCGGCTGGATGCGACTGTTGTGACGGGGTAATCACCTGGGGGTCCTCATTGGGCTCCTCGTCAGCCACTTCCTCGTACTCGCTTTCTTCGTCTTGATCGTCTTCTTCATTAATGGCATCCCCAGTGTTGTCATCCTCGACGTTGTCATCTTCAGCATCGGTAGGGCTTATAACGTCCGTAGCGTCCGTGTGAAGAGTAGCTTGTTCCGCATGGCCAGCAACTTCATCATCCTCCTCACTTCCTTGCTCGCGGAGAAGCTGGTCCTGAATAGGGCCCTCGTCAGAAGCAGGCTGAGGACTGCTAGAGTCATGGCCTTGGGCTGCCGCGGGCGACTGGGTGTCTCTAGCAACTGAGCTGCGGAAGGGACTGCGCAAAAAGCCTTCATTCTCCTTGGGCGTTGGTGGGTCGGAAGTGACACTCTGCAGAGCACGACCTGCGCGAACAATGGGGGAAAGACTGGGACGGAAGCCTTCAGAGGGGACACGCAGGTAATCGTTCTGGTCAGCAGTGACGGGGTAGCGCGGCGACTGGAACGCCACGGGAGTTGTTCGGATCTCGTGCAAGAGGCGTGGACGCTGGGCAGCTTGCTCAGAGATAGCAGCGTGCTGGGCACGAGCGAAGTGAATGGGGGGCGACGAGGTAATTTCTGCTTCCACGTCCGGCTGGCTATGTGCGGCTTGATCGTCATCCTCAGCTGCGGCGTCAACGGGGCTGCTTTGGCCTTCATGGTGCGGCTCGACGGCTTCGACGTTGGCGTTAGCACGGGCACTGCCCATGGCAAACTGTCCAGTGAGCTCAGCTTGGTGCCGAGAGAAGAAAGGAGTGGTCGTCGTAGTGGTCTGTGGGACCGCCGCTTCAAGCACAGAGTCTGGAATCTCCGAAAAGGAGTCGTCATACTCCTGGTTGTTGAACTGCTGCTGGGGTTCTGGACTGGCCGGGTTGGGGGCTTTATCAACAGAAGCAACAACACGAGGAGTAGCGGATGAGCCATGTGCGTCAAGGAGCGACTTCCGCGCAATGACCTCCCGCAGAGGCTCGTCCTTCTTGCGGGGAGAATTGGACTTTGCCTCGGGCGAAGATTGTTGCACAGTCGCATTCTCTCTTGTGCGAGTTGAGAGGGTCGCGCTCTGCGTGATCTGGGACGACTTTGTGGCGGACGCGAGGACAGAGGCAGGAGCGGGGGAGTCGGACTGATAGATGAAGTCCAGGTAGCTGAGCCCATCGTTGTCGTGGGCCTCAGTGGGCTGGTTGCCTTGGCGGACGGATTGGAGCGAGCGGTTGACAATGCGGCTGGTCATCTCACCCATTGCGGGCATTTCATCGTTGGACGTACGGAAGCTAGTTTGCAGCGACTCGACGCCAATCATGCTGAAGTCCTCACCCTGGGCAATGGTGTCCATGTCGCGAACGTTGGGAGCAGCACCTGTCAATTCAGACTCGGCGTCCGAATCAGCTTCGTTGCCATGCGTACTTCCAAGGAGGACAGCGTCGACGTCTTCACCGTCGCTATCGGGGGCGGTCACATCGCTCTGTGCCAGCTGGGCATCACGGAGGATAGAGGCCTCGTGAACGAAGGGTGATTCCGCGCTGGAGAAGAGCATCCTGTCATCGGGATGTGCCTGATCACTACGACTATGTTGCGAATCTGGGCTGCGCGAAGGGAGATCTGTGTCCGGCGTTAGTGAGTTTACATGAGATTTGGGAGAGTATTGGAAGCGGGGACTGAGCTTTTCGTCTTACCATTCTTGCGGTTGCCCGTAACTAAGGCGTCATCTTGGACGCGTTCGGCAGCGGCGGGGGCTATGCTGGCCTCAGCAGCTTGTTCTTCTTCCGGTAGGGCACCAGTGTACATGATATTGGGGATGGTTAAAGTAGGCGCCTCCATCATGGGAGACGACAGTGTGTCTGGAGTGATGAGAACACGAGCTTGGGCGACTTGGGGTGTGGCAGTGTGGAGGTCCTCACTGTAGACCGGCGCGTCGATGGTACTCTCAATGGCATCACTATGGGAGACAATTGGAGGAGCAAGCTCATCCTCAGAGTCACCTTGGTTAGAGGCGGCAGCCTGGTCAATGATGTCTTCACCGGGTTGGTCTGTGACATCGGCGGTCTCCACAAGGGTAACAGTTGCGCTGTGCGCTGTGTGAGTGGTCTGCAGCTCTTCATCATGAACACCGCGTGCGACAGGGGCAGGTGACGTGGCATTGATAGAAGCAGTCTCCACGGCGTTATCGCTGTGATCAAAAGTTTCAGGGATATCATAGTTTCCGAATCCGTTTTCGCTAAAGTAGTCATCGGCAGACGGTGCTCCATAGGCAAAGTCCTCACCAGAATCCTCGTCGGCAGCAGCGGTGGCATCAGCAGTATCATCAGCATCGGCAGACGTTCGCTCGAGGTCGTCCCCACCATGCTTCCCTTCGTCGTCAACGATGCTGGCGGGCTCGGTGTCAAAAGTGGGCCGGGCAGGCGTCTGGACGCTGATCAGGTCGACGGACGAGAGAGTAGTCGGCGCGGGAGAGACAGCCACCCGCATTCTGCGAATCGTGTTGGGGGTCGGGGCATGGAAGGGATGCGCAGTGATTGCATCGGAGTCGTCCATAATAGGGTCCGGGGAGGCCGATGCAGTTCCATCTGCGAAAACGCCAAGTTCCGCTTGCTTCTGGGGTTCTTCAGTCCGTGGCCCGTTGGGCGGCTGCGTGGCCAATCGTTCCTCCTGCAGTTGCTCCTCGAGCACATTCTCTGCTATAGCAGCCATCTCGTCAGGGACCATAGCCTTGCGAGGGCGGCCACGGCCACGCTTGGTGGGACGGGATTCCGAGGCAGACTCTCCTTCGCTTCCGGGGAAAGCCGAGCTAGCAGTACGTTTGGGTGTGCGCTTAGGAGTGCTCTTAGGGGCGCTCATGGGGGTAGCCTTCGGGGTGGCCTTGGGGGTGGCGGTCTTGCGTGTGGCTCTGGGCGTGCGCTTGGCCGGGCTGGACAAGGCGGGTGTAGCTTCGACGGATGCAAGCTCATCGCCTGTCGTCTCTTCTGCCTTGGGCGTCGCGGCTCTTGGTTTGCGACCACGCTTCAAGGGCGACGAGGCAACCTTGGCAGCAGAAGCAGAAGTCGCAGTTATGGGGCTGGACGGCTCAACGATTGTGGTCAGGGGCTTCGGCGTTCCGGAGCGACGGGGTCGGCCACGCTTGGGCTTGGGGGTAGCGGCAATGCCAGTCGTCTCGGAAGCATCCTCGCCTTCGTCGTCGGAGAGGCCGCGCAGGGGCACTTTAGTGGTCATCGTGGTCGACAATCGAGGCTTCCGGCGGGTGGCAGAGGTCTTTGTAGGCGAGCCCTTGGAGGGAGAGGAGCCGCGCTGGCGGCGACGCGATGAAGAGGCCGGTGCGGCGGCGGATGAGGTTTTGAGAGGAAGGGAGGGGACGGGCGTCGAAGCAGGGAAGAGACGGCGGCTAACCTTCCCCTCGTCAAAATCGGCAATGTCGGGAATGTCGTCGGCGAGGCTGTCTTGGCCGTCGATACCGTCAGCAGCATTGTCCTCGGTCTCGACCGTGACGCGAATCTTTTGGGGCGAGACATTGCTGCCCACATCCAGGTGGAAGGTCTGCTTGCGTGGCGAAGAGAACCGCGACGGGTGCATGCGGTTGTGAGGATCCAGAGAGTACATGCTGTTCGAGCGTTGGCTGCGCGTGATAGGCCGGCTTGCGGACGAGAGAATGGGAAGTGTTGCAGCATCGTCACCGCGTTCGTTCAAAGGGTCAGGCGAAGACGCCGAGCCCCGGGATGGAGTCTCCATTGCGAACTGCCGGTGGCGAGGGCAGACGCAGAAGGCGAGGGAGGGACGAGGAACGCCAGAATTGTGAACGTCGCGTAAAACAGAAAGAGAAGGATGGCGGGTGAAGGTGATGAAACACTTCGCAACCAAAGAAAAAAGACCAGAGTCGGTCGCGAAGCGACGATCAATTGAACGAAGCAGGAGACGCGTTGGATATGGGTAAGAAGGGGATCTTGCGAACGATGCGCATAAGGGATCGAAAGATCGCGTGGACGCGAAAAATGGTGATGTTGAAGAAGGCAATCGTACTGTTCTCAAAAGCGTGTTTCTAAACTTGAGAAATAAAGCGTGGTGGTGAGAAAAGAAGAAGAGAGGCAGGAGAGCAAAAAAAAAAAAAAAAAAAAAAAATAATGGTGGGCAAAAATAAGTTGACGATGCTTAAGCTCTGCCCAAACAGCAAGAGCACAGCAGACACCGTAAAAACGGAAGGAGCTACGGGCATGCTACGCGCTGTAGGTGTTTACTGTATTACCCTATTTGGGTTAGCGTGACAAACGGAAGCAGAACGCGTACCCCGCCAATTCGGCAGGAGCCCTGGAGAACAGGCACGTCGAACAGGTGGCTCCTTCCCCAGTAAAATGCAACGGTTCTCTGCAGGCAATGAGCACGATTGGCACAATTAGCGCAAGAGCCAGTGAAGCCTGGCGTGCTTCGAGAAAGCCGGCGCGAAGTAGTGAACAATTTGGCAGACTGTAATACGAAGTACCTTACATACGCAAATGAACAGCCTTTCTAATTAGAATGTTCAAAGGCAATACACATCTTGCCGTTGACATGCTTCCTAAAATTACTCGTCCCAATGAGTTGATATTCGGTATATTTCTTTCCAAAATTAAACTACACAAACATACTGAAATATTATAATATTAAAATACAACACGAAGTTGAACACAATATCTAAAACAAAAGAACGTACACAAAATCATAGGCCTGCAAAACCAATCATTACGAATCGTTACAACACGTCATGTCTTCCAACCTCATGGACCAAACACCAGCGTCCGCACCTCGATGCTCTCGCGCGGCTCGGCGTCTGGCAGCGCCCGCGAGTCGCTGAAAGCCGTATGCGCCAGCCGGCCGCCCTGGACAGTTGTGTTGCCCGGCCGCAGGGCCTCGCTGTCAAAGCACTCGAGCAGCAGCCGCTCGTCGCCAGTCATGCCGCTCAGATAGTGCCACTTCTGGTCCGGGTGGTACTGGATGCCGGCCGTCTGGCCGACAAAGTTGCGCTCCTTGGGGTAGCGGTGTTCGACGGTAATGACGTCTTCGTCGCGGACACTCGCCGACGACGCAAACGCCAGCGGCGACGACTCGACGGGGCCCTTGTTGAGCGGGCGCCAGACATTGATGATGCGGAAACGGCCCTGCAACAGCGTCTCGGCCTCGTCGGCGGGCAAATGGCGGCGCACCCGATCCGCGGCGGCCTTGGCAGTCTGGTCGATGTGGACGCGCAGGACCGGACCACGCGCAGGGCCGGAGGCAGCGTCGGCCTTTTGCGGACGGCGGATGGTGTGATCAAAGAAGACGACGCGAGTGCTGCCCGGCACGTGCTTGAGCAACAAGGCCTCGACCTCCGGGTAGTAGTTCTTGCGGATGGACTCGTCGTCCAGCCACTCCGTCTCGGCCGACGGCGGCTGGTTCTGAACAACCAAAAAGGCGTTCTTGTTGAGCGACTCGGGCGAGCTGGCAAACTCAGCCTCGCGGCCGCGGATGTCCTCAATCATAACGTCGTGCGTCGCATCCGAAAAGTTGCGCTGGGGTTCACCCGCCGGCGGCGTGTCGACATAGTTGAAAGGCACGGCGCCGTCGGCCGGAGGAGAGAAGAAGTTGAGCGCAGCAATAACGTCGCCACGCGGGACGCGCTCAGTCGTGGCAGTGATGGCCATTTTAACGTGTGATAGTAATTAAGGAATATATGTGGTTGGGAGAGTGGTAGTTGGCGATGTGCAGTGGCTGTCGCCGAGGATAAATGTTGATGATGTTCGTTTCCTTCAACGCAAGTCTGAAAAGGACGACGCTTTCCTTTTATATTATACTCTACAAGCTTCGCATCATCATCTTGGAAATCAATGTTGATTTCAAATAGCCACTAGGAATACCCAGAGTGCCGGCCAACCAGCTTCGAGGTGCACCATGCGTCCAACTGTAAGACATTAAGGTGATGGGGAGACGTTTTGCCCCAGCGGACCTGCTAGTATTATTAATGATCGCCCCGATGGCCGCCGAGCGACCGCAAAGACGCCATCGGCAGCCAATATCACAAGGCGTTGGGCCAGTGCGGGGAAGAATATGTGTTTTGGAAACGGAGTACTCCGGCGTCCGTATTTGTGATTCGTTTATGACGCTGCCAAACAGTGAACATGAATCAACGTAGTACAACATACTGCCCATGCATTATGAGACTCTTCGTTATTATGACTTCATGCTGAAAGCGCGGATCCTCACGACTAATCGCGGCGTGTCCTGCACTCCTGCCTGGGCCTTCTGTCGTTCATAGGGCGTACCAGGTGTGACATACAGAGCACTCCTCTGTACAACGTATCACTGCGAGTCAGTCGGGATTTGGCGTAAAGCTGGCCAAGATTCTGAGAGCTGACGACGTCCTTTGCGAAATGACGTGATTTCCAGATTACCAAAATCGCGGATTTGGTCACTCGCGACTGGTCCTTCCGTTTATAGCCCATGACATCGCACTAGTGCGACCAGTGAAACCGTGCATAGGCCGCAGTCTGACAAAGCCGCCAATGCACAATGGATGACAACGGGACGTCACGTATCTCCCAGGGCCATTGGAAGCATCTCGAAAACAGGTGTACAAGCGGGAGGACAGGGTTAGAATAGCTGAGTCGCGGATGGAGTCGTACAATTACCCGGAACTACGATGCGCATTGTATTACTAGAGTTGTCAATGTCTCAGTGCAACTGTATTGTGAGATGTAATCTATCTCTCGACGGCCCGCGATTATGGAAAAGAAATAAGGACGTTCCTGCATTGTCCGATGATGTTGAGCCCATCTCTCTAAACACCATTAAATACAAAACGTAAACGACAAGAAAAGGAGGCATTGTGTATTGCCAAAAACACAACAAGACAAAATATAAAGGAAATGGGCGAAGGGCGGTTGGAAGGAGAATAAAAAACATACAAAGAGGCAAAGACGATAAAAGGAAGTACACATGGTGCACATAAGAAACGCAAGGCTAGCCAGCCTTGCCATGCTGACACAAGGAAACACGCAAAAAGAGACAACCCAGTCGTAGCGTGCCTGAACCACAGTACGATTCGCTGTATTACCATCCACTTGCACAACCCAGCCATGCCCTCGTAAATCCGTGAATGAGAAAACGCATATGCCAGAAGCGCAGACGAAAGGATATAAAACAGCCGAGACATATAAACACCAAAAAAGCACACACGCATCAGTCAAACACAACCGGGACCTATTGGTTCCGTTTCCGCTGCGCCCGAGTATTGCTGCCTTGCCGGCTCATAGCCGCGCCGCCCTGGCTGCTCTGCCGGCTCATGGGCGGGGCGTGCAAGGCCGCGCTGGACACGGCCGCCGCTGCTGAGAGGGTAGCCCCGCCGCCGCTGCCACGCTCGTTATGGTGGCCCGGCGTGACCGGCTCGTCGCGCGCTGCGCTCGTCGGCAGGCGCAAGTCCTTGCGCAGGTCGTCCGGGTCGTCGCGCTCGTGCCGCAGGTATGCCACGTAGCGGCTGTCGTGAGGCGAAAAGGCCGTGGCCTCGAGCACCTTGCGGCCGCCATTGGCATTGTCAAAATTGGATCCGGCACCGTGCACGCGCTCGTACTGGCGCAGCAGCTTGATAACCGAGAGGTCGGAGCTGACGTCGTCGCCGGAAAGCGTCGTCGGCGTGTTCGCATCGATCTTAGAGTGCGGCTTGGCGTAGTTGCTCATAAACATGGGCGGCATCTTGGGCTCGTTGACCACCAGCTTCTCGAGGTTGCTTGGCATCTCAAAGTTGTTCAGCGCCTCGAGACCCACCAGCCGGTCGTCCACGAAGTTGGCCGCCTGCTGGTTCTGGTGGTTGCCGCCACGCGTGCTACGCGTGGCATGCGACGGCACGCGCTCCATACTGGCGGCCGCGGGTGTGGCGTCGCGGTCGTCGTCGTCGTGGTCGCCCGACTCTGTGTCCGACGCCGACGAAATGATTTCGCCGTTGCTGTTCAGCTTCGTGCGGTGCGACAGCAGGTACTTGTGTGACGCGAGCGCGGCAGCATTGTACGTCATGGCCAGCTCCTTGTCGGTAAAGAGCTTGTCGATGCTGTACACCGGGCCCGTGACCTTGCGGTACGCCAGACGATCGCCTTGCCAGAAGGGCGTCGTGCCGTTGTTATCGGCGCGGCGCTGTGGTGCGGGCGAGCCATCGTCGTCGGCGCCGTTCCGCTTCCGTTTCCGCGTATCACTGATGCCCGACAAATCGTCGGCGGTCTGCCGCAGGCGCGTGGTGCGCTTGCTGTGAGTGCCGCCGGGGCTGGAGGGGTTGGCAATCGAGAACTGGTTCGGGTGGAGGAGGAGGGCCGAGGCGTCGGAGATCTCGAGGGCTTCTTTTTCTTTGGTCAGGCGGACCTTCTTCGCGGTAATCGCATTCGACAGACGCTCCCGGAGCGTCGCGGACAGTTGGCGGTGCTCGCGGTTGGCCGTGTCGGTCTTGAAGGCATAGGTGTTCTTGTGCTCCTGCGCCTTCTTTTCGTACTCAAACTGCGGGTGAGAAACAAGGGAGGTCAGGAACAAATTCTGCCTGCATGGATGGCGCCACGCCATGTTCGTTGTGTCGCTACTTACTTTTTGTTTCGTCAACTCGGCGTCACGCTCTTCGACGAGATCTTCAATCTCTTGGATCCACTGCTGAAAGGTCGGACCGGCCATCTCGAGCAAGCCACGACCGCCGCCACGACCCTCGGGGTCAGGGTCTCTGTTGTAGTCCCGCTCGCGGCTGTTGCGGTCCTTGCCAAGGAAGTCGAGCGGCCGGTCGGCATAGGGGTCGAGCCGCATGACCAGGTTCGTGTCGATCTGGATCTTTTGCAGCTGCTCGCGGTAGGTCATGTCGCGATCGCGGTTGAACTTTTCGGAGAGAGCGGCCAGGCGGTCGGTCAGGAGCTGGCGCTTCTTGTCGCGCTTTGACTGTGACTGGGTCGGGCCAGGTGAGGCTGCGCGGCGGTCAACCCGCTGGTCGGCGTCATTGCCGAGGCCGCTCTGTGGGTGGGCGTCTGCTGTCGCCATCTTTTGTGTTGTGCGAGTATGGGTGCGGGTGTAGGAGAGTGTCGAAAACGTATTCAAAGTGTCCGGAGAAGTAAGGATGAGGCAATCGGTTGAACGCTCGAGTGTTCTGGAGCAGCCACAAATTGGAGCTGTAGCTCTAACAAAATAAGGCCAAAGACGAGGAGGCTTGGGGTCTTCGGTCAACAGTTGGCCGATGGTCGAGAAAGGAGGGCGCTACTGGAGCGTTTTCTCAAAGACGCTCTCAAAACGAAGAAACGAAAACAATGCCCTAGAAAGACGAAAGTGACTGCAATACTATAGTGTGCCCGAATGTGCGGAAAGACACAAAGGGCCGAAAAGGTGAGAGGAGGAGTCGTAACTATCTTGCGAGGACGGCTCCTTTCCAGCTTTGCTGGTCAGAGATCAGAAAAGAGGATCGGAGGAAAATGAAAATTCAAGAAACTCCACGGCGGGAGAGCATGGGCGAACGACTGCATAAAAGAAAGAAGCGAGTGCTGGGAGAAAAGAAAATCGAGATCAAGTCGAGATAGAAAGACAGGACGTCAAGATGAGAAGGCGGAAGGGGGAAAGGGAAAAAATGGCTGCAGCTGCGACTGTGTAAGAAAATCGGCACTTGGTCGCTCCTGCTCGCACTTGTTACTGCTGTTCGCTCTCGTGCCTACCCAGTACGTTGAAGTAGCGCCGGCGCGGTATCATTCACACCATGCACCAGCTGAATGATACGACCAGCGAGAGCCTGGTGCTCAGGCTGGGGGACATGAGTCGGCAGGTGGCAGGGCCAGCCGCGTGTGATTGGCTGACTGCGTATTGTTGGTCATCCAAACAGTTCCACATTCGGAAACGGCAGTGCATTTTTCCGCGTACTCGGCGCTGTATCTACAGGGAAGGAAGGTGCGGATGGCAGGGCCAACAATATGCGACAGCAGCAAGGTTAGATTTGACGGTGACAACGGTGACATACCTGGTTCGTAACATGTCAATTGGAACCTCAAATGCTTCATATTGAAGTACAGGTGTAAAACATACAAAAAGAGATCTCCATGCGTGTTCATCGCGGCCTCGCGTTGCTTTTCTTCCAAGTGTGGCGTCATGTGACCGTGCGTATTTGGCGTTAGTAGCGAAAATCCTCAATCCCGCTTTGGCGCTACAGCGCGGACAGGTGCTCCCTGTCGTCACTTTCGGCTGTAGTTGCGCTGTAGAAACGCCAAACGACACCGAAAGAGAAAAGACGAAGAGAGCAACATACGCCTTGCAACGCCCCTTCGACCACTCCCACGAATATCCATACACTCTCAAAGCATAGACGAGGCCCTGAGGCCCACTACGGGAAAGGAAGGGCATCTTTGAGCGAGTCATTCATACATTGACTTTGCCAGACTCACTTGGAATCCATATACGCAACGATCTTTTGACTGCACGCCTCGCCGGAAGACCTTTATACCTTGACACACGACGCTATGGAGAATCTGTCCATCTCTGAACCGCCGCCGCTGGGCGGGCCTGGCGGTCCCCAGATGCGGCCACCCCCACAGCAGCAGCAGCTGCCGGCGCAGATGTTCACCACAGCGGCCCAGCTGCTCGACCTGACAGACAGTATGTGGGACGACAGATGGAGACAGAAGGAGGCAGCGAAGTAGGAGACGAAGTAGGAGAGCGACGACTAACACTGCGCAGAAAAGCTGATTGTCGTCTTGCGTGATGGGAGAAAAGTGTTGGGCGTGTTACGAACATGGGATCAGTTTGGTAAGACGGCGCCATGTCCACTCAAGTTGTCCAAGGGGCTATATTGCAGCTAACCACGACCCACGTTTGCCAGCCAATTTAATATTACAAAACGCGGTCGAGAGGACATTCCTGCCACCGGGCGCATTCGAGGCCAGCGCCGCTCCCGAGAGTGCCGCGCAGGGCCGGGGCCTGTACGCCGACATCCCGCGGGGGACGTACCTGGTGCGCGGCGAGAACGTGCTGCTGCTGGGCGAGATTGACTTGGACCGCGATGACGAGCCGCCACCGGGCCATGACAAGATCGATGCAGAGGTGATGGCGGAGCTGGCCAAGAAGAAGAAGGCAGCAGACAAGGTGGTGGAAAAGGCGCGGGTGAAGAAGCTCTCGGGCCTCGGCTTCGAAGGCGAGAACATGGGGGAGATCCTGCTGTAGGAGAGACGGGGTGTGAGAGACGATGCTCGCCTGAGACCAGCAGAGAACAAAAAATACAGAAATGTACTATGTGTGAGCAACATCGGTAGTGGTACTACCGTTGTGCTTTGCCATGCTATGGCATCCACTTATCGGGCACAGCCTACGGGAGAAGGGGGTGATGAGACAGATCTTGCGGCCAGAATGCCTTTTCATTTTTCCTGTCATTCTGCAGGTGCAGCTCTTCTCACCACTTCGTTCAAATATCCCGCCCTTAACATTTGATTTAGACAGCGCAGACCACACTCCGTCCCATGTTTTGAGAAAAGAAGGGGCGGCGGTCATAAAAAAATAAAAACGAATAAGTAGTGCATTCAAGCCTACGTACCCTTTCCCGTTCCTTTTTCTTGTTTTCTTCCCTTGTTTCTACTACAACCCGACGGAGAAGCCCTCCACCTTTGCGTTCCATTCCGCTGGAAAGTGCGGGCCCGGCGACCCATCCCACCCGCCCGCCAGCATGGCCACTGTCTGCAGAAGTGCGCCGCTGCTCGGCATGTAGGGTGTGGGCACGCGCGCGCCACCAATGGGGTAACCGGCATCGTCAAAGGCAAAATTGGGATCCAGCAGGTAGGCCAGGGCCTGGTGAACATCGCCGAGCCGCAAGGAGTTCATAGCCAGCAGCGGGAAGTCCCAGCCGTAGCTGGCCTTGAGGTCCCAGACCTGGCGGATCTTGTCGGCGGTGTTTTGGACGACGGTGAGGTTGAGCGGCGCGCCGCTCGTGTTGGACGGTGGCGGTAGCCAGCCGTAGATGCCGGCGAGGGCCGGGTGGTCGGTGGTGGTGGCCGGGTCGGTCCACATGTTGGGAACACCCTCGTAGACGGTAAATGTGCCATTTTCCACGGGCAAGGGTGCCAGTTTGTCGCGAACGTCGATCCAAGCCTGGGGCACAGCGTCCGTCCGATTTGTTATGCGCTGCTTCCAGCGGATCGCCACGTCCAATCCAAACCGCCAATAGGCCAGCTCAAAGGCCGGGTTGATGGTGGCGTTGGGATTGCCTGTTTCGGAGACAGGATACAGTGGCGGGCCGAGATCGTACACGCCCGTGGTCGTATTCAGGAACGCAAACGACGCCATAAAGTCGGCCGTGGCCGTGACGATGGCGTCCCACTGGTCCAGCGTCGAGGCGTTGGGAAACGCGCGGTAGTGCAGCTCGGCGAAGTATATTGGGTGCGGCTGCTGCCAGATGAGCAGGGAATTGATCTCGCCGGGCGCACTACGGCCGGTCGGGTCGGTCATCTTGCCCCAGCGCGCGCCCTTGTAGCCCTGCTTTTTGGCACGGTCGATCGACGACGGAAGGAAGCGTGTGTACATGTCCGGCAGGCTGCGGGCGAGAAGATCAAAGTGACCCCAGCGGGCAAAGTGGACGAGGTGCCAGAAAGCCATTTCGAGCTATAAGTGTGAGTCTTGTGATGGGCTGCTATGAAGACCACCGCGCACCAAGAGGGACATGACTTACATGGAATTTGCCATACCAGCCATTGTTGACAAGGCCTGTTACGTGTCAGCTGTGAACGAGAGTGCCGTTGTGTGAGACGTATATTTACCAGATTCTAGAATAAATGTCAGCTATGTCGAACCTACCTTTTTTTTTTTTTATTCGATCAGTTCTCGATGCAACTTACCTTGTGGAGCATTCGTCGATGCCGAGTTGACCACGGTCAAGTACTGCGAGAGGATCGTCCGCCGCTGGAGCTCTTTGGCCTCGGACGAGTTGCTCGCCGTTAGATCCACAAAGGCGCCCGTTGTCCAGTAGTCGGACCACCAGTCGGTCGCCTCGTCGGTAAGACCGCCATAGGACATGGGCACGAAATCGCCGGCGCTCGAAAAGGCGGCCACAAACAGAATCTCGGTCGAGTTGGCCGCCGTCAAAAGATAGCGGTTGGTGCCCGGCTGCGGGCCGGAAACTTGACCGTAGTTGTTCCACTGCAGCTGCAAGTAGTAGGACGTGCCGTTGGCATAGTCGGTGCCGTTGGTGCCGTCCTCGCTGGCGATTGTGCGCTGAATGGTGCCGTACCACGGGTCAAAGACAGTCTCGAACGTGTCATAACCAGAAGTTGAGGTGGACGGCGTGTTTGGGTACACGCCGACAAAGGGCGCGTCAAACTTGTTGGTGTCTGGGTAGGGGAAATCCATAAACAGCCCGAGATCGCCCGACGCCAGCAGGTCCGACCGGATGGCAATGCCCACCATGTCCTCTTCTGGATGAACCCATGTCTCGACCTCGACAGCGGTGCCATTGTACACAAACGACGACTTGATGCTGCCGGTCCACAGGTCGAGTTCCTGCGTGGCATTGACCAAATCCGTCTCGGTAACGGGCTTGGAGGCCGCTGCTTGCCCAAAGTCGAGGCCGATGCGCGCCAGGTTGATGCGCTGCGGGTTTTGTATCAGCCAGTCCGAGATGGCCTGCTCGGCCTGGTTCGGCTGGTCGTAGTTGACCAGGCGGCCGTGCGTCTCCCAGTCGAGGCCGGTAAAATCGGCTGGTACGGCTGTCGTGTTGCTGCCGGCAGCCGTGGATGGTAGACTGAAGTTGTGCCAGCCCCAGGTCGACAGGATGTTGTAGGGCAAGAAAGTTTGCAAGCCGGTGACGTCGGCGCCAAAGGCTAGATTGCCGTTGCCGACCTGCAGCGGCGTGGTTTTGGAGCTGGCATTGCGGCGGACGTTGAACGACTGCACAATCTTTCGGCGCGGGATCGTGGACTTGGGCGGGTTGGCGGCCTCGGCGACAAGGAGCAGCGACGCAGCAGCGAGGCCAGCGGAGAAGTGCATCCTTATATCGGAGAAATGCAATGTGAAGCAACGGTCGCGTATCACTTGATATTCGATGCTGCCTCGGAGAAAACAATTTTGTGCATCATGTAAAGTCCTCGAATGCCCCTATAAAAGACGAGGAAAGGTCGGCTGAGGCACCAGGCATGCGGGAACAATCAACCGACGACTGTGCTTGCTCGTCGCCGTCCAATATCGCTATCTTGCAATGACGGAAGAATCCATTATGCCCAAATAGAGGAGACGAAAGCTCCCGGGTGCAGGCGCCGTCAACTTAGCCGGCGCAGGCCAGAACCCCTCTTCTCGGCGCAACGCGGTGTCTGCTCATGTATGCGCAAGGATGATGGAAATATGTCGTACGGTAACCGATTTCACTTGAATTGAGTGCGCATCATAGCCTTTTTAAGAATAAACAAGTCAAATATAGCAGCCGTTTTGGCTGGCGGATTAAGGCGGTTCGGTCAATATGTGGCCGAGGCCAGCATGTTCTCCAGGAACAGTGGACTACATTCTCTTGTCGGGGTATATGGGCCGTTTGTCGCCCTCACGAAACAAATCGACCAGAGTATTGTTGACTTTCTTGTTTTTCCACAAGAAAGTAAAATAAGAATAAATCGAAAGAAGTGTCGAATAAATTAACAAAATTTTCCACAAGCAAAATAAAACGTAGTTAGAGATAAAAAAAATACGTCGTAGAGCTACTGCGAAATGAGAATGCCGTCGAGCTCCCTCGCAGGTTGAGGGATCTGTCAAATGGAGGAATGCGTTGTCGTTGTTCGACGTCGTTCTTTCAGGCCGATTTGCGGTGATGCTTGGATCTAGCGGCAGCGTATATAGGACGCCACAGTTGCGCCACACAACTTGGCTGGCCCCCTCCTTATTTGGCGCTCTCTGTTCCTGCAGTCCCAGCAACGGACCCAAAACGGCAACGACGTAAACATGCCAGACAGGCCCAGGCCAGCCTGACTGATCATCGCATGGAGGGGACATCGTCCACAGCCTCCGCCAATCCACCTAATCTGCCACCTACGTCGCACAGAGCCAGCAACCTGACTTGTGTGTCGCCGCCGCTCCCTAGAATTAAAATCGACTTCTCCTCCTTTCTTTTCGCCTCCAGTCGTGCATCCTGACGGTCTCTTTGCTCTTCGCATCCGATTTATGTGTCGCGTTATCGCATCTCCTGTCCTTCTTCCATCCCAACGTCGACGACTTTGTTCGCTCGAAACATTGCCACTGTCGCCATGGCCTCTCTCCTGACCACAGTGTACGATGAGCCATCGAGTGCCAGCACCGTCGAATCGCAACCGCATCGCTAACATCGTCGCAGGAACGCGCGCACGCGCAACCAATTCCGGCCACGCGCACCGGGCAAGGGCGGCAATACGAGCTACCAGCTGCGGCAATATGCCGAGGCGACGCTCGGTGGCGGCAGTCTGCGCAAGGTGGTCAAGCTGCCGGAGGGTGAAGACGAGAACGAGTGGTTGGCAGTCAATAGTGCGTACCCCGGTGCCCAAAGACCACCAGGAAACTTGGCAAACACAACTAACCTCCACCTGCAGTGGTCGACTTTTACAACCAAATCAACCTCCTCTACGGGGCCATCACCGAGTTCTGCTCGCCCCAGTCGTGCCCCGAGATGAAGGCCACCGACGAGTTCGAGTACCTCTGGCAGGACAGCGACAACTACAAGAAACCCACCAAGATGCCCGCGCCGGCCTACATTGAGCAGCTCATGGCCTGGGTCCAGAGCACCATTGACAACGAGGCCGTCATGCCCAGCCGCATCGGCGTGCCCTTTCCCAAGAACTTCCCTTCGCTCATGAAGCAGATCTTCAAGCGCATGTACCGCGTCTACGCCCACATCTACTGCCACCACTACCCCGTCATCCGCGAGCTGGGGCTCGAGCCGCACCTGAACACGAGCTTCAAGCAGTACGTGCTCTTTATCGACGAGCACAGCCTGGCGAGCGGCAAGGACTTTTGGGGGCCCTTGGGCGACTTGGTAGAGAGTATGCTGCGGAGTGACTAGAGGGATTGTGCTTTTGTTTTTGGCGAGGGCCAGCTCTGTTCTCCTCTCCTTCTGGCCCGTTCTTTGCATTTCAGCTTTCTTGCATGTCGACAGTGCACTTGTTTTATCCCATGCCCAGGGTCAGGGCTGGATGTTGCTGCGGGCCGCAGTTTTGCTTCGCGTTGACCTCTCTGCAAATTTGGGCTGTGTATTGTCTGGTTGGCGTTTTGTTTGCTTTTTCTATGGGATAAAAGGGATGTTACTGATATCAATACACTGTTTGGATTTAAGTGTATCGAGTGGACTGAGTGTGTCTGCTTGTGCAGTATTTGTAAATTCTGTTATGGAAAGTTTGCGAAGAAGACTAACGCGGCTTGACTTGCACTATGAATACCACACCATTGGCAACTGTATTCCTGCTGCCAAACACTTGCCAGCCTTGCCAGGACTGGTCGCTGAACGCTTTCATTCTGGTGAGTGATTTTTGCATCGGAATTTTACAGTTATTTTTTGATTAAATTTAAATACCCGATTCAGTGGCGCTGTTTCCACCCTTAGACCTTAGTGCCAGGGCGCGGCCGCCGGAAAACAGAGCCAATACCTGCCAAAACGCCTGCAATTGATTATGTGCCTCAGGCATCCACACTGTGCCGAGCCAGTGGCCGGTTCCTTCCTTCCACCATTTCCCCCCAAACCCGAGAAGCTTTCGTTTTTTCGAGTTTCGGTTTTGCATAACCTCCTCACGCCGCACGACTCTCTACCGCATCCAATTGTCTCGGCATCCACCCCCGACGACAACCCGACCCCCTTTTCTTCTTCCTCTCGCTCAATACACGCCAACATGCTGTCGAGACAAGCAATGCTCGCGGCCCGCACGGCTGCCTCCCGCCGCACCGTCGCCGCCGCGACTCCGGCTCTGATGCGCGGCTACGCTGCCGCCGCTGCCGGCTCCCAGGCCCAGACCAAGGACGTCAAGGCCCCGGTCGCCCTCTTCGGCCTTGACGGCACCTACGCGACGGCTCTGGTATGTCCTATGTCCTCCCGGCTACACTACCGTTGTCCCCGCGCCCCTTGGCACCTCCCCATCCCCCCTTGTCCTGTGCGTTGTTCGTTTCTCCTAATTGAATCATAGTACACTGCTGCCGTCAAGACGTCCACCCTCGACCCCACGGCCAAGACCGTTGCCGCCCTCGCCGCCCTTCTCGCCAAGGACTCCAAGCTCGGCGCCATCCTCGCTACCCCCACCCTGTCCACCGCCGACAAGACCGCCGTCATTGCTGAGCTGCAAAAGTCCACCAACAGCGCCAACCAGCCGACCGTCTCGCACTTCCTCCAGACCCTGGCCGAGAACAACCGCCTGGCCCTCCTGGGCGACGTGGCCACCAAGTTCGGCGAGCTGATCCGCGCCGCCAACGGCGAGGTCGAGATGATTGTGACGAGCGCGCAGGCGCTGGACAGCAAGACGCTGGGCCGCCTGGAGACGGCGATTGCCAAGTCGACGTTTGTCGGCCAGGGCAAGAAGCTCAAGGTCACGAACAAGGTCAACCCGGACATTCTGGGCGGCCTCGTGGTGGAGGTCGGCGACCGGACAATCGACCTGAGCGTGTCGGCCAAGGTCGCCAAGCTCAACAAGCTGCTGACGGACAACTTGTAAAGGGGTGGGGGCCCAGTGGCAGTTTCGCCGTGAATTGGAGAGGAGGGATAGATGACAGGGAACATGTTGTGGGTGTAAAGTCCCGTGTACTTTTTTCTATACTTTTTTTTGTTCATGAAGCCGAATTCAAATCATGGTGACATAAAGAAGAAAGGGGCGATGACCGAAAGTCTGTTTTAGATGAAAGGGCTGCGGCTGCAACGAAGAAAAGGGAAAAAGGAAGCGAGAAAGCGACATTTGTTTTGTAGAAAGCCAAAATAAGAAAAGGCAGCATCCGATTTTGCCTCAGAGGACACAGGGAGAAGGTGGTTTTGTGTATATAGTGTGTATTGTTGTCTAACCATTCCTTTGGAACATTTAGAAATTAAGTGCTAGCTTCTTTTAAACTATGACAACCTCGTGCTCCTTGAACGACACAAGAAGACAACAGCATTTTGAAGAAAGTAAAGAAAATCCACTGTAACAGACTACGGCAAGCAGCACGACAGCCAACAAGCAAAACCAAAAAAACTTCTATCCCGAAATGTATTCTTTATACCGCCGCCGTACTTTATTCCTTGTCTGCCTGTGCCTCATACTCGTTACCTTGCTCGTAGCTGTCGAGGCTCTGCGAGCTCTTGTAGCGCTGCAGCTGATCAGCAATGTACTTGTTCAGATGCTGGTCCGCCTCGGCGCGCTCGCGCACGCGCTCCGGGTTGTGGAAGAACATGGAGCCCGACCGCGACGAACGGCGGCTCATGCGTGAACGCGGATCACCGTCCTCGACAGCATCGCCGTTTTGTCCATTGGCACCATGAACACCATTCTCTGGGTAATCATGGCCCAGCTCGCCGTCGTTGGTTTCCGACTCGCCGTCGGTGCCAATGAGAAAGTCACTGCGCGCACCGAGCGAGCGGGCTGTCGACGAGCGGCGGATGCGCGGCATGGAACCCGATGAGTGCGGGGTGCCCGCCTTTTCGTAGCGGTCGAAGATGTCGTCAAAGTAATGGTTCATGCCGGCGCTGGGTGTGCGAGGAGTTTGTGGGAGACGGCAGGTAATGCTATAATACGGTTAGTACGGAGGCAGGAAACTATTGTGAGAAAGAAGGGACCAAAAACATACCCTGTATCGTGGATCATGCGCGCAATGAGACTTGTCCAGCCACACTGGTGCGTGGCACCGAGACCACGGCCCGAGTCGCCGTCAAAGAATTCGTAAAACCACAGGTTGTCCTTCCAAAGCGGATCAAAATCGAGCAGGTCGTTGCCGTCGTTGATGCTGCGGCGGCCGTCGTCATTGCGCACGTACAGGTGCTGCAGGCGGTGCTGAAGCTCCTCGGACACGTGGCCCAGGTGCATCATATCACCCGAGCCGACAGGGCACTCGACCTTGAGCGTGTCGCCAAAGAACATGTAGAAGCGTTGCAGCGACTCGACGAGCAGGTAGTTGACGCAAATCCAAACCGGGCCGCGCCAGTTGCTGTTGCCGCCAAAAAGGCCGCTGTCCGAGTCGCCGGGAATGTAGCCGACGGAGAACTTTTGGCCATTCACATCCATCGAGTACGGATGGTCTTTGTGGTACTTGGACAGCGAGCGGATACCGTGGGGGCTGAGGAACTCGTCCTCGTCCAGCATACGCTCAAGGAGGCGCACCAGGCGCTCCTTGCTAACAATGGACAGCAGAATGCGGTCGCCCTTACCGCGCTTGCGAATGGATGCCATGTTGCGCTCGGCAACGTCGCAGCGGTTGTTGATGAACCACTCGACACGGCGCTTAAAGGTCGGCAGGCGGTTCACCAGCTCCGGCTCCAGCGTCATCGTAGCGTACATGGGGATCAGACCGACCAGCGACCGCACAGGCAGCTGCTGAATCCAGGGTCCACCCCATGAGATGGCATCATAGTAGAAGCCATCCTCGTCGTTCCACAGCGAGGACTCGTCCTTCTCGCCCATGCGGAATGTCATTGCGTCACTGATGAGAATAAAGTGCTCAAAGAACTTGGTGGCCATGTCTTCGTACGTGCGGCGGTACTTGGCCAGCTCGAGGCAGATGTTGAGCATGCTCAGGCAGTAAAATGCCATCCAGCCCGTGCTGTCGGCCTGCTCGAGGACACCACCCGTGGGCAGCGGCTCCGACCGGTTGAACAAACCGATGTTGTCAAGGCCCAGGAAGCCACCCTCGAACACGTTCTTGCCGTCTGCGTCCTTGCGGTTGACCCACCAAGTGAAGTTGAGCAGCAGCTTCTGAAAGACACGCTCGAGGAAGTCAAGGTCCTGGCGGCCGTAGATCTTGCGCTCAATCTTGAAGACGCGGAACGTGGCCCATGCATGGACGGGCGGGTTGACATCGCCAAAGTTCCACTCGTAGGCCGGCAGCTGTCCATTGGGATGGCAGTACCACTCGCGCGTGTACAGATCGAGCTGTTTCTTGGCGAACTCGGGGTCGATCATAGCCAGGGTGATGCAGTGGAAACTCGAGTCCCAGGCGGCAAAGAAGGGATATTCCCACGAATCAGGCATGGACAGAATGTCGTCGCAGTGCATGTGCTTCCACTGGCTGTTTCGAATCGCTTTGCGATCCGGCGGCGGCGGCGGCTGGGTCGGGTCGCCGTTTGCCCACTGGTCCCAGATGAACAGGTAGTGCTGCTTGCACCACATCATGCCGGAGAAGGCCTGTCGCTGGACGTTGCGCATGTCGTCGGACATGGGCATGGGGCTGATTCGGTAGTAAAACTCGTCGGCCTCCTGGCGCTTGGTGTCGATTATGTTGTCGACCTCCTCTTCGTCGAGGAAGGTCTCGTCGCGCTTGGAGAAGCGGAAACGGACAACGGCGCACTCGCCGGGACCAACGCCGCCGTCCTCGTTGAACGAGAACCAACCGGCAAACTTGGTGCCGGTCTTGGCCGGGTTAACGGCCTCCTTCTTGCCGTCCACAATATAGTCATGGAAGGCATCCTTGACGTAGGTGGACTCGTTCTTGCCCTCGTAGAGGGCTGCAAAGTTGGTGTCGTTGTCGGTGAACAGCAGCTCGGGCTGGACATCCTGGTCGCTGGGACCAACACCAGGCGAGGGCGCCAGCAGCATGTATCGGTCGCCCAGGACGGGGTGGCTGGACTTGACGAGGTTGTCGTCGCAGACCTCGATGGACGGCTTGTCCTCGGGCTTTTCGCGGCCCCATGCCCACGTGTTGCGGAACCACAGATGCGGGATGATGTGGAGAGGTGCACGGTCCGGGCCGCGGTTCCATGCCGTGACACGGAAAATGAGGGCATCCGGGTCGTCGTCCTCCTTGGCGGTCTCAATATAAATATCCCAGTAACGATCCTCGGCAAAGACGCCGGTGTCGAGGATCTGGTACTCCTTGTCTTGCTTGCCGCGGCGCGCGTTCTCTTTGAGAAGATCTTCATATGGGAAAGGGGCCTGGGGGTACTTGTACAGGTACTTCATGTAAGAATGCTAGATGAGGCGTTAGTATTTGGAATGTGCGACGTGCGTGGCCGTATATGGCGACTGGGCCGGCAAAGCAATACGTACAGTCTGTGAAAGAGGAGGTCAGTACAAGATGGCATTGGGTCATTGCGTCGATGAGGGGAGAGACGAGATAGTAGGACCTACTGGGGTGTTATCGAGGTGAAAGTGAGCTTCCTTGATGCTCTCGCCATGATTGCCTTGGGGGTTGGACAGGCCGAAGAGGCGCTCTTTGAGGAAGGGACTGGTCTGTTAGCAAGATGCGTGACGCATGCGGCAGAGGATGAGCAGACGAGGAAACCTACTCTTTCTCGTTCCAAAAAGCGAAAGCAATGTTCTCGAGTCCGTGAGTGTCGCAAACACCGGCGATACCATCCTCGCCCCAGCGATAGGCACGCGATCGTGCGTGTTCGTGGGGGAAGTCTGAAGGACGTCAGTGGAAGCTGCAAGAGGCTGTTGAGGGGCAGGTTAAGGAGAGTCAAACTCACGGCTCCATGCGTCGCCATCGTGGCTGTAGTCCTCACGCACTAGAACACACGACAATTGTTAGATCACGAGCTTCTCGGGCAGTCTGGTGTGGACAAGCTGTTGTGCAGATGGGCATATGCACACACCTGTCGCCCACTGGCGCTCCGAGACGTAGGGACCCCATTTCTTCCAGTATTTCTCCCGCGTGCGATCCTCCTTGAGACGCTTCTCCTCCTCGGTGAGGTACTCGCGGCCGTCGACGAGGACCATGGTGACAATATGGGACGGCGGGATGGTGGTGGGGGGGGGGGGGTTGGAGAAAGGTCAATTGGACGGCTCAACTTGGAGCAAGAGGCCAGAAGGTAGTAAGTAGGCAGGGAGAGTGGTAGAGACGTGGGAGAGGAGCAAAGACGAGATGAAAGAGGACGGAAAGAGAAGGCTGGGCGACAAAGGGAACAAGGAAGTGAACTTGTCACGAATGCGCTTCGATTCGGGAGTCGTCGTTTGTTTGCCGCTGATCTTTTTGCTGTTTGTCTTTAGGAGCTTTCTTTTCTCAGATGATCTGGTGCGCCACTTGTGCCTGGCGCTAGAGCCAAAAGCCGGAGGAGAAGAAAAGGACCAAAAAGCAAGTAACAGGCACAGCAGCAATGCAGGAAACGGATGCGAGCTGTCGAGAACGGATCGGGTTCCTCTCGAGTCCAAAAAGTAGGTAAAGGAAAAAATCGAGAGTTGCTATTGGGTGTTCGGAGATCAGAGTTAGTAGTGGGGTGGTGATGGCAGGTGGAAGGCTGCCAAGGAAGGTGGTCTAGATTACGAGTGACGAACGGAGTAGTCTACGGAGTATATCGTAATGCGTCGTTGCCAGAACGTGCCTGCCAAATCAGAAGAGAAGAGACCCAAAGACGGCAATTACGAGACATGGGGCAGGGACGAAGGATGACGGCAGGGAAGGGAAGGTGTGGTCGCCACCAACGTCGAGCATTTAGTAGAGAAGCTCCGTTGCTCTTGCCGGATTTCTGCGAGCAACAACGCGAGGAGGGAAGGTGCAGAGGACGGCAGGAGGGAGGCGAACTCGAGCACCCAACAAGCTTTTGTTCTTTCCGGGTTCCACCCTACGAGTGCTACAGGAGCACGACTTGCTCCGTTTAATTGCTCCGGTTTCTTATGCACTGCAACCCGGGCGGGATCGGTGAATGATAGGAGAATCTGCGGAGCAGAGGAAGCTTGGCCGACCCGCCGGTACTAAAAAGGACAAAACGCAAAACTACAGACAAAAGCTGCGATGGCAGACGATAAAACAGTGGGGTGACGTCAATGGACTAGTTTGAAGCTCCCTGGTGCTGCCTAAGACCACAGAGCCTTTAGAGAGTAATTACATTCGTACAGTGTCTCAGTGTCGTGAGGAAGGGGCGGAGGAGATAAGTTGCACTTGCAGAAAGCACAAAGCAAAGCACAAAGCACCCAAGAGCAAAAGCTCCGAAAAACAGTGCGACCAGGCCGTCGGCTGTGTCTCACATGCAGCAGCCAGTTGAAATGCAGCACTGACAGGAAGAGATGCAGATAGATGAGTGTGCATGTGCGAGCGTCGAGTGGGGTCCACGACGCAGTGCAACGATATTATGGTCAAGCAGGCTGCTGCTCGGCCGTGCGCAATTGGTTGTTCAAAGTAAGTCTGTTCAAAGTCATAACGTCATCACTGTGCCGGGGTGTCAGGATGAGACTTCCGGTCGCTATGAGCGGTGAATGGAAAACGTGCGGAGAGCAAGGAAAAGACATGGGACATGAAAGCACAGTGAACCATGGCTCCAGCTCCAGACGATACGTCAATTCGGCTGTTATTCTCATCACAATTCGACAGGAACTGCATCTTCAGGTCCCGTGTTGCTGCTATTGTTGACTACGCGCAGCGGGGGTGCGGCAATTGGGTCTTACTCTTGCTCTGCATTGTGTGGTTTGGGTTGGTTTGAAGCTTCGTCGTAATTTTGGGACTGGGGCCTGGCCTGGTCTAAAAGTTTGGCGCGGGACTGGACAAGGTAGAGCAGGGGGCAGGGCAAGGGGCACATCTCGGTCAGGGGCGCAGCTTGGTCAGCGCACGTTTGGAGGGTTTTTCATGTGCTTTTGTTGTTGAGACTCGTCCATCCGCCACAGTAACTTACCCATACTATCGACATTCAACAAAGGGCGGCCATCACACGGAGTTGGTTGTTCATGCGTGTATGTGAGAAGCTTCGCTATGTTTTACGTCTTTGATCTTTTTTTGCTCTCTTACAGAAAGAGACACAATGAATACTACGGCCAGCCAAAGCCCAATAAATCCAACGAGGCAGAACGAATTAAACAAGGCCGAAAAACAGAAAAGGTAAAGGCAAAGTGACGCGAGCATACGCCTGTTCTCCCATCTGTCTGACCCGAGAAAATTTGTATCATGCTCTGCTATTTGCTGTTCGCGGGCTGTTGTCGCTGTCATCAACGTCATCATCGCTGTTCGTTTGTCTTCCGTAACGTTATAACTTGGCCTTGACGGACGCGCCAGGACCCGTAGCCTCCTGGTTCACGACCACGTCGCCGCCAGCTGCCGGACCTGCGCCGTCACCAAAGAAGATGACCTGCACCGTGAGATCGTCCCTGCGATTGTTAGTGCCCTGAAGACAAGATGAACAGATAAAAGATAAAAAAAAATGAAGAAAGGAAACGAGTGCACGGGGACCTTACCGGTAACGTCTGGAAAAAGGTGCTGGCAGCGTCAGGAGGGCCGACACCTGCTCCTCGTTGGAGCCGCCCAGCGCGTTGCGCACCAAGTGCGTGGCCGCGTTCTTGTCCTTCACCACAAACCTGTCTTTGTCGTCGGGCGAGATACCCCACTGCCGCAGCCGGATCGGCGTGCGCTCGCCGTTCTTGCCAGTGCTGCCCTCGACGGCTGCCTCGACAGGCAGCGCGTTGCCCGCCTTGCGGCCAAAGACCTTGGACCATGCCGACTCCATGGCCGAGCTGCCCGTGTTGCCGCTGTGGCCAGCCGCCTTGGCCTGCGACTCGATCCACTTGCCCACGAGGCCGACGGCCTCTTCGTTGGTCAGCATCTCCCAGAGGCCGTCCGTAGCCATGACGATAAAGTCGCCGTTCTCGGGCTCAATCTTGGTCGTCGTCACCACCGGCTCGGCCGTGACGTACGGCGGCGTGCGCATAAACGGCGACTGGCTGCGGCCAAAGAACGAGTTGCGCAGGCGGTCCGAGACGTCGCGCGTCCACTTGTACGAGGCATCGCCAAAGGCGCGCGTGGGCTCCAGGCCGCCCAGCACGCGGCCGTTGCGGATGACATGCTCTTCGCCAGGGTGCAGGCCACGCATGCGGGCCACCTCGTCGGGGTTGCTGCCGGTCTGGTCGACCGAGAGCGGCGTGGCAGTCCACTTGCCCGACGGTGAGCGGCGGCCAAGCACCGCGCGCGAGTCTCCGGTGCAAGCCACACGCAGCAGCTTTGATTTGCTGTCGTAAAAGGACAGGAGTGCACACGAGCCGGACAGCGCCGGCGCCAGCAGCTCGGCGGCAACCGTCTTGGATTTTTGGCTCAGGACCTTTTCCGCGCTCTGGTTGACAATATCATCGTCCAGACGCGTGAAGCCGATCTTGATGGCGCCCTCAATGGCGTCGGCTGGCGGGCCGGCCTCGCTCGGGGCAGCCTTGTACGTCTCGTTCAGCTCGCGGGCCACGTAGTTGATCAACGCCTGGCGCAGCTTTGCCGACGTCGTCCATCCGCTGTCAAAGGGCAGGTTAGCATGGATTTCAAAACCATTTGAAGCAGAAAGGGGGTACACATACGAATGACCGTCAAAGACGCCCCAGAACATCCAGTCGGAGGAGTCGCTGCTCACAACGCTGCCGGCAGCGCTCTTGGTCGGCACCTCGACAATCTTCTCGGCGTGGTCGTCCTCGATCGGGTCGTTGCTGGCCAGCTGCACGAGGTCGTAGCGAAGGACGCCCTTGCCGCGGTTGATCCCGTACGACTCCTCGTTCGTGCGCAGCCGCTGCGTCACTTGGTCGGGAGCCAGCATCTCGAGCACGCGCCGGCCAGACCCGTCTGTCATTTTCAAGATCGGTCCGTCGCCGACCAGAGTGCCTGTGCTCAGCTCGTTGGCGCCAATGACAAGCACGTTACGCGTCGTCTGTGCAGCTTCCGAGCCCGTCGTGGCTCCGGGCCCCGCCAGGGATGCGCCCGTCGTGGATGTGACGGCACCCGCCGCCGCCGCCGCCGCTTTCGTCGAGAACAGAGACTGGCCCGCAGGTGTGCCGCCCTGGCCCTGGTATGCGTAGTAGGCGCCGTAACCGACAATGCCCGACACGAGCGCAACGGACAGCCGCCGGACGTGCATGGAGGAGTGGAGCGGCTCGCCCGACGAGTTGGGCGGCGGTGGTAATGAGGACGACGACGATATACGCGACGATCGCCGCTGCAGCGAGTGGACAAACGGTGTCGACGAGAGGTAGCGCACTCGCTGGCTGTTGAGGGCCTGGTAGTGCTGGTGATTGTGGGGATTGTGGTGGGAGGCGGATTGGAGGAAGAGGGCGGCGGAGCGGCGGTTTGTGCGTTGTAATAGGCCACGGACCGTATGCTGGCTCGTTGTCCGGAACGCCCGTACTGCTGCGCGACGCATGAGGGCGGTGGAGGGCGAGGCTGATGAGAAAAATTCAAAGGAGAAAGCACGTCCTAAGGAAGCCTCCAATAAATGTCGACGATGGCGAGACGGGAAGTTCTAAAACAGCAGGGGTTTGTGGTGAGGTATGGCAGTTCGGCAGAGGCGGTGTGAACTGTACATAGAGTGAGATATGCTTGTCGACTTCATAAGGTCGATTGTCCCTGTCCGAAATATCCTTCACAATGATCTCAAGATCCTTTGAAGACGAGGATGCGGATTGGAAGCCGTCAGCGGAGAGACGGTGGCAGAAAGAGCAGGCAGGTGCCCACCGAGGAGGTGCTTTGCCACAAAAGAGGAAGGCGGGCAAAGACGGGTGGGACCTGGGGGGAAAGAGCGACGGTGGCGCGGGGTGGGAGGCCAGGCATGTATCAATTTGCGCGGAGCCAGGGCGAGTCTGGATGACAGGCCGGGATAGGTTGCTAAGTAATACGAATTAGAACCTGACTGGCTGAGACTGCGGAGCCAAGTGACAGGCGTTTGCACGCTGTAGTGGCATGCGACGTTAGCGCCTGATTGCGGCAAAAGCCTCGGCTTAAGGCCCCTATAGGCTCCACGAGTCACAGGCCGTCCTCTAAGTCACACCTTCCCATGTGCATTCAGCCTTGCTGTTGGGGACGACTTCTACGACGTTTTTTTATTTTTATTTTTTATATACAGTCAACTCACCGTCGGAGCTATTTCTCTGAAGAACGAGACATACTGCGTACGCGCGCACGTACGCAAACACACACACACACACGCACAATGGCTTCTGCACCTGTTGCTGACCAGACTGCTCCGGCTGGACCGGCCACGGCTGCCGAGTTCGAGGCATTCGACAGTTTTCCCTGGTCAAAGCATCAGGTCTTTTTGGTAGGAGCCTGGGGAGGTTTGGGGAAACGATTGCACTTTGGAAGAATGTGCAGTAACTGACAAGGAACAGCTTGGCCTCATTGAAACCCTCGGCGGCCCCGCCGCCCTCCGCCCCAATCCGACACACGAGGGCAGCGCCGCCTTCTGCCGCACCGTCTTCTTCCGCCGCCAGACTGGACGCCGCGTCGACTTCTCCCGCTATAATAGCTTCCGTGCCGACCATCCAGAGTACCCATCAATCGACAGGCGGTTGCTGAGTGCGCTGTATGCGGCGTCTGCCAGCATTGAGGGCGAGCTGGGGCTGGGCGACTTGTCCCTAGGCGGTAGCTCGAAGACGTCGTCAACGTCGGGGCAAGAAAGTCTAACGTCGCCCAATCCGCTGGCCTCGCCCAGCACGAACCGCAACAGGCGTCTTGCCGAGGCCGTGGCTGCCGGGCCCGTGATCAACCCTTTTGACGGGACACCAACACCACCGGTCGACGAGGAGACCAGCAATGGCAGTGGTGTGGACATTCCCTCGTGGCAGCGGAGTGCACCACGTAACACGCTCAAGGTCGATCGTGTGGCGACACCAACAGGGACGGGCGGGGGCGGTGCAGGTGCCGGCGAGGCGCCGTACTCGGACAAGTTCGCCAAGGTCGTGGAGGCCATTCAGACCGGCAAGGAGCTTGAAGGCATCAAGCAGATCCCCGACACGATTATACGGCAACCAGTACGTTTGCCACCCAGATGCCATACATACGACCTCCAAGTATCATGCTGACTATCCAGGGCATCTCGCCGATGGGCAAACTGAAGGCACCACGTAAGCCGTGGGAAACTGCCGCTTCGGCATCACCCCTGGCATCCGGCCTCTCGTTCATTGATGGCGCTCTGACACCTTCGGACGGGGAGCAGGGACAGCAGGAACAAAAACTGGGATTGGGAGGGGGCCAGCCTTTGGTAGACTTGGAGTTCCCTGAGCCACCTCCGTCACCACCTGCAGAAGGGGAGATACCGACAGAAGCAGACGGTGGGAGCAACCCGGTGGCTAACTAAAGAAAGGGAGGTGTATTTCAAAAGCGAGCATTATTGTTTTAATTATTGTAGTCTAAACCATCTGGGGCTTTGGCTGCATTTCGAGATTCTCAAATCGTGACACAAATCGTCATCTTTAATCATATCACACAGTACGGGGGACACAGCCTCAATATGTATCAATGATTTTTTATTATTTACTTGTCTACCCGATCCTCTTCCCCCCTCCTGTATATGTACAAAATATGCGAGAGAAAAAGGAATAAAACGAAACACTCGAAATGGAGCAAGTGCACGAAAAGAGACGCGGTAAAAACGAAAAGAGAACAACAGAAATATGGGGGGACAAAAAGGGGACAACGTTATTTTTGGGTGTAGGCGGTGGCCTCGTATGATGTTTCTTTTTCTTTGATTTTTTCTTCTTCGTTCATCCGCTTATGACTATCCTTTGTCGTTGGCCGTGTGAACGTGCCGCCACCCTATACGCCATAGGCGACCTGGCCCAGAGGCTTGTCCTCGCCGGTACCGGGCGCCATGAAGTTGGTCTTGGGGTTGCCGGATGCCTTGGCGGCGGAGCACCGTGCCATTGTAGGAGAGCTGTCGTCGGTTAGTAAGAAAGAATGAAATGAATAATGGAAACAGAGACAAGAGAAACATATGGCGACCGGGAAGTACGAACCTTCTTGAGATGACATCAGTAAAGTAAAAGTTCTCAATGACCTTGGTCAGCGGCGCACCCGTCGCCTTGGTGCCCTTGTTCTGGTCCGCCAGCTGCACCTTGCTTAGCTGCTTGAGTGCCACCGGCTCCACAACATCGTATGCGGCCAGTGCCGGGCTGATCTCCACCATGCGGTCGCGCACCTGCGCCAGGTCATCGTAGGCCAGGGGCACGTTGAGGAACTCGCTCGCCGCGCGCAGAATCTTCCAGTCCGTGCGTGCCGCACCGAGCAAGCTCGTGGCGGGTCGCGTCATCTGCACGCGACCCTCCGTGTTGACGTAGGTGCCAGACTTCTCGGTGTAGGCGGCACCGGGCAGGACAACATCGGCCAGCTGCGCACCCTTGTCACCGTGGTGGCCCTGATACACGACAAACGCATCCTTGGGGATATCCGCCTCGGTGATCTCGTCGGCGCCGAGCAGCCAGATGAACTTGGGCTTGGTCTCTGCGACGGCGGCCGACGGAGGCACGAAGCCAACCTCGTAGGCGCCGGCACGAGAGGCCTCACGCTGCAGGACGTTGTAGCCATTCCACTCCTCGGTCAGGAACGTGGCAGCGTTCTTCTCGACAAAGCCGCCAATCAGCTCGTAGAAGCCCTTGGCGTCGGCATGCTCAGTGACACCCGAACCCACAATGATCATGGGGCGCTTGGCGGCCTGGAGCTTCTTGCCGAACGGACCGGCCAGAGCCTTCTTCAGAGCGGCGTGGTCGGTGCCGAGGTGCTCGAACTCGAAAGTGGACTCGAAGGGCTCGCCAACAACGCCAATCTCCAGGTCGGAGCGCAGCCACTGCTTGCGGATGCGGGCATTGAGAACGGCGGCCTCGTGCCGCGGGTTGCTACCGACAATCAGGATGGCGTCGGCTTCCTCGATACCGGCAATCCGGGAGTTGAAGATGTAGTTGGAACGGACGTCGACGCCATGAGCGACAGGGGCGCTGCCATTGGGGGTGTCCAAGGCCAGATTGTCAGAGCCGAGACGATTCGCCAGGTCTTTGAGGACGACGAGCGACTCAACATCCACGAGTGCGCCGGCGATGGCCTTGAACTCGTTACCCTTGGGGGCAGCCTTGGCGAAGCCGTGGTTGATCTCAGCCAGGGCCTGCTCCCACGAGGCGGGCTCGAAGCGGCCATCGCGACGCACCAGGGGGATAGTGAGGCGCTGGGTCTTGAGGCCGTCGACAGCAAAGCGCGACTTGTCGTTGATCCACTCCTCGTTGACGTCGTCGTTCAGGCGGGGGAGGACGCGCATAACCTCGAGGCCACGCGAGTCGACTCGGATGTTGGAGCCGAGGCCGTCGAGCACATCAATGGACTCCGTGTGCTTCAGCTCCCAGGGACGGGCCTTAAAGGCGTACGGCTTGGAGGTCAGGGCACCGACGGGGCACAGGTCGATCACGTTGGCGGACAACTCGGAGTCGAGGTTCTTCTCCAGGTAGGTACCGATCTGCAGGTCGTTGCCACGGCCGGTCGAGCCGAGCTCGGGCATGCCGGCAATGTCGTTGGCGAAGCGGACACAGCGGGTGCAGTGGATGCAGCGGTTCATGGACGTCTTGATCAGGGGGCCGATGTTCTTGTCCTCAACGGCGCGCTTGCCGTCAATCTCGTGGAAGCGACCGCGGTCCGCACCGTAGCGCATCGACTGGTCCTGGAGATCGCACTCGCCACCCTGGTCGCAGACAGGGCAGTCAAGAGGGTGGTTGGCAAGCAGGAACTCCATAACACCCTCACGGGCCTTGTGGACCAGTGGCGAGTTGGTCTTGACGACCATGCCGGGCTGGACGGGCCACGCACAGGAGGCGACGGGTTTCGGCGCACGCTCGACCTCCACGAGGCACATTCTGCAGTTGCCGGCAATCATGAGCTTTCTACAATAGAAATATCTGTTAGCTGTATTTCCACCGATGACAGATGGTTGGCATATTTGCCGATCGTATGTCATATGCCATCGTTTCTCGAATGCAGTTGCGTCATCGGCTAGATTGGGGGATGCACGCACTCATGGTAGCAGTATCTGTAGGATCAACAGGTTAGATATTGTCACTCCAGAAGACAAAACGTGAAATCGTGGACCAGGCCAACTCACCTTGGGACCGTCGCGCCCGCCTTCTCGCAGGCCTGGATCAGGGCCGAACCGGCTGTATCACATTGTCAATATCTCGAATTCTCGGCCCCCGAAGTCCTCGTTCGGAGGTCATGGCCAGTTGGACAGGCTGTATAGCCTGGGCATACCTTCTATGGACACCTTCTTGCCATCTGTTTAGCCCCAACCTCGTTAGTATCACCATGCATGTCGTTGATAATCAACACAGGGGTTGTCAAGGCGGTCCGTACCGATTGTGAGCTCGACCTCCGCTGGTCTCTGTGCTGTGGCCGAAAATGCCCGTGACGCCCGGACGGCGTGTCTGCCGGTCCGCAGCGCTGTCCGGGAAAGGGCTTGCCGGAGCATTGTGGTTGTGTGGGTTGTGTAGTGGGTGGAGGTGGATTTCCAATCCGAGGCGATTATGCGGGAAAAAACCAGCAAACAAGCCGCCGTGACGGTTTGCAACGGAGAGCCGGAAGAGGGCGGCGACGGGACAATTGGTGCTCGGCAACCGATAAAAACGTGATCCCGATGATCAGGAGTCGTCGTGGAAGGGGGCGCGTGCGGTCGTCGGGAGCCTCGCCTCGTTGCTGCTGCGCTGCGTGTCGTTCGTTGCACACTGTTGGGATTTTTCGAGGTGGGCAAAATGGAGACAGCCAGGCTGGGACAAGGGAGCGAATTGCCTTTCCGCTGAGAGCGGCCGCGATTGGCTTCGGGCGGCCTCTGATTGGCCAGAGACAACAAGAAAGACCCCACAACCGGAACGAAGCTCAATGGGCGGTGTGATTGGGCAAAATCTGGCATGAATGGCTCCAAGTCTTCCGGTGTTCGTTGAGTGTTCTTACTTTACAGGCGGTAACTGGACCAGTATCAAGGACATATCCGATTCTATCCAGTTCAGACTTGGTAAACTGCGTGCTTCTTTATAAAAATCTTGGGATATTAATATCGCCCAAAACAACACACATATGTACCGTATTCGACCGCATTCACGTGACATATCACACTAAAGCCAGCCCCTGAAAGTACCTGTAGTTCAGCGACGATTGTGACGTGGAGTAGGTATTACTTTGTCTCAGAACAGAGGCCCCGCTTTATTTTTATTTCAGACCTTTAAAACGGAAGGCGCAGTCCTTTTTTTTCTGTTTCTACTCTTCTCTTCTTTCTCTCCATATTGTACTACGGGCACATTTTATTGTAGGTGAGCTTGGACATCTGTTTGCACGCGAGCAATCGCGTTACAGCAGTTTGTTTCAGTCGAGTCCCCCTCTATCTTGTGCTCAAGAGAGATTTTCTTTGAACGGCACCGTTTATGGAAGCATGGTATTAGCAGTGGCTTCTCCTCGTGAGAAGCTGTGGCCATGACCACCGCCTCTTACCGCCGGTTGCTACATTACTTGACACATGTTGGAACGACATTTACGACAACAGCCTGGCCTTCGGTCTGACGTGAGAACGATTTCGACGTTTTAGAGGAACGGACTGAAATTGCATTGCTATGGGTGTCGTAAAAGTCGTAGAGGAGGTATCTGGACGACATCGAAACATCGTGGCGACATCATGTCCCCGACATGGCTACATCTTGTGGCTCCTCTGCCGCTGTACCCGAACCAGAATTGGATCCCGGCCTTCCGTCTTCCGTTTCCGCAGCCGCCCGTGCTTCCCTGTCTCCCGGCAAGGAGCCGAACCGCTCGTCCAGCAATTTCTGCTCGCGCTCCAGATTCTCCGTCCACGTTGCTCGAAGTTGCCCCATATGCGCGTCGAAACCAGACATCTGTCCCAGAGCCTGCTCAATGACTTCGCTCAGCTGCCGTACCGATGCACGCCGCCCGCCGCGCACTTCACCCGCTTCGACTGGGAACCGCAGCGGCAGGTGTTGGTCCAGATAGGGTGCGGTGTTGTAGTCGACGCCAGGAACGGCTGGCGCACGCATGGTGGCGATCATGACGTCGATCTCGTCGTGCGAGATGGTCTCGTCGTCGTCGAGGAGGAGGTTGTCGGTAGGTGGCAGCCGATCTAGAAGAACACCGCCCTCTGTAGCCTTTCCCTTGCCTTTATCCGTAGAGGGTCTTGCACTCGTGGTACTCTCGGCCGGATTTGGCGCTGCTTCGTATGTTTCTGCCTCTTTCGCTGCGTCGGCTGATTCTCTTGCTTCCTTTGCTGCCCGTGCTTCCGCCATTTCCGTCTTACGTGCCATGGCGGCTCCGATAATGTGTCGGCGGTCCATATCCGCCAAGTACAAAAAGCCTTCTCGCACGCCTGTGCGGTAGTATTCGAGCGTGTCCAACATGGCTTTGGCGCGCTCGATGCGACTGCGCGGTGGGTCAAACGGCTGGGTCAAGTCGGCGTCGGCGCGGAGCGGCACGAACATGGCCGGAATCGCGCTGGTGACCCGTGTTGGCGGAAGCTTGTATATAGTCGCAGGTGGCGTCTCTTGGGCGGGCGACGATATGCTCTGTGGAGGCACTGATGACTGCAGGGTCGGTACCACCGGCGTTTCAGTTCCCTTCTCTGCTGCTTGTGAAGTTTGACCCTCGCCCATTGGCACATCAATGTCCGCCTCAACTGGCGAGACTACGACGCCGTCGTCACTCATGATGGGCCGAGGAAGAGGTAGCCAGGCCGGGTAGTGTTATTACTTGGTCGACTGCAATGGGCGGCATTCGGAAGGGCCTCTTGAAAACGTATTATAAGTCGTGGCAGTTCATTTTCGCCAAGAAAGCAAGAAACGTAGATGTGTAAAGTGGTTGCGATTCTGTAGCTGTTTTGGAGCTTTATCTGGCGAAGCAACCTATATTGGCTCCCCATAGCACCTATATTGTTAGTATTATGTAATTCAAGCAATGAGTTTTCTGGGTGGCATTTCAATTTTCTATCGTGAGCTGAATGCTTGAAAGGCATTTTAAATTATTTATTCCTCTTTTGGAAAATGTATAAAGGTTAACTTTGATATTTTACATTTCACAATTTAAAAGATCAAGAAAAGCGAAATGTAAAGGGTATATGTGTCAAATGCGAGACATTCAGGCCTACAATATTCTGGCTTCTGCGACGTGACGTCATCCAAGGCGCCAAAGTCAATCTCGTTACATTTTGTACAGTGAAGTAAGTGATGATATGTACAAGTAATGGCTAAATAAAACGGCAAAATGTATATGCAGAACAGTAACCCAAGTCTTATAGTAAAATTACACGCAATGGTTTTGCCTCGTGTAGGATGCAAAGTCTCGAGACACCAACAGCGCAGACATTCCTTGGTTACCGTCACCTTGATGGTAAGATCTTCCGGATGTACTCGCGGAGCACCCGCAACGCACCGCGGACGTGGTCTTCCAACCGCCGGTCTTTCCGCCGACGCATCCAAAGCAGTACAAGAGCTAGGACAAAGAGGTCCAAGGTGGCATGTTTGAACAGCGCCCAGGCCAACCAGCCAAACCAAGCTACGGGGCTCTTCTCGCGGCGAGACCGGAACTCCCGCCCTGATGTGATTTGTTCACGCAATGCTGCAATCTCGGCCGAGAGCTTGACCATGGCGCGCTCCATCATTTTGGACCACCGTTGGCTCCCACGTTTAGCCACATCACCAGAGTCTGCTCCAGCAGCAGTGGCTGCCGCTGCCGCAGCACCGGACCTCTGACTGCCCCCTCGGCTGCCTCCTGGACCGGCACCGTATTGGCTTCCATTGTGAACTGTGGTAATACCGCGCCGCCGTCTTCTTGCTGCGGCATTCCCACCGTCTTCATCCTCTTCCTCTTCGTCACCATCGTCGGCGGAGGCTGCTGCCTCGAGCTCTTCTTCGATCATGCGTATGCGGTGCTCCCGTTCGGCCTCGTCTTCCTCGCTCATAGGACTCAAAATTTTCATGGGCCCGCCGTCCGACGCCGTTGCTGCTAGGCTTGGTCGCCGGTGCTGCCGCTCGTTCTCGTGGTCGTGGTCGTGGTCGTGGTCGTGGTCGTGGTCATGATCGCGGGTATGGTCACGGTCAAATTTGCGATCGCGGTCGCGCTGGTCTCGATCTACGTAGTCTCGTGTGTCGTAGTACTCGTCCTGTCGTGGGGACTGGGGCATGCCGTATAATGTGTCTTTCCGGAAAGAGCCAGAAGAACTGGGGCTGTGGTTGTCCTTGATCTGGTTCCAGACAAATTCGAGTTCGGCAACAAGCTCGTTGGCGGTACTATTGGCAGGCACGAGGTGAGTCCTCTGTTAGCTTCGGCTCCAATGCAGTCAGCAAGTCAGCCTGGATGGCAGGGCAGCTTACGGTGTTGTGGCATAAGTGTGCATGGTCTCGATCAGGCTCTCAATGTAGCGGCGCTTGGCCTCGGTCCGGCCGAGTCCTCGTTGGGCATTCCACGCATCCCACTTGTCCTGTTCGCGGCGCAGCTCGTCGACGGCGAGTCCGGAGTAGGCGTTGGGCCGCTCCATAACACCGTCGATGTCGCCCTCCATAGCTTGTTTGTAGAGGCCATAGAGGCGCATACGGTCGCTAGGTGGTGGGCGGGCGGCGCCCGTCTTGGGGATCTTCTTGACGGTGTTGAGCGCATGGACGAAAACGCGATCTGGGACGAACGGAAGAGATCGTGTCAGCATTGGAACAATTTGGCACAAGCCGGTGCCGACGGTGTGAGGAGAGACGTACCAACTGAGTCGGCCATGGTTGGCAGTTGCGTGAGTGTATTGGGGCTAATCGACGGATGCAGAAAAGGTGTTGGCGGGATGTGATGTCACGTATCACGGAGGACTGTAGTCCTCGATAGGTCCACAGCGCACGCTTCCGAGGCCTCGTCAGGCTTTGTTGAAGTCGCCCAATGCGGGCTATGCGCAGGAACAAGGGACGGTGATGAAATAGAAAGACGAGAATATGCCGTGTAACAAGAAAGGTCGACGCGCGTCAGGGGCGACGGCGCGTGAAGCAACTGTATGCAGTGAGAGCTGTGCTGGTGTTTAGTCTTCCAGTGTTTTTGACTAGTCCGTCACCGTTGAGAAGAGCCGAGGGTAGTCGCTGGCAACTATTGCAACGTCAGGCACACACGTCGTCCCGTTGGGAAAGAGCGACAGACAGGGGAGGCGCGGAATGGTAATCACCATGACAAGACCAGCAGGAGCGATGGGGAATAGGACGCTACAACCATCACAAAAGAATGAAGATAAAAGGCAATGGCGATGTTTTGACGCGGGATGGTCCTTACTATGGGCGATTCTCAGCTATTTGGCGGAGAAGGGCCTGGCCACGACACGCACTGGGGATGGATTGAGGTTCGTGGAGTGACAGTAGAGTAAAAGTGCGCAAAGACAGAAAGAGCACGTCTGTCGCTGGTAAGATACACGACTCTTTGGTTCGCTTGTGGAGGCGATGGCTTTCTTTGAACTGCCTCGGCGTGCGGAGGTGCAGATCCGCAGGGCCTGTCAAGCGCGTGCTGTTGCTATGTCGTAATGTAAGATAATTACTGCAGTGCTGCCGTGAATTAATTACAGCTCCTATATTGCCCTATATCTGATAGTCGCCAAAGCCCTATTAAACGCTAATGTTCCTGCAAACATCCTAGGGGCGCTGAATCATACCCCCAGCAAAGCACCCGGTGCCTGGAATGCCCCTGTAAATCAAGACGCTGCGCGCCGAGGCACGTGAAAGAGGTTCAACTATTCATAACGTCTCGTCCGTACGGAGTAAATATTTAAGCTCCTCAGCTAGGTGTACATAAAGTCGAGTACGTGCGAAGGGAGAGCTTCTGATTAGAAAACCCGAGCGGGGTTTAAACACTGCTCGACGTCTCGGTCGTGTCAGATTTATTTTGGTTTGATTTTAATTTGATTTGTTGTCGTCACATTTCTGTGTCTCCTAGCAGTTCTAGTCTGACGTGAAGCCTGGTCACGAGATCTCAAGCTTCAGGACGTGCTTGGCTTTTATCGCCATAGATGTTTGCCTTTTGGGCTACATAGAACTTCATCTTTGCCTTGTTCTCCAGCGCTCGTTCGGCAGCCTTTCCACCGGCCTCCTTCTTGCTCAGCGCCGAACCGTATCCGAGGCACTCCGATTTGCCCCAGGCGTCTACCCACACGGCCACCGTAAACAGCGGCATCTTGCTGTGTTTATCCCGAAGAACCTTTTTCGTAGGTGCATCTTCGTACCGGATTTTGACCTCTTTGCATCCGATCAGTGCAGCGAGCTGGACCTTGGCGGTCAATGTCGTTTTTTTTAGTGGAGGGAAGTCTTGGGCAGGTTCCTTCGTTGGTGTGCTTTTGTCACCTTGTGATGTGATATCAGCGTCCGTTGAGACTGGTGCTGTCGCCGTTGTTGTTTTTGTTGTTGTTGTTGTAGCCGGCGTGTTATTACCCGGGCTTGCTACTGCATTGGCGATCAAGGCTTGTATCGACAGTTGCGGCTTGTCGACCGAAGCTGCAAATGGTTGGGTATGCATCTGGGTACGACGGACGTTATACTTGCGCTCAATCTCTTTGGAGAGCGACATTGCCCACAAGGATTTGAGCCACCGCAGGGCGATTGTGACGCCGTCGTATGCTGGCACATTCGCAGCGGCTGGCGGGCGTGCACGAATCAAAGCCCCCACGTAGGCCTCGAAGAGATCGCCATTAACTTTTTCTCGTTCTTTGGCCGCCGCTTTGGTGCCGCGCGCTGGCGCGCTGTCTGTGAACTCAGCAGGGAGCCTGGCGCGCTTTTCAATTCCATAGTGTGTTGTATACTGTGCCAGGTTGGAGTTGCGTAGCAGGCCCTCTCGCATCTGCGATTTTCGTCCAGGCGTCAAGTGCGGAAACGTCTGTGTAATGATCTCAGAGGCGGCGTAGTAGATGAAAGCGTCGCCTAAAAACTCCAGCGTCTCGTAGTTCGCGACCTCGTTCCAGCCACGGTGTGTCAAGGCCATTTGTTCAAGCCTTTCGTCTGGGATGGGTGGCAATGGCGGATACTCAGTCGGAATGTCTTTGACTGTCCAGGCTGTCATGCTTACTAGACTTGGGATTAACGACGCCGGATTCTGTATAGGCACTGCCTGGGAAGCTGTGAGGGCAGGTACAACTAAGCTTGAAGCAGCTCGTGCTGCTGCTTCCGGTTTGTCGTCGCCATTTTGGCTGGCAGAAGAGCCCTCACTACCGAGCGTTTGAAGTACTGGTAATGTGGTCTTGTTCAATGTGAGAAGTCGTTCCAGAGGTGCGCCATACTCGCCAGAGTCGCCCAGTTCCGCTGCTTTCACGAAAGCGCGAAGCTCTTTGTAGTATTCTCGTAACAATGTGAGCTTTTCTGGTGGTATTAATGGTGTAGCCTTTTGCCGCTTCGATGTATCGCCAATCTCAACTGTGACGTCTAGAGATCGTTTTGACATGATGTCAAAGAATGCGGTGAGAATGCTATGAATGAAGAAAACAAAGCCCAAAAACATTTATATCACCAAAATTCATATCGAGACTAGCAACTTTTTTCGAGCTCCACAGTGCTGGGGTGTGATGTGTGAATATGCACTGGTATATTTGGACTGTGTGGATATGATGTCGACCAATTACAATCGGCATTTGTCACCGGCTTCTAGCGAAACTGCGACCAGAAAAGAAACCACCCGACGACCTTCCAATGCTTCTGCGAATTACCAGTCGTACGCTTTCCTGTCCCACGAACAACGGCGGCGCATTCTCTCCACGTCGCCAAGATGAGTGTCCCGCGCGCAAGACTGCTGGAGCTGCTGAAGGTAAGCATCTCAATTGACCCGTATCCCTCATCCTGCGACCCGACGGCCCATTGTACTTGGCCAAGCTGATCGAGCTGACGAGCATCACCAATCATAGGCCCAGTGCAGAGTCTTCAACATGACCTACAACCCTGAAGGCATCCGCACGGGCAACAAGGTCCTGCGCCAGAGACTTCGTGGCCCTGCCCTGGCCTCCTACTACCCACGAAAGGTCGTCACCATCCGTGATCTCCAACGCGAATTCGGCCCCGACTTGGAGGCATTCGACGAGTGGGACGAAGATCGCCTGGAAGGTCTCGCTAAGTACGTTTGCCTACACTCCGATACAACGACGCTCGTTAGTTTTAAGTCGATTTGTTCGGTACACTGACCTCCATTCTAGTCTCCGTGCCCGTGGCAAGGGCAACGCAAAGAAGAAGGCTGCCGGTAAGCTCTCCAGGAAGAAGTCAACTACCAATCTCGAGCCATGTGCTGACTCAAAGAAGACCCGAAAAGGAAATAAATGCAAAGCCAAACAAATAGAGCAATTGTACGATAGCGATGATGTTATGGGCCGGCAAGAAAGTCGCGCTTTTCGGTTAGGCCTGGACATGTTTGTACGGTTTTTTTCTGTCGAACCTTCCCATTTTGGATGTCGCCTACCACGCGAGATATACCAAATATACCAAACTTTTCATTTTCTTCTACCGTTTGTTTGGTTTGTCTTCATCGCTGCCTCCCTGACCGTCGAAAGCAAGCAAAGTCTCGGTCTTTCGCGCTGCTTGGCCATCGAGGTGCGTCGCGCCTGCTGTATATGGTCGTGGAAAGAAGATTAAAAGGGGTTGCTCGAGGCTACCACTCGGCAGAGGAAGGAACGTTTAACATAGCTGCACAGGTTAGCCTGCCGCGTCGGTACGATCGTAGGGCATTTTTTGATCTACAGTGTCTGCCGGTGCCTGCCATATTGGTTTGTTTGGGTCGAGAAGCGTCGTGCTTTCCTACTTGCTCTTCGCTCTTGCTTTTTGTGGTGCAATACTTAGCTCACTTACTTCCCAGCTCCTTCCTTTGGGGTCCCACAATCGGGCATATTGTGCCCAAGTGCTCTTTCCTTCGCAGTGCCTCTTGCCTAGTCAGTCGTGCTGAGTTTAATTCTCTCTCGGTCGATTTGTCCTGCTCTGATGCGGTGGTCTGGTTTGTAGCTTCTTGCCAGTGACTACATCGTCTTACTTTGCTTGAAGATGCTCCTTCTTTGCTCTCTTTGCCACACCCTCAATAATCCCTTGGCCAAGAAGCGCCGCGCCCCGCTTCAAATCACCTGTAACACGGCGACGTGACAGCATCTGTGGCAAGCCAACATGGCCGGTCACCGGCACGGAAGGGTGTGTATCCGGAGCGAGGGCAAATCTTGGTGTGTGTGCCCTTATCTACACCCGTTTATTTCTCTCCGCGCGTAAAATTTTCGTGCCACGCTCTTTCCTTTTGGGCATTACAACAATATTGCGCTTGCGACTCCCTCCTTCCGTTCTGGAATTTCATTTCGCGATACTTCCACCTTCTCCCTTTTCTCCTCTTCCTTCTCTATCTCCCTCCCCTGATCAACCAATATATCCCAGTCACTCCTTCCCTCTTGTGTTGTGTTATTTCCAGTTGTAGCAGGTGGTCGAGAAACGACACGATTGGTCTTTCCTAGGGAAGATAAGTCTTGGTTATGCCATAATACGTCCCATTTGCTGCCATATGTTTGTCCATCGTGTCTTTTTTGTATTCTTCTTCCCTTTGTCTCCCATCCACTCTTGACTTCTCGTCCCATACCCAAGTCTCTGTTCTGTGGTCCATAGTTTCTCTGCTTCTTCCGTTTGCTCTCAATTTCCACCATAGTCTACTTGATTTGTGACACCCTGTCCACACATCGCACACTTTTGATGTTCGATTGTGATTTCTGTTTCTCTCTTGTTTGTTTCTGATCATTCCTCATTATTTCGCGGCGGAATGCCGATCAGTCACTCCTTTACCACATCAAAATCACCAAAAAAATCTGTTGTGTTACCTTCTTTCAACTTACACGCGTTCTTTTCCTTCCTTGGTTTATTTCACGGATCTATTGCGGCATCTGCGTCGTCATTTTTGTCAGCTGCGTGTGCAGACAAGTCTTCACTGTGCAAAACTAGTCGACCACCTTGCTCGAACAAAGACCATCTGAAGCAGAACCGTTCTCGACAGCTATGTCTCCGCGTCATTCTACTGGATCTCCTCTTCGGCGTCACAATTCAGGCTCTCAAGGGTTTGGCCAGGACGAAAATTCTCTCGGCTATCCTGACAACCACACGGTACATAGTTCTCAGGTAAGTAGACACAAGTACCTCCCCTTTTGGCTTTACACGAGTGTCGGATCTCGCTCCAATTCCGACTAAATATCGGCATTCACTCTCATAGAAGCGTTACTACGACAATACAAGGAAGAAATTGATACATAATCCTAACACTTGGCTTATGATTTCTGTTTAGAATTCGTTCTCAAGCATGCGAGGAAACGTGGTGACTTTGACCACGAACAAGCTTGCCAATCAAATGGGACCCAAGGTGCGTCTTCTGCATCGTATTCGATGTATTTAATAAAGAAATACGTCAAACCTTGCAGAAGAGCTTTTCTTTCTCATCGAGACACCTTGCTGACATTACTTTTTTAGAAAACCCACGAGTCTTCGACTCCCCCCACCGTCTACCCTATGGACACTCTTCTTGCCAAACTCTCAGAGCAGCAGGCCGCTATCCGTGAGCAGAACGATGGGCTGAAGCGGGCTGAGGAGGATGCCTCTTTTGCCAGAGCCATGGAACAGCAGCAAGGTTGCAGCTCACTGCCTATCACTCCTGGCATTAACGGCCTCCAAGGATCATCTGCTTTGATGCTGCGCTCTTCCAGTGCCAACCAGCCGGAAAGTTCAGATGAGGTACTCCGTCTCAAGCTTCAGCTGGCTCATGCACAAAACAAGATCAATATCCTTGACAACGAATTGGCGAATACCCGTTCTATCAAGTCAGATCCGTCTCAGGCTCTATCTCTGGCCAACACTGACCCTGATTTTCCGTCGGTCCCACTGTCGGACCAGATTGCCCCTCCTGGGATGATTGGCCTTCGTGCCCCTAGTGCAGCCCGACCTCTGTTCAATCGTGAAAACATCTGGGCGCAGGCAGATGAGCCTCGTCTTGAAACTCTTGACAACCCCACAGGTTCTATTGGCCGCGCTCGTAGTATGTGGCGTGATGATATCAAACAGGGTGGATTTCAACAGTCTTTCCCTAATGGACCCAGCTCGGTTCCTATTGGGACAGGCCCTTACACCTCCCAACCGGCTTCCATCTGGCCTCCTAGCCGCCCTGGCCATCAAGCATTTTTTGATGCTAACCTTCCAGGTTTCAGTGACACCCAAGGTGCTTTGGATGACACTCGTGGCCGGATGACCCCGGATACCGACCTGCTTCTCCGGCCCCAGCGGCCTGGGAATAGATCTGATTCCCGCAATCCCAATACCCAAGCCTTCAATGGCTACAGCAACTTCAACGCTGGGCAGGTTTTGTTCGATACCAACCCCGGATTTTTGACGGGGGGGAGTGGCCCGAACATGAACAATAACAGCCTCGGCATGTTTCCCCAATTCCAGCAGCCGCCTATCGGGACTCCGTTGTCGCCTCATGCTACGGAGTTTAACACCGACACTGCGTCGTCTTGGAAAGAGGTGGGTTTCATTGGTTCCCTGTCCCTTTCCCATCGTGTTCAATTTTGTTTCACTTCCTTTCTTTTTTGCGTCCTTTTTTTACAGCTATATCTATGATATGCTTGCATTGTTGATTCGATTTACTAATGATCACCCCTTTTTTTTATTAAAATAGTCCACCATTCCAGATAACCAAACTTTCCTGCCAACGACCGAGCCTCTGAATTACCGTCGCCTGCTTGACCGAAACGTCAACTGCAACTAGAAGTATATTGTTGACAAAATCGTCAGTAGCAACGACCAGCAAGCTTCCATCTTCCTTCAGCAGAAGCTCAAAGTCGGCACCTCGGATCAAAAGTATGACATTGTTGAGGCCATTGCCGCCCAGGCGTATCCCTTAATGATCAATCGCTTTGGAAATTTCCTGGTCCAGCGCTGCTTCGAGCACGGATCCCCCGAGCAGATTGTTAAGATTGCCGAAGCCATTCGTGGCAATACGCTCAGCCTCTCGATGGATCCCTTTGGTTGCCATGTGGTCCAGAAGGCGTTCGATTCGGTTCCTGAGGACTACAAGGCAATCATGGTCCACGAGTTGCTTCGCCGCATCCCTGAGACGGTTATTCACCGCTATGCTTGCCATGTCTGGCAAAAACTGTTTGAGCTTCGCTGGAACGACTCTCCTCCTCAAATCATGAAATACGTCAACGAGGCACTGTGCGGGATGTGGCATGAAGTTGCTCTTGGTGAGACAGGAAGTCTTGTTGTGCAGAACATCTTTGAAAACTGCCTAGAGGAAGACAAAGTAAGCTGTCGACACTCTGAAATGTGCATTTGAACTTACAAAGACTAACCTACCCAGCGTCCTTGCATTGAAGAGGTTCTTGGAAACATTGACATCGTAGCCCACGGCCAATTCGGAAACTGGTGTATTCAGCATATATGCGAGCATGGTGCCCCTGGTGATCGTGGTCGCGCCATTGACCATGTCATCCAGTTTGCGGCCGAATACAGCATGGATCAGTTTGCTTCGAAGGTGGTCGAGAAGTGTCTGAAGATTGGCGGAGCCGATTTCTTAGGCCGCTACTTGGATCGCGTTTGTGAGGGCAGAGTCGATCGGCCTCGCATCCCGTTGATTGACATCGCCAGTGATCAGTACGGCAACTATCTCATCCAGTACATCCTAACGCACGCCAGCACACAGCACAGAGAAGTTGTTGCGGCCCACATTCGGAAGCACATGGTATCTCTCCGTGGCTCCAAGTTTGGATCGCGTGTTGGTATGCTTTGTACCAACCCGGCTGTTGCGACCCGTCCTGGCCCTGGTGTTGGACCTTCTGTTGGACGGCTGCCTCCTCGCTACGGTAAGTAACCAGATATTCACTGGCGTACACGACCGTGGATCTGACATGATTACACTCTTCTGCAGCAGGTGCTCCGCCGTCTCGCCAGCGTGCTGCTGGTGCCCCCGGACTTTACAACGGCGAATAGAAGGCTCAGTTCCCACCTTTGTTGCACTCTTTCGTCACCCCCCCTTTCTTTTTCTCCTACCGTTTCCACTTTCCATTTATTTTCGGACATTATTTCTATGCTTCATTTGCAATTGCTGTGTTTCCCTTATCTTCTGCCCACTACTCGCTATTTCAACGCGCAGAGAGTTTTCTATGACCAGCTCGGCCACATCATGTAACTGGTTCTCACTGAGAACATATTTCCTATCTTCTATTTACAAATCACTCGACATCCTACACTCGACAGGCTACTGCCCGAATCGAATGCTTTGGACACAGCATGGTTATTGTTTTGCAATATTCAAATCTGTACTTACATAAGTACACGTGTTGCCACAGCTGATCCCAGGCTCGGTATCGGTCGCGGCACACCACACTTCTTTTTTTTTATTTTTCGTTTTCGTTTTCGTTTTCGTTTTCCGTTTCTGTTTATATGTTTTTACGATGTGATCCATCGCTAAGCCAGAGAGCTAAGTCTCCTCGGCTTAAACAAAAGTTGAAATACATTTCTTCCAAATATGGTGGCCGGGGATGCGTTGCCTTCGTTGTTTGCCAGGGGAGGACAGGAGATGGCGAGTGGTGTGCACCAGCAGTCAACAAGGAAGATGTATTTTATAGTTTTGTTTTACTTGATGGCAGAAAGCAACGAAGGCAGCCTTGTCATACACTTGCATGAGATAATTGTTGTTCTTGTATTTCTATATGAAAATCCAAAATCACATCACAGGCTTCTTTAGACAACAGAGTCCCAAGCATGCTTGTAAGCCCCCAGTGAGCCGCTGCTCGGAACGGAATGTATCTCACACACAGTTTTGTCTCTTTGAAACCCATTATCGTTTAATGGCTGCACCAAACTTAGAGGTGAGGATCAGTTACGTGTATGGAACCAAAGATCTTTTGATTGAGTTCAAGGCCAAAACTAAGCCCCTCTTGTTCTGTGTTTGTATAAATTGCACATTTTCTGTGGGTATGGGAGACGGTACACTCCATGTATTCCAGTTGGGTCGCCGCGTTCCTTTTCTCCTCTATTTTCTTCTACTGCATTTGTAGAGAAATTCATTCAAAAGTATTTATTTACAAGACTATCCCAATTTTTCTTTACGAGCTGCAGCTACATTGCATAGCCCTCTGCTTCTCCGGTACATCCTGTGTCCAGCGAACTTCCTCGAGGGCATCACCCTGGTAGGGCTCGCTGCTGCCGTCAAACGTCTGGCCATTCCACTCATCGGCAAAGGGGTGCAGCGCCATGTGCATAATACGGCGCAGCACGTCGCGCTCGCCGTCGCGCTCGACGCGACGAATGACCTCGTCCAGCACCCAGCCGCGGGGCACAAAATTGGGATTAACGGCTTTCATGGTGCGGATGCGGCGCTCCTCGCGTTCTTCGCTCGTGGTTATGGTGGTGGTGGTGGTGGTTCTGCTGCTGCTGTCCGCCTCGGCTGCGGCCTTGTCGCTGGCCACGACCCGATCCCGCCAATCGGACAGCCACTCCGCCACAAGACGCCGACCGGCCTCTTCACTAACAGCGGCCGTGACACCTTCGCGGTAAAAGAACATCTCGGCGGTATGGCGGCGAGCCTCGGGCGTCTCAATGTCAGCAAGGCGCACGGAACTCAGGCGGCGGAAGAACATGTTGAAGTCAAGCTCGATCTGTTCCATGACATCGAGCAGGCCCGTGATGAGCGGATCCATGTCGCCCGTGGCGGCGAGGTCCTTGTGCGCAGGAGCGGGCAGGCCCAAGCGGGCCATGAACAGGCGCTTGTACTCGGAGATGAACAGGTTCTTGTACTCTTCGCCAACGCGCATAATAATGTCCTCGGCGTGCGAGGCGAGCTCACCGGCAGCACGCTCGACGCTGGGCGGGATGGTCGCCGGCGAAGCATGCGCCTGCTGTGATTGTGGTGTTGGTGTGGACGACGGGGCCTCCACATCGGCTATTTTGCCACCTGCAGCAAGGACGTCGGCCTTGGCCAAGCCAATGATACCCTCTTCAATGAAAGACGGCTCGTCGACCCGAGCGCCGGCGGCCAGCAGCTCCCCTAGGGCCTCACCAAAGCGCACGAGGTTCCACCAGATGATGGATGGTTGGTTGCGATAACTGTAGCGTAGGTGATGATCGTCATGGTTGGGTGTGTAGGACGGGTCAAAGTTGTCCAGGAAGGCAAAGGGGCCAAAGTCAAGCGACAGGCCTAGGACGGACGTGTTGTCGGTGTTGAGCACGCCATTCATGAAGCCATACACTTGCCAGTGGGCAACTGTACGCGCATTGCGGCGCACAATCTCGCGGTAGAGGCGAGCATACCGGTTCTCGTCCGTGCCAGCGGCAGGGCCATCGGGTTCGATGGGACTTTCAATGGTGTCCCAGGGAACACCCCGAGGAGGGTGCAGCAGGCGCTCTACGCTGTCATCGTCGGGAGACAGCTTGTCAGCTAGACGACCAGGCAGCTTATCCCAGCCGCCGTAGACGGTCTCAGCGACATAATCGGCAAGCTGGCGCGTCAACGGCCGGTCGCCGCGAGTACGTAGCAGGTCAAATGTGCCAAGCCGCAGCCAGCTCTCAGCGAAGCGGGTGACGATGGCTGCAGGCTCAAGGCGCTCGCGGTGGACAAGAACGTTGGGCAGCAAGGTCAGAGCAAGGGCACGCGTGGACGGGATCCCAAGGGCATTGAGCGACTCGCTGACGACGAACTCGCGGATGCTGCTGCGCAACACAGCTCGGCCATCGGCAAAGCGGCTGTACGGCGTCATGCCAGCGCCTTTGAGCTGGATTTCGTACGACGTGGGCGGCGGTTGTGCAGAAGCACCTTGTGATACAGGCGGCAGCTTCGAATCGAGGGACACTGGCACCTCGAACAAGCTAATCGCTCGTCCATCGCCCAACTGACCGGCCCACTGGCCGAACTGGTAGCCGCCATAGCACTGGGCCCAAGGGTATCCCGTTTTGCTAGCCGACTGTGACGGCAAATCGGAGGCCGCTTGGCTTTGCTGTTCACTCTGCTCGGCGCTTTGGTTTCCACCGCCTCCCCCTTCCTCTTCCTCCGCCGCAGCTTCGCCGCCTTCCCATCCCCAGAGCTTGTTGCCGGCCACGGTTTGACGGAAATCGTCCGTGCCAGCCTCAGACTGCTTAAGGCCCAAGTCCCGCAGCGCTGCCGGTGAGACGGCCAGCAGCTCTAGGTTTTCTTGGTGCTCCGGTCGCACAAATGTGTAGAGAGCGCCACGCACTAGCCGCGGGCCGAGTTTGGTACGAACAGCGCGATGCGAGGACAAGGGCGTAGGGAACTGCAGATCGGTGGGCAGCGACTCAGTGAAGCGCCAGGTCTTTGGGAGGGAGGCCAGAGTGTGGCCGGAGTCGTTGGGGGAGGACGCCATTGCGGCGGGAGATGCGAGGAAGTGCCGGCGGCGGCCAGGCGTGTGGGCAAGGACGTCGGCACCGCCCCAAAGACGAGAGACGGGCCCAGCCAGGCGGAGATGCGGTGTGTGCAGGGCACAGGTCACAGCAGCAGCAGAGACGGCGACGTGTTGGCAGCTGGCTGCTCTTGATAGCATAGGCGACGGGTGAAAACGGGCTCGCTGGTCCGTGTGAGAGAAGGCTCGATTTCTTGCAGGGCACACTCTTGGTATTCTGAGTGGTGCTTCTCGAATACATATATCCAGAATACCAAAGGGCAGGTCGGCGTTTCAAGGGCGAGCGTGGGACGCGCAGTTCCTATGTACTCCCATAAGTCGATACGTCTGTCTTGTTGCGACGTCTGGGGCTTTCCAAAGGGTATAGACCTTGATAGATGACAAAAGTGAACACACACGAGAGTGATATGCAAACAAAAAAGGTAAGAAGGCGGCCTGTTGCAACGGAGGATGACGGAGTGTGCAGGAGCGTTCGACAGTTGCGGTCCGGTCTTTGGTCCCAGCGCTGTCGCGGCAGGAGGCAAAACAATACGTCAACGGGCGGCGAGCCCCACTCTTGCGCAAGTGCGCTCGGCGTAGCGGGGAAAAGTGACGAAAGCGAGGGGAAAGAAGCGCGATGGATTTAGCAGGGCAGCCCGTTGGACGGCAGGAACGGAGTTCAGGAACGGGTCTCGGGGTCTCGAGTTGTCGCTGGGTAGCGCCTGCTTTTTAAAGGATCACCGTTCAACGTACGTCTTTGCCTTTCCTCTCCTATTTCATTTTGCATTTTGCATATGGACAAAACAACGGCACACAGCATGCAATAAACGGCTCTTTCATTCGTTTTGCGGGTCCTTGCAGTTGTCCTCGGCGACTACAAATCAAAAATTCAGCCAGCTGTAGAATGCACACAGCAAGCCATTCCACGGCGTCCAGTTCCATCCATGGTGACTTTTGTTTGAAACCTCTTCCTGCGCTTGAATTGCTTACAAAATATTGGAGGAAGACAGGATGCTGAGACACTCTTGAAGAACTACCGAATAACACATCAGTTTCCGCACTCGGGTTTGTTTTGTCATGTTTTCCGTCTCGAGGTGCACAATCTGATTTGCCAGCTGCATGGCACCGTGTATGAGGGCCTCTCTGGTTTCTGAATTTGATCATTTTGATCATTATTTTTGATTTGTCCATTCGGGCTATTTACTGTTTTCTCTCCTGGAAAGTCATACAAAACCTAACCCACACAAGGTTCTTTGGCTCGTCTTTCCCACAGACCCCAGAACACATGTGTATCGGGCATTTTGACAGACACTTGTTGCCGTCCGCTGTCCGCGGAGTTCATGCATTAGTATATCCACATATTTTGAGGTGTGACTCCATTATGTTCCGTATTTTATGTCGACTGCTTGGTTGCTGTGTCTTGTGGTATCCGGCGTTTTCTTCGTAGCCCTCGCGAGTTCCCCCATGAGTCCCGTCGCTCTAATCCTTTGTCCTGCTAATCCCCCCTTCCTATTGCGTCATCATTGAGCTTGCTTGCCCAGCTGCCATCACCAGAACTTCTGAGCTGCTTAAGGCGCAACCACCAAACGACCTCTGCAGCAATCGGGGTGCCACCGGCGCACACCAGACAATGCCCCCATTTATCAAACTCTGTTCGTGCGACGGCTGTTATTCTCCGCTCCGCACCGAAAGAGTGAACTCCCAGCTCCCTTAGACTTCCTTGCTCCCTTGACCCAAATGCTCGCCAGCTCATGATTGGCAAACATCCTAAAACTTGGCTAGCTCCATCCCGGACTGACGCCGACACACGCAGACTGGGTAAGATCAGACTGGGTAAGATCAGACTGGGTAAGATCAGACTGGGTAAGATCAGACTGGGTAAGATCAGACTGGGTAAGATCAGACTGGGAAAGATCAGACTGGGTAAGATGCCAATCAAGTAGAGCATTTTTCTTTTCTTTTTCTACGATGTATGTGCACTTATTGGCGGTACGTCGATTTCCTCATTCGTGGCATTTATCTCGTCTCTTCTATTCTCCCAAGCACCAAACACCTCCTCTATCGGAAATCCCTTCCGCCTTACTGCCCCGCATTTCTTCAAATTCGTCTTCGCCCTCCCAATTGTGCCATCGACGATACCCAGACGTCTGACGGGCTATAGAAACAGGTAGAAGTAGAAACAGTATATAATCGGAGAGGTTCTTTCCCATCGTGTGCGTAGCCGATCCTGTAGCTCTTTCCTCCAACCTCTCCCGGCTCTTTCCCATTATAAATCGGCCGATCCTTTTCTATTTCCGTACTGTACTTTCCCATATTTATCAATGCGTCTCCCATTCAGTCGGACGTCTGTCTCTCCATCACTCGCTTTGTCTCGTCCCTCCTCGCCTATCTCGACAGCGTCGTTCTCCTGCCGCACCGCTGCGCCATTTCCTGCGCCCATCCGCCACTGCAGACAGTTTCCACCACCAAGGCGCACCTTGCGAACAACTCCCCTACAAATCAGAACAATGGCTTCTTCCGCTACCACGACCGCCGACGCCGCCCGTTTTGCCAAGTACCTCCCCGATATCAAGCTCAACGACGGCACCGAGATCCCTATTATCGCGTACGGTCTCGGCACGGCCAACTTCAAGACCAATCCCGCTTTTGAGCAGAAAATTGTTGACGACACTGTGAGCGCCATCAAGGCTGGCTTCACCCATCTGGACGGCGCCGAGGCGTATGGCAATGAGGAGGAGCTTGGTGCCGCCATCAAGCTAGGCGGCGTGCCCCGCGAGCGGCTGTACATTGTGACCAAGTACAACCCCAAACCCACCGGCACCGTCGAGGAGGCCTTTGCGCTCTCCCTCAAGAAGCTCGGCGTGGACCACGTGGACCTCTACCTGATCCACAGCCCCTTCTGGGAGGGCATCACGGACGAGCAGATCCAGAGCCGCTGGGCCGAGCTCGAGGCCATCCAGGCGTCGGGCCGCGCCGTCTCGATCGGGGTGTCCAACTTCTTGCAGAGCCACATCGAGGCCTTGCTCAAGACCGCCAAGGTTGTGCCCGCCATCAACCAGATCGAGTACCACCCGTACCTGCAGCACGGCGATCTCGTGGCATTCCACCGCAAGCATGGCATCGCCGTGTCCGCGTACGCCCCGTTGACGCCCATTGTGCGCGCCAAGGGCGGCCCTGTCGATCCCTTGTACACACAGCTGGCGAAGAAGTACGGCGTGACCGAGGGCGACATTGGCCTGCGCTGGGTCCTTGACCAGGGCATTGTGACAGTCACCACGAGCTCCAACTCCGAGCGCCTGAAGAACTACCTGCACCACCTGACAAGCTTCAACCTGACGCCCAAGGAGGTCGAGGAGATTTCTACGGAGGGCAACAAGAAACACTACCGTGCTTTTTGGACGCGTAAAATTGCCGAAGACGACCGCCGTTAAAGCGAATAGACAAGCCGAAAAAATAAAACAGAAAAGTATATTCGTCATGTTCCATATTGAGCTTTGACACGAGGCCGCAAAAAATACCAACATAAGATTCATTTTTGCTGCATGTCCGTTGAAACTTGATGTCCCCGCGTGCGTGGTTATAATTCATCGTCAGACTCAGAGTCACTGCCACCCATGTTCTGATCTTTGCTGCTACTAGCAGGCGGCGCCGCAGCAGGGCCAGTCTTGGGCTTGCCAAAGGCGAGTGTGCGGCGTGGTGGAGGAGCTTCGTCCTGAGCAGGTGCTGGGTCCAGCACTGCTTTCTTTGGCGCCTGCTTTTGTGCCTTGCCCTTGGCGGCTTTGGTTCCCTTTGACCTTTGCGACTGCTCTTCTTCCTTGACCTCGACATCCTCGTCCATGAGCTCAGCATCCTCCTCGCTTTCTGTAGAGACGTCGTCGTGCTCCGTTGTGCGGTCGTCGTCTTCCGACTGCGTGTTAGACGCAGCTTCGGCCTCAGCTTCGGCGGTAGCGGCCTCCTTGCCTTTTTGACGTATACTTCCTCTCGTCGCAGTGCCAGGAGCCTTCTCGAATCCACCCTCGTCGGAGTCCTTTTCGTCTTCCGACACAGCCGCTGCCGCGCGCCGCTTGGCGCCAGGTTTGGCTTTTGCTGTTGTTGTGGCCGCGCCTCTCCCAACTTTGCCAACCCGGCCGCGTGCCGCACCACGCCGGCCCCGCGTTGACGCTGGCGCGGGTGCAGATGTCTCGTCTTCCTCCATGTCTTCCTCCTCTTTGATCTCGGCCTCAGCCTCAGCTATCTTTGCGGCCTCCGCTTCCGCTTGACCCGCCATGGTGAGCTGCCGGTACTGCTGCCGGATCTTGGCCTTCTTCTCGTTCAGCAGTAGACAGAAGTTTTCTAGGAGGACCGCCTCGTCCGCTTCCTTGGTCTCCAGGAACTCGTCCAGCTGCGCTTTGAGGTCGTCTACCGCCGCCTGCAGGTTGCGTTGCTCTGCAGTGGCCGCCGAGAGGTCTTTTGCTACCTTTGTGCGCTCCTCCGCGACCTCACCGCACCACTCAAATAGCTCGATGCCTTCATCACCATCATACGTCAGAGAGAGTGTTCCCAAACGTTGCTGACATGTGGCTGTTAACATGTATGACATTTGACGACAATAGGAAAGAGAAGTAGCAGACGCCGGATGCAAAGCTTACAGTGATATTCTGGACTCTCTTCCGGATAGTGACGGTGAGCGTTGACTCCTCCTTCACCGTGGCCGTCGCGTCGACGTTGTCAACCGAGCCCTGCCCTAGCAAGAGAAACGAGAGGATCTGCTCCCACTCCTCTGGCGAGCAGGGCGCGTTCTGGCCTCGCAGTTTGTCGATCCGGTCATGCCGTACTGGAGGCGGGGTGGCAATAACAGAATATGATAAGTTTCGTGCGTTTGTTTCATACAATCCAGAACCAAACGGATCTTTACTAGAAAACAAGGGACCCTGCACTCGGCCGCTGGCTGGGGTAAACACACTTACAGGCAAGGACGTACGGGGCCACGCCCTCTGTGGCCACCAACCGTACGTTGAGTGGTCGGGAAGCCGAGCCAGATGGTGACACGCGGACGAGCACGAAGGACCCTTCTTCATCGGAGCGCGGCATCCGAACCACATGGGACGTCTGGTCCGCCATTTTAATATTTGGGGTTCCCTAAGCGGGGTGCAGAGCCGGTGGAGGCAAAGGGATAAAACGAAAAGTCGAAAAGTCGAAAAGAAAATACACCGACCAAAGCTCCAGCTGCAAGGGCTATATCACGGCGCGACGTGAGAGGGCAAGGGATAGCCAGACGAAGTGAAACAAAGCAGAGATTTGAGGGTCGTCGTGAAGCTGGAAGTCATATGATGCAATAAGAACGTCGATATATACCCCGGCGAGCAGGCATGAACATGCAAGATTGGTACAGGGAAATGAGAAGACGACGGCAGTCCGTGTGTCGCGTGCCGTATGCAATAGTGTAATAAGTGTAATATGTGGAACGTGAGGCGGGCCGCCAAAGTGAGAACAAGGGGACGGTCCACAGGACAACTCAGCAATTGAGTGAAAAGAGATAGCACTGCGTCTTGGCGAAGAAGTGCGACAGGCGATGGTTGTTTCTTGCGTCTTCCTATTTTGACTCGCGAGACCCTGAGAAACGGACAGCAGAACAAGTTTGAACGGCACAGCCTTATTCACTGCCTTATTCGTCGTTTAACATACGACATACAGGGTTGGCCTGAATACCCCAGGTGGATAAGATGGCGTGTTCTGACAGCCGGGAAGAGCTATCTGGGAGCCGGATATGATGCCCGACGACTTATGGCGTCGCAAGAGGTGAGCGAGGACAAACGGGCAATGGGAGGGTTGGAGGACGGCGGAAGATGAAACTGAAGTCGGCAAAGCAAGGACTGTGGGGATATTCTGGAACGTCTTTGTGAATAATTCTGGGCCACTATTTTTCTTCGCAGAGCGCGCCGCTATTCATTTAGGCAGCCATGCTCGTAAATGGGTTCCAGCCGTGCATTGCCTTGCGACCCAGCGTATGAAGTAGTGTAGGATAGTGCTGGGAACGGTGGGGTGCGTTGCAGCGAACGAATCGAAAAGTTCACGGACGTGTGATGCATGGACAGTGGTAGTTGTTGCGCCTCAGATCGATCGGAAGAAGAAGCTGAGGTGGTCGCACATGATTGGCGGACGACGGAAGTTACGAGGAAAGCACGAACTTTCGTTTTACAAGCTGACTGACTGCAGCTATCACGTGCTCGTCTGTTTAATACAGCAAAGTTAACCTACGACGTATGTTGTATCAATTAAATTTGGCAAGTGCATCAATCTGTTAAAGACGGCATGCATCGTGAAGGAAAGAGCTTGGCGTCGACTGCAATCTGGAAGTTTATACGGCGTCGGAGGAGGACGGAAAGAGGGGAAACCTACCTGAGAGCGGCAGGAACGCGTCTGTTTCGCGTACCTGACGCGCTGTCGGGCTGCTGTGTTGTTGGCCTTGGACTATTCCAGCCAATCCGAGACGTGGTTTGTACGCTACAGAGTCCGCTGTGGTGCAACTGCAACTTTTCAGAACCATCACTCGGCACTGCACCTTCTGCAACTGGATTGCGCATGCCATGTGGCGTCCAAGAATGTATGAATGCAGCCCTTGCATGGCCGCCACAGGGCTTATTCAGGCCGGACCTGCATTTTCAGCGCCTGTTTTGGCACTGAAACCTGTCTCTGTCCGGTCTGGGGGTCTGTTGACGCACGGGCCTTTAGCCTGCCCGCCCCTCGTCCCCCGTTGTTCCGTCCTCTGCCAGCCACATCAGGCCAGGAATGTCCACTGTAAAAATACCACTCTGCGGCGTAGCTGGCTCAGAAAAGAGCACGGATCAGCACTATCCCAGGTGCAACCCACCACAACCTCTCGATTTTTCGCATTTTTTGCTCGTTCGCACCTGCGTCACCCCTGCAAAATCACTCTGAGTGGTTGGCTGTGCCTTCCCCAACCACCTCTTTCCAACTCTGCCGCTCCATCGCGCTTTCTTCCATTCCCGCCCTGATTTTCTCTGCATTCCAAGATCTTCAAGCCAGCAAGCCCTTTTACATTTTACCTTGACACAATTCTCGACTCTCTTTTTGCGCTCCCGCACTCCTCATCGTCGTTTTGGTTTGTTTTCTTTGCTTTCCTTTGTCCAGTCGCTCTCGGAAAGCCCTCATCGCCGGGCTCGTTTGTTTTCGTCCCGTGTCGCGACAGTATTGCGCGGCCTCTTTTCGACACGGACCGACGACCGGGCGAAGATCCAGCATACGTAAAGGACGAGACGACAACAACAGCAACAGGAACAGCAACAGCCTCGACGACAATAATAGCAAGTACGGAAACAATAGCAGCTCTAGCCACGATACTGCAACGCGCACCCGCAACGTTTTGCAGCCAATATCTGCAGTGCCTCGCCATGTCCTAAGAACAGAAATATCACGGTTCCATTTCTTTCGCTTTCTCTCTCGCCGTCGAGCCGCTTCACAACTTTTAATTCGATATCAGCCTAGAAGGTAGACCACGATTGCACGAGCTATTTCAATTTCACACGACTCTTCTATTATTCCAACTGTTGGGTCTTGCGACCTGGGGAAATACGCCGCCGTTAAGACGTCCTCTTAAGATACTTTCCGTGTCGTTTGTGCGGACCCGTTACTCCGCCTGCGGGAAAACACTTCATTTCTGTTAAGATCAGGGCCCGGGAAAAGGAACTGAAGTGACGGACGACATACACGAATTCAAATTATTCGAAGACGAGTGACTTTTTTTTTTTCGCACACACGACATTACTTATTGAGACGCGTCTCTGGGCATCTTCACATATCGACTGCAACGCTCAGTCAATTTTTTTTTACCCAGCAGCACATGGCCACAGACAACTATGAAACTCTTCCACTGATTGCGTCTCTTATCCCACCAACCAACGAATCTCCAGTCTCCCATCTATATTTCACCTGCCCTCGCCCCTCGCACGCGACGTCGTCCCGGTCAAAAGCTTTCGTAGCTATTGGACGACAGAGCGAAGCGTTGTAATTAAACGAAACACACAAATTTTGACCGATCAAACACAACAAAATGGAACCATTGCGCCTCAAGCCGAGGCAACCCGTTGAGCATGTGGTGGAGAACTGGGACGACGATGACTTTATGATCGATGGCGACGACATCACCTTTCGCAGCTCTACAAACACTGCTCCATTGGCGCCTAACAGTCGCCGCGAGTCACATTCATCATTCCGTTCCGACTTTGAATCCATTCACGCCGACGAAGAGCAGCAGGTTCTGCTCCCGGGCGACGACGAGAAGTCAACGTTAGACGCCATTGCACTTGCCACCAATGCTGGCATTCCTCTCCCCACGAATGTGCCGCCATCGGCCCTCATGGGCGGCACGATCAAGAGGCTCGGAGGCCGGAAAATAAAAAAAATCTTCCAGGAGGACTGGGGTGACGATCTGGAGTTACCAGATGACCCGCAGCCCCTGCATATCAAGCCTCAAGACGGGTCACAGTTTCCCGACGTGTTGCGTCAAGTTAGCGGCAGCTCCACCCAAGCAAGCCCCGTCAAGTCGGCCAAGCCTTCACCAGCTCTTATTCGTCCGGAGTCGGTAGCACCTGCGCCAAAGACGTCCAGTGCCGCGTCTATAAACTTGGACCAGTTTCGGGATTCGGATGACGAGGACGACTTCTTTGGTGACGGTATCGCCACTATCAAAGTCCCGAAGACGCGTCAAGCACCCAAGCCAATATCCATGATTACACCCCCGACACCACAGAAGAGCGCTGGCCTCGATGACGACTTTGAACAAGACCTGGAGCTGCCTTCTAATGGAAAGTTGACCTTGTCAAAACGGAAGGACATCCCCAAAACGCCGTCGAACGCGCTCGACGATTTCGAGTGGGGCGAGGGAAGTCTGGGAACACGCTTCGGCGGAACCCGGCGCGACGGGCGCTCCAACCGCAGCTCTTCTGTTTCTGCTCTCAGTCCCAGTGTGTCAAGTTCGATCACTGCTGAGAGCGAGGGTGAAGATGACACATTTGATGGTCTTGTACTACCAACGGGCCCTGTCAACTTTGGAGAGAGACTGCAAAAGAGGCGATCGAGCCGTTCGCCCCAGCGGTCGTCCAAGGCGGCTGAGGAGCTTCAACCACGGCAGCCATCACAGACCTCGTCTCAGCCACCAGCTGCTTCTGCGGCTTCTGCGGCTTCTGCTCTGGGTATCTACCAAGCAAAACCCCGCGAAGCGGACAAAGAGGACTTTTTGACTGGCCTTGATCTTGGGGACGGCGAGGTTTTCGATACCAACCGCATGACCCTGCACCGTCATGTCCGGCTCAAGGAGACGCGGCCAGCGAGCCCTTCACGGCCCAAGGCTGCTGTATCCATTACCTTCACCAATAAGCCTACAACCGGGGCATCGCGGTTGCCGCGGCCAATGACCCACGAACGCACGCACACTGCTTCCTCTCTCGAGCCTGTCTCTGAGAGTGGCGGCCCCATTATCAGCCTTGCCCGGAGATCCCAGTCCCGCCTCGGCCACTCGGCACAGTCGTCTGTGTCTAGTATTCCCACCCCGTCTACCCCTTCCTCCGTTCAGTCTATGCCACCTCCTTCCACACCCCGCCGGCGCGAGCTTGGTCAGAAGACGTCAACGACGTCTTTGCGAAACGAGCCCACGACTACCAATGCCCAGCTCCTTCGCCTGAAGAGGTCACTGCCGGTCATGAGGCAAAACCCTTCCCCTGCGCCAAGGCCCGTTACATCACGCGGTGGTTATGAACGTCCTCCGTCGCGGACCGACTTCGGTGGCCGTCCTCAGTCTGCCATGCGCCCCAAGACGCCTACCGATCGCATGCGCCCGGCCGTAGAGAGCTCTGCTGCTCAAGCCAGGAGAAACCCGATGCCGTTTCTTCCGGCTGGAGCGTCACAATCTCAGTCACACCACGTCACGTCGAAAAGCTCGCGAACTTTCCGCCGCCATGATTCTGATACTGCCGTGGATCTGCGGCCAAGTTCCCGTACCGTGTCACGCTCTACGATGCAGTCGCCGAGTCCGTCAAAGAGAAATCGCTACGCGGATAAGCTGACACAAGATGGCTCTTGGCAGCAACTCAACAAGCCTCGCCGTCAGAGGCAATTTGGTGACGGTCATGAGCTTGACGCGTTTGATGACTTACCTACGTCCTCAACGGCAGAATCCCGCTTCCTGCGGCAACCGGCATCTGCTAATCCAAAGCTCCAGCTGCGCAACAAGATGTACCAAAACATTCTCCCAGATCGCACCACAACACCTTCCCCCTTGACGGTGTACTCGCCAACAACCCGGAACGACAACTTGCCCCATTTCGCCCGCGACACTGCTGCGAGTCGGATTGCGCGAGAGACCTCTATCGCGCAGCGCATGCCATCGGGATCTGGCCCTCTTGCGCCCCTGACCACGCAGCGCGTCGCTCAGCTGTCCACCCGCAACAACTACAATGCACCCATCATGCCACACCTTCCCCGTGATACCATCCGGTCGAAGAAGACGCCGCGCCGGGTCCCGCAGCTGAAGCCGCACCTTATCTCCAACTTGAACGGCGCCAAGGAGTCCAAGACTGTCAACGGCATGTTCTACAACCCTGTGACCATGCGCTGGGAAGGCAATGAGAATGCTCTTTCTGAGTTTGACCCTCCCGCATCGTCGCCTTCAACTGCGTCGATACCTCCGTACCTGCTTCGCGAAAAGGAGAACGCGACGCCTCGGCCCGCGCTCATCACTCCTATTGGCGCCACAAAGGGTGTCCAAGTGGTTGGTGGCATGGTGTTTGACCCCCAAAACATGTGCTGGCTGAAGCTTGGGCCCCAGAACAACACCCAGAAAGAAGGTGACGATTCTCTGGATGGGTTTAACGGAATCGACAGCGATGAGGACGTTTTCAAAGACATTCCGGACCTGGACGATGTGGCCGACACCACCGAGGCAGGCACTGGCCGGGTCAGCGACGTTAAGGACGATTGGCTGGTCGGCGAGGAATTCGACGTGGGCCCGGAGTTTATCCGCCGGCAACGCGAGGAAGAACAGCGGTGGAGAAAGAAGTGCGAGAGATGGATGGCCTTCGAAGACCGCAACCAAAGTTCTTGGCGTTGGCTCCTGCAGGAGATGGTTACTCATCCGATGTAAGACCGCCGAACCAGACTTCTCCCACGTTCTCAATCAATACCACACATTTCATACTAGCCGAGCGTTTGGGAACGACGCATTTAATACCCCATTCATTAGCATCACCACACACCCACCCACCCACTCACAACATACGACACATGAACTATTCCTTTGCCCCCTACCCTGCCTCCTGCCCACACCCCCTTCAACACTTGTACCAATATGTACGCATAAGGGTGTACGACCTGGCATTTCACATGTCGAGTGTCAGGATCGGTTCTTATCCACTTGGCTGTGCAGCATGGCGATGCTCCCCCAAGCTGAAATCCCTACCAAATTAACGGCGCTGTTTTTATCCGGGGAAAGCGGACGGTATCCTCTACCTTGGCGAGTCTCAAAAAAGCATATTCAGGCGTGTTATTTGGCTTTTGTTTTATTATCTAACTTTTTTCACTTTATGACATGATGGGTTTATGATTTTTGGTTATGAGTCTTTCTTCTCCTTTTCATTCCACCAGCCTCGTTATCTTGAGTGTCTTTGTTATTTTATGGTCTTTTAATATTGACAGCCGAAGCGTGGCTTTCGGGGCATTTTATGTATGGATTGCTTGTGCATACCATAGACCGGGGGAGAGGGGCGGGGGGGGGGGTTGAGTCGCAGAGAAACGGGGAGATAGAGATGCTCCAACAAGCACCTGAAAAGAAACAGTTAACATTAATTTCGTTGCGGTGACGACGGTGGGCGATGTTGATGTGACGCGAATGGCATATGATGCCAGTTCGACAAAGAAACAGCACGAAAAGGAAGCCCGTAGTGTGCAATGTAAATCAATGTTAGTAATAGTAAGTAGCAGAACAAAACACCAAACTCTAATGATCTTTAATGTGTACAAAAGATAAACATGGCCAAATCAAAATCCAACCTCTCCCCCCCAACCTTTTCGTTATGAAACGCTATTTACTTCCTCGAATGGATGACCGACTTTATCCTAGTTCCTATTTGCTCTTTCTCGCTTGTGCCGGCTTGCCTTTTTGCGTCTTTGGCGTCTTTTGTGTTACCGGCGTGGCCTTGTCCTTCTTTCCAGTAGTAGTAGGAGCAGCATCAGAGTCCGATGTGGCGCTCTCCTTAGCCTCCTCCGTCTCCGTCTTGGCCGTCTTGCCCTCCTTCTTCGTGGGCTTGCGGTCCAGCATGTGCGGATCCAGACCACGGCGACGCATGGCGTTCTTCCGCGCGCGGTCCATGTACTTGCTGTCCTCGTCTTCGTCGAAACCGCCGAAATCGTCGTCCTCGTCTTTGCCCTCGGCATTGTCCTCGCCGATAGGCATCTTGTCGCTGGCACGGATGGCGTCGCCATCGTCACCGTTGGTCTCGGCGTCGGAGGAACCGAAAGCGGCGGCGGCTTTGGTCGAGCCGCCCTCGGCGCGGACAGCGTTGGCCGGCGTGGGGGCAAACTTTTTGAATTTGGCGACGAAGAAACCGTCGACGTTTTGGTGGTGGGGGTAGAAGCGGCGGGTCTGTTTGATGGAAGGGTCAAAGGACTTGCCCATGAAGCTGGTGAAGCCTTCTTTGCCAAAGGGAAGACCAGTCTCGACGAGGCGGACGTTGGGGCGGCGCTTGAGGGCGTAGGCGACAACGGCCTCGTTCTCCTCAACAGCGACGGAACTAGACAGGTTAGCAAGATGTACATGAACAATATGCATTATTTCACAATTGGATAAAAATAATGGAGCACGAAAGGACATACCAAGTAGAATACACGAGGTAGCCACCGGTCTTGCTGGCGTGGTTGACCGAGTCAATGGCCGAGAGCAGCAGCTGCTTTTGGATGTGGGCCAGCTGCATAAAGTCCTTCTCAGTTTTGTTGGTCTTGACGCTGGCATCTTTGGCGATGACGCCCGTGCCGGAGCAGGGGGCATCGAGCAGGACACGGTCGAAGCCGCCCATGACGCGGGGGAAGTCGCGGGCGTCGTAGTTGCAGACAATGACGTTGCGGGCGCCCAGACGGTGAACGTTGCCAATCAGACCCTTGGAACGGGCCTTGGACGGATCGTTGGCAAAGACGACGCCCGTGTTCTTCATCAGCGCAGCCAAGTGCGTGGTCTTTCCACCAGGGGCAGCGGCCATATCGAGGACACGCTCATGCTCCTGGGGCGCCAGGGCCATGACGGGCAGGAAGGACGATGCGGCCTGCAAAATGTAGTGGCCGGCCAGGTACTCAGGCGTAGCACCAAGGGGCACGTTGGACTCGAACACCTGCAGACCGACCTTGCTCCACTTGCCGACAGGCTCGAGGGTGACGCCGCGGTTGATGAGCGACTGCGCCAGCTCACGACGGTGCGTCTTGAGTGTGTTGGTGCGCAGCACAACGGGACGGGGTGTCTCGTTGGCCTCGAAGAAGGCAAAGGCCTCGCGCGGCGGGAACAGGTGAAACAGCTTGTCGGCGAGGTACTCGGAGTAGCCGTAATACGCGCAAATGTCTTTGATCAGCTGGGCGACGTACTCGGTGCGCGAGCGGTCCTTGGCGGCCAGACGGCCCATGTCCTCCAAAACCTGGATGGTCTCGCTGATGCGGGTACGTAGCAGCTGCAGGTCGGGCGCCAGGTTCGTCTTGGCTTTGCCGCTACCGGCGCCCGGCAGGCCGTCCTCACCGCCCTCGCCGTCGTCCTCGCTCTCGTCAAACATGTTGGTGCCGACAATGTTGGTCTGTAGGGCGCTCTCCTTGAGCTCAGCCTCAGCGGCGGCGTCGTCGCGCGCCTGTTTCTTTTCGAGTTTCCGCGACAGGCCTTCGATGTTGGCGGCCGTCAGCTTCTCCTCGGCGTCCGACTCGTCCTCATCGTCTGAGAATACAAAGCCGCCCTTGCCGGTGTCGTCCTCAATGTCCGAGTCCATCACATCGTCCTCCTCCTCCTCGTCGTCTGAGCCTAAAAAGTCGTCGCCAAGCATGACAGCCTCGTCGTCCGAGTCCTCGCCAAGCAGAGCGCCGCCGGCACCCTCGTCGGAGCCAATGCTTATGTCGTCATCGTCATCGCTCGAGTCCGGGTCCAGGAGTTGTTTCTTCTTCGGCGCAGGTGCCGTCTTGTCCGTCTTCTTCGCTGCGGCCGCTATTGTGCCGTTCTTCTGCACGCCATTCGTTGCTGCAACGGCATTCTTCTTTGCAGGGTTCTTCACAACGGCAGCGGCAGCTTTCTCTGGTTTTGTGCTGTTGCCCCGGCGGCGCTTCGAGGAAGGGCTGTCGGCGCTGGCGGCGGGCGAATCGACGGGTAGACCAGCTTTCCGCTTGAGACGGGCAAAGTGCTCTTCGGAGAGCGGCTCGGGCAAGCCTTGCTTTTTGCCGATGCGGCGACCAACACCCATTGTAAACGAGGTGGAAAGAACGTGGCAGAGGTGGGTGAGAGTGTTGGAGGGAAATAAAGGGTCGGAAAGGCGGAGGGTGAGGGTGTGAAAAGAGGACGGTATGGCGGACTTCCTATTTGCACCTGCAATTGGCAGGCCGTTTTGCTGTTACCGCAGAAAAACGGGCGAAACTTTTTTTTCCTGGACTGCGGCCGATAAGAATAGATAAGGACGGTTCCACTGGCAAAAAGCGGTACCAGCCACCACACCGCCCACCCGCCTAATTGCATTTAGCTAACAATAGGGGCACTCAGGGGACAGTCAGGATGTGGGGTAGTCACAGCAGCATGACGGTAGCGCTGTTGCGCAGGTAGCAGTCAGTGAACAACTGGTTTGGCTGTCAGCTGAGCTGTTCTTTCGCGTGCATCACGACTTTTGAGTTTCTCCATCCACAAGCAATAAACACCAGCGATTCGCCCTTTGCACATTCTTTACAACAAGTGCCACAATGACCGAAGTCCAGTTTGCAAAGTCCTTCCTGGGAGCGCTCGACGGTCGCCCCGTCAAGCTCCAGGCCGACTACACTGAGGATCCCAAGAGCTATCCGTCACGGCCACCGGTACGGCGATTGCACCTGTTCTGTGGATCGTCTCGTATTTTCAAACGCTAATGCCTCGTTTGTGCTACTAGTACACTCTGCCCCGTATGCCGAAGTCGATGAAGAAGCCCGCGTCCGCCTCCAGCAGCACCAGCGCACCCGGCCAGGCCCCCGCCATCACCGTCTCCATCAAGTCGCTCCACCGCACGCAGCCGCTCGACGTCGTACTGGCGAGCCCCGCGTACGCTTTTGCGCTGGCGACGACGTCGCTTCTGGACGTGCGGACTGCGCTCTCCGAAAAATCGCACGTCCCGGCGGACAAGCTGCGTCTGCTGTACAACAAGAAGCCTGTATCGGACAGCAAGGTGCTCAAGGACCTGGTCGCAGATGGATCCGGAACGGAAATCAAGCTGGGCGTGATGGTGGCCGGCGGTGCCGAGACAGTAGCAGCGGCGGCTGAGGCGGCGGCGGCATCCGTGGCAGCTGCACAAGCCAAGTCGGCGACGGCACCAACAGACGGACAGGAAACGCCGACGGCCATTGCAGCCGAGAGCGAGGCTTTCTGGAACGACCTGCGCGGGTTCCTGGTGAAGCGGACAGGGAGCAAGACACAGGCAGACGAACTGTTTAGTTTGTTTTTGCGGTCGTGGGAGGAGCGGATGATATGATGAAGGTGTCGATTTTGGGGGGTAGTACATAATGAAGGCAGAGAGTGGAAATGCCATCGACGAGTTACGAGTCACAGGACGTGTGGACAGATGTATATCATCACACTGAAGTAGGTGGTGCCCATGAGGAATCAGCCCCATTGTCTTGGCTCATTTCGTGTCTCTTTTTTCTTCCTTTGCTACTATAAAAACGAAAAACGAGTAAAAAAGAGGCTTACCATCACACGGCTCACCCCTATTCATTGATATCGTCGTCTACTGCTCTCCCGGGCTCTACCAACAGCCTTTCCAGCCCCTGCTCTCACCTCATGGTCTCCCCCATGCCTGGCCATCCGGCCCTTGTGATAGGCCGCAAATAGTCAAGTGTATTTTGGGTGCCTCCAATATGTAGTATAGTGTTGTGGCGGATGTGAAGCGTATGTGGGTTGTAGTAGATTTTTTTGGTTTGTGAGGTTATTGTTTCATGGCTTCATTGCTTAGGTTTAGGATTTGACGTTTTAAGATTGTGTACAGCATGGGTTTTGTGCCTGCATACGTGCTTAAGCCTGGCCTTTGCTGACGGTCTTCAGCACGGTCTCGTACTCAATGTCGTCGGCGTCGTTTGCCTGGATCTCAACGGCAATACCAGTCAGGGCGCGGCGCAGAGCCTCCTTAGACGAGGCATAGACCATCTTGGCCATGATCGGCGCATCATCGGGCGACCAAGCAATGAAGGTCAGCTTGTTCCTGCACCGGGGTCAGTAGTTGTCAAAAGACGCACGATGATCATCAGAGAGTAATGACATACCGGGTACCTTCGCCAGAGGCAAGGTTGTACTCGAAGTCGTAGACAGCGTATCTGGGGCCCTTGCCCTCACCCTGTACGAAGAAATGCGTCAATAGACATTGGGTAAACATGAGAGGGGGGCGCATGTGGTCGAACGTACGGTTCTGGTCTTGGTGGTGGCGTTGACAAGCTGGTTGCGGAAAACCTCCCAGTCACCCTCGGTCGAGGCGTTCTCAATGACAATTTCGGTGTGTTTGTCATTCAGCTTGTAGATGATGTACTTGTACTTCTTGTTGAGCTTGAGCTCGTTGTAGGCAGTAACGCACTCCTGGGAGGCGGAAGCACTGGAGAAGGGAATGCGTCAGCGGTCGTCCGCTCGCGCGGTCACATAGGAGGGCTGGTATTGATGCGATCGCGAGTGGGCGGCGTACGCAGGTGGCCAGGCTTGCGGCCGATTCACCGGTGGTCTTGCGCGGTGACGCGCCGCCCATCCGACCGCATCAATACGCCCGTACTTGGTGTCAAAGCTTACCCGGATTGAGACTGTAGAGGCAGAAGAGTTAGCAGATGAAGCTTGACCACAAAAGCAACCCAAAGTACCGCGGTATGGGATCGGCGGGCACACGACCAAGGTGGAAAACGTACCATTGTGTGTGAGGTTGAGGAATGGGAGAGAGCAACGATTGTCTATCATCAAAGGCGATTTGTCAGTATAAGCAAGCTAGCTTGAGAAAAAGTCGCGGATAAAGTGACGAAATGCCTCCAGGTCGAGTTGGCGGGATCCAGCTTCAGATGAACAGCTCCTTCGTCGGCGCCCCTCACCCCATAACCCTCTTCTGTCTCGCAACGAGATAGGACGGGACAAGAATCAGGGACCCAAATTGTCCTATCTTCGCCGGACTCGCTTCAAAGCTTCAACCGGCAGGGCTATCGCGGGAACGAACGGCTGTCGATAGCTTCAAGGACAAGGAAACCGACGATGACGATACCGAGAGAAAAGGGGCCTCTGAGAGAAGAGGGGCGCTGGCGGGCGCTGCGCTGGTGGGGTGAGGAACGACCAAGCGTCGCAGGACATACCAAGAAAAATCGACTCGAGGTACGACAAATTGGAAATGCGAGTTGAACAAGAAAGATGCAGGTTGGGGGAACGGTAATGAAAAGAAGAATAAAAGAGAACGGGGAATGGAGGAGAGGAGAGAAGAGGAAAAGCGGCGAGTTAAAGCGAAGAGGAGGGGGAAGGTGCGCTGGGCAAGGCGGCGTTGCTTTGAATAGTGGGGTGCTCTTTTTGGTTGCCTTTTTGCTGCTGACGACAAGGGGAAGAAAAGCAAGGCACGCCAAGAGGAAAGCGCAAAGCAAGCAAGACAGAGCGGGTTTGCTAATGCCTTGAACGCGGGTGCCTGTAGACTGTGTGTGGCGCTTTTGGGGTGGTTCTTCTGTGGCGGGGTTGCCCAGGCGATAGGCAGGAGCGAGGGGTGGTGCCTGGGACGGTGCTTTCATAGCTCAGAGCTCAACTCGATGTACAGACGTCGTGCTCCGTGCGCACAGAGGACGAATGCCATTTTTGCACTGTACGTTTGGCTGGCATTAAAATTTTCAATCCAGGCACAAACAATTGCAGCGTTGCAACCGTTTTTGCTTATCTTACGTCTCGTCATTTTGACTTCTCAGAACAACGGCCAAGGCAGCAATGAAAAGACATACAATCTTGATTGCCCTTTAGGAAATATCCATTAAATCTATCAAAGCTCCAAAATGATATCATTTCATTGACAACTTGTTTCATAAGGCAGACACATTTCACTTTTTGGCAGTTTCGCAGCACGTGGCGGCTATGGATGGAGCTGTTGCAATGTACTGTATTTCGCACTGTACGGTCGAGCATCAGACCCTGACGATCTGAGAACCTAACGGTGTCTACTCCGTAGAAAGGCAACAACGCAGGCATATGCCAATTCGATAAGGAACCTACGAGCATATTTTTTCAGGCAGAAGTATTGGTTGTGCGCCGAGTACATGATTTTGGCTCGAGTACATGTGATTTTCGTCGATGATCGACCTTGATCAATTTCATACACAAGATCTTCACTTTGGTTTTTGTTCTGTTTTTATTCTAGTTCTATATGGCAAGCTTTTTTGTAGAGATGACAAGGACATTGTGAGAGAGGGAGTGGTGCTGCAAGGTAGAAATAGAGAGCAGATGTGAGTTGGCAGATAGTAGAGAGGAGAGTGTTTTTTGTACAAAAGGCAGACCCAGTAACCCAGAAGACAGAAAAAACACACAGAACATAAAAACGTCATACACATAATAGGCCCTGAAAAGAGAACCAGAATGGGAAATCAAACTCCAAAAATGACTCCTCCTTTTTTGTCACACAGTAGTATACGGCCTCCCCGTAGACGACTCCAAGCAAGGTTATAGTCGTATTCATTCGTTTTCTTTTTAGGACTTCGCTTGGAGCTATTTTTTTAGGCGTATGGTGGTTGGCAGATGTAGCGTCGGCTTTCGGGCATCGGACATCCCCTTACATCATGCCGCCCATGCCACCCATGCCACCCATACCGCCCATGCCGCCCATGCCGCCAGGCATGCCAGCAGGGCCCTTTTCCTCAGGTGCGTCGACAATGGCGACCTCGGTGGTACCAAGCAGCGAGGCGACACCGCTGGCGTCAATGAGACCGGTGCGGACGACCTTGAAGGGGTCGAGAATACCGGCCTGGATCATGTCGACGTACTCGCCCTTGGAGCTGTCGAAGCCCTTGTTGAAGTCGGTGCCGAACTCGTCAAGCAGCTTGCCGACGATGACGGAGCCCTCAAGACCGGCGTTCTCCACAATGGTGCGGGCGGGGCGGGTGATGGCGTTCTTGACAATCGAGATACCCAGCTGCTGGTCGAAGTTGTCGGGCTTCAGCTCGCCCAGGGCCTGGCTGGCGGCCTTGATCAAGGCGGTACCACCACCGGGCAGGATACCCTCCTCGACGGCGGCACGCGTGGCGTTGAGGGCATCCACAAAGCGGTCCTTCTTCTCGCCGACCTCGACCTCGGACGAGCCGCCGACGCGGATGACGGCGACACCGCCCGACAGCTTGGCCAGACGCTCCTGCAGCTTCTCCTTCTCGTACTCGGTGGTGGAGGGGTCGTTCATGACGCCGCGGATCTGCTCGCAGCGCTGCGAAATCATGTCCTTGGAGCCCTCACCGTTGAGCATGATGGTGTCTTCCTTGGTGATGGTGATGGAACCGACGGAGCCGAGCATGTCGGGGGTCGCCTTCTCGAGCTTGACGTCGAGCTCATCGGTGAAGACGGTGCCGTCGCTGAGGATGGCAATGTCGCCCAGGATGGACTTGCGGTTGTCACCGAAGCCGGGGGCCTTGACGGCGGCAACTTGCAGCTGGCCGCGCAGCTTGTTCAGGATGCAGACGGCCAGGGCCTCGCCCTCAATGTCCTCGGCAATGATGACGAGGGGGCGGCGCTGCTGGGTGGAGATCTCGAGGGCGGGGATGATGTCCTGGACGGCGGAGATCTTCTTCTCGGACAGCAGGATCAGGGGCTTCTCGAACTCGACCTTCTGCGACTTGGCATCGGTGATGAAGTAGGGGGAGACAAAGCCGCGGTCGAAGCGCATGCCCTCGGTGACCTCGAGCTCGTCGTTGACGGTCTTGCCCTCCTTGACGGTGATGACACCCTCCTTGCCGACCTTCTCCATGGCGCTGGCGAGCAGGGCGCCGATGTGGGTGTCGCCGTTGGCGCTGATGGTGGCGACCTGGGCGACCTCGGCGGAGGTGGTGATGTCGCGCTTGTGCTTCTGGAGGAACTCGACGACGGCGTTGACGCCGGCCTGGATACCGCGGCGCAGGTCCATGGGGTTGCAGCCGGCGGCGACGTTCTTGACCGTCTCCGAGAAGATGGAGCGGGCGAGGACGGTGGCGGTGGTGGTGCCGTCACCGGCAACCTCGTTGGTCTTGGAGGCGACGTCCATGAGCAGCTTGGCGCCCAGGTTCTCGAACTTGTCCTTGAGGGTGATGGCACGGGCAACTGTGACGCCGTCTGGAGAGGAGGAGGGAAGCATGTTAGAACGAATTCGGAAGACGCTACAGAGCTCTGCTATGCAATCTGGAGCAGGACCTACCCTTGGTGATCTTGGGCGAGCCGAAGCTGGACTCGATGAGGACGTTACGGCCCTTGGGACCCAGAGTCGTGGCGACGGCCTTGGCCAGGGTCTCGGCACCGGCCAGCAGTGCGGCACGGCCCTCGACGCCGAACTTGAGGTCCTTGTGGGCGAAACGGCGCTGTGTCAGGTTGAGGCCGGTGGTGGTCGAGGTGCGCAGGCCCGAGAGCGCCGAGGCTCTTGCCCGCGAGGCCATTGCACGCTGCATGATGTGTGTGGGGAGGGGAAGGAGGAAAGACGGGAAATTGTGACGAAATCAGGAGAGCAGGAGAAGACGACAAAACAATGCCGAATTGTCTCGGTGACGAAGGACGTGGTCTTTGGAGATAGATGGGGAGAGAAGGGGAGAAGGAAAGAGGCAGGAAGGAAAGAGAGCAAGAGAAGAGATGTGGCCGTCGTGCTGGCGAAAAAATTCTGGAGAAGCTCTCGTCGTGTCTCCGCAGGGAAGGCGAGACCACCGAGACACAGAAAAAAAAATCCAAAAAGTCGAGCACACTGTGTCGCCATTGGGCAGGCGCGGATTGGCCCAAGCTTGTTTTGGTTTAGTGCACCAGCCGCCCAACCCACAGGGCCTGCCAGCACCTACGTTGCACTCACCGCGGTCTTCTATCCAGTTCTACGGGGTCCACTTTTGGCTGTCTCTGCTCTTTCTCTCTCACTGAAGCACTCTTTTCGGCTGTTTCCTGTGCGACTTGCCAGCCAAATAGCCGATGCCGTCGTTGGCTCTGAGGCTCTTTACTACTCGTTTCCTCCCCCCTGTGCCTTTTTTCTCCGCACGTAGCCGTTCGGGTTGCGATCGCCAGAAGCTCGGCCGCCACTTTCCCGCATTGGTAGTCTAAACACGAGGCTTCGGCAGTGAGGCAGAAGAAGGCTGCCATTTTGGTGGCCCCTGTCCAGACCGCGTCGATGCGTCCAACGGATAGAAGCCACTCGTTGGCAGCGTTGATGGCGCTCGCTCGCTCACAGCGCGGACCATATAGATCTAAGCGGTGTCGGCTCTATAAACGGTATCTCGCGTGCTGCCTCCAGTTACATAGACGATGTAGACAATGCAAATTCAGTCTCAACAACATGCCGTATACGATCTCCGGGTATGATTCTGAATAGCTTGGAGATTTTGACAAATGCCTCGGGGTAATTCACGACGAATAATGTCTCGCTCGGAGATACATATCCTGGCCCTTGTTACTCTATCGGCGAGACATGATAATGGCCAGCGGATGCTTTGCCAGCAGCCACTAAGTTAGGGGCCTGGTGCACTGTAACGCCCTGTAATTTTAAATTCCTAGGAGGGCGCTAAATTGTACGTGACAGCACTATAATACGCTGTAACACGATTTCGGAACGTATCGCGACAAAATCACTTTTTGAAGTCTATTTCTGTCTGTTTACTACTTTTTCGTTTGATTGTTTTATCGGTTCGGTCAGGTATTTTTGTAACGTTTGTGAATTGCTAGTACCATATGTCTATACCCTATTAATCAGATCTGCGATCTGACTCAGGAACGTAATCTTACATGTCAGATAAACCTCAAATAAATCAAATGCAGGTCAAGTCTATCAAGAGCACGGCGCGTCGTGCTGGTCCCCATTCCTCTTCAAAGGTTCTTCTCCTTGACGTCTTTTCTCCTCTCTCCTAGTATTATTACATGGATCTTAAAATGTATACCACCCTGTATAGCCATTCTCGTCCTTTTTTTTTCTTGTGCGCCGCTGTAATTTCGACTATGTCGTTGGTGTAAAAGTTCTGACGCCGATTGCTGTATCTTATATGCGCCGTTGTGGATGTAAACGATGACGGTGGCCGTGAACAAGTTCGCGTACTGTAAAATATGAAAAACAATCCGTGCCATCAGAATAGGGGCGATGCGGAACAAATTCGTGGCGTAAAACAGTGTAAGTGAAAAATAAGTGATGACCGGGACGTAAAAAAAAAAGAGCAATGATAAAAGGGCAGTTGTAAAAAGCGAAAAGAATAGAAATAGTAAAGCAGGTGTAGAACGGACGACATGCAATTCAGGACAAAAATAACGTTGCTCGAGCGCCGACACACCATAATATAGGCGGCCGTGAGATCACATTCCATGGGGGTTGGTAACGCCAGTGTTTGGGTAGTCATATGTATCATGGTAGGGCTGTGTCGTGATGTATTAGTCGATTGCTTTGTCCAGTGAGAAAGGAGCAAAATCACTTACGTGGTTCAGGAACTGGTTGTTGTACTGTCCACTGGTCTCGACGACTTTGTTGAAATAGGCGGCGCTCTCGTTTCCTTCGCACATACTCGGTGGCATAAAGCCGCTCGCCACAGACGCCATGGGGGCCTGTTGCTCCGCACCGAACGACGATAAAAGGGTGTTGTGTTGGAGCATGGCACCGACCATTGGAGGTGCGTGCATGCTGTTCATTCCCACATTGTCGACAGCCACATGGCCGGGGAACAATGGCGGCGAGGAAGTCGAGGAAATAGTACCGTCGTTGTTGAATGGTGCGAACTGCGGGAGCGTGGGAGGGTATAGCTGCTATTGTAACATGTTAATCAATGAATAGCAAGGCAAGGAAGAATGTGGATGCGATAGACGAGTGACTCACGCTCATTGCGAGGTTGGGTACTTGCGAGCCATAGTGGCCGAAAAACTGCGGATTGAGTTGCGGCAAGCTGGCAACTTGCTGCTCCTGGGCCATCTTTTGCTCTGCGACCAGGTCGAGGGCAGCCGTTGCCTGGTCTTGGAAGTCGACTTGTTCCGAAAGCAGCTCAATAAAAGAATCTGGCTCCTCTTCGTCGTCGCTGGAGCTACCGTCGCCGTTGCTGATGGCGTCGACAGTGTCCTGGCCGTCCTGGCCGTCCTGGCCGTCTTGGGCGTCATTGTCGCCGTAGATGCCCAGCACGTCGTACGTGTTGGGCAACTCGTTTGGAGGAGAGCTGGTTTCGGCGGCGTACTCCTGCTCTTGGTCAGCTGCGTCCTCGTCACTGGCTTGGCCAGGATTGAACGAAGTCTCGCTCCCAGGGGTAGCCGGAGAATTGTGGGCAGAGACTGGCACGCTGGCTTCGGCTTCGCAGGCTTCAAGAATGTCGCTATGCTCGTTGTCGTCCTCCTCATAGTCAGCTTCGTGGTACGTCTTGACACGCTTCACCCGCGAAGAGCGGCGGTGAGTGGTTTTGACAGGGGTGAGTTCGCTCTCGCTGGGGAGGTTGGCCGGGCTAGACGAGGTGGCAGCTTTCTTGGCGGGCGTCTTCTTCTTGGTAGCGGGCTTGCTGGGCGGAGCGAAATCTGTCGCCGAAGAGGTGTCCTTTGCCATGCGTTTCTTGTGAGGCGCGCTGTTAACCTTCACCTTGGACTTGGGGATCTTTCTGTTGTTCTGTCTGAGAACCTGGTTGTTGGCATCGACGAGGATGCCATCCTCGAGAGCGGAGTCTGGATCGAACGGCAGACAGAACACATCGCTGTAGTTGTGAGCGCTATGCTCAAATTTGTCCTTGAAAGTGATGGCTCGCTTGGCCGCAAATAGGGGCTCCCCCTCGCTCCAGCGCACGTTTTGAGGCATGCGGTAAAAACCACGCATGGTGTAGTGCGAAGGATCGCGAGCACCATTGGACTTGGGGAGGTCGGGCGGCACGAGGTGCCCATTCAAAAAAACGGTGTTGCGAAGACGGGCAAGGTGCTGGAGGATGGCACTCCCAGAAGATCCGGGGTGAAGACGGTGGGCAACTGCATCCCATGGAATGTCAATGTTATGACGGGCGCACTCGTACTGGATTGTTAGAAGCAGCTTCGCATCCATATAGGCGCCTGGTCGCTTGAGTTAGTACTTGGCATCTTGATAGATGATCCAATATTGTATCTGTCGGTCCAAGAAATAGGAGACGAGAAAAGAAAGAAGCAAGAAAATGGGCAGCCGAATGGCGAGGGAAAAAAGTAGATGAGTCCAAAACGTAGGCGAATAAAGACGAGAAAACGAAAAGACGTCCAAAAAATAGTATTTGATTGTTCCAAAACCTCTTACGGTTCCAGATGATCAGGTCACGGCCGGTCAGGCGCCCATTACGGCGGCGCTGCTCGGAGTTGGGTGGAATGTGAGACATGTCTTCGTCGTCATAGTCGTCCTCAAAGCCATAAAACTCCTCGCCAAGGACAATTCCTGTACGATTGGCGGCCCGGATGGCAGCGGCTTCGATATATTCTTCCCATGCCAGGTCTCTGTGGCCTGAAAAGTCTTGGTTGTCCTGGTTGTCTTGGTTGTCTTGGCTTTCTTGGTTCGCCTCGACATCGGTGTCGCAATCGTCTTCACCGCCACTCATGACGGGAGCGGATCTCTTGCGCTTGAGGGACGTAGCCTTGGCGGTGGTCATAGGGGCAGCCGAAACCTTTCCTTTTCCCTTTCCTTGGCCCGAAGAAGCCTTGGTCATGTTTGTGGCCTTGCCACCGGTAGCTCGCTTGGCTGCCACTCGCTTGTTATTCGCCATGGTTTGTTGACTGCAAATTTCCTAGCAGGTCTTTGAGTCATGGTTAGTATTTCTTATACACAAGCTGTGTTTCATAGGATTAAAGGTGGTGAGTGTAAAGTGACAAGGTGGTAGTTGGACACACTCTGGATGTCGCTTGTCTGTGCCGGAGCGTCTAGACGGACTAGTCGTATATACGGAGTGTCGAAGTCTCTCCTGCGAAGCGATGTATTTGAGTGTCGAACATAAGAATGGAAGTAAAATGGAAACAATCTGTTGGTCAGCGATGATCGTGACGTAAAGATGATGGCAATGTGAAAGACGATGGACGTTACGTACCGTTGAGTAAAGATGATTGGAAACGACGAAAGATACTTGATGTGACGCAGCAATAAAAGAAAGGCAGGAGTGACGGTGGGCAAAAACGAAAGATCACGCGAAAGTAGAAGAGGTAGTGACACGAAGGAAAAGTAAGAGTAATGTCGAGATGTAGTCGAAGAAGAAGTGAGTGTCGAAGAAGGATAAATGCTGGGGAAGGTAAAGATGTCGAGACTGAAGTTATGAAGGTGAAGAAAACAAGAGAAAGAAAAGAAAGGGAAGTGGAAGGAAAAGGAAATTGAACAAAGAAAATTGAATTCTATTTGAGCCTGAGGATAAGCCGTTTAGGAAGGTGAGGAGAGGTCGAAAACTCTGGGAGCTCAAAAAGGTCGGCAGAATTTTAGAACCACAATAGGCTTCGGAGAGAGAGGACCTATTGGAGTGGAGAGTGTCCTGGAGGACAACAGGTCGAGGGTGGGGGGGAGAGGATGAGTCGAACACCCAAGAGGAGGAAGAGGGAGAAGAAGAGGGAGAAGGGTAGGAGAGGCGGTCAAAAAGTGGGCGATAAATCGAGTTTGACTGGGGAAACGAAGGTGAGGACAGAGTGACGGACCAGTCAGAGCCGAGGAAATCAAATAGCTCGACCTGGAGAAGCTACGAAAAGTCCTAGGATGGTCATGAGAGCTGTGGCCAAGGATTGTGCAACGCCTGGGGGGCTGGGAAGGAAAAAAACAGACCCGCTTCGAGTCCAGTCAAGCAAGATTTTCATCAGAGCGACAAAGGTTTGTCCTCTTCAGGCCCAGACTGTGGAAAGGCAACCGGTCATACGACTTATTGTTTTCGACCGAGAGTCCGTAAACCCTATTCTCAATCAATTACGGCTGTGGAAGAAGAATCTGAGCCGCTTGGAGGTGGGAACAGATGAGGACAGCGTAGATGAGGCGGTCTAGGGGGGTGTATTCTTTTGGTCGCCAAGGGTGGTTGTTCCTGGTACCTGCCAAGCCTTCGCGCCCTTCTATGTACACCTTGTACATTCTTCTCTGCAGCTTCCACAGCTTCTATGGTTCGAGAGGAAGCTTAAATGATCCTCGGCACTTACAAAAGTTCCGAGACAGGGAATAGGGCCTTCGGGCTGCTGCAGATACTCAGTAAGTTTGGTGGAAAATCCGGGGTGCGTCAGATTGAGTGGAGCCCCTTGGCCTGGGTCTTGGCCGTTGGGAGGATCTGTCGATCAGGAAAATGTCACTCCAACTGCCGACGCAAGCGAGTGGAGCACGGGCTAGCAGCAGAGCCTCAAAATAAACACGCGCAATAGACACCAGGAAGACGTCCAAGAGGCACTGGCAACAACATCGACATGCATCTCGCTTTCGCTACTCTAGACGACAGAGTATAGTCGTCGGGATTGATCAGTTTCAATTGATGGATACATTGAGAACAAAAAGATTGCTCGCGAAAAATCAATTGTCATTGTTCCCCTGTCGCGCCTCCACGAAGCCAGCAAAGAAAGGACTTGATGGGGAGTGCAGCAAAAGGAGAGCACGATATCGAGCGACTGTTCGTGGGTGTGGATCGGAAAGAAGCGGTCAAGAAACAATACGAAGGTTGATTCGCCTGACGGGCTCGACTGTGAGAGGGGGTCAATTGGTCGACTCGCCAAACCGGTGGCTGGGAGCGGTGAAAAAAATCGTTGATGGCTGCTCTTCCAATTTTGTGCGGTTGTGGGTGTGTTTATTTTCTGACCCCTTACCGCGTCGATAGAGGCTCCCGGCTCTCTTTCGGCCCTATATTTTCTCCCTGCGCAGCACCAAAAGCAACCTGTTCAGTGACAAACACTCTTGCCTCCATCAGTGCTCAGTAAAATGTTAAGTAAGCAAAGTCCACCTGTGCACAAAGGAGCGGCCGTTTTGTGGCAGACAGCCGACTATGTGCACCTGATCCGCCAAACGTGCACATATTCTATGAGAAAAGTGCACCTCTCATAGTCTCATTTGCGCTTCGCAAACAAAGCCTCCGAAACGAACAGATCCCTGTGTGGTCTTCTCTCTCTTTTATTCCCTCTTGGAATGTTTCCTTGTCTAACCTTGAAAATCGCGAAAAAAGACATTTCAAAAGGCTCTTTGGCTACTGCTGCGGTGCCAATAGCAGATTTGCTCGTCACAAGGGTCGACTCCGTCGCATCTGCCTCTCAAAACCACGACTGGCTTTGCACGCACAACCAGTCAATCCCGATTGCTACCTCAACAGTGGCGAACATTTTGATCAATCTTTTCTCCTTTATAATATGCATATCGACGAATGGCCCGCTTTTTGCACATATTTTCCAGCATGAGCAGTCGGTGAGAAACCGTACGTTTCACAAAGAAATCCGAATACGGCGTCCCGAGCAGTGCATTTAGTCCAAATCGGTGCGGTCAATTGCCAATGCACACAACCATTACGCACCGTTTCATAGAAGCTGAGAGGTTACACCCCGCAATTCACAACTCACTCAAATCCCAACGGCGGACGCACATTTTAGTCGCCATGTTCACGTTTCATTTGCATCAAATTATCGCAAGACTCCTACAACTTCAGGAAAGCACTATAAAGTGCCGCAGACAATACTCCTCCATCTTCTTCTTCATAGCCCTCTAATTTCATGCGCAAACAAGCGACAGCCACACAATATAAGCACGTGTCCACCTCAATCCAACTAGACATAGAATTGCCCCGCTTTTCACACTTTGTCGACCCTGGTTACCGAAATCATCATGGGAATTGGTGCCATCTCAAAGGATAGCAGAGCATGGCTCTTCGAGTCGAACGGTGCGCTGAAGACGAGAAGGACGGCGTGGGTGGGACGCGGAGAGGGGTTGGAAACCGGAGAAACGCAAATGCTCGAAAAAGAATCAACGTGATGGGCACGCAGCAATACGTACGGCTTGCAAGGGACACCGGATTGTTGCTAGGGCGAACGACGATGACGGGAACAAGAAGTCTCAAAGAAGACGAGATCGGTTCGGACATAAGTCAAGGTACAGCCGCAGAACAGGCGAAAAGTTGTCAGAAAGATCACTGTCTTATATTCGTAAATCGTAAATCGTCAGGTCGTGAAACCGAAAGTTAGGTGGGAGTGGGACGAGAAGTCGACAGAGACATAAAAGCGAAGCAATCGCTTTTTAGATCCCCTGGTCAATCTCGTGGCCCTCTTTCTTCACTTCTGCCAGAGCTGCCTCTGCTATATCCTTGACACCAGCCTCGGATTCGAGCTTGATCGCGGCAGTGGCCTTCTGGGCTTTGGCACGCTTGGCAACAGGGTCGCGGTTCGGCGTGTCATTGACGGCGACAAATTGGCTTCCGTAGTACTCCGTAGCAGAGTCTTCGCAGGCAGACTCGTAATCAGCATCCGACGGGTTGCTCAGGGCGTCGTTGGCAGATTCACGCTTGCGTTTGACCGAGAGTGGTGAGGTGTGAACTTCGTTCGAGATGGTTGTGTCATCAGCGTTGCTTGGACAGGCAACACCATCTGCTTTGTCTTCGCGACTGGCACGCGGCTTGACCGGAGCACGACGCTTCGGCTTGGTAGCGGTATTGCTAGTAGCGGCGAGGGATTTATTGTCGCTCTCATTCCCTTCGGTTTTGGTTTCGACGGAAGCATTGCAGGTGCCAAAGTCAGTGGCCTGGGCACGCTTCTTGAGTCGTTCATATCTCTTTGCACTAGTAAAAAGTGAATCACGAGGATTGAAAACAGAGTGAGTCAAAGGCGGTTAGTAACAGGAATCATGAAAAGTGAGAGCAGGCTGATAGGACGTGATGAGACACGAGGCGAGAAAGAGGTAAAAGCAGGCAAGGAGAGATGATAATTACGCAGCAGCCTTGGTGGGGATATTGAGATCGGTGGCAACGGCAGCAAAGTCAATCTGATGGCAGAAGAGCGAGAAGGAGACGCGAAAGTGTCAGTCCAAGTGATGCCACGAATACGTAACAATAATGCAAGTCGCGTTGAAACGTGACAATTAGGGGTGGGCGGAGACTCACCTTTCCGCCGTTGGAGGTATGCTTGATGCAAGCCAGGAGGAAAGAAATCTGTTCGGTGGTCGACATGGTTATGGCGGATGTTGAAAGCTGTGATCTCAAAATGTGCTGATGGCTGTCTTGGAGGGTGTTGGTTGCATAAACGACGCGACTGCAGACAGATGGTCAAAGACGCGCTCGTCGAAGGCCAAATGGTCGAAAGTACGGATAAAGGTGAGATGAAGCAAAGAGAAAAAGACAAAGGCGAGGTGGTGAGAGAGGTCTGCTCACGAGGCTAAGAACAAAGTGAATGCGTTTGTAGGCGTGTGGAAGAGTGGAAAGAGGAATGTTTTGGTGTGCAGAGTAAAGAAAAAAAAATGGAAGGAAGAGAGCACAAAAAAGACGTGTCGGAGCAAAATAAATTACCGGGAAGGAGGGGAGACGATAGGGAAGGAGCGTTCAAGTGCGAGGGAGGGAAGGGAAGGAAGGAGCGTCTGAGAGTAAACAATCAAGCGGAGGAAGGTGCAAACAAGAAATTCAAAGCTCGTCCGCATAGGCTGCCTAGCTCAGCTGGCTATTACGAGCAACGTTGCTTCTTTCCAGTTGAACAGCTAGCAAATAGGCTTCAAGAGTGTGATGTTAATTCTGTCAGCGAAGTCTCTGCTGCTAGAAATAACCATTCGATGTATTTGTACGTCTCTTGACGGCCAAAGCCGGCCAAAATCAGAAGCCGGACTGGCATAGAGCATGTTGTGGCCACACGAAGTTGCTTTGATTTCTTCTTTCTCCCAAGAACATAATCGTGTACGTCTCGCTGTTTTCTTTCTATTTACTATCCTGGCCTCGACAGACCCTTCTTCGAGTGTTTGTCCTTTTTCCCCTCAGGTGTAGAAATGTCTTCGACTCTGACAATCACCAGTCTAGAACAGGGACAGAGGTATCCGAACAACCTACCAACTTCAAGTCTTTCCCTGCCTTTTTATCGCCTTCGAGCTTGACACAGCATTTTCGGCCGGGGAAAGTCACCTGAACCAGCTTCAACGTGTCATCCATCTTTCCACCCGTCCGCAGATCCATTTGACCCCCGCCAGACCCTCGACCGTATACCTGTATGATGCCTGCAAGGTGGATGCCAGTTCAAGACCAGGACAATGTCCCGTTACATGGAGAGTCGCGGATATATCCATCAGGAAGCTCGCAATACATGTCTGGCCCGTGGTGCAACCGCAAGAATTCCTTTTCGACCTGCTCTCGAACTCCCTGCAAAACACCGAGCGCTTGGGAGCGCCCAGCATCGTATCCGTCGCAATAAGCCTTCTCAAAAGAAACCTGTGATGCAGAGTGCCTATCTCTGTAGCCGTCGTCATAGGAACCGTTCCTGGTATGTTCAATCCCCGGCCCGAAGGTCTGACAAATATCGTGAGTTGTGGGGCGCTGTGCCCGCCATTGTGTAGGCTTGACTTCTCCGGGTGATCTTCTGAACGAGTCGTGCACCGGAGAAGTGTTCCTGCCCATGTGGTCCGGGGACGTCCCTGCAGCCTTAAACGAGTTGATTGAGGTGGCATTAACTGATAAGGACGACGTCGTTTCGTCTTCTGCACCGAGACGGTCGGGAAAACGGCCCCCGATACAAGCATCTGCGTCCTGCTCCGCGACACGTTTGGCTATTCTTCCGATTCCGTCGAACCAGCTAGACCAATCTCGCATCCACATTTCGACGGTGCTGTCTCTACTATTATCGGCCTTATAACAGGGCTCGGCCTGTGTTCTGTCCAGCTGAGGCTGGTTTCCCATCTCCGATAAATCGTGGCTGTTCGAGCGCAGGCCAAGTCTTGTATTACTTCTGTGTACATTTAACGGAGAAGTAAATCGTGTCTTCTGGTCCTGGCTCTTGTTGGGTTTCAGAGGTGAGCTTTGTCTTTTTCTGTCCTGAGCAGGGCTCACATTCAGGCACAAATTCTTTCTTGATGGGATACTCTTGGTTGAGCTTGCCTTTGACAGAGAGCAGGCTCGCTTGGGGCTTCTCGACCGCCACAAATTCAGAGGCACCGAAAGGCGGTTTGAACGGCGGCGCTTTTCATTCTTCGTTCCAACACGAGCCGCCTTCCACTTCTTGAATTGTTGTGGTATCTGACCCGTCGACTTGGGCCCTTTCTCCCACCGCGAGTATACAGTCAGCCGTTGCGGGCTCCCGCGTCGCGATGGGCTTGGTTCTCGATGAGAGATGGACGCACCGGATGCGCCGACCCAAGCGTCTACAGCATCCCGCGCTGGGCCTCCTGCGTTGTGAGAGTCTGAGAGCCTGAGCTGCGTCGGCGGAGGCTTGGCGAAACCGCCGCCTGAAATCGTTTCTGGACCGGCTCTAGGAATCATATTGGTTTTTGACATAGACAAGAAAGGTGCGATGGGAGACTGAGAAGCTGCGGTTGTGTGTTTCGCGAGGTTCCGACAGCAAACTATGAATGGATGCTAACGTCTGTCTCGATAGGCAATACTAGTTTCGATAACGATGAGAAGAATAATGCTTGACGTGGTGAAACAAATGAAGTAACGAGTTGGAAATGGACGCCTATTTGGTTGCGTCGCTGGTGAATAGGGGAACAGAGACGACGTTGGCTGCTTAGGAAGACTCTCTGTTTACGTGTCGCGGTTGGACATTGATGCTGTTGCCATGTCCTATGCTGTGGCCGCTATGTTGCCAGATCGTGGAAGGCGCGACCACTGGGCAAGTTGTCGTCCCTTATTTCCGGCAGCAGTAACACAAACGATACTGCCATTCTCTCCTCGCGCAGTATGACACAGGCCAGGTCGTCCGAGCACTTACCAGAGACGGAGCTATGGGGATAGAAAGTCACGGCCAGCTGTAAACCTAGAGGGCAGATATACAGTCACTTGGAAGGCATCTCTGCGAGAGTAGTTATCTTCTGTGCTTGCTCTCACGATGATTTTTTCCCCAGTGAAGTCTGCTCCCTCCGTATGTTCATGGCCTACACTTCTGTTACGCTTACGCATTTCTATACAAGTTTAAGAGGAGGGGAAATCATCGATTGGAAATTCAGACTTTCGTAAACGGTCCGTAGACATTCGCAACATTCCTTTTTTCCACCACAGAGCCTTGCCCGACTTTCTTCTCAACCTCTTTCAATGCAGGGGTATAATATTTATTGATTCCATCCGTATCGTATCACCAAGTCATGTTGGGCTCACGTTTTCTGTGTGAATTTGCGGGCTTGAGCGAGGCTTAAATGCCCTCCTCGGCAGACTTGTCTGCCTCCGAGGTGAGCCTGTTGAGACCACGTTGTTAGTAAGGTGTATTTCCAAGCACTGGAGAGCTTCGGCCGTACGAGGCAAACAAACGTACTCATCCTTGACAGCAAAGTCCTCGCTTTCGTCACTCTGCTCGGTCTTGGCCTTTTTGGCAGATATTTCTTTGCCGGATGGATCGTCACTATCCTCTTCGGCCTTGGCGGCGTTCTTGCGCTTGCCGCCGCTCTTGGGTGTGCCCTTGGCACGGGGCGTCTTGGGTGTACGAGGGGTCTTGGGAGTGGCGGGAGCCACGCCAGGCTCGCCAGAGCCCACGGTACGGCGGAGCTTCTGCAGATGTTGGCTGGAAAACAGATGTGATTAGCGAGTGCTTTAATAGACGAGAGAAACCTAAAATGGATGTGATAAATGAAGAGTGTAAAGATAGACAGGACGCAAGGCAATAAAGAAAGTATAGAAGAAAAGTACACAACTGCTTTGGGCGTGAATTCGTAGCCCATTACGGTGGTACGCTCGACGATGGCCCGGATCTGCTCAGCACCGGGAGACAGCGTCTCATACATGGCGATGAGCAAGTCCCGGTTGCTGTCGGCGTCCCAAGTGTGTCTGTAGTGGGCCATGTTGGGCAGAAGACAGTGGATAGACAAGTAGATGGATGGTAGAGCTAGGTAAGAAAGAAGGAAAAGAAATGTCAGGCAAAGACGAGCGTGTGGCGAGGTAGAAGTGAAGAGGACGAAGAGGGCAGCCACTGGCTCTGTGTTTGTGTTTGTCCTTGTGCTTGAGTGGGTGTCGAGTAGAAACAGGATGACTGGAGCAAGTTTGTAGGAGGCAGAAAGAGACGGTGAATAAAGAGCTAGACAGAGGGAGTAGTACTCTAGTCCGCGGAAGGTAAACTGGTGTCCCAGCTTGGTCATTTCTTCGACAATCTTCTTGAGGGTAGCAGCCGGCGGCTTGTACTCTTCGACCATGGCGACCAAAATGTCTCGGTAGACAACTGGAGCGTTCCAGTCTTGAGCGAAGCGCTTCTCAGCAGACATAGTGAAGAATGAGAGGACGGTGACGAGGCGATGACTGCTGAAGTGCAGATCTGGTGGTTTGTGAGGAACAAAGGTAGTTGAAGAAAGAAGGAGATTTAGTAGAGTAGAAGAAAGGGTAAGAAAGTGTAAAGTAGGAGAGGTAGATGTTGAAGTATAGAACGTTGGAAGCGATAAATGTAAATAACGACTGCGAGGGAATAAAAGTGAAGTTAGGTGAAATGGGACGAAAAGTAGCGTGAAAGCGTGAAAAACAACCCTAGTCTTACTTGAGGCCGTGAAATGTGAATTGATGTCCTTGTTGGGTGGTAATCTCCACGATCTCTTTGAGGGTGCCTTGCGACGGCTTAGTCAAGGAGATCAAAGCCAAAAGTATGTCGCGATAAACGCCATGCTCATCCCAGTTTTGACTGAACCGCTTGGTCGACATTGTGCGTTGAGTAGTTGAGGATAAGTAATGGAAAAGAGGGAGAGAAACACAAGGATGAGGTAGAATAAAGTGCAAAGGAGCATCGACTCTGGCGTAATCGTGGTTGTGGTGAAAAACGAGTGAATGTAAGAGCAATCGATGGGAGAAATAGGTAGAAGAGGAGCGAGAGGCGCGGCGATGGAGAGGGGTTTAAGTATATTTTGGGGTTGGCCAGAGGAGGAAGAACGAAGGAGCCACAAACTATGGGCAAAAAGCACCGACAAGAACAGAAAACGGAGCCCAAGACCAATGAAAATATATATATATATATATGGCGAGAGGGGCAGAAGCAGCACATAAAGGCAAAAGGAGAAAATACCGAATAGCATCCCAGGTAATGACGTGGCCATGGGCACCAAGATAGGCGACTATCTGCTGCTTCTGTTCGGCACTGGGCGTAGAGCAGGTGTAGAGCGCCATTATCAGGTCGTCTTTGATGTTACCCTCCCACTTGGACATAATGATGGCTGAAAAGTGACGTTGTGTTTTGATGATGGTTTGGTGACTGTGGTGAGGATTGATGTGGAAGTGTTGGTATGTTGGTATTGGTTTGCGAGGATTGGGTAGTGTTGAGGAAAGGCAGAGTCAAGTGGTGACAAGTTGAAACGAAGGCAAGAAAACATAAACGCGATATACGAGGTAGGACAACGAGGCACGTTATATACTAATGTAACTGCTTTTGCAAAAAATCAGAGAGTGGAAAGGCAGCGTGTGCGAAATACCGAATGCTATTCCAGTTCACGTCGTATCCTCGGCCTTGCATATCGGCGACGATCTGGTTCTTCTGCTCATCCGTCATCGAAGGCGGGCAGGCCACTGCCACCACCGACATGAAGAGCGCAGACATCGCCTCTTCATCCCACTTGACAGGCATGATGGGTGATGGGTTGGTTGGAAGTGGGATCGAGGAGCGTTCGGAGGGGAAGCAGTTGAAGAGCTTGCAGTGAATGGAGAAGCGCTATGACAAGTGTATCAAAGCAGGAGAAGTAAAGAAGCAACAGGCCATGTGAGAGCCGAAGATTCAAAAGTGAGGCAGTATCGAGTAGCAGCAGTGACGTGGTAGGGAGTAAAGTAGCGCAGGCGAGAAGACAGATGCGCCATCGAACAGTTGGGCAAGATAAAGGAACGTAAAACTCAACGGTGGAACAGTGGGAGAAGCAAACGACGACAAAATCCGACCTTTGTAAATCGACCAGAACGCGCAAAATCAGCACAACTTATTATATAAACCTACCGCACACCTTCCCAAGTAAAGGTCGCGTTGCTGGCGGCCAGGGACGCCATGATAACCTCGCTTTGCTTGGCGGCAGAGCTGTCGGCGGCGATGAGGGCCTCGTTGAGCGCGACGCAGAGCTTCATGTGGCCGTCGTTGTCCCACTAGAACGTCAGCGATGGTGCAAGAAACATTGCTATTCTAGCTGTCTTTCCAGCCCCGAGATTACCGTCGACATACCTTGTTGGTAATCTCGGTCTTGTCAACCTCGCTAGACGACATGGTGACCTATGCTAGCTTGTAGCGTTTTCGTGATTAGGCAAGTGGACTGCTGGAAACACAGTTAGGTGGTGATTTGTCGTAGAAGATGAGCGTTTGTAGATGTGTGGGTGTAGATATGTCGGCGACGAGTCGTAGAAGAGTGGCGATGTTGCAGTTGTAAGCCGAAGACGTGGAGATATTGACTACACTCGTTACAACACCATTTCATAGGCTGCAGTGGAGTGTGGGGAAGAGTTCGCTCCTCTGTTCATAAGTACACGATCATGAAGATCTGATGGCGGTGTGGACGACGTGAAAGCAATGCACGAGTTGAGCTTAACACGAAAGGTGTGACAAAAAATAAATCACATAAATCATATAAATCATATCTTCATTCAGCACTCGCTAGCCAAACATGGACAAATAGAAAAGGATCCAATAAAGGCACAAAATAAAGAGGACATTGAAGTACGCCCATCCCTAACCTAGAAACAAACCCAACCAAAAAGTCCCAAAATGTCGTCTTCCCCCTAGATATACAAGTAAACCCAATTGTTATATCCCCTCGCAGAGTTGTCATTTAAAAATCATGTCTTTCAGTCGTAAGTGCAAGCGGAAATTTGTAAAGAAATTCGTGGAAAACAAAGTCTGTCGTAAGGCACTGTCGTCAGGCTCCTGTATCCGGTGCTGAAATTGGTTATCGTAAATTCGTCTCAAGCTCTAAAGGTCCCACCAGAGCAGGCCAGATGTTTCCATGGGTTCGGATGCATTCTATGCTTCGCCGTAATGGAAGCTGGATTGTTAGCAGGGGATAGAGCCTTTGTGGCAAGGACAGAGGTGGACTCACTCTGTTGGAAAAGCGGCACGGTTGTGTGCAGCCAGCGCGGTCAAAACCGCTTCGTCCTCGAGCGTCGAGTCATGAGCATCAGAGTCCAGCTTTTGTCGTTTTGCTTCGTGTTCGTCGTGTTCGTCGTCGGGTGGGCTATCGTCCTCATGTTCACCATCCGCGTCATGTTCGGCCGGTATGCCCGGTTCACCCATGACTGGTGTGCCCATGTCCGCCACGCCCAAGCCGACACTGGCACCGACGCTGGCGTTGATGCTGGCGCTTCCGGGCACACTAACGGGACCCATTCCAGGCACGTCTTCATCTTCGCCAGCAGCGTCTTCGAGCGAATGTAGTTCGAGTTCTGCATTGTTATGTTGTTGTTGCTGCTGCTGCTGCTGCTGTTGTTGCTCAGTAAATTGCCGGTGACGATGCTGGCTGAGAATCTGACGCTGCCGTTCCTGAAATTGCCTCTGTTCGCGCAGATGCTGTTGGATTTGTTGATTCCGCTGTTCTACCTGCTGCGGCAGGACGGGCCGTTGCTGTACGCCGTCTTGAAGCTGGCGAAGCTGTTGTTCATGCTGCTGGTGAAGCTGCTGCGTTTGGATATGTTGCTGCTGGAGGAGCTGCTGTTGAGCAAGCTTTTCTTGAGCGAGGAGCTCCGCAAAGTCCGTTTGTGCAGGTGCGTCGTCGACACCCGGGGTTCTTTGCTCGTTGTTTGGAAGCACGTCTTGTGGTAATGCTTGGTGGCTGTGATGTTGTTGCGGTACGTGTTGGTGAATATGTTGGTGTTGATGTTGCAGGTGCTGCTGTTGCTGCTGCTGTTGTTGCTGGTGGTGGTAGTGTTGTTGTTCTTGTTGTTGTTGTTGTTGTTGTTGGTGGTGTTGTGGAACCTGATGCCCATGTAGATGCTGTTCTAGCTGGTGTGAGTCGTGGTTGTGGTTGTGATGTAAAGGTGCGTCGGCAGTCGCAGCCCCAAGATTGTTGCCGACCACGCCACTCGCAGCCAGTCCAGCCACATTGTCTGCAGACGAGCCATTGCCTATTCCTCGCGGTGGGTGGACAGGAGCGTGGCCGTGTGTATGTGCCAAGAGAGGCTGCAGACCGCTCGCTGCGGCCGCAGCAAGGAGATCCGAGCTCAAGTCGGCTGCAGTGCCGTTCCCCGTAGACAACGGACCGGGTGTTGCAGCAGTAATCGGGGCATCAGGGTCGATCTCACCCTCGCCGTCAGGGTCGACCTTGCTGTCGTCGGCGTCCACGTCAGCTTTCACATCGGCCAACGCGGCGACCATGGACGCCGTGTTGTCGTCCACCCGGGAGCTTAGTCTCGTGTCGGCACAGGTGTCATCACCGTTGGCCTCATAGTCCTCGGCTGCCGAGGACAGCTTCCGTGGCCGCCGTCGACCAGGGCCACCCGGCCGGCGTGTGATGGGATTCAGCGCTGGATCAATCCTATTTGCGGATGCAGCCGCGGCACCGCTGGCACCACTACCCGGTATCGTGCCATTGGCCGGCTCGATCTTGTTTTGCGCACGCCGAAGGCCTTGAAAGTGTTGTCTGGAAGGGAAGGCATTAGTGCCATAGAAGGCATGTCGTATCTCATAAAAACCGCCAGCAACTGGAGCACATACCGGCAACCTTCATTGGAGAATCCGTAGCCGAGGGTGCGCATATGTTTCCCGATAATGGTCCATTCTGCGCCGCTAATGACGCCAATGTGTTTGACGGACAGAATGGTGAAGAAGAGGTCCTTGTCCGCTCGGTCGTTCCAGTTCTTGCTGTTCATCGTATGTAAGAAAGCAGGTCTCAGCCCGGCCAGGCGCGGCGGCAGAGGCGGAAGAGTGCGGTCGGCGCCTCTCTCATACGCTGGCTCTCATAGCAAAATGGACCTTGAGGGAGCCTCGATTTCCGACGTGAAGTGGAGCGAATGGAGTCCTAATAATAATACAGAATAGGGTGTGGATGAGTGTGCGGGTGAGAGTATCTTACAGTGGTCTCGACTCTTGCTGGTCAACAGGCTCGACGGCCTGGCGCGCTTGTGATTGCTACTACTCTCCACAGTTGTTTCAAGGTGGTGCTCCGCAGCGAGCCGCCGTTTTGTCGCTGTGTTGTGCAATGGTGTTTTGGGTGTGCAGAGAGATTTAGGATTGAGGCATGTCAAAGTGTTTACGATTTGGCGGCGGACACACCTATCCGCTAACGCGAGGCTGGGGCTGGTACAGTGAGGGGAAGGAACATGCGCAAGGGCACCACTGGCGGGAACACGAATAGGTAGCTCAGTTGTGTCGTTCCTCGTCCCCAAGATGCACGTGACGCTATCCGACAGCGCGTAAATAGGTTGTCGGCGAGTCCAACCAGTCTACGAACATGCAGCAAAGTCTACGGCGTAAATTCGTCGTATGTCCAACAGTCCTCCTTGGATCTGGAGGATGCTCTCTTTGCTCGTCGTCCTCGCTTCTCCGAGGACTTTATCTTCGCCCACTCTCCTCAGGCCACAAGGCAACATACTGACGCAAGGGAGACAATCCAGAAAAGTGGGACCCCAGCTGCTGCCTGAATTCTCGCCGTCTCCGTTGCTCTTGCCGCCCCTCTTTGTCGAATTTGTTAAAGTGGCTGTCTCCACTTTTTCGTCAGATCATGTGCTCAGGCGTCAATATCGTGTCCATTTTGGCGCCGGTGCCTCCTTCCCACCCCAAGTCTCGCACCCCGCCCCTGCCGGACGTGACGTGTCGCACATCTTTTGTCTCGACTTTCCCATTTTCCCTCTGTTTCTCGTTTTTCGCTCCCGGTCGACGGAGCATCGCAAATTCTGCTCTCAACACTAATGCGCATCCCCCTGCATTCCTTGGGTCTCACCCCCTTTCCTCCCCCCCATCCCATCCTGTTTCTGTTCGTTTCTGTTTGCAAGGCAGCCCATTGCAAATGACCGTCTCTTTCGCCGTAATTGTCCTCTCGTTTTACGAATTGCAGTTCGCCTCGTTTTCGCACCTCAAATGTTGCCATCCTTCGTCAGCCTTGCACGTTTCCCTTTCTCCTCTTATTTTCATCTCCAATCGAGCAGGCTGTCGCTGCTTGGCAACTTTCCTATTGTCCTTGCTTTTTTCTGACCTTCCAAGCGTGGAGCAGCCGGATCGGAGGGGCGGTCAAGATCACTCCGCTTAGCTGAACGCGGCCTGGTCTTGTGTCGTTCCTCTTGGCTCTTTTCACTTTTAGCTTTTCTCGTCTTTTACTCGTCTGTTGCGGACTTTTGCATTTTATTTCCTGGCACCAGTGACTCACCTTGTCGTCGTTCCAACAACCCTTGCCGTCCGCACGCCCCGTCGTAGGCCACGGCCTGGACTGCCTCTGTTTCAACATTTGTTCGTCATTTCGCCTTCCGCCGTTTAACTAATCCTTATCCTCTCTTCGACGGTGCGTTCACATTCAACACTCTCTCGCCCTCTTCTCAGCCGACTGTCACATTGGTTCCATTTTTCCGGTAACGCAACGCAGGCCACACCCTTCACCCCTGCCCTCTGCCCTGTGCTAAATGAAAACCGCTTTACGCGAACTGGTATTCCCTCGTCTTTGTACTTTTTATCTCCACCCACCCTCTTTCGCTCTCGAGCTGTAGCTTCTCTTTGCTCCCTATGTACTCCCAGTTCATTACTTTCACGTTCACGCCATGCCCTCGTGTATGTACATTGCGGTTCTCACCTGAAACCGTCCAGTAATTAACCAGGCAACCGCTCAGCCTTGATTGCCATCTTGGCCGCGCTTCACATATTGGAAGCACACGCCATGTAATTACATCGCATCTGCAGGGGCAGTATCCTTTTGTTCTGCCTCTCGTTGTCTCTTTTTTTGTGTGTGTTCTCGTGCTCGTCCGCCTCGTCATCTTGTCGCAATTCTACGTAAGCTGCGACGTATATAAGCCGCGTGCCCATCCAGAGTTCTCTTTTTCGATTCTTATCGGCGCTACTTTGCCTAACGTTTTGTATTTGAATATCTTTTTCTGTGTTTGTCTCTTCGACTCTCCTAGCACACAGCTAGCCATTTCCGCTACAAGCACACCCCTCTTGCCGCTCTTTGTCTCTCTTACACCGGCCAACCTTGTGACAACTGCTGCCCTGCCATCAGCATTTCTGTGTTTGTCAGTCTACATTCGCCCACTCTCATTTTTTTTCTTCTTCTTTTCATGTCTTTTACAGTCCACACCCTACATATTCTCCTTTCCAGGTAGCAAATGACGACGTTTCCAATTGTGTCCCTCTTCTTCCGAGCAAAGATCTTCGAAAAGTATTTATCGGGAGGGAAAAATAGCAAGAGAAAAGGTCCTGGGCAATCGTGAATATATGTAGACGCCCATCCCTCCGCCGTTCTTCGTAGTACCCTCCCCTGTGCACACCCCCATCCCCACCCAAGCCAACAATTTTACCTCAGCCGCATATATTCCTGGGACCTCGCCTCCCGCCCAAACACTTGATTCTTTCTTTTCTCTCTTTCTGGTTCACGTCTGCCGCATCTTCTCTCTTCTTTCCTTCCATCCCTCTAATTCTTCATTCGTGTTCTCTCTGTAGCCTTTCATCTCTCGTCCCCATCCTTCCTTTCGTCTCACCTCTTCACCGGCCCTATTCAAACTGTTGAAACAACACACCGGACATCAGGCCGAGATCGTACCGCGACCATCCCCTCTGTGCCCTCTCCTCTCGGCTCTCTTTTCTGTCTTTTCTCTGTTCTGCATTTCCTATTCTAATACGCACCCTTTCCGGCTGCCTTTTTTTTCTGTTTCCCACTTTCGTGACTTACAATTTTCCTATATAGACGTCGTCTTTCCTCGACAAGAACAAGGCCCTCGTTTGTCTTCCTTTGCTTCTTTACTTTCAAAACTCAGAAATCAAACTACCGCCGTCTTTCACAATGGGCTCCAGTAACAATGGCGCCAGCAGCGGCGAGAGCGGCAGCTCCGGGATAAATCCCGACAAGGCGATTGCTCGTCTGTTGTATGCAATGCTGAAGCAGAAGTCCTTGAAGGACGTAAGTGCTTCATATACACTGTCTTCTCGGTTACCCTATCTTCTCTTCATCTGATCTAACCTTCCTTCGCAGATTGACTGGAACCAAGTAGCAGCTGACCCTGCCCTCCTCGAACGCATTTCCAATGGCCACGCGGCTCGTATGCGGTACTCTCGCTTCCGCCAATCCGTCGATACCCAGGTTGCAAAGAAGGTGGCCGCAGCTGCGGCAGCGCCCAAGAATGAAGGCAACGGCTGCTTTGACGAAGACAAGGTTGTCCTCGTCCAGCAAACACTCCCGCGCAGTGCACCCAAGACCAAGTCCAAGGACTCCAAGGACTATAAGAGAACCGGCTCGGCGTCAGGCAGCACCAAAAGACCACGGGACGCGGAGAACGATGACATTAAGAATGTCATTATTAAGAAGAAAGAAGCAGTAACCAACCCGGATGAGAAGGAGAACAAGGACAACTTATGCCTAGACCCGGACTCTTTTTCGGATAACAACACTGGCCTCCTTCCAGACACTCCGGACAAGGATAAGAACAGCAAGGACAGCAAGCTTCTCCAAAAGCTAAAGCAGGACCCCGGATTCCTTGACACCAAGACCACGACGGAAAAGGCGGCGGACAACTTGCAGTTGTCCCAGACATCGTTTACGTCGTCTCTTCCCTCGCCTCCCACAGAGACTGTTCCGTCCATGGAATCCGTTGCCAATCAGGATCGTACGAAGAAATTGAGAAAAATGTACGCGTTCTCGCCGACGATGAGGCCCGGCACCCTTCACCAGATCCCCCTACCACGCGGTGCCATGTCCTCATCCTCTTCTCGCATCCTGTCCCTGCCAACGCTTTCCACGGCGACGGCTTCTGCCTCCTCGTCCGCAACCAGCCCTGTCAACCTCAGTGGTGTCTTGATGATGCGCCACCACTCCGCCGGATCCATGACGGACACAGGGCCGAATCACCACCGTCATCATCACCAGCAGCAAATGATGATCCGTCAGACGCGGATGATGACGCCAAGCAGCGACACAGATCTCCACCTTGGTGCGCACCACAACCACCGGCAGCACTTTGCCCACCACACGCAGATTCCCATAATGAGCGACCTGGCGTCCGTAGGTGGTCTTGATCCTACGTTTGACTTTGGCAACAACAACGGTGGTGGCAGCAGCGGCACGACTGGTCATCCCTCGCCCTGGATGGCTACTCCCTTCTCGTCGCCTGCTATGCCTACCTTTGACATGTCCCCGTACAGTACGGCCCTCGACGTCATAGGTGGCGGCGGCGGGACCAACGAAGACGGCAGCATTACCGGCGATACCCAGTCGATGCCCAGTCTCTTTCAGACGCAGTACGACAGCCAGCAGCAGCAGCAGGAGCAGGAAGCTCTGCAAGCGTCTCTCATGGCCCAGGCCTTCACCAAGAACAACGGCTGGGATGTGATGCTTACGCAGGCCAACAACTCCGACCAAAACCACAGTATCTAAGTCCTGCTGGTTTTGTTTTCTGTTGTTGTGTGTCTTTCTGTTTTGCTTCTCTTACGGAATTTATGTTCTTGTATTTATACTCCCTTTTTCGTTTTTCGTTTTGCTTTCTCTGGTTTTATATTATTTTCCTTTGTCAACACGTTCGGATGGAAAGTTACAAACAAGGCAACAAACACGATGGCAAAAAAAGCTGCGAAATGACGAAGCGCAATCTTTATGTTTTTTTTCTACCTTTCGGTTCGGTCTTTTTTATTGGCAATGTTGCGTGGGATTCCTGTTTCGGGTTGTTGTACGTTCAAGTTTTACGGCGTTCGGATGACTTTCTCTGCAGGTATTGTTGTTTTGCTGATTCTTCTACGTGCCTGTCAACATGTTGTCTGCGTTCCTTTTTTTTTGCAATGTTGATGTTCCAAACCGTTGTGCACCACTCGAAACGACGCGGTCTGTTTATTTGTTGCCAGAATTGAGCTGCTTTTACATTTTCCTCTCGATGACTTGTCACGCCAAGTCGGATGTAATATAGAAAGAAAAGAAGAAAAACACAAGAAAAATGAAAGGCCACATAATGCAAGGGGCCTTCATTTTCATATTCACTCGTTATTCTACATTCACCACAACAAACATGCAATCTCTACTCCTCATTCACACTCACTTGTCTCTTGTCTTGTGTACTATGTGTCAAATATGTTGTACAGTAAACTCCTCCAGTTTATAAGGTTAGGCTTCGCCTAACTTTGGTCTATTCTTTCGTCCCACCTAATAAACTAACCAACACGACTAGTCCAGGCTCAGACGAACTTGACTTTCGTCTCACATTTTATGGTCAAAATAAACAAGCTCAATTCTTCATTAAGTTACTTTTCACTTGATTTTGAATTTGCTCGGAAATTCATTGATAAACTCTTTTAAACTCCCAGGCTCATTACGTCTATGTCGTCTAATGACATGGCTGCGCCAGCCATTCTCCAGTTTTTTCAACTCGTCCTCAGATTGTGACCGTGAATATTCAATCACCTTTAAGTCTCACTGCCTTCATCCTTTCTCTCAGCTTTTCTTCACTTAACGTTGAGACACAAGCTGACGGTCGTTTATTTTCTGCACCCTTCAATATTTATTTTATCTATTTATCAATACATTCACTCTTTAGACTGTTGAAAATTCTTTCCCTTTTTTTAATTTATATAATATTATCATACAGAAATCCCTTCAAATTTCCATCCACTTCCTTTCAAGTCCTCCCCTTCTTTGTTCCCTCCCCGCATATCATTCTCTTACTTCTATCTCTTCTTTTACGACGGCCTTCTCTCTTCACTAGCATAACTCAGTTTATTGACAACTTAGCCTTTTTTTTTTCTCCCTCTGCCACGACATCTCTAACACCTCGCCTCCAACCATCTGTAAACACTGTCCATTGACAGCAGATGATCACCGGCTCTCCACAATGGAAGATACCGCGGGTCAAGATATTGCCACCGACACCGCCAGTGCCCCGGGCTTCCCCGATCCCAGCCCTCAGGAGGCCATGTTCTTCTTCAACATGATCAAGAACATGAACAACCAGCCTGACATAGATTGGGACGGCGTGGCCACTGACTCTGGATTCAAGAACGCCGCTGTGGCCAAGGTGAGATCTTCATTTTTTCCCGGTTCAAAAAAGGCATCCCTAACGCTTTTAGAAACGCTTCTACCAGATCAAGCAAAAGCTTGGTCTCGACTCGCGCACCAACACTGCCGTTGTCAAAACACCGCGCACTCCACGCACTCCACGTACACCAAACACACCACGCAAGCCGCGCAAGACCAAGCGCACCACCGCCGCTGTTGTTTCTGCTGCAAGCGATGTCGCTGATGCCGACAATGAGGACACGGAAGCGGCTCCTCTTACACCGCCCAAGAGTGCCAAGCGCCGCAAGGCCAACACGGGAAAGGCCGTCAATATGGAGCTCTCTGAAGCCAATGTCAAGAAGCTTCGTGATGTCAAGCTCGAGGCCAATCCTGAGGCCACTCCTGAGGCCACTCCCAAAGCAAGTCCCAAGGCCGCTGACAAGAAACAGGGCAGAACCCCCCTCCCTTTCCAGCGCGCGCAGCAGCGCACGCCTTCAGCCTCAGACAGTGGCAGTGAGGATAAGAACTTGGTGAACGCCGAGGACAAGGGTGTAGCTGACCATTGCGTTGATGATGTGATGCTTGACAGCATTACTGTGACTCCTCCTAGAGTCAATAGCAATGGAAACGAATTGATCAAAGACGAGAGCGAGATTTAATTAACTCTACGGAAACACCCACTGGGACTACGAGGTTGCAAGCAAAGCGACGGGAACGTTAAAAGGACTATATATGCGAATGAATGAATGAATTGAGGCCGAGGCTAGAAAGGCTTACCATAAAGGGAATGTGGTCTACAGGAAAATGAGTGCGAAGAATCATTCATACGGTGGACGGGCGATTTCAGAGCGAAAGAAAAGACATATCTGAAACTCAAACAGAGCTATCATTCATCTATCTATTTGGTGACTGTGAAAGGCAAAGAAAACACAACTTAGTGTCTGTATTGACAGTCAAATTAGTACACCCCAAACGCCATACCCTGCCTTCGCGTAATCTGAAGATCATGACTACCATAGAAAAATACAAAGACGATTCAAGGATGTTTCATCGCAACCTTTACCTCCGCGGCTTCTTTTCCGTTCCCGAAGACTCGTCGTCCTTGTCGCTGCCCTTTTTCTTCAGTGCCTGAGTCACGCGCAGACTCTGGCCTTGACCCGCAAAATATTGTGGCTTGCCGGCATTGGCTGCCTCCTCCTCCTTTTGCTCCTTGGTCTTCACCGGTCGGATGTGGTACCCAAAGAACAGCTTGTTCGCAGGCAACCGTAATGGCTGAGGGCCCATTCTCCGGCGCGTATTGCCAGAGCCTTCAGCCTTGTTGCTCGACACACCGGCTACGGGTGTCGACGGCTTCTTAGGTGTCGACGCTGACGAGGCGGTGGTTGCTGCTGTACCTTTTCCTTTCTTGGTGCCGATCCGATGACCCTCGCCTTCAAAGTTGGTGCCCACGTGCGCGGCCGAGCCCGGTGCGATGGCATCGTAGTTGATCGCCTGCGCCATGCTGCCCTGGCTGTGCAGCACACCGCCCGCCGGCAGTCCACCGCTGAGGCCGGTCCCTGCCACGCTGCGGGGCGTGCTGGTGCCGCTGTTCTTGGCCGCCGCCGCTAGGGCGCTCCGGTCCGGCTCGACGTAGCCCACGGGCGGTGCAAAGTCCACGGACACGTCCGTCTCGATCATGCTGACGCCCATCTTGTCCGTCTCGGGCTTGACTTCGAGGACCGCCACGTCGTACACGTCGCTGTTGTATTCAAAGCTGAAGATGTCGCCCTTGGTCAGCGTGGCAAAGTTGCGGAACGCGCGCTCCAGCACGGCCTTGGGATCGCTAATGTCGAGAAACGCGGGCGACTGCGGCTGCAGCTTGACCATGCGGGCCAGCTCGAGCGACGTCGTCTTGATCTGAATCATGTCACCAACGTCCAGCTGCAGCGTCTGCATCATCCACTGCGGGATGTAGGCCCGGCCCTCTTCGGCCACAAACTCGAGCACGCCACAGTGCGAGTGCTTGCCCTTTTCTGCGTTGACCATCTCCATCAACAGCGGCCACTGCACATGCAGCCGGGATACCTTGTCGAGAGCCGACGGCGGCAGCAGGATCTTGGAGCCGTAGTTGAGCTCGGGACGGTCGTTGCCTGGTGCCATGGCCATTGGGTAGCAGCGGTAGTATTCGTCGAAGCGCATCGTAGCGGCACCGCGGCCGCCACGCCGGGGGTCGAAGCCATAGCCAGTGTTATACTAGACGGAGAAAGAAAGTAGAGTCAGACCAGATTCGCGAGTCTAAGAGAGCAGCTGGAGGTACGTTTGATGCGCGCCTCACCATTTTATATTGCTATTCTTCGAGAGTCGCTGTAAAAGGCGTCGGGTGTAGATCTCTTTTCGTGGTCGAGAAGGCAGACTGCATGTACTGATAGCGATGCACAAAGAAAGAGAGGTCGGAAGTCGGTTGGGTGGTGGAAAGTGAAGCGTCGTCGTTCACCATGTGGCAAGTTATGTATGTCGGAGACATTGGTACGTGCATTGTTACCTCTGTTGGCTGAGGCAGCCAGCAATGACGATTTGCGGACCCACCTACTTGGTCGGGGAAGTTGGGAGCTTCAGACAACAACAAAACGAGGGGCAAAGCTGTCGCTAGTCTGCCCACTTACAGCGGGATAGGTGCTAAAACGGCGGCTGGACATCGCTGTAGAGTCATGTGACGCAGCCGATCTAGGCTTTACTAGGTCATGCTTGGTGTATGCTATACTGTCAAGGCTTCTGCAAAGCTCCACAGCCTTGCGAACACCACACCATCTTGCAATCATACTTTGGACAGCTCACATCTTTCGAATTGAGTTCGATATTTCATATGCACACATCCCTCAAGACATCCACACAATGTCCTCCAGATATGCCGCTGCGCGGCCAAAACGCGCCGGCGAGTCCTTTGCGCGACAACATCACGGAGGCGGAGGCGGAGGAGGAGATGGAAACGGGAGCGATGATGAGGGTGCCATTGATCACGATCCAGGCAAGAAGGTTACTTTCGATGTGCGTAACCCATCGGCGCTAGCCCCAGAAGCGCGTGAAGACGACGAGGTGCTGGAGGCAGATGTGATTGGCGTGAACGCAGGCGCAACAAAGCGCGGCGCGGTCAACATTGACGGTTACGACTCAGACTCGGACAATGAGACGTTCAACGCACGTGCGGCACAGCGGAAACGGCCAGCAAAGGGATCCGATGCCGGCGTGGGATTTAGCGTGTCAGGGAATCCAGAAGTAGAGGTTAACTTGTTTGACGAGCTGGACAACTACGACAAGCGGCTCAAGGGCGAGCCAGTGGGAGATGAGAAGAACGGTGGCAAGGGCGGCTTTGACAATGCCGACGATGACGACGACGACGACATGTTTGGTGGCGGCGACGATGACGAAGATGAAGAGACCAGAATAAAAAAAGCGAGCAAAAACGGAGATGGCGATACCGATGAGACAGGCAAGAAAAAGTGGAAGGAAGTGCGGTTCTTGCGAAATATCGAGGGCCAGGAAGAAGACAGCAAAAGCGGCGGCCACGTTCGCCTTGACGAGGAGTCAAGCAGTGACGAGGAGGATGCCGAGCTCGCCATCCAGGAGGAGGGCGTGGACGAAGAAGTCGGTCCGGGCGGTCTCAAGAAGCACGCGCCTCGCATCGACGCCTTCAACATGCGCCAAGAACAAGAAGAAGGTGCCTTTGACGAGACCGGCAACTACATCCGCAAAGCCGCCGACGCGGACGACCTGCACGACAGGTGGCTTGAGGGTGTGAGCAAGAAGGAGATGAAGCGTGCCGCGGCTGCACACGAAAAGCGGGAGGCCGAACTCCGGCAGGTCCGCCGGGAAGAGGACGATATCATAACAGCGGATGTGTTTGGGGCGCTGATTACACGCCTGGAGCCTGGCGAAACGCCCCTCGCAGCACTCGCGCGGCTGGGCAAGAACACGAATCAGTCCAAGAAGCCAAAAACCAAGCGCATCCCAGCGTGGCGACTCAAGCAGATGGAGAAGAAGAAGCAGGCCCAGAGCGGCGACGATGGCGACGATGCAGACCAGATGGACGTCGACAAGACGAATGCGTCTGGAGAACCCAAGGCGGCTGATGACCCAGAGCAGGCGCGGCTGAAGAAGGAGATTGGCATCATTACGGAAGCTGCCGACCGTCTACTAAACCGCGACTATGCCGAGATCTACGACATGGTCCGGGAGAAGCTCATCAAAGAATATCGCGTCGAGACTGGCGAAACGTGGGTTGACCCAGAAAAGCCGGTAGACAGTGGCGTTCCAAAAGACGTTGACGCTGCCAAGCTGTGGGAATATCGGTGGATTGATGGCCGAGACGGTGGAGCAAAGCAAGGGCCCTATGATGCACCGACCATGAAGGCATGGCAGGATGCTGGCTATTTCGAAGGCGTTGAGTTCCGACCAGCAGGGAGCGGCGGTGCTTGGCGCAAGGACGTCTCTTTTGCATGACCGGCAACACCTTGGGCTCAAAATATGATAATATAAAATCCAACGCATGTGGATGGGGTTTTTGGTTAAAGAGAGGATAGGTTAATAATAAAACCACGATTAATTTATGTCAAAGGTATGATGGTAAATATATTTACCAGGGAAATCGGGTTTAGTAATACAATGTATTTTAATTATAATCTACCATCCCACTCCGTGACGCCTTGTTTTCCGTCTCCCGAGGCAGCTAAAAAAGTTGTAAACAGCAAAGAGCATAAAAGACAAAGGTAGCTAGTCGGTAAGCTTATAAAAGACCAAGTAGACTGTGTAAGGCAAAAAGAAACACAAAAAACAATAAAACAGATCGTTGTCACCTCTAGACGGTATATGCCCATTATCCACCTTAGCTCATGTCCATCTTCTCGCCGTGGCCGTTCGCCGTCAGCGAAAAGTCGACTGCGCCGTCGTTGCCAATCAGCCGCTTCTCCGACTCGGACACAAACTTGATGCTGCGCACCGGGTCGTAGAACAGCTTGAAGCTCCGCTGGACGTCCTCAACCGACACTTGCTTCGCGCGACGCTTCGCGCTCACTAGCTGCGACGTCGTGATCAGGTTGCTGGCATAGCGCAGGCCCGTCTCCTGGCCAATCTTGGTCAGCAGCGCCAGCGCGTCAGGCGTCAGCTCAACCTCCTCTTCCTGTGCCCGAATGCCCAAGATCTTGTTGATCTCCTCGGGTCCGTATGGCTGCGTCGAGATGATAGACACGCGGTCCAAAAAGTCCAGCGGCAGACCGTGCGGGCTCTTGTAGTCCGTGCCCCGGATGCGCGACTGGCCGCGGTTGCTTGCCATAATGACAATGGGCGCCAGGTTCACCTCCAGCGCACGGTTGATATACGAGAAGCACTCAATATCCAGCATGTGCACCTCATCGATGAACAGCACGCCGGGCACAATCTCCGCCTTGCCCTCCTCCTTCCACTCGGCCACCTTTGTGTTGATCTGGTCGCGGATCTCGCTGCGGATCTCGCCGGTGTCGCCCGCAAACAGCGCCAAGAAACCCTGTGTCCGCGAGTTGATCACGTCAATTTCGTGCAGCGAAACGGTGTGCACGACCTCTTTACGCTTCTGCAGCTCACCCTCGGGGCACTGCACGAACTTGGTGTCGACACCCATGGCGTCGTAGTCCCGCGACCGCGCATACGAGCGGCCCAGCTTGGTGATCTTGCCTGACGACTTGTCGATGGAGATAATGTCGCCAGCCATGACACGCTCCTTGGTCATCGCGTCAATCATCTTGCTACCCATATCGTAGATGGCCTCCATGTCGGTGGTCTTGATCGTCAGCTTGCCCTGTTTGGCACTGCCCGTGACGCTGCGGTCGATCTGGATCTCAACCACCTCGCCTTCCATGATCTCGCTCTCCTCCTTGATGCGCACGCCGATTGATTTGCGGAATGCCTGTGTAAGGGCTTCGGTCTTGCTCATCTCCAGCGAGAAGATTTCGGACGAAGCAAGGGACGTAAACGGCACGTCGGGGCCGAGGGACTGCGCCATTCCTGTTGCAATAGCTGTTTTTCCGGTGCTGTTGTCGAGAAAGAACATATCACGTCAGTCAACGCCAACCTTTGCACAGCCTAGGTCAACCACCAACCCATTGGTACACTTACCTAGGTGGTCCGGCAATGAGAACGGCGCGGCCGGCAATCTTGCCCTGCTTGATCATCTCCAGAATCACGGCAGCCGCCTTGCGAGCCTTCTCCTGGCCAACGAGGCCCTGAGACAACTGCCGCGGCTCGAGTGTATCAGCATCGACGCCAAGCCCACGGATGTGGGAATGGGCAGCAATGAGGTTCAGGCCCCGAAGGTCCTTGCTGTCGGAGGAGGTGATCACAGTCTATACCAGAGAGGGAGAAGACACACGTTAGCCACGCTCGCCACGACGAAGCATTGGTCAGGATTCGAAGAAACATACAGCAGCCATCTTTGCAGAAAAGAGAAACAGGTCAGTCCCGTGCGTCCACTCCTGTTGGTTGTCAATTGTCGTTAAGCGAGAGTGATGGCCGTGCTATTGTGGTGATAAGTTGGCTGCGCGTGCTGTCAAATAGGTCTAAAATTTTTGGGAAAGAGGGCCGCAAGTGTAGAGGGTGGTATTACAGGCGCGTTTCGGCGGCTGGTTGAGTGCTGAGCTCAAGGGGTTGTAAGAATGTATCTAGTACAATTCCCAAAGCTAGTTTGGCTTACGTTTGTGTGGATATGAGGTGTCCAAGGTACTTATCTCCTAATCTTATCAACTGCCACCGTGACTGAAAGTCTTTGACAGTGTGGTAAGCCTAGCCTATTGCAGTGGGATTTGTTGCAAAACGGAGTAGGCGCGACCCCAGGGAAGTGCTTCACCACTTGCCTTTCCAAAGTAATATTTACATGGGCGCTCCTTCCTCATCCGATGGCATGAAGTCAACAAATGTCATGTCGTGTTTCCGTATTTGCAATATCTCAAAAATCAAAACACGCGCATATAGCAGCCCAAAAAACAACCAGAGAACGAAACGAAATTCCACAGGCGCAGCCCCTGCAGTTCAGCTGAGAAGCGGGAGCACACCACCAACACGAAAGTAGTATTACACCTCTGCAACCAAAATCTCCTCGTCCCCTTTTTTGTGCTTCCAGTAACTCTTAAACTCGACGACAGAACGAAACCTTCAGTCCAACATCTATCTACAACATAATCAGGTACCCTTATCGACCGTACCCACAACCCCTCGTGCTTCCTAATCGTTGGAATCCGCGCGTTCGCATAGACGTGTAACGCACGCGCTCCACCCACGCCACTTCTGCACACAGTAGTTTAGCCGTCCCAACATCGACATCTTCTGAACAGCCGACGTACCGCAGGGCGATCGTCGACGAATACAAGAGAGAAAGCACAGCCACTTCCCACGCCACAGACTGTCACAGTCTCGATGACAGCCTGTCATGGTGCATGAGCATCGGTACCAATCCGCTGATACATGGCGGCGAGACTCGGACGATTACGATTCCCGTAGGAGCCAAACGTCTCGCTACTCGCGGGACGGCAACCGAGACAGAGAATACGACAGGAATCGAGACCGAGACCATGAAAGGGACCGCGGCAGAGAGAGAGATCGCGGCTGGGGGCGGGATATTGACCGGGACCGGAGTCGGGATCGATCTTCTGGCGCTTCAAATATTGCCATTTTAAGTCCGACTGGGCAAGAACGGGACCGGAGGCCAATGGAGACGGCAACAAAGGGCGCACTCGATGACGCTCCACAGAAGAAGCCATTTGAGGGACGGCCAGGTTCGTATCTTGCGTGTCTGGACTTTGCATGCTCCGACGGGATGCAACTTTCTCTGCTCTCACACCCTCCAGTTGTACAGATGACTGACACTTTTTCTCGTGCAACAGTACCCAAAGGTCCAAAGGCCGAGCTGAGGCATGCCGTCCGATCTACCTCGTCACACTCCGAACCCAGAACTCCGACAAGTCTCAACGACACGAGGCCTCTGGTCACAAACAGCCACCCCAAGCCAATCGAAACCAAGACTAGGGATTTTTTGGCCCACATGCTGTTGTCCATCCTCAGGAAGGCTAGAGATTTGGGGGAGCATGAGCATGCTAAGAAGTCTCTCGACGTACTGGACAAAAGGAGAGAAGAGCAAATGCGAGCGCTTTCCAAAAACTCCGACTTTCCGTCCTTGCCTGAGCTCCACAGGCCAAAATCAGACGCTGAGATTAGACGGCGAGAGGTTGCCGAGCAGAAGGTTGCCAAGAGCATGGGAGATCTTTCCTCGGCAGTCAAAAACTTTTTGCCACATTTCTTTGCGTGGAAGCAGCCAGTTGCTACCTTGGAAGGAGATGTGAAAAGCCTTAACACAAGGCAGGAGGTCTTGGAGTCAAAACTTCAAGGCCGGTCTCTGGAAACCTTGGAGGAAGAGAATACGACGCTACGAGATCAAGTCAGAGTTTTGGCTGGACTCGTAGAATCTCTAACCACAAGAGTGGACACTATGAGCTCGACGATAGACGCCGCAAGTGGTACAAGCACAAAACTTGTACCGCAGGTCGATAAAATTACCGCGGAGTCGCAAACTCACGCATCTATGATCGGAAGCATACAGGCAATTGTGGCCGACCACAGTGCAAATATTACAAAGATCGATTCTGTTGATCTAAGGCCAATAAACGACTTCATGACAATGGAGAAGCCGCAGCTGATGAAGAAGCTGGACAAGCAGGAAATCGCTCTTGGAAAATTGAGGACTGAGATGCTTGCAATTGAGTCTGGCTTAAAATCACCCCCGCCAGCAGACGGACAGTCGCAAGGACAGCATGATAAGGTGCATGGAACAGGTTCTAAAACTGCACCTGTTCCCGCCCCTGCTGCCTCGAATGCTGGAACACCGCCCACTACAACACCGATAGCGTTTCCTGGGGACGACTTTACGAGCTTGCGGATAGAAATCAGTAGGCTTAATGAGCGAATTGGTCCACTGGAGAAGATACCGGAGACGGTCGAAAATATGCATTCGCGGCAGGCGAAGGCGGTTGCATTAAACAACATCGAGAGAAACAAACTTCGCGACGAACTGCGGAAAGAAGTGCGTACGGGATGGGACAACTTGGCCGTGACATTTGGTGATCTCATCGACAAGGAGACCAAGGAACGATCTATGGATAGCGAACGTCTGAAGGAGCTCGAAAGGACTGTGCGGGATCTCAAAGAGCTGCCTGGCTCTACCACCAGCAACGCCCGAATAGCGTCTACGACAACCAACACCGATGTGGATATGGCAGAAACAACGCTGGAACCATTTCTCTCTCCGGTGCCAGAGCCCGTTAGCACCGTAGGCCCTGCTGAGCCTATCGAGCCTATGGAGCAACTTACGGCTATACCGCCGGCCGTCACGCGAGTACCGAACACAGGACCGGCAACGAAATCGTCACAACCTGGTAGCAACCCCGATGTACGAGACCTCGAAAAAGAAATACGGCTTCTTCAGCAGAGAATGCAGTATTCAGAGGATGATGTACGGGCGGTGCGGGTCGAGTTTGACGGGCAATGTGCCACTCTGAGGATGATGGTTTCGACACTGGACTCGCAGTTCAACAACCTGACAACCAAGGACTTATTCCACTCTATCATCGGCCACTTGGAGAAAATGTACCCAAATGCACGGCAACTGCAGGAAGACGTGAAGAGAATTGGGCTCGATGTCAATCTAATAAAGCAAAACAACCGAATCACCGGCGAGGCTATCCAAAAACTGGAAGATATCATAGCTGCGCCGGTAGGCCAGAAGCGGCCTTTAGCAGGACGTACGGACAACGGAGGTCTTGTGGGTGAATCCTCGTCGATGATAAAGCGGCAAAAGACCAGCGAGACTACATCCAACGGCAATGCTTCCACGAACAGCCCGACGAACCGCCCTGTGAACGGTGCTGCCGTGGCCTCGGCGTCCGCCAGTTCGTAGCCTGCGAGGCTCAGACTATTACTGGCAGCCCTTATTTTGGCAGCCAACCTACACTTAGTATTTTATGACCTCGGAGGTTGCATCATTTTGTTACAAGGGCCATGTTGCCTTTCATTATCCATTAGGTGCGATAATATTTGGTCATTGGGACTTGACGGATAATACCTGGTATATCTGCAACTGTCAAAGCGTGGCTATGCTCGACGGAGAGTTAAAATACCCAACGAAGACAATCAGATCAAATTCGGAATCTACAATGGCGATAGCACAGACTGTGCCCATTATGGTTGTTATCTTGATGTGTGTTGCCGCGGATTTGTAGTGTCTTTAGATGTACCGTTTTCGGTCTCCACAAACGTTGTGCCTGACCATTGTTGACTTCACCCTCGAGCGCTTTGTTCTTTTTAAGCAACGCAATTGGTTGTTCCCTCAATAAATTGAGGGCTCCCCAAAACGGAAGGCATGGTGGCGTCCTCCTCACCTCTGCCCTTTCGACGGATTGCCAGTGATTGGCCTGTCGTCGATTTGCGCATTTGTTGGTGCTGCTTCTATTAGGCTTCATTCAGAACAAATAGAATATGGAGTAGAAATGCGTCGAAGAAAGCTGACCTCTGGCACTGAACCTCTTCTTGCGCCATAATGCAGTGTCTCTGTTAGCGCTATCTTACGATGCACTGTCCCTTCGCGCTTTCCCAGAACAACGCCTTCCTTCGGCAGCTAAGAACAAGCACAGATCAACGACAACGCAAAGTGCCGATCGTTTGCGCCTTCCGTTTCCCCAACCGCAGCTTCCTTCTGTGACGTTCTCCTGCTTTGCTCTTTCCTCGTTCTAAGATCCTGTTGTTTCAATTTCTTCCATCTCAACTTCTGTCTTCTGTCCTCTTCACATTCTTCTTCTTCTCCTGTTAACTTTTAGCACTCATTTGCACATTGGGCCCATACTCAGTTCTGTCCCCGCACGGCAGTATTCCTGCGCTCGGGGATTTACGACCGTTCAATCTTGGGCCTTTCATTGGGCCTCTTGGCTCTGCTGTGTTTCCACGTTTTGCTCCTTCGCGCGCACCAAAACTTGCGACACCACCAACAATAACAAGGGGACACGACCAGATAACCGCGGTCCACTTTTCTCTAAACCGCCAACAACAAGCGGGACCTTGCCCAGCACGGCAGTAGTTTGTCCTCGCCAGTGGTCTTGCGTTTACCCACACCCCTAAACCGCCAATCCAATTCTGGCCATCCCTCTCTCCATACCTCTCGCTCGCTCACCCGTCGCAAATCCACACTTCAGTCCTCTCTCTCCGCCATATAACATACGAATACTACCACCACCACCAACACCACCGACACCACCACCACTCGTGTCGGCTGTCGTCCCACCTTGTCGCCAATTCCTTCACGCCCGACGGTACTCTCTCTTTCGACGACGTACCGCAGTAGAGGGCATGCTCGATCTTTCTCACTCTCATCGCCGATAGCCGCGGCCCAGACACACGTCGCGCGCTTGGCGATTCGTTTCCCGCCGCTTTTCCCAGCCTTGTCGCTCTTGTCCTCTTGTCATCCTGTGCTAGCAACTGTCCCAAGTTAGCTTTTGGTTTCCGAACGACGACGCCCTGTCAACGAGCGAACGAACGGCCCAGTCGCGTCGCGCATACCAACCTAGCCTGTCACTTTTCCCGTCGCGAAGTGCCTCGACACTACCACCTCGAGTCCGCCCACGCCGGTACGTACCGAGTCGTCGTCTCGCGTGTCCCAAAGGCCGATCCCACGGCTACGATTGGACTTCCTGCCAGAAAACTGTTAGTAGAGACCCGCCGGTGGAGAGAGCTTGTCACCCGCCTTGCCTTTCACGTTTGCTATGCAGTGCTGTGACGTAGGCGGCGCATCAAAACTAGTCGACGTAACCCGATCGCCTTTTTCATCAGTCATTCTAACGTTGTCTTCTGGCCAGTCTCCTGTGCGACTTTTTGTCGATCACAGAAAGACCGATCTTTGCGAGCGTCCGGACTCGAAGCACTGCCGTTTTATCTGGGTCGTTTGCGGTGCGCACTCAGCTAGCAACCTCGGCGGTCTCGTCAAGCGACTGGCCTTGACCAGTGTCCCATGCAGAGGCGCGTATGATAGCAACGACTACCACCCAAGCGGCGCCTCACGAACGATGATCGCCCACATTCTTTGATGTTCACGAATCCCATATCAAACTCCCATCGCGCCTTGCGACCCACACGGCGAATGTGTCTCTTGCCGACAGAGAGACTAGCACACGGCAACGAGAGTTCATGATCAGAGCGGACCTTGGCACAGTGGACTCCAGCACATTGCTTTGGCCAGGAGGAGGGGGGCTTGCAAGAGAAGGACTCGCTGCGTTTGGCGCATAATCACGAGGCTGAAATATGGATGTTGCAGCGCAGGAGATCAACAAGCTTGTTCAGCGCATCCTGCCCGATCGGCCGTACCACCTCTCTGTATCCGCCACCGGCCGCTACCCAGTGCCTCCAGGCCTGTGGCCCAATACCTCGCCACTGCAGTACACCACATTCGTGTCTGAAGCTGACCGTGGCATCCTGCTTACACGACCCTATTTTGACATTCAACTGGAAACCGAAGACGACCCGAACAACACCAAAAACAAACGCGGCAAAGCCACGTCGTCGACCAACATAGCATTGCCCGGTGGTAGCCCTGCGGGGGCCGGCAACAAGAGCGAGACGAAGAAGCCCGTAACAAAGATGTCCTTTAAAGACTATCAACAAAGCAAGAATCAGAAAAAACTACCTGGTTCACCAACAAACACCCCCGCCACAACAACCAAACCAGACACAAATCTGCGCAAAAGCGAAGGAGCTATGGCCTCCTATGTTGATCGGCAGCATCTGCCTCCGAAACCGGAATACAATGGCGACAGGTAAGTGAATTATGCAATGGCATTATTGATCCTAGACCCAATGACCGCCAGTGAATGGCAAAGGCTAACATGCACAGAAAACAACATTCACCTTCAAAATCTCCAAGGCGTGCTCGCAGCCCCAGCGCAGCTGACGGCAGAAAGCGCATAGCCGACACTAACGACGCAGCGAACCGACCGCACAAACGCTCGAGGTCGGATACCTCCATGACCTCTAATTCACCACCGGCTGCCTCCTCTTCTAAGCCAAACCACCGTATTCACGACCCACCAAGTCCCCTCGATCTTAATAATCGACGAGACGATAGGTCAAAGCCCACCGCAAACCGGCAAACATCACAGGCTAAACAACGAGACAAGTACAGAGATAGAGACGGGGATCGAGACCGCGACAGAGACCGCGACAGAGACCGGGAGAGGGATCGGGAACGCAACAAAGATCGGGAGAAGGAAAGGGACAGGGACAGGGACAGGGACAGGGACAGGGACAGGGACCGGGATTACGATCGGTACCGTGACAAAAATCGAGACCGTGATCGCGACCACGACCGCGACATGGACCGCGATAGGGATCATGACCGTGAACGTGAACGTCAGCGCGAACGGAATCGGGACCACGACCGGGATCGAGACCGTGGCCGAGAACGAGACAAGGAGAAGGAGAGAGGTCGCACCGACGCCGGCCGCCGTTCGTCACTCTCGCCACCTGTACCCAAGACCAACGGGCATAAAGCCCACACAAATCGGAACCGCGACCGGTCGCGGTCTCCCGACGACGGTAGTGGGCCAGTATCGGCGCTGCCGCCTATCCTTTCCCCACTCCATTTCAACCCCGAACGCGGTTCTAGCTCGACGAAACAGCCCCGTTCCAGCGAGTCTAAAGGCCCTGGCATAGCAGACTCCAGCAAAAGAGATGAGTCGCCGTTACGCATACCACCTCTTCTTTCCCCCACACTGCCTGCCATAGTTGAGCAGGAACTGTCTCGTTTGAAGAATGTACCGAAGGACAGCGAGCCAAAATCAAAGTCGAGCCACGAGTCAGGCCATGCACCATCTGCAGGAAAGAAACCTTTCCGGCCTGTCACGGATACCGACATGGGTGACGCCCCTCTCAAAGAGGTGTCGCACAAGGAAAGCCACCAGACAAAGGACGATTCGCACAAAGAGGCAAAGGAGTCCTCTTCACAGTCTTCGTCCTCTAAGCGGTCTCTTATCGTTGTCTTGAAATACAAGAAAAAGAACGTTAAGAGGGTGCTCCGCTTACTTGCCCTTCAACAGACACCGTTGAAGGCGCCACTGAAACAGACCGAGCGGTCTGTCAGTCTCGAAAACACACCATCTCCGGCTCAAATCACAAAGAAGCGGCCTGCGCCGTCTGACAATTCCACAAACGAGCCACTGCCACCCTTATCAGCTACGTCGTCTTCCTTCAAACACCCAAAGACAGTCGCAGAAAAGAGTGTCTCTGCCTCGCGGACGCCTGTCGGACCCGCCACGCCCGTTAAATCCACGCCCATGGCTCGTGTGACATCCAATACCTCGCAGGTTCTCACCCCCGGTGACTCGAGCTACACGCCGCGTTCGAGCGAGCGGCCGCCGACGAGCCAGAGCGACCATACGAGCAACGTCACCGTTTCTGACTATCGCCGCCGTTATGATACGTACGTCAAGCTGGGGACGAAGCTAAAGCACGACCGCGACGCCATTGTGAAGAGCAGGATGCCAAATGGGTCGACAAAGCCCGACGGCTCGTCTAATCCAACGCTCAACTTGACGCTGGCCGAAAAGAAGCTCGTCGCTGTGCTTAGTCTAGAAATGGTTATGTCGTATCTCATTGCCTTCAAGTCTCTCAACCAGGGACGGTATCTGGAGCGGAAGCCAGGCGACGTGACGGTGTGGGAGCGGCTCATGCCGCACTTTGCCGAATTGCGGAGCCATGCCCGTCATTTCCGCCCTCTGGAAGCCATGACTGTACAGCTGCGCGCGATTTGCTTTGAGCAGATGATGGCGTCGTTTGTTGGCCACGACGCCGAGTCCGTTGCGTCCAAGCTGATGGTGGCCACCAAGCAACGAATCGACGCGTGGACTGAGGTGGCCAACTGCGTGGATGCGGTTAACGACAGCGCCCTCAAAGTAGTCGTGGGTCCGTGGCTGAGTGTCGAAGATACGGTCCGTACCATGCTGCCGACCGTTCGGCGCTGGAACGAGCGAGAAAATGCAGGCTGGGAACAGGAACTCCAGCCCCCGAAATAGGTTGCCCGGGAGCGCAAAGTTATCCCACGGCGCGCGACACGCCAGGCGACGCGCCAGGCCTTTGGCGTTGATAAAACAAGGAGGAAGAAGCAAAACTTGTACACTCGTGGAGTACCTACAGAAAGGGAGAGTGTGTGAAATGGGAAATAGGAAAGGAAGGCAAAGCAGGCGTATGAAATACCCCCATGTACTTCTATTTTAAAGGAACAGAGCGCGGTTTATTACTATGACTCCAGTTCATTTTACTGTCGATGATTTGTTTTCTGCTTTTCTGCCATGCTTGCTATTTTACTTTATGATTGTACCCTCGCCTTACTTGCTTTCACATGGCTTTTTTGCCAGCGAATTTCTCTAGGGATGGCATTTCCCTTTCTTTTAACTTGCATGTTTTATGTCGTTAGGGAGGAAATACCTTGAATGCAGAGGAAAGCAACGAGGACGACGGAAAGGTGTTTATAGGGTATGAACCGGTTAGAACCGGCCTAGTTAAGAAAGACAATATTAACTTGCTATGCATACTTGGGAAGAGGACAGCTTGAAAGATGGAAAAGGAGGGCCCTTTCATCCGAACGGGTGAGCCATAATGTACGATAGCGTCTCCAAATGGTTTCAATATTTCATGATACACAAGTTCCCAGGTTTGCGTGTGAAACAAGCTTGTGGGGATATTTCTTAATCTTGCATGGCGGAAAGTACCAAACAATCCTATCAGTGGAAATGAATGGCCTGCCTTCTGTCGAGACGGAAAAATCGACCAAAAACCAGAAAATCAAAAAAAAAAAAATCTCTGAGAAGCGTTGACATGAGGCGTGGAGATTGTTGGGAATCTTTGTAAGAACTCCAAAAAAAAAAGTGCCCAGAACGACCAGAGCCACCGCCAATACATAAAATAACAAGAAACTACCAATTAAAAATGTATGTGGACGAAAAAACACCCAATAGCCAATAAAACTTTGCAAACCTGAAAACAGGTAAAGATTACGGACGTGAAGAGACCTCTGTAGCCACCGGCCTAGCCCCAGACTGCTCAAGCGGCCGCACAAGGTGCGAAGGGTCAGCGAGATGGGCACAGTCGTTGCAGTACCATTCCCCACGCTCTGCCACATCCACAATGGCCGTTTGGCCTAGACACGCCGTGTGGTATTGCCGGCGGGAACACTGCTAGGAATGTTCGTTAATATTTTAGACGTATGCTGGTTAGAGTGACAAGGGTATTAAATTGATAAACAAACATACCTTGTTCGAGCATATCACCGAATCAGCCACAGCGCAGCGGAAACCGCAGAGGGGACAGCCACCTGTACCCCGGCGTGGTGCATACACTTTCGGCACAGACGTGCTTTGAGCCGCGGTGAGGGCTTGGTCGTCACCAGCTGCTACGGACTTCTTGAGGGACCAGGCTTCATCAATGGCTTGTGTAATGTTGTCAACATCGCTATCGGTCAAGATGTCATGGGCCATCATGACGGCCATGAGCTTGCCAAACTCCATGGCACGGTCCAAGTCCGAGACGAGCCAGAGGCCCTTCTCCTGGATGAACTGCACCATGGCGCGTGGGATGTAGGCGTCTGAGGCAATGCGTTTCAAGATAATAAAGCGGTCCCATTCCTGGATAAAGTCCTTCTCTGCCGGGGTCAGGTCCGTATAGTCCTGGACAATCTCACGATGCTTGTGGATGCGCCAGCTATCGTCGACGATGTTCGTCCTCAGCGTTGTCCCAGGTTTGAGAAGGGCCTTGCTGAGAGGATCGTACAACGGTTGCCGTGTGGAAGGTACAAGAATTTTCTTCTTTAGGTTTGGCGGCACCGGAGTTGGCGTAGGCACACGCTGTGATGCAGCAGATTTGATTTTTGGCTTGTCGAAAACGGTATGTTAGTATAATTTTGAGCATTGCTCACAAACAAAATAAAGTAGGTAAGGAAAACTTACCCGTGGCGCTTGTGCGTTCTTCACGACTTGGTCGTCGTTGAGTGGCCCGCACCTTGCGGTGACCCAGGACTCGTCACCCTGCAAGAACTTTTCTATATCTAGAGCTCCAGTGGGCCGGCCGAGTTGGTAAACAATATCTTGCAGGCGAACATTGCTCGAATCGAGGTCATGCACAATTTTGAAGAAGTGGTCGCCACTACGAGCACCGGGTCGGTGCTCATATTGAAATATGTACTGGGAATGGGAGCGGAAGTGAAGACGCAGATGGTCCAAATCCAAGTTCATCGCCATACACATGCAACATTGAAAGCCGTCCACAGACGCGTAATCCTGCTGATAGTAATATGTCACTTTGACATGACAACTCGACCCGTTGCTGTTACCATTGGTGAACCCATTGACGTTGGCGAACAGATCGCTGCCACGTTTTCGCGGACCCCGGTCGCCAATCTTGTGCGCTTTGTTGGTAATGTTCCGGACATTGTATTCGGGCTGGTCCCGCCTTGCACGAAGTGAGCGGCTCGGCGTGGATGGCCACTCCAGATCGTCATTATTGTCGTCAGCGGCTTCGGCTGAAATGACCGTTGTTGGGCCAGCTGTAACGGTCGCGCCCGAGGAACGGGCGTTGATCTGACCATTGAGCTCTCTGTTCAACTGGAGGTTGATCTGAGTCTGAAGCTGCCCTGAAAGGTCGGTCGTCGCAGCGATGCCGTTCGTCACATTTGGTGCCTCATTTGTTCCTCTATTTGTTGTACCGTTCGCTGTACCGTTTACCAAATCGCCCACCGGCACGTTGGCGGTGCCATTCATGTGGCCATTTGCACGTGCGTTTGCAGTTTCGTCTGATGCAGCGCTTGCGGTCTTCTTGCCTAGTGTTGATGCCGCGAATTGGGCACGGTAGGACTGCCGCCGGGGCCAGAGGTCGCACAGATCGAGCGTAGGCGGCGGCAGCGGTTCATCTGGGTGCAATGCAACAATCGTCGGAAGGACACCCAAGTTAAGGTGCCTACGCGGCCGCTCGAGAAAACCTGTCGTCCACCGGACGTCCATGTCCATGACAAATTCAGTGCGAACAGCATCGTGCTGCACACTTTCGCGCAGCCATAGCGGAATGCGCATGCGCGGGCGGCCAAAGAAATCGCTGGACTCGGCATACAGCACGCAGTCACAGGCCTTCTTGGGGCGATAGTCGCTGCCGTGGAGGCTCGCGTCTGCCAACGATAAGAGGTCGAGCGGCGGCCATGGCTCATTGCTTGCAGTGGATTCAATTTCAACTCGCAGCATGTACTTGTCGGCCAGCCCCAACTTGTCGCCATGGTGATGCAGGACAGCAATGTTTTCGAGTGGCACGGTGAAAGGTTCAAGCACCAGCTTCGCCAGCCCGTACGGGCCGCTGGACGCACGAATGGCGTGAACTGCACCAATCTGGGCGGTGCAGTACATGAGTTGGGTGCGGCCATACTTCTCGCTCAAGATAGTGACCTTGAATCGAACATTGTGGCGCGTGACCTCGGAGGTCTCCTTGGCAGAGAAGCCGTTGGCGAAGCGCAGGCGTGGGGTGTCCTGGTGGAAGATGTTGAATGCCTGGATGCGGAGACCATTGGAGCGGTCGCTAGGGCATTGGGGCAGCTTGACGAGGTCTTCAATGGAGCTCGGCGCACCCTGCAGCGGTTGGGCAACACGTCGTCGTTTTAATGGGCGCATGTAGGATTCCTCGTCGACGCCGTTTGCTGTTGGAACCGCCGATATGTGCGCGGAGCCCGTTGGCGGCGACTGGCGCTTCCGTTTAGAGGTCCACTCTTGGCACGCTGTGACACCAGCAGTCCAATTGCGGTGCAGGAACGGCAGGCGCCGGCGACCTGGTTCCTGTGGCATGGTTGGAGTGGATGCAAAGGGTGTTATGAAGTCTATAGGGAGTGAAGGAGGAGGAAAGGGTGTGGCAGACGAATATTGAGCGAAATGGGAAGAGGATGATGGGTGGCAAGTGGTGCGCATCTGGAAGAGCCAGTTTGCGGTATGAAGACACGACATGGGATGCCGGTGGCCATGGACCGCGCGTCAAAAGGAAAGGATGAGTTGGGGACGATGACGGGACGAGAAAAGAGCGAAAAGAGCGAAAAGAGCAAGAAAAAGGTGAGATGCGATGACGCGTGAGTAAGAGACGTGAAAACAACTTCTACGCGAATGAGATTCAGTGACAATGTCGGCGATGTTGATGAAAGCAAGGTGTGGCGAGTGACAATGAGCAGCCGTTGACGAAAGTTGGTGACTGGCGAATGGCGAATGGCGAATGGCGAGCGTGAGGTGAGCCTGGCCCTTTCGCAAACGCAGATTGTTTGCAAGGCTGGCCCCCAACTCAAGAAGTCAAAACGACACCACGCAATCGCTCAGTCACTGGCCCTCGTCACAGTGCTTGCTGGCGGCGGAATGAGCATCGCCTTGGCCGGGCGTCGGCTCGGCTGTCTTGGGGTGTCTTGCCCCCTCCACTGCGGTAGCCGGTGATGCCGTTGATAGCGATGTTGTCGTCGTTGTGATTATAAACCACAGGGGGGGACACAAAGAAACAAAGCGAACGCGACACGCCGGTTCTGCAAGTTAGTGGCGGTAAGAACAGGGCCCAATAACGTACGGAATGCGCGCGCAAAAAGGGGTGCTCAAGAGGCTGCGGAGTGGACGTGACGACAATGCATTGTTCGCTATCGCGAAAAAGAGGTTGTTTGGTCGTTCAAAAGTTTTGACTTGTGGCAAGCAAAATCGCAAAATAGTAGTGTCAATTAGGTTGATCGTGCCTGCCGGGCCGGGTGGTTTGGCTTGGTGTTGCTTGCCTGTGGAAGTTCTGTGCTGCGGGAAGTCGCGGTCACGCTTTTCCAATACGCTCCTTCCCCATAGTACAAAACAAAATTTGTACACAATACCAAAACGAACGAATGCGTTATTCGCAGAGTAAACGAAAGTAGAGGGAAAGGCGTTATCCCTGGCATGTAATAAGTCGTACACTAGGGACCGTTAGCGCTTGAAACCCGCACTGTCTTGCGCTTTCCTCTGGTGAGGGGACAGGTGCTGTTCAATTAGGGGCTTCGCGGTCAGGCCAGTCCCACTTTTTCCCGTCCTCAATAGTGACAACAATGGGGCATAATTGAGCCTTTTGCTATCTTCCAATATAAAATGAGCAGAGTCCAGCGAATGAAGTAACAAACGTGACGGGCTAGCATACGAAACATAACACCCAATCTGATTGAGCCAAGCATGGCCTGAGACGGGCAACTGTTGTCTACTGCCGGGTAGCAGCTGGCAACTCGTGATACGTTCAAAAGTCACGTGCACTGAGAACCACTATCCTGGGACTATCATCTGCCGTGGACAACATGAGAACATCTCGGTATGCCACATCGCGGCAGAAAGCTTGCCGAGCATGTGTGCACGCAAAGGCGAAGTGCGACAGGCAAGCAATGAGTTGTAGCCGTTGCCTCACCCGGCGTCTATCATGTGTCTATCCACAACCATCTGCGAAGACGACATCAACGACGAACGCTTGCTCCGATCCCCGGGTAGGTGATCCGCCGACACCATTTTCCATCACCATTCCAGTGGGCGGCTCGACCGATTATGCTGAAAAGGGCCTCGCTGGTGGTGTGTCGGAGGTGACAGCCGGCGAGTTGATTTGTCCCATAAATGCAGACGATATTAGCATGCGCTGGATGAAGGCCTATGTGCCAACACCCGGTCAGAAAGTCAAGGCGTATCAGCCGTCAACAATTTCATTTCTCTACCGCTCGCTGAAGGCATATTCGGGGATGGCCATCCATGGTAGCGGTATCCCGCCGTTTATCCACCCGGCACAGCTGAGCGCGAGCAACAATCTTATGACGCCAGCGGCGGCAAATTACGTTCGCATATCTTCAGCAGCGCTCACGACGTGCCTAGATCTGGTGCGCACCTGTGACATGACAGTTGCAGGCCCAACTGAGGCTGCTGCAGCCATGATAAAGCGCGAGATGGACCGGATCTACGCGGACGCGCAGCAGCAGACCCTGACCCGCACCGCTATCGACCACTGGGCGTCACTCGCCGCTTTCCAGGCATACCTGCTCTATGCCCTTGTGCTGTTTTTTCAGCTCGATCACCAGGGCGACCCGTTTCTGAGCCAAGCAATTATGGCCCTGCAGGACATTGCATGCACCAGTTCCCAGCACGGACTCGTGTGCAAGGCCGAGCACGACGTTGCATGTCCACGCTGGGCCGCTTGGGTTGTCGCCGAGGCCAAGCGGCGGACACTCTACGTTGTGTATTTGTTTGACAGCGTGCTCTCGACGCACGACGGGCTGCCCACGTACCTTGGTACAGAATTGCGCGGTCTGCCGGCGCCTAGTAGCAAGGCACTGTGGCAGGTGTCGACGGTGGCAGACTGGGACCGAGCTTATCGGCACCACCTCGACATATGGACGGAAACGGGGGATACTAACATGAATTACGCTGGCCTGCGTATTGACGAGCTGTGGCCATATACAGATCCTCAAGACGCGCCTGGGCTTGCACGTCGGCGACGACGAGTTGACCAATGGCTGGAAAGCGTTGATGAATACGGCACTATGATGTATGCAGTCACGAGCAGCACGCATGGGGAATGACTTTGAGCGGCTTGGGACTAATTTTGAATTCATAAGAGTCTCGTCCGGTAATTATGTTGTCTGTGTTGACGTCACGACAAGACAAACACAATGTCTCCTTATTGAATTTTTACTCGTCAGCATCATACCAATGAGATTCGCGGGAGAATAACTCTAAATTAGAAAGTAAGGAGAGACACGACAACTCAAAAAGCATAATACATTAGACTTACCAAAGACTGATTGCTTGTTGGTTTTACGATAACAAACTCCGCCAACTGCCCGAACCTATATCTCACATACTGGCTCTGCCTTGCTTCGCGTCAAATGGGCCTTTCATTACAACGAGATAACAAGCACGGCGACCCCTAGCCCAGCGCCCCCCCCCCCCCCAAAACTCTCAGCTCCAGGGGTTTTCTCAACTCCGGCGCTCAACTCCGGCGCTCAACTCCGCAGCTAGTCATGATGGCTTACATCAATGTTTTACCACACTATCACCGGCACATATATAACTGACTGCACAATCCGAATCCACATCTGTGACAGGGCTTTCCAGAGCCTTGCAAACCGCTTTAGATGCGTAATTATTGTCATGGACGAACCTGTACGCCATGAATCGTTACCGACTGCCACTTCGGCTCCAGATGCTACAGCTTCGTCGCCGACCGAAAGCAATTGCATCGAAGAGCCATACAGCATCTTTGACAACCGCCAACGGGCACTGATTGTGTTCCTCGTCTCTATCGCCGCAACTTGTCAGTGGCCGGCAAGTTTCTGGTAGCCTTCCATCTGCTGCGTATACTAACGCACTCCCCAGTCTCTGGCTTTGCGTCCAACATCTACTTCCCGGCGCTGCCCACCATCGCGGCCGACTTCAACGTCTCGTCTGAGCTCATCAACTTGACCGTGACGACTTATCTCATCCTACAGGGGTTGGCACCCAGTCTCTGGGGTCCCATCTCCGATGCTCGCGGACGCCGTGTCGCCTACATCGGCACCTTTTGCATCTTTCTAGCCGCCTGCATTGGCCTCGCCCTCAGCCGCACCTACGCTGCCCTCATTGTCCTGCGCGGCTTGCAGAGCGCCGGCAGCGCGAGCACAATTGCCGTGGGCTCCGGTGTTGTCGGCGATGTCAGTACGCGCGCCAACCGAGGTGGCCTGATGGCCGTGTTTCAGGCTGGAATGCTTGTGCCGGTTGCCGTTGGACCCATTATCGGCGGCGTTTTGGCCGGGTCGTCGTTGGGGTGGCGGTCTATTTTTTGGTTTCTCGCCATCTACAGCGGTGTGTTTCTCCTATTCCTGATAGTTCTGCTCCCCGAGACGCTGCGAGCCCTCGTCGGAAACGGTGGACGCAACCCGCAAACACTCGGCCCCTTTGCGCGGTATCCCCTTCGGCTCTACCAAAAGTACACAAAGGTGCCGTTCACGCCCGCAGCGGCCCTGGCATCCGACGGGAGCAGCAGCAACCGCAAAAAGGTTGACGTCTTGGCCCCGCTGCGCATTCTCTTCAGCAAGCAGGCGGGCCCCGTCGTCCTCTTTTTGGCGACGTACTATGCTGGCTGGCAAATGTGCATCACGGCAATGTCCACACTCTTTGCTTCAGAGTACGATCTCTCCGAAACACAAATTGGTCTAACGTTTATTTCCAACGGTATTGGCTCGATCGTCGGCACTCTTATTGCCGGGAAGCTGTTGGACATGGACTACCGGCGCGTCAAGAACGCGGCCGTCGCTGCAGAAGACGGGCCCGAGGGAGGAACCGCCGACTCCCATGTTTCCCTGGAAAAGGCCCGGCTGCGCTTGCTGCCCATATTTGCCGCCATCCAGTGCGGCTCCCTGCTCATGTTCGGCTGGACCATTGACCGCCACGTTCATATTGCCGCGCCCATAGTGTCAACTTTTATCACCGGCTGGGCCGCCATCACCACGCAGACGGCCGTTTCCACGTACCTTGTCGACATCTTTCACGCCGGGCATCGCGCAGCAGCAGCCGGGGCCAGCATCAATCTTGCCCGCTGCCTGCTTGCGGCCGGCGGCACGACTTTTATCATGCCGCTGATCAACCGCATTGGCGCGGGCTTGGCGTTTACCGTGTGTGCCAGCCTGCAGTTCGTGGCACTGGCTGGACTTGCTGTGCAGTGGCAGTATGGCGCTGCTTGGCGGGAGGAAGCAATACAGAAGCAAAAGAAGGACGAAGACGGCCAGGATCGTCAAAAGGCCCCCGCAAGGACAATCTAGTCGGGGAAGGTGAAAGGCAAAAGGGAAGTCGATTTCATCACACAGCATTCACATAATCCAGCAGCAATGCATTTTTGGAGCGTGCATAGCCTTATTTTGGCGTTATCATTTTAGTTACTAGCAGACACCAAACAGATACAGATACACATAGACACCTATATTTTATTTACCGTTGATAATGAAAACATTAAGAAAACGTGTACTATTACTTTTATGGTATCATTTGATAATTGGAGGCCCCTTCTAACACATCAAAATATGCATTTTATCTATACATGCGCAATCACCACGCGTAGTCGTTGGCCTCGGGTCCGTCCCCCGTCCACTCGTCGTCTGAATTAGAATCGTCACTGTCCAGAAAGTCCACCATGCGGTATTGAATCTCGCCGGGCTTCTGGTTGTCGATGCGGATATCGACTACATCGCACATGCCATGTACAAAGGGTCGGGTGCGCTTGAAACCGGAAGATGATCCCTCACCATCGCTGATGTCCATCTTGTCGCTTTCGTGGTCACTATTTTCACGACTAGCTTGCTCGACACCTTTACCTTTCTCATCCCGGGTATGCTTGCCAACATTTTCATCCTCGTCTTCGTCTTCATCGCTTGACGGAATGTCCTCGTCCGTGTCCGGCTCGCGGTATGACATTCTGCTGGTTGGTGCCATGTGGCGCAGGCCCCGTGTTGTGCTACTAGCACGCGACGACGGGTTGGACACATGAGTGGCAATCCGGTGGCTGCGCCGCGAAGGCTCCGCGTCGCTATGCCGTGCCTTCGCCTTGGACCGTGGCGATATATGCTTCTGCGACTTGGCATAATACGCCAGTGAGCTGGCCGGCTCTGGCGCAGTCGTACGTCGCTTGAACACACGATCCAGTGTCGCCTCCCACCGGTCTCGCATTTCACATCGCTGTCTCCAGGGGATGTCCAACATGGCCTTGATGGCAAGGACACGCAGCTGTGGTACGTGTGGTGCACTATCAACGAGCGACTGGAAGAAGACCTCGGCCGCAGCAGGTTCCCATTTCCGCAAATGCTCAAGTTCAATCACTTCAATGCTAGTCGGCCAGGCCGGTACTTCGTCAGCCGTCAGCAGGGTGTCATACATTGGATTCGAGTCGTTGTAAAATGCATGGTGACTGTAGTACGTCAGGTTCATACGCAGCGCTTGCAGCTGCGGGCATGCAGTGCCCAGAACCGACAAAAAAGACAGGCTGAGCGACTGGTTGTAGTGCAGCGTCAGCTGTCGTAGCTCCTGACCGTGTGTCACTAGGTACTCGGCAAATTGATCCGCCGTCACGTCCCAGCAGTTGACCAGCTCGAGATGCTGCAGCGTCTTGGGAAGCAGCGGGAGGATTAGGTCGTTCGCTGCCGTCGATGACTCCACAGCAAGGTGGGTCAGGTTGGGCAGCGCATTGAGCAGTCCCGCAAAGTCCACTGCCTGTTGCCGATCCGCCTCAATGACTTCCGGGTCCTCGGCATTCCTCGCATTCAGGGACGGCCGTTGGTAGTTGACGAGGCTAATCTTGCACAACCCCGCAAAAGTTGGCGACAAGTGCAGTGTCCGCACTCGGTCTAAATCGAGGTCACGACCCATAAGACGCTGGTTCCACCGCCAGCTCTTCAACCTAATAGCGGTGGGAACGGCAGCCTGGGCAAGAGGGGCCATACTCGCACTGCTGCCTTCTTCCTGTGGGTCGCCATGTCCGCCGCTGTCCACAGTGGTATTGGTAATAGCAGGCTGAACTGCGCCGAGTGCCTCAAAAAGCCATCAGGGTAGGTCCAACGCAGGTTCTCTGTTTGCTCTCTATACGGAGGCCTGTCTTTGTAATGGTATAGGTCGAGGTCGACCAGGCGAGGGCAGTAGGAAACCAGGCGCGGTATGTCCAGATGGCGACCCTTGTAAACGCGGCTCGCCAACGACCCAACATCGATTTTGAGCGCCTTCACTTTTTGACGGTAGTCAAAAAGCGTCGTAGACGGGTCTTTGGCCAAATGGTCGACCAAGTTGTGCGCCATATTCATCGTGAGCATTGGTGGGCTTTCGTACAGGGCTCGCAGAGCGGGCTCTGTGAACCCTCGGCATGTACGACTAGCAGCCAGAAGCCATCGCACCGACGTAATGTTGTCGAGCGGCGCAGCGCCATAGGAAAATATGCTCGATAAAACCAAGTATGGCAGCGTGGACCATGGTGGCCTGTTGGTGCGTGGCGGCGACAAAGCCCGCATGGTTGGTGTGCGAACACCGTCACCTTTTCCACCCGCACTCTTCTTATCATCGATATGAATCACGACCTGCCTTCCAGCCTTCGTTGGTGTCGACTTTCCGCCGCGGTTTTTCCTGTTGGCATCATGTGCAACTCGTCTCTTTCGTCGTGGGGAGGGCGTAGACGCCGTAGGTGCTGCAGAATGTGCAGGAGCGGACGAAGATGAAGCTACCGTGCGCGGCTTCTGTCGTCTCCGCGGTGCGCCATCGGACGACGGCGAGAGATAGGCGTCGTCTCCAACGAGAAATTCAGCTGTTGCCCTGCGCTGTGGTTGGCGTCGGCGTTTCGAGGGGCTGTTGTCGGGAATGGACGCATCGTCTAGGCGTTGACGTTTCGACGGCAGCCGGGCCGTGAAATTCCTGTCGTCAGGTTCGCCCACGCCATCGCCACTGTCACTGTCTGCGAAGGCGTCGTCGGAATCTTGCTCGCGCTCATGTTCATGCTCGTCTTCCTCGTAGTACTCCTCCTCTTCCTCGCTCTCGCTGACTTCCGCATAAGTTCGTAGAGATGCATGTCGTGTTGCACGGTCGTTTGATGAACGCAACGGCAACCTAGAAGACGACGCCCCCGCCTGAGTCGCTGTGTTTGCGGACGAGCGTTGCCGTAGTCGGGAAGACATTGCGATCGGTAGAGAGCACAGGGCCTGGCGCAAAGCGCGCGGGGATGGCCTCGTTTTATCGAGACAAGTAAGTCGGTTGTCAACCGCATAGGATGGTGCTGTGGTTGTGTTGATTGGTTCTTCTCCAGGATGCCCCACAGTTGCTGCCTGGAGAACGGAACAGAAGGGAAGTCGTCGAAAGTACCAAAAAGGAAGTCTCAATCTGAGTGTAAAAAAATCACAGGGAGCAAGAGGCAAAGTACTGGGATAAGGCAAACTGGTGATTGCGGGGCTCTAATCACCCAGGATTACTCGCCGCCGCTTATGCAAGGCACGCACTAGTCTCGTCTGTGTTGTGACTCAAACAGCTGCACGTGATTTTTCCGCGCCAATCAGCCCTAGGCCAGAAACCCGGGCCAGCCCGACACATTGGCACCCCATCACCTCTTGGCTTTTATTGTGGACTCTAACGAGGCTGATGAAGTGCATCAGACAACCAAGCTCCGAAGGACAAAGAGGGGGGAGGTTGTGGGAAAGGTGAAGCTTCATGAGCACCATTGAAGTCAGCGTTACAGTCACAAACGTCAAGAAAGTGCACGAAATTGAAGCGCTATATATTCTATATGTCCTTTTGCTGCCCAGTCATCTGCCGTATGCGGTATAATCATGTTCGTCTTGAAAAGAAGAGAAGAAGAAGAATGTGAAAGGATAGGGGTACAAGAACAAGACGTTCTACACATGAAAAAGAATGAGAAAGAGGCAAAAAACACCTAAAAAAAAAATCAAAGAACCCAGCCTCTCCAAAACTCCTCTATGGGGGAAAATACAGTATTGAACGTGTTCGAACATAAAGGAGTCTCACCAGCAATACCAAAATACGAACCGTCCGAATCAGTGGAACTGTGTGCACACATCCACATTCCAATTGTTCCGTGAATTTTGGCATCCAGCAAGTTCACAGTCACCTAGGGACGCAGTTCACGTTCAAAGGCGTCTTATAAGTGCACCGTAAAGAGACTGGTCGCGTAATATTAACTTGGAAACAATGGTGAAAAGCATGTCATGTAGAAGTAGGCACCTGGTCGCCAACACGCCAGGTATCTTCTTGCCGCGTGCGAGGGGGCATCCAGGAAGCAGTGCCAGCACTGCTGCCGCGGAGAGTCTCACGGCCGAAATCATCAGACTTCTTGTAGTCCTCGCCCGCCGACACGGAGTAACCAGCCGTATACGGATGAGGGCCCGCTGCGAGACTTGAGGAGCCATTTTCGAATAAGCCTCCAGTATTCTGCAAACCAAGGCCGATGCCATTTGCCGACGGGCCCGAGTTAAGTGGCAGAAGCGGCTCGCCATCCTTGGCGCCCGTCATAGTGCGTGCACGTCGGTCGGCCTTGTTCTGATTTGTGCGGTCGTACAAGTACAGGCCAAGGAAGGTGAGGCCAATGCCAACAGCCTGCACCCAGGTGGTCGGACTGCGGAACCAGACAATGGCCACGCTGATGACGAACACGCGCTTGATAAGACTTGCCACCGAGTAGGTAACGGGAGACACCCGCGACAGCAACACAAAGGCCAGCATGTTCTGCGCAAAGTGAAAGAAGCCGTTGAAAACAAACTCAAGAAACAGCCGGCCGTGGCCAAACGAATCCGGGCCTTCGGTCAGATCTAGCGAGCCGTCATATAGGAAGTCTCCGAGCAGGCCAATGCCCTCGGTCCAGAACCAAATGGGGCCCGTAATGACAAATGCCATGCCGGACGAGTAGCACAACAAGTTCAGCTTGTCCAGCTTGCGCGCCTGCACGCTCAAACCTTCGGCCTCAGCACGCGACGCCTCGTTGAAGAGCTTCTTGGAGACAATGTTCTGAGTCACAAAGATGCCGGTGGCCACCAACGCGTATAAAATGCCCAGCAGCTGGCCACCGCTGAAGGAGTGGCCGCCAGAGCAGGCAAGCGCCACGCCAAGCGTCAAGGGGACGAGAGAGAGGTAGGTTGCAGTCGGGTACCGGATGTCAAGGAAGATGCGGTAGGCGAAGACGGTAAAGAGCGGTGAGAGGCCCTTGATTGTGTGCACAAGCGAAACGGATATCTTTGTTGTTGCGGTAGAGCTCAGGAGGTGGCCAGCAATCTGGAAGCCGGCCAGCGGCAGTGTCGTGCGGATAATCTCGGCATCCGGGTACCGAATGCCGTGCTTAAGTACGGGCATGGCGCGTTTCAGCGATGGAAATACACGTGCCAGCCATGACAACAGGATGCAGAGAAAGGAAACGAAGGCGAACTGGACGATCGTGAGGGTAGCGGGCTTCTCGAAAGCGTTCAAAATCGACTTTGATGAGGTGTTTGTCAGAGCAGAGGATCCGTACCAAAGGATACAGAGGAACTAGAAGCAGCCAAGTATCGTCAGTTTCTCGCTCACCATTGAGTTGGGATTGCTGATATAAAAAGGAAATAAAAATAAAAAGACCACATACGATTAGCATAGGTGAAACAGGCGCCTTCAGCGCATCGGCAATCTCGTGCACGTTCTGACTGGTACTAGCAGATCGCGTACGTATTGTGCGTAAGGCTTCGCCAAGACTCTTCTGTCGCGAATGGCCATGGCCATGGCCGCCGCCGTAGCCGTTGGTCACGGGCGGCATGTTCCAGCGCACGCTGCTGTCTTTGCGGGCCCGCCATTGGTCCATTGGTGGCAAGGACGGCTGTGCTGTAGACGTTCCATTTGCTTTGTTCGACGAAGCGCCATAGCTGTGGTCGAGTCCGGTCGTGTCGTGAACATCGAGTTCGGGGAACTTTTCGAGGCCCTCATCTTGAGAGCCCATCGCGACGTCAAGCGTGCGTCGTGGCGCTGGCGCGTTATTTGGTGACGGCTTGCGGAGGACAGTCGTGGCTGTTGTTGTCGCATGAGGCATAGTATAGGAAAAAAAGGAAGAAAGAGGGTTAAGGAAGAGCCAAGAACGGAAGGATGAAGCAAGAAGCAGGCTGGATGGCGGAATCGGGCGATGCTTCAGATCGAGAGGACAGGGTTCAGTGGCACCCGCAGCCAGCGCATTTCAGTAACAGTGCACTGTGGATGGACGGACCATTCGGCAAAGAAAAGCAGTCGAGGCAGCAACAAGCAACAGACGAGGTCGGAAAATTAGCTGGGATTTCACCGTCGACGACACGGCACGGTGGTGGCTGAAAGGGGAGATGAAAATGTATCGCAATTCAGCGGGATACTAGAACGTACAAGCGTGTGCAACCTCGTGCAGGACTGGCGTCAATACGAAATTGAGAGCGGGTCTTCGTATCGGCCAGTGGTACGACGTTAGCCGGCGAGTACTACGACTACTCGTGGTAGGGCGCTAGCACGAATTCAGAAAGATCATAATCTGGATACCAGCCACATTTATGCGCCACATACGATTTGCTCTCCAGTCAAGCATGCAGGCGAGCTATCACCAAAATTTCGCGATGGCGCGCTGCAGAGCAATTATTAAGACGTCGAAATGCCTACAAACTGCAACTATCTTTTGTAACCACCACACGGCCAGCATCATAAACTAGAATCACCAGACGCATTTGTTGGACGACTCCCTATTCATATCCTCCGAGAGTGCCTATTTACATCATCTCCGCTGCATAGACCGCGGTCTGGGAGGCAATCATGGCGGCCCCCAAGATGACCAAGAACCAGATGCGGCGAGCGAAGAAGAAGGAGGAGAAGAAGGCCAAGGCAGAGGTAGGTAACAGGAAGCTAGAATTAGGCAATTGCCTTGACACACACCTCGGCCATTCCCATACTGACATCTCCAAGTCTGAGGCGGCGGATCTACAGTCCACGGAGAAGAACGGCGCAACCGAATCAACAACCGAAGCTAAGCCTGACACAACTTCACAAGCAGTGGTAGAAAGGGAAAAGAGAGGCAATGCAAGCGAACCGAAGAAGGAGGGTCCAAGTACCGATGAACCCAAGGTCGAGCCCGAGATGATCCTCGGGGGCTTCGACTACGACGACCCAGCATTTGCCCAGTTCAAAGACGTCTTCAGCAAATTCGGTCCCAACCCTGAAGACGACAATATCGCACGTGAAGCGAACGCCGGCAACCAGGGTGAAGTTTTCATGAACGACCACCTGGAGATGATTCCTGACGAGGAGGATGAGGACGGCGGCCGGCTCAAGCTGTCCAAGAAGAAGCGCAAGAAGCTCAACACGCTGTCGATTGCCGAGCTCAAAGCGCTTGTCCAAAACCCAGAGGTCGTCGACTGGCACGATGTCTCGTCCTCAGATCCGCGTCTTCTCGTCGTCATCAAAGCCCAGAAAAACGTCGTCCCCGTCCCCGGCCACTGGTCCCTCAAACGCGAATATCTCTCCAGCAAGCGCGGTGTCGAAAAGCCTCCCTTCCAACTGCCCCCCTTCATCGCCGAGACTGGCATCACCGAGATGCGCGATGCTGTGCTTGAGAAGCAGGCCGAGCAAACACTCAAGCAGAAGCAGCGCGAGCGTGTTCAACCAAAGATGGGAAAGCTCGACATCGACTACCAGAAGCTCTACGACGCATTCTTCCGCTTCCAGACGAAACCCTCCCTCACCCGCTTCGGCGATGTATACTACGAGGGCAAGGAGTGGGAGACGGAGTTCCGCAACTTCAAACCAGGTCCGCTCAGTGATCTTCTCAAGGAAGCCCTGAATATGCCTCCAGGTTTCCCACCACCGTGGCTGCTCCAGCAACAGCGCATCGGTCCCCCGCCATCCTACCCGAACCTCAAGATTCCTGGTCTTAACTCGACACTACCACCAGGCGCTTCCTGGGGCTTTGCTCCAGGACAGTGGGGAAAGCCTCCCGTTGACGAATACAACCGCCCCCTATACGGCGGTGATATTTTCGGCATTCAAGGTGCGGACGATGTTTCGGCTGCCGTTGACGCCAGCCAGGCATCGGCGGCGGCTGGCGAACCGATCGAACGGGAGATTTGGGGAGAGCTGCAACCACCAGGGGATGACGAGTCTGAGGAAGAGGAAGACGACGACGACGAGGACGAAGACGACGATGAGGAGGACGAACGTGATGTGCCGGGCGGCTTGGAGACGCCCAGCGGCTACATCAGCTCTGTGCCCACCGACCTCCCGACGGGTGTGGATGCGAACATTGGAGGCGAGTTCGACCTTCGCAAACAACGGCGCGGATACGAGACCGAGGAGTCCTCGGCGGGCCGACCTCCACGGTCTGCATACACAGTCATCCCCGAACGGCAAGCACAGGCACATGGCTTCTTTGGCAGCGACCGGACATACGACCTCTCACGAACAGGCCGCGGTCCAGCTGTGCCTGTACTAGGCCAGGACGACGATGGTGCACGCAAGCGCAAGAAGCCCGGTGATGTGGATGTAGCACTGGATCCCGACGCACTGCTAAGCAACGATGGCATCAGCAAGGACGAGTTGAAGCACCGCTTCGAAGAGGGCCGGCGGGAAGAGGGTGTTGGTGCGCAGTGGCGGCAGTACGACGACGATCTGACCGATATGATTGCACAAGAGAGCCGCAAGCGGCAGAAGGTGGTTGAGGACCGCAAGACGGAAAAGAAGAAGGAAGCCAAGTACCGTTTCTGAGAGAGCGTGCAGTTGTCGTATCAGGCTTTGCTGTCCTTTTGATTTCTAGTTGACTACTTGGTTTTGGGATACTCTCTATTGTGCATTGTTCTACCAGGAGTTGGTCGGCGGGCATCTATCTACCAAAAAAAAAATTCTTCGCCTCTGTAACAAAAGAACATTCGTCTTTATTTTTCATTAAATGTCCAGTGCGCATCGATTTCCACGTATCCAGTACGCTATGCCGTGCCATACCATGCAGTTAGTACGCCGTGCTCCAAATAAAATCAGGAGGCCCTTAGTCGATCAGCCAGTCTTCCATCTCAATACCCATACTACGGCCCAAACTACGTACAACCTCCCATCCAACGTTCACACGCCACTTGCCGGCCCGGTCAATGGGGTCACTGGCCGCACCACTCACACGCACGACCAACCTCAAGCTCGCCAGAGTCGCAATCGCCGTGTTGCGGTCGCTATCCATGATAGCCGCGGCCGAGTTCCGGCCTGCTGCCGAAACAGGTGGCGCACGCGTCCACTCGCTGCGCACGGCCACAAAGATGGCCATCAAGCGCTCCAACGTGAAGCTGTGGGCACCCAGCAATTTTCTTGCAATCTTGCGGTGCTTGCTCTTCGGGCCAGCGCGACCTCCACCCCCGCCCATGCCGCCACGCCGTTTCTTTTTACCGTGGTAGTATGTGGAGAAGAGTGTCATGTCGTGGCGAGTCGCGTTGTGAGAGGCCAGGTAAGCACACAAGAGGAACAAACGGGCCGTAGCCGGAAGAAGAGTGGCTAGGTTGCGGGCAGCATAGAGATTTTCGGCCGGAGAATCTGCTGCGTCCTTTGTTACAAGTTGCGATTGCGGTTGCGATTGCGGTTGCGACTGTGACTGTGCTTGGGGCGCTGCGGCCACAACGAACCGCGGGTCCAACAAAGACTCGTCCTGAAAGTGAGAGCGCGCCGCAATCAGGAGCTTTGAAAACTCCCGCGGTCCGTGTGTGCCGGCCAGGATGGGTGCCGTAAACTTGGGCCACAGTGCCGTGCAGGCCTCCTGGAAAGCAGGCAGGTTCCGGCCAGCTGTCCGAGTCAGAGAGTCGTGCACCGCCGTGCAGAGTCGCGTCCACAGCTCGTTCGTCTCCTCCTGTGTGGCACTTTCCAGTGCTGGCGGTGGGGAGCGGCTGAGGATTTCGACAAACTCGGCTTTGGAGTAGTTGCCAAACTGAATGTGCGGGACAAAGCTCGTCCGCAGCATAAAAGGCGATGGAAATGTGACAATAAAAATAACAGTAAGGTTGGGAATCTACATCGGGAGGTCAGACTGGGCTGCCTTGGCATCGGCTCGTGTTTTTTGGTTGCCTTCTTGTAACGTACCACTTCGGACAGACGGGCCAGTCCCGGCAGGAGCGTTGCGGGCGCATCCCGCTGGCGGTCAATGGCATCAAACACTAACACAAAGCGCCAGTCTTCGGGGTGCTCGCTGTACTGGAGCATATTGGAAAGCTCGACGGTCAGCTGCGAGAGAGTCTCGCAGCGCCGGGCCTTGGGTCCGAGGTACCGGACAGAATCCGAGACCTTGGCCACCGTCCGCTCGAACAGATGCCGCGCCGTGACACACTTGTTAGAGTCAACAATAGCATAATCAAGACTGCTTTTAAGTCCACCATTGGCCAGGCCGGCATCTCTCGCTGCACCTGGGGCAACGGCAGACGAGAACATGTCCAGCACACCGGCTGTCACAGCACTCTTCCCGGTCGCCTCAGTGCCATGAACGACGATGTTTCCACATGGCGCGAGGGAAGGCTAACGACCAGATACATGTTAGAATGTCCACACCAACGCCCCCACGGTGAGCGGTCTCTTTCGCACAAATAGCCATACACTTACATCAACAAGGGTCGACAAGGTCTTGATGTGCTGCTCACGGCCAGGGAAGCTTTGGAGGAGGTGCATAACGGGCTGTGCCTCCAAGGACCCCAGCGGAGATGTCGCGTGCATCGCACAGATCCTGTCGAGGCAAAATAGTAATCCAAACCTATCTGTGGCGGATGCAGATAGTTCTGCGGTTCAGACAAGGCTATGCTCAAAGCTAGGCAATGGCGTCACGTTTCACGACACTCACAAACCGGCACCCAACTGTCAACGGTCGTATATCGGCGTAGGCCGTGGACCGTTTTGCATGAGCCAAGCGGTCGTTGAGCGAACCGACGCGTGAGTGACGCGCTAACAAGTTAAAGGGAGACCCACATATCGAGCTGACCGTCGGTAATTTAACACGAGGTTCGCAAGGTGCTGGCGCCTGGCGCTGTAAAATGGCCCTGTAGTTGCGTGCTGACGGTTCTTCAAGGCCGTCGCTGACAACTCTGCCTCACCAACCCGAGTTCAACTTAAAATTTGCTGCAACGAGCTACCAGTCGTCAGTTGGGGCTACGTAACGGCAAGAGTCACCCAGGGATGTCGTAAGCACAGGCATACATCTTGAAGTAGAAGAAATATAACCATACACACTACATATTCAGTGCCGTATTCAGCATGGACAAAAAGCGTAGCACTTACGAGAAAAGCTTGACTGCACATTTTAAAGTACGATGTGCCAAACTTGGGCAAGTCATAATAAAACCTAGCCCAAAAGGAAGAGTCAGCGTCGACGTCACGTTTCCGACAAACCTGCCCAAACAGTCCTTGACAGGGCCGGGGTAAGGGAGCTATATGGCTTGTCAAAGTATGGAATACATGTACTGTAAATCGTACAAGACGACAGACCAGAAATGGGGAAAATGTCAGTCGGGATGTCCTCTGCTCTTTCTCTTTAAGTCTGACGCAGCTTCCAATTCGATTTTTTTGCTCTCATGCTTTGTGCAGATCGCACCTTCCACTTTTGCTCACTACCCTGTATCTCGTTGTCACTGGTTGATACAATTTTAAAGCCATGACTGTATCTTACTCCTTGCATTGCATGCCACGCAGCCCTAGCCGCCAGTTCATCCTTCTCTATCCTACTTAGGTCCATTTTCCGGTCGCATTTCCCACTTTGGCAACATATCCACTGTTTTGCCCTACAAGTGCTTGTATCGGCACACAACCCGGACTAAGATCGGGCTCCGGGATAGTTGAGCGCCGCCAAGCTGTTGTCAGATACACTCGGATCCTTCAGAGGGGTCATTGACACAGCAGGGCACTCCTACTCAACATATCGAAATCATAAATGTGCTTCATGCAACGGCGACAGTAATGACAGCTGTTGCGACGACAATATCAGAAGCGTCATCCTCGAATATGTCGCACGCTTGCACCAGGTCCGACAACATCGAACTTCAGCAGACTCCACTTACGACAACGTCGACATCACAATGACCTCGATACCAGAAATCAACATTGAGTTTGGGGACTTAGGCGCTGCGCCGGTATCTAGCCAGCTTACGCCGGCCAGAACCATCAACGGCCGGCCGTACCACGCAAAGCGGCCTCATAAGAAATCCCGCGCCGGTTGTGTGAACTGCAAGTCCCGCAAGGTCAAGTGCAACGAGGAGCGACCGCGATGTCGCGCATGCACATTGCGCAAAGAGACATGTGTCTACCCGTCCACACAGCACACATTCTCTGCGGCCAGCTCTGCTTCGTCTCGCAGCGTCCGCGCGGCAGCACTCTCAGCAGCAGCAGCAGCAACAGCAACAGCAGCAGCAGCAGCCCCCGCCTCGTCTTCCTCTGCATCAAATTCTTTACTGCCTCCTTCCTCCACCTCATCATCGTCTTCTTCTGAGGACGGGTCGGCCGCCGTTGCCTCCCGCGTCAACTCTCGGAGCGCTTCTCCGTATTTATACTCGTCAACGAGCGACTCGGCCAATGTTGAAAGGGGCTGGAATGCCTCGAGTAATGGCCCTGTGCGCAAACAAAACAGGGGTGGCTTCAACATGCTCGAGGAGCCTTTCTACCTCCCACCGCAGATCGACCAGACGGACATGAAGCTTCTCTGGTTTTACACTGCAAAAGGTTTCGATGCATTCGCAGCGGAGGCCGGCCACCAGCCACAAGTCGACGAGATTTTGCGAGTTGCGATTCCACGCCATGCTTTTTCCAGCAGGTTCCTCATGGACTGCTTGCTCGCCCTATCCGCTCTCGAGCTGCAGATACTGAACCAACCCATTGAGCCTTCTCGCGTGCTCATGTACCGCGCTAGGGCTTTTGCCGGCTACCGCAAAGCAATCGAGGAAGCCACACCCGATACGTATCCTGCACTCCTAGCCTGTTCTCTCCTGCTATGCTCGCTGTCGTCGGAGATGTTTCGCGACACAGACAGCACAGCCCTGTACATTCTCGACTGGATGGTCGTATGGCGCGGAATCGGTCTTATTGTGAAGCTTATCAAGCCGGAAATGCTCTTCAAGTCGGGCATGTCCCTACTTTTTGCCCGACCGCCCATCAACCTGGATGCATCAACAAAGTACATCCCCAACCAGTTGCTCTTCATGGTGAGCTCCATCCGCCACGACGAGCCTGACTATATGCACATCAACATGTACTATGAGACACTCAAGTATTTGGGGTCGCTGTACCGGGAACTCGAGTCGGGCATGGGCCGCATCCTCAGCCTACGCACCATCACGTGGTTCACATTTCTACCAAAAGGCTTTGTCGATGTGGCCCGTGAACACCGGCCGCGAGCTCTGATCATTCTAGCACATTACCTTGTCTTTATCAAGCTATGCAGGTTGTGGTGGATGCAGGGAATTGCAGACAAGGAAATCAAAGACATTCGCGACGTCCTCGACGAAGACTGGTTGCTGTTCATCTCCGGACCGCTTGCGGCCCTAGAGACTGATGATGAGATCTCCATTGGCAAAATCCTCCTCAATAACAACTCTTGGCAGCCGGACTTTTTCTACGATCAAACTCGGGACAACCAGCTGAGGAGCTTGGGCCTTGTTGACAACTCCGGCCGCAATATCATATTCAACGGCTCCTGGATCCAAGCTGATACAGGGAAGCCAGCAGTTTGGAACATGACCGAACCTCTTGACACATCGTCGGCCATCTTTCGCCCTGAAGAGATTATTGGACTCCGGCATCTAAGTCTGAATATCCCAGGCGAATCCCCCTCCGCGAAGGAGACCACCGGCGACGGCATTGACATCACCAATATAAACCCTTGAAGTAATCAAAAACCTTTGTTTACACGAAAGTATACTACCGCAGCCAGCTTGGATAGATCGAAGTGGAAATCGTATCACAACGTCCTATTTTGCCCTAAAATACAACCGCCCATACTATTCCAACATGCCTAGGACACCTGAAAACGCGACGTCTTCCCCTGCGTCATCTGTTGGTCCTATCTACTTCACATCTGCCCAAAACAACACTCACTCGCCGTCAGATTGGATGGCACAAAATGACCCATGCTGGTGGCATAAATGCCCTCGGCATGATCGCCGTCTTCATCTGTCTTGTGGTTGGACTGCCGGTAGCTCTTCCTCGTATCTGTCCGTGTTTTCAGGGCGTTGAAAACATTCGTCCTCTGCTTAATATCTACCTAATAGTTTCAGGGGCCCAACGTGGAGTCAGCGCTGCCGTGCCAATCTGCACGCGTGGCCACAGCCCGCTGTAGCCTTGTGAGATAGGGATGGACGATCAGGACATACTTGGGCCAAGGACATGTGGGATGTGGGGAAGGTGGTTGATTAAATACACTTCGCACCTCCTCTTTGGCAAAATAAATATCTAGCAATATATGTACGATATATGATACCTTAGTCCTGTGTGATGAACGGGAGACTTGCCCAACATAAATCGGCACGTTTAGTTTCGCACCCACCTTGCCTCTGTTAGACAATATTTCTTAAGTCCTAGTTTAGATTTACAGAGGTCGAAAACTGACACTTCAACCTTCCTCATCGGTGGGTTGTTTTCATTCGTGGGGATTGTGGTGAATATCAGTCAGTCAGCGGGAACCGCTATGCCGAGTCACATCCGTAAACAACTCTGTCTTAACCGAATCTTCTTTTCAGTATGCTTCTTGGTATTCTATTTTCTACTATCCCAAACATTAAAGTTATACACTTCTCGGCACGGTTTTCCGTCCAAGAACAATAATTCCATTTTTCGTGTTTGTTTTCCTTCTTTCAGTTTCTTTGTAGTCTTGTTTATTTTATTTTCCATTTTATCTATTTATTCCACGTGTGAGTTTTGTATTGTTTTTAGATCTATTTTTGTCTTCGTACCTTAAAACCTATCGTAACTTAATCGTATTAAAACACACAACTTTTTATGATGAGATAAGTCCTTGGAGACGACTAAGAAAAACAAAAACGAATGCTTTATAGGACATGGCTTATAAGGTACATGGGATGAGTAAGATACTTTCTTTCCATGTAGAATGATAACCGACAGCTTACAGGTTGTGTCAAGTAATTTTTTTCTTTGTTTTCCTTTGGCTATATTTTATACAAACATATTAAAATAGTAGCTACGATCAATATACGATGTATTAAGGAGTAAAACACACATTCCAAAATCTACCAGAGGCAGCTATAACATCAACTACAATAGATCATCGGGAACGGTATAAATTCAAGAGAAAAAAAAGAAATGCTTTATTAACAGCTCATGCTCCTACTTACAAGACAGGGGCGAGAGAGACGTCCAAAACAAAAGCCAAACATAAAAGAGTAGACAAACACAAAAATGCTTCTGCAGTGGGCTTCGTTGAGATTTGAAGTTGTTTTGTCACTTTCGGGAGTCACGCCCCTTTCTTATATATTTTCTTGTGCTTTGAAAAATATTCTTTTTGCTGCGGTCCCCCCTTTATACAAGATTTTTTACTTATCTCGAGAAAAAAAGAACAGGCAACAAAAAAATGTACATCACACACCCGAGAACACGATAGTAGATTACAAAGAGGATGAAAATGATACTCCCGCAGAACCCTAACCAGACACTGAAACCGAGGGGTTACCCAGTTTAGTTCTGCTCAAGCTCAGCCAGGATCTTCTCACCCTTGGCCTGGGCAGACGCGAAGTTGCCAACCATGTAGAAGGCACCCTCCGGAAGGCTGTCACCCTCACCGCTCAGGATAGCCTTGAACGAAGCGATAGTGTCCTTCAGATCGACCAGCTGGCCTTCGATACCAGTGAAGACCTGCGCGACAGTGAACGGCTGGCTCAGGAAACGCTGGATCTTACGAGCACGCTCGACTGTAAGCTTGTCGGCCTCAGACAGCTCGTCCATACCCAGAATGGCGATGATGTCCTGCAGCGACTTGTACTCTTGGAGGATCTGCTGGACGCGAGTGGCGGTCTCGTAGTGGTCGTCGCCGACAATACGGGGGTCCAGCATACGCGACTTGGAGTCGAGGGGGTCGACAGCGGGGTAGATACCCAGCTCAGAGATACCTCGGGACAGCACAGTGGTGGCGTCCAGATGGGCGAAGGTGGTGGCGGGGGCGGGATCCGTCAGATCGTCAGCGGGCACGTAGACGGCCTGGACGGAGGTAATTGAGCCCTTGCGGGTGGTGGTAATCCGCTCCTGCATCAGACCCATGTCCACGGCGAGCGTGGGCTGGTAACCGACAGCGGAGGGAATACGACCCAGAAGGGCAGACACCTCAGAACCGGCCTGGGTGAAGCGGAAAATGTTGTCGATGAAGAGAAGCACTGACACGTTAGTGATTCTTCGTTTTGGAACTGTACAACAAGGAAATAATTCAAAACATACCATCCTGGCCCTCCTCATCACGGAAGTACTCAGCGACAGTCAAACCGGTCAAGGCGACACGGGCACGAGCACCAGGGGGCTCGTTCATCTGACCGAACACCAGGGCGACCTTGGAGTCGCCGTCAAGCTGAATGACAGAGGTCTCCTGCATTTCGTGGTACAGATCGTTACCCTCACGGGTACGCTCGCCGACACCGGTGAAGACGGAGTAACCACCGTGGGCCTTGGCGATGTTGTTGATGAGCTCCTGGATGAACACGGTCTTGCCAACACCGGCACCGCCAAACAGACCAATCTTACCACCACGGGCGTAGGGAGCAAGCAGATCGACGACCTTGATACCAGTAACGAGAACCTCAGCGGTGGTCGACTGGTCAACGAACTCGGGAGCCTCAGCGTGGATGGGACGGAACTTGTCGGTCTTGATGGGACCGCGCTCATCGATCGGGTCACCAGTGACGTTCATGATGCGACCGAGGGTACCGGGGCCGACGGGGATGGTGATGGGGGAACCAGTGTCAGTGGCCTTAGCACCACGGACGAGACCCTCAGTACCGTCCATGGAAATGCAGCGCACGGTGTGCTCACCCAGATGTTGCTGAAAGAATGGTTAGCATTGCTGTTCAGCCTCGTATACAAACCGCCCCCAAACCTCGGCAGCGGGTAGAAAACATACGGCGACCTCAAGGACCAGCTTCTGGCCATTGTTCTGGGTCTCCAAGGCGTTCAGAATGGCGGGCAGCTTGTCCGTGTCGAACTTGACTGTAAAAAGAAAAAGACGAGGTTAGTTGTCGCTCAATTCAAGAAGCACGAACGATGCGTGGTGGTTTATCGAGGCTTTCGGGATTTCCGTTTCCGAGCGTCCGGACATGAGAATCGACAGCAATCCGATGCAATCTTTCGGTGGCGCTTTGGACGAAGTGCAGACGACTGCGAGGGGGGTCTCGAAGGTGATAGAAAAAGTTTTTCGGTCGGAATCTTACCATCGACGACGGCACCAATGACCTGAGGGATTTACCGTTAGCGATGCGGCGACTGAAAATTGGATTGACGGCCGGGACAAAAAACAGACGTCGGGTTCTGCAAAGCGTTAACCTACCTGATGAATCTTGCCATCACCGACACTGGAAGTGCTGGCGAACCGGCTGCCGTGCAGGAGGGAAGGGGTGATAAAGTTCGGGCGGACGATGCGAGGCGTCGCGAGAGACGAACGGGCTACGCGAGCCGCTCTGGCGAAGTTGGCGCTGGAGAAGGAAAAAACGACGGTCAGCGGTCAATTCAATATGCATTCTGTCGTTCGTTGAGGCCAATGCCTGTTGCCGTTCGGTCCTTACCTCTTGAACATCGTGGCGATGGTAAGGAACGCTTCGCAAAAATGTATATGGAGAGGAGAATGGGAAGGAAGAGAAAGGATGCGGAGGAGGTCGGGAAAAAAAATGCGAAGCAAAACAGGAGCTCCTAGTGCACTGTGGTTGTTTTGGTTTTTCTGCCTGGGGCGGAAATAACTGCGGCCTGAGGCAACAACAGAGCCCGTTATGGGGGAGTGTTGGCCTCTATGGCGGCCTCTACTCCTACTGTGTCCTCGCTATTTTCCCTCTTTTCACTGCATTTCTCCTTCCTCCCGAGGGATCCCGTGCCTTTCAATAACCGAAAGCCCCACTATAGCGAAACCCACTCAAGGAGTCGAGAGAAAAAGGAGCACCCGTGAGTGTCTTTTTTTCCTGACCCACCCGGTTTTCCTGCAGTTGTCTCCTCTTTTTGCTCTGTTCTCCCCCCGTTGTGCTCCTCTTCCAAGCTTCTTGGTTTGGTTTGGGCGTTTGCTTCGATGGCTCGTCCACGTGATTTCAGAATCCGGAACGGGGCCCCATCCTGCAAGCCATGCATCTTCACCGTTACTGCGAGACTGCGTAGACTGCAGCTAGCTGCCCGCCAATTCAGGTACGGCCAACCCTTTCTGAAAACCTTTAGTCCCTTGCCACTTGTGCGCCCCTGAAAATACAGGTACAAATTCTGTGTGCAATGAATATGGCAAAAATAAGACTTCTTTCCGACGTATCGTGACGACGCTCATGATAGTCTGCTACAAACTGGAAAATACCTAAATTAATGCCCATTTTATCCAACTAGCAATCTATGCCCATGGCGCAGCGGAGACCTTGCCTATGAATAGTATTGCCATTATTTGCAGTTTGTTCACCATAATTTCGATCTTGTTAACATCCATTGACCTCCAAGTATGTTAAGTCGTCGACTCCAGTGCCAGGACCTGGGGAGAAACAAAGGCATTAGTAGTGGGGACACGATAATGGCGAACAGGGTTCTACGGGCACGGCTACGGTAGCTGGAGATACTTCATACTTACAATAGCTGTTCGGCTGGGGGCGTAGACATGCGTCCAGTTGCTCCGCTCATTCCATTTCATCCTGTGTTCATGTTAGAATTTGTAGTTGAACTAGAAAGCGCCAATCTTACCCCCTTCCCCCGGAGTAGTAATACTTACGGCGTTGTGAAAAATCTTGTTTCATGATTGATCCGCTTGTGGCCGCCGAACTGCTCGTCGTCAGAGCTCAGCACAATCTTGTATGTACCAGCTTGTTCGACACCCACGCGATAATCACTAAACGACGACGACGGATGGAAGTTGAAAATGAATAGCAGACCGGCTCTCTCAAACACAATAACCTTATCGGACTCGTTCTTGAGAGAGATGTAGGCTTGAGATGCGTGCAGCCAGCCATACTTGGCTTCGAGCTGGTTCATAGCGCTGTCAAAATTGTTGAGGAACTGATACCTCAACAAGTGGTCTTCGGTCAGGTTCAACTGCCGTCTGGCATACCAAAACGAGTTGTTGTTGCCCTCACGAGGAAAGTCAAGCCACTCAGGATGTCCAAACTCGTTGCCCTCGAAGTTGAGGTAGCCCTCGCCTCCAAGACCATGGGTCAGAAGCCGGATCATTTTGTGCAAAGCCATGCCCCTGTCGATGACGGGTGTCAATGGTGATAGAATAGACATGTTGGTGTACATTTCGGCGTCACAAAGGTGCATCATGAGTGTCTTGTCGCCCACCAAACTATAAGGAGAAAACCAGTCAGCCAATGTCCATTGTATCATTCAATCATGTAACACCCCCACCAAATCTTTTGGTACTTACGCCTGATCGTGGCTCTCGCAGTACGCAATGGTTTTCTCACCATGGCGTCTGTTGGTCAGTGTCCAGCAGATGTTGGCCACATCCCAGTCCTCATCCTTTTTTTCCTTGAGAATCTTGATCCACATGTCGGGAATCGCCATCGCCAGGCGGTAATCGAAACCGACACCACCAAGGGCCATAGGGAGACACAGGGCCGGCATGCCTGACACGTCCTCAGCGATCGTGATGCACTCGGGGTACAGCTGATGGAGCATGTCGTTTGCGATCATAAGATAGGCCACAGCCTCCTCGTCGACATCGGCACCGAAGTACTCGTGGTAGCCACCGGAAAAGCCCCTGTCGTGAGTCAGCGATGGGGACGTACGAAAATATTTGCACGACAGACAGGATCAAATAAGTACTTACGTTCCGATACCGTGATGGAGGTAGAGCATGCTGGTAACGCCGTCAAAGCGGAAACCATCGAAGCCATACTCGTCCATCCAAAACCGCAAGTTGCTGAGCAAAAACCTCAGCACCTCGTGGTGACCGTAGTTGAACAGCCTGCTGTCCCACAGGTCGTGGCGACCCTTGGCACCCTCATGGAAGTATTGGTGATCAGTGCCGTCAAACTCATTGATGCCGTCAAGAACATTCTTGGAAGCGTGGCTGTGGACAACGTCCAGGAGAACAACAATGCCCATCCCGTGGGCGACGTCGATGAGCTCCCTGAGGTCTTCCGGGGGCCCATAGCGGCTGCTGGCCGCAAAGAAGTTATTGATCTGGTATCCAAAGCTCGCGTAGTATGCGTGCTCCATGACAGCCATCAACTGGATCACGTTGTACCCCAAGAATTTGATCCGGGGTAGCATGTTTTTTGTGAACTCTTTGTAGGTTGCGACTCTCTGGTCTGGGGAGGAGATGCCGATATGTGCTTCGTAGACCCGTGCGCTAAGGGGTTTCTTCGGTCGAGGGTTCTTTGGGACGTACCGCTCCGAGGTGGGCGGGTTCCAGAAGCGGGCGTCGTATGCAGGTGACACGGAGAGGTCCTGGGTGACATATTTGATCCACGCCGGTAGGCGATCGACGCGCTCTCCGCTTGGTAGGAGGAGAGAAATCTAATAACCAAAGCAGTAGAAGTCAGCGATCAGTAACATATCTGCTGAGGAAACTTGGATTGTAGGAAATGCACCTTGATCTTTGAGTTGTGAGGGATTTGTGGCTCGCCATTCTTGGACGGCAGCTTCAATTCGAAGACGCCAAAATCATTCTTGGTCATGGGGTGAGAGTCATGGTTCCAACCATCTTGTGCCTATTAGCGATTGAGCTTGACATTGTGTATTCGCATGGCAAGGCCGGTGTCATTCGGACGTACTGAAGTCGCCAATAAGAGAGGCTTGGGTGGCATTCGGTGCCCATTCGCGGTAGGTGATGTTGTTGTCCTTGTCGACGTTCAGACCAAAAATCTCGGCGCCCTATACGTTACGAAGGTCAGCATTCTGCCGCAGACGCTGTTCGAGTTCAAAGGAAGCCCGATACTGACCTTTGAGAACTTGTCAAGGCCACCTTCTGTGGTGTTGATCTTCTCAATCCATTCTTTCGATTTGGCGAACCGTCTCTTCAGGGCATCCTTGAACGGCGACAGCCACGGGTCGATGACGGTAACACCTGGTGTTGAGCTGTCAATACAATATCCTCCCTCTCCCCAGCATGTTTTGCTGTGCCGACCCAGGAGTCTAGAAGCTCATGTTCGAGGAGTGGGGCACTCACCTGTGCCATCCCGAGGCAGCTCCTCGACGGTCGACGCCGCGGCGGGTTGGGTCTCGATGGTAGGCATAATGCGTGGCTGTGTATGTCAATTGCTCTGATTCTTGTCTCTGCAGAAAACCATAAAACGTGGGCGAAGGCAACGAGTGAAATAAAAGGAAATCTGAGAGAGGCGAGCTGCAGGTGTTGAGGAGAAGTTGGAAGCTCTGACGTCTAGACCAGTACTTATGGTGTTTTATGGGGCGATAAGAAGCTGGCCTTCACGGCGTGCGCGAAAGCTCGTTGCGAGTGGAGCACTCCGGATTGGGGGCGGCAGAGTGACTGGAATTGAACTGGGTCTCAGAATATGGGAGGCTGCTTTTGGTTTTGTCTTGTTTCTGAAGAATTTTCACGGCCCTTCTCTGTTTTTGGGTCTTTGTTTATTTGCCATTCGATTTCGGCTTTGCACTTGGCAGAAGGGAGCCTTCACCCCCAACAGTTTTGTTTTGCTCCTTCCCATGCAGCGCTACGAAATATGCCTCCTGAAATTCGACATATTGATGACGTCGTGGCAAATTTCTCGCAGGAATTTCGTAGCAGAAATGCAGCTGGCCAATCGCTATAGGCCCGCTGTATAAACAGACCTACATTGCATGCGACCCTAGCTGGTAGCAGAAAGCATACGAGAGGCACGCTCTTTGCCTCGCCCCTGGCAGCTTCGAACGAGCAATTCTCCGTGATGAGCAGGTTAAGATTAGCTAGCGCCGCTTCCATGATACCATTCTTGCTTCTGATTCTAAAACTCACGTATTAAATGGGCGCACCACCTTACCTTGGCTTGGTTCTTGAACCTACATGCAATTCTCAGAACGGAGAGTGCATCCAGATCTACTTCCGAGGCCTTATGGCCGACCAGCCTATGGAACAGCGTCTGCTTGGGGGTGACACCTTAGCCGTTAGTAGTAGCTGAGGAACGGTCGAGGCACACTTCGTGGGTCGCCCCAATGAGATCTTAGCCTTGGCGTGACAGACCACTGTCGCTCAGCGAGCTGTGCAGGCGAAAGCTGGCAAGGTCATGCCACTACGATAACTAACTCTTTGTTCTTATCGATCCTCGCGCATCGCTCGTGTGGGGAAGTAGCCAACCACAACTGGCAGCAACCTCATCGTACGCTGTTGCGTAAACTGTATGTGACATCAGAAACTTTGGCTGGACAACGAACTGCGGCGTCCGTTGTGTCTACTAACCACGATATTCTGTCCTGTCTCCATATCTATTTCCATTCAGACGCGACATTGACCCCCATTACAATCGCCATTTGCTCCACCACGACTTCCTCAGCCTCGCTGTGCCGATCTCGCTCCGGCGGACTTATTCCGACCCAAGCCGTCGACGTGAGTCGAATGAAGAAGTGAGAACGATACTTTCTCTCACCATTCGACTCGTTCATGCTTCCTTCTCAATTGCGTTCCGGCCAACCACATAATATTTATTCCTAGAGCATGTTCGGCGAGCAGTAAATCGCCCCATGTCGGTCGCTGCGAAACCGCGGTCTGCCGCGCTCCTCGGAGTTCCGATTTCTGTGTCAGGGTCTGTCACGTCACCTGCACAGCCGCTTCTTGTCCTTGCCCACGGTAGGCGGGCTTCCATTTCACAGGCCGCTTTGACGGCAGGTCGGCGGACACGGAATTTCAGTTCGGGCTTTTCTAGTAGCTATGACCCGACCGATGACGCGGGCCGTGGGCCTATGTTCAATAAGGCCAAATTCGGCGTTCCACAGTTCTACCCACGCGACCTGAAGAAGAGAGTCGACGACTACGTTATTGGCCAGGATCGAGCGAAAAAGACAATATGCGCTACAATCTTCAACCACTATCAACGGCTACGTCGCAAGCACCACCAAGACGACTCGGATCGCGTATTGCGCGAGAAGATGCAGCGGCAGCGCTTTGCCCGAGACCGGGACCTTCACGACAAGCACAATGAAAGTAGCATGGATGGTACGATGTCTCCTGATCCACATGAGCACTTTCGGTTTGCTGACTGGAAACCCACAGACGAGTTCCCCGATCGCATAGAGGAGGCGGCATTCGCCGACCATCACTCGGACCCTGCTGAAAACTTCTACGCAAAGGAGGACACATCTATACCTCAGCACGTCAAGATTGACAAGAGCAACATTCTCCTTATCGGCCCTACAGGTGTGGGCAAAACGTACATTCTAGAGTATGCTAGAACCGTACTCTGGCTTATCATGGGACGCCCTTGTTACTAACATTATGGCGCAATAGGACGCTCAGTAAGAAGCTAAACGTCCCGTTTACGATAAGTGACTGCAACAGCTTCACCCAAGCTGGCTACATTGGCCAGGATGTCGAGACATGCATCGAGCGGCTTCTTGTCGAAGCAGACTTCGACACGAAGGCTGCAGAGTATGGCATCGTTGTCCTTGATGAGTTTGACAAGATCGCTAGAAGAGAAACAACGCACGGTCGCGATGTCGGCGGAGAGGGTGTGCAGCAGGCTCTTCTGAAGCTCGTTGAAGGAACCAGAGTTACCGTCAGCGTGAAAGACAGCCGCTCATCGTCCCGCTCTGCAAACCCAATCACGACCACCTACGGGTCGCCCAGCTCAACATCACCGCCGCAGGCGACACCACCATCTGCAAAAATGGATCAATACACCATCGACACAAGCAACATTTTGTTTGTCTTTACGGGCGCTTTTGTGGGGCTGGATAATCACGTTATCCGTCGAGTGGCCAAGCCGTCCATCGGATTCGGGTCCGAGATTCGAAGCACGAAGGGCTCGCCCCTGTCCGGTAGCAAAGCCGTTCTGCCGTTGGCGGCGTACGCGCATCTTCCTCACCAACCGTCGTTTGTGGACCCGACCACTGTTGGCTTTACACCCCTGGACCTCGCCAGCCCACTGGACTTGCAGGCTTTTGGGTTCATCCCGGAGCTGATTGGTCGCGTTCACAACATCTGTGCATTATCACCACTGTCACTTGACGAACTATACCGCATCTTGACGGAGCCTCGCAACAGCTTGGTGGAGCAGTACACGGCTTTATTTGAAACGTACCCCAGCCGCCTTCGCTTCACACAACGGGCGCTTTATGCTATTGCCGAACGAGCACAGAAGAACGAGACCGGCGCCCGCGGCCTGAAAATGGAGATGGAGCGTGTCCTCGCAGAGCCCATGTTCGATGCGCCTATGGCGTATGTATTGATCACAGAGGCATGTGTCAAGGGTAAAGAAAAGCCGGGATATTGGGGCAAGGACGGGCGATTTGAGATTGAGCGGCGAATACGCGACGAGGATGAGGGCCTTAATGCAAACGGAGACACGAATGGCGGCGTTTCGTTCGGGCAGTTGAGAGAGGCCGGGCAGAGTGGTGCATAAAGGAGAAATTCCTAAGCGCGGCCTGTACAAATCACTCCAGAGCGTTTTTGTTAGTTTTTGTCAATTGATAAAGCGGCGTATCTTTCGTTCAATAACGGGCAACAATGAATATGCTGCTGTATGATTTTAAATAATAAATATGCATTTATATCTGGGATTTAAGATAGTCAGCGGTACCACCGCAAACATCGCCTCCGTCCTCAAGACCCATTTCGGGTAGTTTTATAGTATCACGTTGTCTCTTCACCGAGGCATGTGGCTTCGAGATGCGTATAGGGCCTTCAGCTGGGAAAAAAAGGCGAAATGCAACGTGTTTTGTACTTTCGTTCCTTTATATCAGCCCTTGTCCTTCCCTTGTTTCGGAGTGCCATTACATCACTTTTCCGTTCATGAACAAAGAGACCAACACAGCAGCATGACGCCAACGAGCAATAAACAAAGGAAATAAAATATGACGATGATTTAAGAATAGCAAGCGGCAGATGTTTACTGCTTGGGAGGCGACTGGATCTGGCTCTTGCCCTTGTAGCCCTCGGACGCGATTCCGGTAAATGGGTCGGCCTTCTGCTCCAGCAAACGCTCGTTGGAAGCCTCCTGCCACTCGCGGTTCATAGTGTGTGGCGCGGGGCCGGCGAACAGGCGCAAGCCGGCGAACAGCAGCAACGAGGCACCGACACCGAAGACGGTGTACAGGGCAACCTTCTTGCCCTCACCCGGCGGCGGCAGGGAGCGGGGACCGTGGGGACCGAAAGCGATCCAGTAAGCTGTTGATGAAAGGAAGAAAAGAGAAAACCGTTAGTTGATGTATACTTTATCGACGTTTGATAGGGCACGTAGCATGATGGCATCTGTGCAATATGCAAGCTCGACGCATGTCCAGGAGAGCACAATGGTCCGTCGCGTGAGACTGTATAAAGCTGGTATCCATCATATCCAACGTTTCCATGCAACGGTAGATGCCAATTGATATCAATCCCGCTGCGTGGCGCGTCCTGCGTGCTCCGACGGCAAATGTGCATCTCACGGAAGGGCCTCATACGATTCGCAGCAAACCACACATCTATACCACAAACAGGGCTTGACTCACCAGCTTTCTTCTCCTGGAGGGTGAGCTCCTTCCAGCTGCCCTTCATGCGGTCGCGCAAGGCCATCCAAAGGTCGGCCTGCTCCTGGAGTGGTAGGCCCTCCCATCGTTTCTCGATGTTGGCTAGAGTCGGGTTCGAGATGGCGTGGGTGGACGCAGCGCGGCGGGCCACAGAAGCGATCTGCGGCTGCTGCACGGCGCGCTGGGCGAGGGTGGTGCCGCGCACCAGGGTAGTCGGCCGGACACGGTACATCGTGAAATTGGGTTTGGCGCAGGAAGATTTAACTCAAAATAGTGAAAATTTTTCCGGGTTCTGCGCTGACAGACGCAGAGAGAGGCCGCAAGACAAGAAGAGGGGAGATTGGGAATCGAAAAGGTTAAGGCTGAGAGCTCAATCGATGCGAAGTCGTTGGGTGGCGGAGTTGTGGTTGGCAATGATGCTAGCAATGCAGTGGTGGTAGTCGGGAGGACGAGGAAGTGAAAAGAGAGGAATTTCGTTTTGGTGGCATGCCCAGTTAGGTGGGTGCTCGGAATCGTATGATGGAACCTGCCCAGGGCTCCACCAAAAACCCGAGGGAGCTTGCCCGGACGAAAGAAATCGCTCGCAATTGTGTGGTCCCCACCCTTCTTAACAATTTCCGATAATGACTAATCCCGACAAGCCAACAATCCAATCATCGACGATGCTAAGTAGAGCGAGGGGAAGCACGACAACAGCATTTACAGTTGGAAAATACTTTGCTTTTGGTCAATGAAGATCAATAAAATCTATAAAAGTGAGTGCCGCAGATGCAACCTGTAATTGAACCCTTTGGCGATCTCCCCAGACTGTATATGTACAGTGCTGTATGTACAGCGAATCACTGCTCGTCTGGCGGTGCCTTCTTCAGGCGGGACACCTACCAATTCGCCAATCAGAGCCCGCGAAACTCCGTTGGTTCCGACCTTTCCACTTGCGTACAAAACTCGCTGGGACGCCGCTAGTCCAATGGGGGAGTCCCATTTTGCGGTACGAAACGTTTCCAGATGGCAGTCGCTTGAGCCGGATAAGACCAGGCTCTCCGTATGAAACCCGAAGGACGGCCGGCGTGCACATAATAGTCTCTCCGTCTTGCTGCAACTCGGTCTACCGCCTGGCGGTACTCTCTGTCGCTGCTGGTTGTGCGTCCGAGTTTGGCTGCTGGGGCGGTTCTATCGCACTAGAAGGCAAGGGTGTAGGTTTGCCGACGGAGCTGCTGCAGTTAACACGTGCATGCCTCAGTGAGTTACAATATTTACCGAAACGCAGGCCAAAAAGCCAAGCCGGGAAGAGCATCAGATATCGTAGGGTGGTAATATACTTACGAGTTTGGGAGGCCCAATTTCCCTACTTCATCCTTGCCCTCGAGATAGGGCTTGAATACATATATTCCTGAATTTTGGTAATCGAGTCAGTTTCTCATTGCTTTAGCTGTTCGCTCTGCATCGCGCCAGAGGAATGGTGAATTGAGCCGTGAGGCGTGCCTTGTAAGTTCTGAGAAGGAATGAGATGCGTACCGTTTGCGACGCCGGCAGTGACAGCCAGACCAAGTGGAATCATTCGCTGATAAGACATGATGGCGATGAGGAATGACAGAGCTGCATCGACAGGGCTCAGTGGCCACGAAATAGAAGAGGTGAATATCGTGAAGTCGTGCGCTAGATGAATTTGCATATGAGTTTGGGCAACAATGCTTGGTAACAGTGTGATGTCGTTAAATGGGCAGTCACGCTGGGCTACCCGATTTAGTGGGCGGCTTTAGTGGGGTTTGGCCTCCGTGCCGCCAGACGCGTCTCTGGCAGACAGATTTTCTGAGAGACGCGTCCCACCTTATTTGCACTATCATATCGTCACCATTGACTTCCAAGTACATATCGACAGCAAAAGGTGCAGCCAGCCGCATTTCACGACTGTGTCTACATATTTGAACCCTTGCAGTCCCAAAAGAACCAGGTACTTACCCCAAACGCGAGAATAGACATAAACACAGATGGGTTCCGTTTTATGATGCAGCACCCGACTCAATGGGGAGACACTGGCAGCTGCTGGGCGAAGTCCCAGATTCCGACGATGAAGAGCTCGGCAGCCAGGAGCCGCTGCAGGACGACCATGTCGAGGGCGATACTGCTGTAAAGACTCAAGAGAGCAGCAGGGACGCAAAAGAACCAGGGGAACCATTTTTGAAGATCGTACTTTCTCCTCATCGACATAACCACTTCACGGGAGTTTCATCTTCGTCATCGAGACATGCAGCACAAAGCCCTAGAACACCTTCCCCAACACGGATCTCGACACCTCGGAGAGTCTCCCCTCTACCCGAAGACTCAGCTGATGAGATCGATCTCGTCTATGACGGCGTCCAGGACAACGAGCTGGATGAAGAGCCGCGCTGTGACCTACGCTCTTGCCCGCCACAACTCAGCATTCCCGAGGCACTGGCCAACAATATAGTACATGCCCAGACGACGAACGACGACAACGTACTTTCAGGACAGGAAACACCGTTACGCCAGTTACAGAAATCCCAGCAGTCTCAAGGGCCTCGAACTTCCCAGGCCTCTTTGCAGCCACGACGGTCAGGGCATTCCGATATACCACACAGTTCACTAACACCCAAGAAGGGAGACCTACGACCACGATCCCACGAATCCCCGGCTGCTGCGTCTATTCCGCCTGCCGATCCTTTCTCATTCTCACCCACGTCCTCCCTCTCAAGTCTTTCACGATCACCCTCACCCGTTGCTGATGGACCTGCTCGCCGAAGCTCTGGAGGTCACGAAGTGGCTCGCATGTCTTCCCCGTTTCCCGTCCTACCTGAGTCTCCTCCTGCCTTTCGACTAGGTTTCGTACGATCTCTTCGACCTCGAAAGCCGATTCAACAACATCCATATCTGCTCGAAGGTGCGCAGTATGCACGTGCCATGAAATCACATGGTGTGAAGCCTGTTCGCACCGAGTACGGCAGCGCTCCGCGGAAACAAGTCGTGGATGAGGATTCGCAAGAACAGGAGTTTCAGCAAGAAGAAGAAGAAAGTCAATTGCCAAGGAGACAGTCACAGAACGACGCTGCTCTTTTTGACGGTAGCCTATATGATTTCCCTAGCAGCCAAGCTAGTCTCGGCGACATTGCACTGTCTTCCTTAACTCCTCGAACATCAACGCCCGCACACCGCCTCCTACCTCCGAGCAGCGAGGATGGAGCCGACAACGGAACGGATAATACAAGCCTGCCCGATGAAGACGACTTCCCAACTCCTCAAACCTTCCTGGATCGGCAGCACAAGCGGCAGCAGGCTCGAATTTTCAAACGGCAGAGTTCGCCAAAGACTGCCTCCGCCGCAAAGCGGGCACGGCTGGTAGATGCAGCTCTTCAAGATCAGTCGGCTCGTGCCAAATGGATACCCGTCCGTATGGATTCGTCGCCGGACCAGCTTCCCCGTTCATCTGCACGAATGCATGTATCTCGGCCGCGATCTGTGTCCCCGGTTGCTTTCCTTTCAAGGCAAGAAGGTGTAGCAGTTTTGGACGATGATGCTACTGACAACAGCAATGACGAAATTGAAATCACTGACGCGAGGGAATGCACTGCGTCCCCACTGAACGACATGGCCGAAGAGAGCCATAGCGATTCGGAAGCCGTACGCAAGAACAGCAGGCGGATCAAAGGGGTTCTGCCCGCGTCTTGGCTGCGACTTGATCAGCAAAAATCAACGCGGGTCGGCCTTGACAGGGTGACGGCCACCCAGAGGCGACCTGGGCAACATAACGACCAGGCCACCAGAAAGGGCGTTGCATTGCCGAGACAGGGCCAGGCCACCAGCTCTCTGGCAACGATCACCTCATTACTTGATGAATCAGACGACGATGTAGATAATGATAATGAGAGCGTGGCGGACATGGCGAAGCGGTCAAAGGCACCGGTAATTGAACCATGGGATTCGGATGTGGAAGGACATTCACCAATTGTTTCTTTCATTAACGACGAAGACATTGGTTCGGTGATGGAGGACAACTCCATTGATCTAATGGCACCCAGAGTGAAACGAACCAGGCTACCTGCTGCGCCTGGTCCCCGACCAAAAAGACCAAGGATGCGGACGCAGAGTGTGCCCAGTGGCACTCCAATCCAAAAGACACGACAGCCCAAAATCACAAAGATGATGCACCGATCTGCTTCTGCTTCTACAGGCAGTCACCGATTCTCTCGCAAACAATCATCGTCTACGAGGAGACGGCAAAGCAACCCGCACACAACCAGCAGCAGGAGAACGCCGAAACTACCCGCCACTCCTCCTATGCTGAGCATTCTCGATTTCGTTGAGCCCGCAGCACCAGCCTTCGTCCGTGTTGCGGCTCGTACTGCAAGGCGAACGGCTAAGCTAGGAAAGACGAGCCCTTCTAGAAAGATTATCAACCTTGGAAGCCGGGCTGACAACGTGGACGCTTTATCTGTCCTGCGAGACTGGAAAGCTGGGAGAATCAGGCCCACGATTCCAAACCCACCAAGACGGCCGAGACAGTCTGGACAACAGGCCCCGCTCCAAGAGATGTCGCCGAATCTTGCACCACACTCAACTCCCCGACCACAGCACATACAAAAATCAACCGCGTTAAAGAAAAGCCAGTCAGAAGCTTTCGTGAACCGCATCCCTCAAACCAAGCTTGCCGCACTACCACGCCCGCCCAATCTGTGGATCAGGATGGGCTCTCACATGGATCCAATGGTGCGGCCTGCACAACTTGAGGTTGCGGCGAGAAGCAAGCTGGGTGCGGCTGGTTTTGTTTCAAAAAAAAAGAGCTCGATGCCTTGTACTGCCGTCGGCGACGGGGTGCCATACCTTTACCGAACGTGCGACTCGAGCAATTTGTCGACGACCAGGCATCTGCCTACGGTGCAATCGACGACGATATTTCTGTGGACAGCCATTTTCTTAAGCCACTGGGCTTTGGACTGGAACAAGAAATCGAGCTTCAACCTTCGCGAGGGGAGCATGATATCAATGCCGCTAAGCAGACGCCTGAAAGCAACAACCGGTCAGGGTTCCGCAAGCGCTACAGTCCAAGGCAGGTCGACACATCTGCACCGCGATTTGCCCATGCTTTGGACCACATTCCTCTGGATATTGGTCCTGCAAAGGTCGGTTTCGTGGCTGATACCGTCGATTTCGATAGGGACAAACTGCATGGGTTAGGGCCTTTCGGATCGCAGTACCCACAACACTTCGATATTTTCGCTCTCGACGGTGACATCTTTTTCCATCAAAGCACACTCATCGGCAGCGGCCGGCTGAGTTTGGCCCTTGGGATGGATTCTTCGGATAGCTCGCGGCCTCTCCATAGGCCAGACCTAACAACTTCGTTCCAACTAGGCGAGCGAACGCTTAGCTGGAGTGTGTGGGATGAGGTTTCATCGTCCGAATATGGCATCCTCATGGACTGGTTGGCGGATAGCCTTCACTCACCTGCTTCTTCGCCTAGCCTTGCTGGGCCGAAGGTGCATACAATGATCAATTTCGTTTTAGATTTTATCCAAACCACCATGGCCAAGGCGACATCTTCGCCAAGGGTCCGAAAGGCCTTCATTGTACGAAACCTTGAGGTTATCAAAAGCCTCATTCGCCGGTTTGAAGCGTCGAACCTGCAGCATGAACAGCCCTCAAGCGACTCAATGAGGAACAATCGCTTGGCGGCGTTGACCGGGATTCTAACAATCAACACATGGCTCCTGCAACTTTGCCGAGACACGCCAGAATGCGTTTCCTACTCGGTCGAGGTGGAAGATATTTTAAAGTCAACTGCAAAGCAGTCTGTCCAGCTTCTCATGAAGCAGGGTCTTGGCGATATACGTACCTACTACAGCGACTTTCAACGGGGCCTTTTCCGGGACCGTGGCATTCGAAGAAATACGCAAGTATTGAGCTCATGGGTCGTTCTCATGCAAGTCTTGGAGCATGCAAGAATCCCACGAGGTGGCTTTTGGGATGTCACGTACTCGGTCATGCTTGCTGATAATGCAATTAGTACTTGCACACATGCTAGCCAGTTTGAACAGTGGTGGGAGGACATGTTTACGCTTCTTCCCCTAGGCGAATTCGACAACTCTGGCGTGGTCAGGCCCGGAATACGGCTGACTATACCCCTTGATGGATGGGAACTTCCAAAAAAGGCCTTGGACAGGGTTTTTCAACTCTACAAAGCCAACCCGCACCAGTCACCGAGCTTCAATGCGTACTGCCGAGCCATCGTGGGCCGTTGTCACTACCTCGTCCAGGAATGGGGCTGGCGTCGTTGCAAGGCCATCGTCGGCACGATCTTCGACTTTTATGGGTCGCAAGGATTTGCACACTTGCGGAACGAAGAAGCACATCGGTCTCCCCACTTTCTTGAACAGCTTGCGGGCAGTCCATCACTTGCCATTGAACCAGACGACCAGTGCTTCCACATATTCATCAAAATGCTTGGACTTGTCATCCTGCAGCTGAAGAGACTTGGTCAGTCCAAAGAGCTGACCAACCTGATTTCCCGCATCCTCCCGAACCACGACCGCCAATTACTCAAAGAAATGGACGTCCATGAGAGAGATCTCGCTGCCCTTCGAAATCACCATGACCTGCTATGCACCCTGTTCTGGGCTACACCTCCCGACATCCGACCGCCTATTCATCAGATCGAAAAACTTGTGGTGCCCGCGAACTCCCACAAGGAGGCTTGTTTGATAAACATCCGTGCCTGGAACCAGCTGGCGCGGTTTGTGATTGCCGCCGATGAAGGCTACGGTATCTTCAAGAGCTTCAATTCCTGGATGAAAAATATCTTCCATCAAATGCTAGAACAATATCTCTCTGCAGAAACGGACATGCACAGACAATTCCAGAACCTGTCAACAGCCATGATGCAAGGCATTAGCCCTGATATGGTCAAGGCTATGACGGCTGCCAACAAGGCAGCCGCGATGGATGTGTTGCATGCGTGCACTGTGTCTTCTCTGGACGTTCTCCGGCACGCCAAGTCCCTTGGGGTGGCAACATACTGTTTCAGTGTCGACCAGTTGAGTGCAATCTTCACAAAAATGGATCTACCGGGGCCTAAGACGAACTGGAGCATCCTCAGCACCGCTCTCGACGTTGTGGATCACTATATGGATCGGCTCGAGAAGGCCGTGGACGAGCAGTACTCCAGTTTGGCGGATGCCACAGACCCACAAGAGGCAGACGACGCGGTGTTGATGCTTGATCACAGGCTGGCCAAAGGGTTCTTCCGTCTGGTCAACACAATCACACATATGTCATGGGAGGACCTACCAAAGTCCTCCGCCGATCTACGAGTTGCATGTACAGAACGAAGCGTTACCATTGCAGCTCGTCTCGCAAGTCGGTTCATACATTCGGGTCTGTACGGCTTGTCCCGGTTCTTTGGATCCGGCGACTATTGCATATTTGAAAGGTTGCCACACGCTTCGGGCCTCTTGCAGCGCAAGTTCTTGCCTCTTTTCGTATCGGCTGTGCTGCGGAGCAACGTGTTTGATTTCAAGGACCTCGGAAACAGTATCCTAGAGCTGTGGATGCTTGCCATTGTCAAGCCGCAGAAGTTCTTGGCTTACGAGAACCGCCTCGCTGACGTTCTAAAGACGCACGATATTCCTTTTGTTCGGCGAGCAAATATACCCGCAAACGATAAGATGCCCAGCTACGACACCAACCGCGCGTATTTTGCCTGTTCCATGACGTCCATACGACAACAGCTGCGGGATGCAGACGGCGCCACGCGACGACAACAGCTGCGCAGCGATTTTGCGCGAGCCTTAAAGCTCGTGATGCAGCAAATGAAGGAGGACCTACGATATGCCAAGACGGAGCCCGTCGAGCACGAAAAGTACATCGTCTTTGTGCGAGGTGTTGTCGCTTTGATCCGGTCACACGGCAGTGACATTTGCTCGTTGGACACCTTCTTCTACGAGCAAAGCCAGGAATTTTCGCCTTCGCCCGAAGACCCTCAGCTGAGGACCGCCAGTATCATAACATACGGCTTGCGACTCAGTGAAGGCGAGGCTACAGCGGCACCGCAGCTCTTCCATTACCTACATAATAACTTCAATATTGCGCTCGCCAACAACAGTCTCGACCAGGAATGCAAGATCCTTGAACGGAGCATGGAAAACGACAACATATTCGGATTTATGCTGGAACGGATGCTACCCGCGATTCTTCGCGCAACAAGCGAGGCAGAAGAAGCATGGCCGTTGTTGGATGTGTACTACAGCGCGATGGAACGGTTTGTCACGCGGTCGCCTGTGCCAAAGAACATCGGCGATGACAACGTCACGGGCGGAATGATTGGGCTGCTGGAGGACATTGTGGCATGGTTCCAGTGGGCAGCAGTATCTTTGGCAGCCGATGCGGCGCGTACTGGACTCACATTTCGTGACGCTGGTTTGGGTGATGCCACGGAAGGGGCTGGCTGTGACACACAGCCGATGGTGTTTTGTGTACGGGTGCATACGATGGCCCAATTGGCAGCGCTGGCCAACCTTCTACAGCCGTACTTGATGACGTGTTCGTGCCTACCCACTGCCCCATCCATACAGGCGAGGCTTGACGATATCGTTACCGGATACTACCAGTTTATCGAGTCTGCTCTGGCCGATCTCGCACCTGTGCGTGTCGACAAACGAAGACGATACATCCATCCCGACAACACCGTTGCCGACGAACCAAACGATGGCAACAACCAACTGGGCCCAAAGACTCTGTTTTCATCATTCTTGGTAATCGAAGACAGGACCGTGTCCTCGAGTCTGAGCAATAGTTGCACCGTCGGGGTGCGCAACGACAACAGTTCCATTGCGAACACCATGAGGAGGTACACGGGAGGCAATAATCGACCAGGTGACGGGTCACAAGTGGACCAGTTCAACAGAAGGATCGTGCAACACGTACGCGATAATTGGATTGTGGACAACGGATCCATCACAGTGCGCAAAGCTGGTGCGCGACCTGGGATTGGGAGGGGCCCTGGCATGATGGCCGGCTCGGCGACGACGGCAGCAGCGGGCACGGGTGTCCCACTTGGACCGTGGTCCATGGCTGAGCTTCTGGCCGAGTTACAACTGCAGCTACAGCTCTGGACATTACGGCCGGCCAGTGCTTACGGCATGGGACCGCACTCGAGGCGTTTGTTTCCGGGTCGGTTACGGGAGAAGAGACGTCTCTAGGTGGCAGACTGCCGTTATGCAAGATACGGTCTAGGTAGGCAAGCGCTTTAACAAAGAGGCGGCAAGCCGTAGCATGCTGTATGAATTATAAAACGAGTCTGCTCGAGAAAGAAGCCGGCTTACTCAAGTAGTAGTACAACTGTCTACTTCGTCATCCGTGATAAAATAATTGAAATTAGGCTGCAATGTCGCATGTTCGACTTTGGGCGGCCAGCCTCGTGGTGTCTCGTCAAGATGCGACCAGGTTACTGGGCAGCCGTGCATGGCGGCCATCCTATGATGACGGTAATATCGTTTGAAGTACGACATGCAATGTCGATGCTGTATGGAGTAAATGTCGAACTGTGTGATGAAGTGACTGAGCGTCTTGGCGAATAAAGTCTTTACCTGACTTGGCAGTCCGGTCGGCCCCAGCTCATGTCTGGCCAGCCGCCCTGCGGCAGCATGCAGGAGAGGCTGGCGAGTGCCTGCAGGTCTCACCGTCTGTATGCCCCTTATTGATTTTTTATTCTGCCCCGGCCTTTGTATCGAAACAGAAAACGACTGGTGTTCAAGTTATGACACACACACACACACACACACACAAATACATGTCTGAACCCTTTCTATCTCACTCTCTTTCTCTATGCACAGATTAATTTGTGCCGCCATCATTTCGAGGCTTTCTTGTATCACGCCCGTGTCGTCGTAGTGAACGGCCGAGCAAATCGTGGCTCTTTCCATGCACGCCCACGTACCCTACCCGGCAATTACAAAGTCAAAACAAACGAAGAAGAATTTCTGTCCTTCATAGGGGAGGAACAAATCATTGTTGACAAAACCATCGTGGGTGGAGATTACATCGGCCCATTCTAACCCCCTGCCTCTCTCTCTCTCTCGTTAACGGAAAACTGAATGCAAAAGAAGGGACAAAAGACACGGCCCTTTCGTCAAATCACAGGCTGTAGCTACACACCGTCTCTTTGGTTCATCTGTTCGTCCCTCTTCTGTACTCCCCGCCTCTCCTACCCTGGCTTGCCATGTGGCTCCACACGAGCCATTCTCGTACGCCGACCGTGTCACTTGATTGTCTGGTCCTGTGCGCCGACCACCACCGGCCTCGTTGGGCTCATTGTTGGGCGTTGATCTGCACCTTTTTTGTTCTTTTCTTATTTTCTTTTTTCTTATTTTATCCTCCATCTCACCTGCTTTGCTCTTCTTTCATCCTGCATTCCGACGTTCGCTGCAGCTCTGCCACGACGCTGAATTACAAATAAAGAGCCCGAACGACCAATTTCACTCACTACTGCGTCCCTCTACTTCCTGCCGTCCACTAACACATGCCCTCAACCTCGAGGTTACATGAAAGTCACCAACCAGCCATGTAGCAATATCGTGCTGTGTGTCTTATATGCCGTACAGCCGGCGGGAGAAACGAAGCACGGTGTACATTGCATTGCACTGCATGTACGACATACGGAGTAGTTTGTTCATGGTCAGGCCGCAACGGACAAGGGCCTCTCGACTCCCTTTAATTTTTATTTTTCTAGAACACTCACACTCGGCTCTTGAAGACACGGAGGCGCACATTGGTGTACTGTGAGCCTGGCCCGGCTTGGCCGAAACCACAGCGTTTGGCTGGGAGCACACGACGTGATGCTATGGAGCATTAGGTATAAACTGAATCGTGTCTGTGGCAGAGCCTGCGACGTGTACAAAATACGACTCCACTGCAGGGCCGCTAAGAGGCCAAATGCGCTGCGTGAAAATAAGTCACGGAAACAGCTGATAAACGAGGTCCGTGGGGACCAAGGAAAGATACGATTCTACGCCCTCCTAGCCGCTCGGCTTGTTACTATGCGAGCCGGTCTGCAGCGGTTGCTTGTCGTCGATGCTCGACCGAGACCCGCCTATGCGCGGCGAATCGGAGCCATGTATCATTGGGCTGCCATCGTGGCTCACTGGGAAATGTGCGTTGTTCAACTCTGTAGGTCGGGCCATGCAGAGTTGCAGTGAGCTAGCTAGCTGTTCGTTCCTGCCCTCTTAAATTCCTCATGTCCCCGCCCTCTCGTTGGCTGTTGCTTCGTTTGAAAGTCTTTTAGCACCATCCCCCTCGTCTTGTTCTTTTCCCGTCTTCTGATTGTTATTGGTGCCCTCATTTGTGGTTGGCTGGTCTGCCTCGGCCGTATTTCTCACGTGACTGCTGGTAAAATCGTTGCTACAAAATGTGAAAAGGCTCACAGCCCGCCCGTTTGGTGCCTCGCCCGCGCTAATACAACAACACCACAACATGCAAGCAGCACCGTGTTTGGTTGTGGGTTCCATTGCTATGCGCCCTTGTCTTGCCCATATTAGTTATACTGTCTTGTGCTTTACCTTTCACCAAGGCTTGCCCTGTAAATTGCAATGGGCCATCCATTGCTCTTTCTCTTTTCAACCCTCGCCCCAGAGGCACCTTCCTACGTAGTCTTGAATGATATCCTGAATGACACTGCCTCTTCAGGTTGTTTCCATTTACACAAACAAGCACCAATACACAACCACGAAAGCCACCTTTCTTATTCGCTCCTTCCTCCTTTCCTACGTCTACTCTGGGCAGCCTTCCCCGACTCCCTTCTCACGTTTTCCTAGACAACTAACCCTGCTCTTCTGTTTCCGTCTTTGGGGTTTTTTTCTTTCTTTTCCTTTTCAGGTTATCACCCTTTGACTAAACACTCTCTCACTGTACCTTTTATCAATGGTTTTGGGAACGTCACCGCAATTCCGGGACTCTTAATGCGACCCCGGTTGTTTGCTAGCCCTGCCTCGCGTCTTAATCTGTCCCACCCGTGCCCACTTCCACATCCGCCAGCCTCCTCTCTCGTCTCACCTGGTGTAATGGAGGATCTTTAAGGCTGTGTCCTTTGGAAGGCCATTTTCTCGCTCTCTATTTTCCAGACTCCTCCCTCCTTTCCCATTTTTGTCGGCCGTTCTCCATTCTTGGTTTGTTTCCCTTTTTGGCCAATTTATTTTGGGAACATCTGCAATTTTTTGGACGCTATCACCTCACTTCTCGCATCAAGGCCTCCGCACGTCCAGTTTTATTCGCCTGGCGCATCGCCATCCGCGTCGCAAACGCCAAACACGATACTGACTGCGCATTCTTCGCCCAGTGGTGTTTCGTGGCCTTTCGTGACGACGCGCACCATTTACGCCAATTGGCTCCCCGTCGCCATCTGCTACCGACTTACTTGTAAATGGACAACAAGCGGTACCGGGACACGGACAACGAGGCTGCCTCGGCATCTGGAAAGCGCGCGCGCCTCGATCCGGCTGGCCCTGCTGGCCCCGGTGACATTAAAAACATTGCACACCAAGTACTCTTCAGAGACCACAACAGCGAGAGTAACAGCCGCAACGGCAGTGGCTTCTTGGCCGTAAACGACTCCAGCCATGCGCAGCTCCTCGTCGCATCGGCTCACGACCACCGCACCAGCAGACCCAATGGCCCGGTGTCCGGCCATGACAGCGCTGCCAATAGCACGTATGCAAGCAGGAACGGCAACGTCGCTAGCCGGACAAATTCCGCCAGCCACACTGTCATCATCGCAAGCGACCGTGCGCCGCTTGAGACCATAACGGACGTCAGTCGGCAGTTCAAGCAGGCGGTGAGTACAGGCTGGGATCGGCGGTCTCCGACGTACGCGGGTGCCAGCGTACTACTCCTTTACTGGGAACAAGACAGCGACGAGGTCAAAGAAGCCACATGGCGCCTCGACTCTGTTTTTCGGCACTCGTTTAACTATGCCACGGAGACTGTCTCGATCCCCTCAACCGACGCTGAGCGGGTGCTTAACTCTACGGTGGAGGCATTTTTTAGCAAGAACAACACGCCTGAGAATTTGGCTATTCTCCACTACGCCGGACGTTGTCTCGCGAGCGAGACACCGGGGGCGCCCCCTATCTGGATGCCGTACGTTACCACACCGCCTGCTTCTGTTCTCTCGTTGGAACGTACTAGACAGTTCAAGCCCTAATTAAGCTAACTTTAATAGACGACATGATGGTGCCGACATTGCCATAGACTCGGGGGCCATTGAGTCAGCTTATAATGGCTCACTCTGTGATGTACTGTTGCTGTTGGACCACAACTGCATCCGCCATCCTCAATATACCAAAAACCCTCTCGGTACCGCACGGCGCAAGGCCGTCGAAGTCATCGATGCGCCTCCTGTCGAATCTGAGCAAGCTCATGTCAGCTTCACAAAGGCCTTGGCCGATGAGTTGTCCACCGTCGCATATGGCGACTCACTATTAGTCGAAACTCTGCATAAGCGGGTTGCGGCCCGGATGACCATACATAAGCCCCGCGGCCGCGGCCGTCCACCCAAAGAGCCCGTACCAAGACCCATCGCAGATCAACAACACTTGCCAAATCATTACTACCTGCAAGAGTTCCGCAGCATTGTTCTTGCCCCCATTCCGAACGAGCCACAAGGTAAGTGAAGCTTAATTTTACGAAGGGAGCTATGTCCTGTGCAATCCCCACGAGTGGCCTCGAGTTTATTGACTCTTCTCCATAGTTGTACTCTGCATCCGTATCCTGAACGGCGCACCGGATATTAGCAAATGGGCCCAGTGGATATACGACGCAAATCCACGGGCACGGAACAGCGTTCAAATCGAGGGACTGTACTCGGGGTTCTCGACCATGATTGTGGTTCGAGTTCCTGCAGCTGAATGGGAACTCTTCGCCAGGTGTCCTGCTGGGTCGTTTGTTGGTTACAGCACAATAGGACACATCCCTTCCAACCTATTGAGAAGGATTGATGAAGACCTCTCTGCGAAACTCTGGGCTGAAGATGAACCTCCACTACCACCAAGACACCCATCAACGGCCAATAGCGCCGCCAGCTACCCACCCCTCCCTTCCGCCAACTTTTTCACTCCCCGGAAGTTGTTCGCGTCAGATAGACTCGAAACATCAACTAGCGGTGTTGACAGCGATCTTGGCCTTAAGAAGGTCAGAAAGGCATTGCCGACTGAAAGAAAACTTCTTCCTTCGGGTCCCGGATCTACTTTCTTAACAAACCAGAGTATTGAACAGACCCCAGTGTCGACCGACCGAGCTGTGTACAGGCCTCCACAGACCAGCATTCATCAGCCGCACGAGCAACAGCGTGTATCTCAGCAAGAACTGTCTCGCCAACTTGTCGAAAGCGGCCTTTCGGAAAGAGATGCGTTGCTTGTAGCTGCCGCACAGAAGCCGTTCAAGATCTCGATTAAATTGGCTGGCCAGAACCACATGTGCAGCGAATGTAACGCTGGGTTTAAGGATATCGAGTCGCTGCGGAACCACGTGCGAAAACAGCACACGCGGCCCTTCCACTGTGTATTCAACTGGGCCGGGTGCGAATCAACTTTTGCCAGCAAGAACGAATGGAAGCGTCACGTCATGAGCCAGCACATTTTGCTACACTACTGGGTTTGCCAGGTGGAATTATGTAGCAAGGTGGTAAACAAAGCACCCGGTGCCGCACACAGCAGCTTTTCTCTTCCCAACGGTGCCATATTTAACCGAAAAGACCTCTTCACACAGCATTTACGGCGGATGCACACACCATCACATGTTCGAAAGCTGACGAAGCAAGCTAAAATGGCAAATAAGACTGCCAACCATCCCGCCATTCTAGAATGGGAAAATCGCATGAAAGATCTACAGCTGGACGGTATCAAACCGCGCTGTCGGCTGCCGGATTATATGATTTGTCCGTCTCCAGGTTGTGGTGTTGAGTTCCATGGCAACGGTGCATGGGACGATCGTATGGAGCACGTAGCGCGACATCTCGAGGGTGCTGCCGCCGGCCGCGAGGCGCTGGTTTTCTTTGGCGGCAAGTCCGATCCCACATTGACCAACTGGGCCACGCGGCCCGAGGTAGGAATTGCTAAGAGGGTCGGGCCGGACGCGTGGCAGTTGGATAATCCGCTCCGGCCCGAGATTCGGGAGTGGACTGGGAACGATCACGATATCGTCGGCATCTCACCTAGGCTCCTTGCTGAAGAGAGGATCCTGCCTTCAAGCGAGCCTTCTCAACAAGACGAAGGTGGCGGGGATAATGACAAAGCAGAGCATCGCGACTCGTCGTCCGACAATAGGAGTAGCCGGGAAAGATCCAAGTCGGTAATCGAGGTTGCTGGACCACAGTCGCCGATCAGAGGTGACAACACGGATCCCGAGCCTGATCAACTAAGCGACCCTGGTCGCGCGCCCGAAGACAAAGTCACAAAGGATGATGGTATCTCGAACCCCCAAATGGCACCCGAGGAACAGCTCCGGCACTCTATAGAAGCCAGCAGTCCATCCATTGTCGCTAGCTAGAAGGCTAATGGCAGTCCACTGGAGGGAGGGCCACGGCCGTGATTGCTAGGGCCATAGATGCGGAAGAAAGGGAAATTAATGTCAAGTGGATCAGACATTGTATGCAGTGTCGAAACCACCTCCTTATTATTAGGTCATTTTTGCAAAACAGAAAACAGTGGGGTGGCTTCACGAGCGCACAAAAATAAGAAAACACAGCCAACACTCTACGATCAACGACGAGGACAACAGAAGGGGTTTTAGTGAAAAGCAACAAAAATAAAATGGGGTTCCCCAAGGGCAACCATTACGTATGGCGGAAACAACCAGCGCAGCACTTTTTCGTCACGTTGTTCGTCACGTTGTATATGAAACATTACGCATCTTTGTTTACATGACGTCGAATTTGTTTTCCTTTTACGGTGTGGCGATGGGTACGAACTCTCGCCAAAGGTTTTGGAACTCACTCGCCCATTTTCACTGATTTGTTATCTAGTGACAAAATTACGTTTTTAAGGACGATTTTTTTTGTCATTATGACGATATTTATTCTATGTGCTATCTATCTAGCAATACAAACAAAAACAATTGGTTTTGGACCTTAGTACGGAAAAAATAAGGCTACTTATAGGATTGAAATTTACAATAACCGACGGCCCTCGTGCATCAACGCGGTCTGACTGCCATATCTTACACTTCAAGGATACAACAAAACACGCACGACACATCCCACACCTATAAATTTGACTAAGCGGGCTGCCGCACACGGGCCTCTTCGGTTTGCGGCGGACCCTTGGCCACTTCAAAGCCCATACCCCGCTGCCGCTTGCGCCTGCGCTTGCTACTGTTGTCGCCGTAGCGCTCGTCAAACCGACGGATCGCCTGCAGGGATGCCATGTCCTCGCTGATGCTTGCGCCAATCTCTTGCAGTGCGCGGTCAAAGTGGCGGCCAGACAACACGCGCCGCTCCGGGAACACAAACGGATCGGGGCCCGTGTGTGCAGCTTGTGCCCGCACCTCCTCGCGAACAGCAGCCATGGCGGCTGCCACACAGAGGTTTTTGAGATCGGAGCCCGAGTACAGCTCGGTGTCGGCAGCCAGTTTTTCGAGAGAGACGGTTTCGCTGTCGAGCATCTCGTCGCGTAGCATCACACGAAGGATGGCAAGGCGGCTTTCGCGAAGTGGGAGGTCCACGAGGAGGCGCCGCGGGAGGCGACGTAGCACGGCCTCGTCAAGGTCAAAGGGCCGATTTGTAGCCACCATGATGAACGCCTTCATGTTGGATGCGAGGCCGTCCCATTCGCGCAAAAACTGATTGATGGTTTCACGATGCCCACCACGGCCGGGCCGGGTTTGGCGGGCGCCGAGCAGCGCATCGGCCTCGTCGAGGAAGATGACGACAGGTGACAGCTTGCGCGCAAGAGAGAACAAACCCTGGACGTTCTTCTCGCTGTTGCCGACCCACATGTCGTTGATGCTCGCGGCACTGATCTCAAGCATGTTGGCGCCACTCTGCTTGGCAACGGCCTTGGCCATGAGCGTCTTGCCTGTACCAGGGGGTCCGTACAGAAGACAGCCGGGAATGCGTTCCGCAGCAAGTACACCATACAAGAAAGCCTCTGGACGGATAAGCGACAAGGAGGTCAGGGCCTTGAGGGACTCTTTGACCTCAGTTGGTATCACGATATCGTCAAAGGTAGTCTTGATCTCATTGGCATCGATTAGGTCGCTGAGAAACTTCTTTTCGTACTCGGTGTAGTCGCTGGACGACACTTTTTTGAGGATGCCGCCGATGCGAACCTCATGAGTTGGCTCAGATTCAGCATCTGTTTCTTGGTTGACCGTAAGGGGTGAGTAGTAGGGTTCCTGGGCGCCGGTAGTCTCTTTCCACATCTTGTCCTGGTCCTGCGTGGATCGGAGCGCCCGTAGGAAGGAGTGCTCGTTGAGAGTGTCTTTCAACTGTGACGAGAGAGCGGGTGCGTGTGAGGAGGGCTGTGGGGAAGGCATGTATCCGCTGTTACCAATAACCTGTGCGGCAAAGCGGTACACCCAATGAATGTCAAAGATTGTAGATGAGAGGGCAGATTTAAGCTCAGCATTGACGCCGCTTGGCCATGCGAACGCATTCAGATTCAGCTGCTGGGACGTCAGTGCCGAGATCATTGCCCGGATGTTGCTCATATTTTCGTTGAATGTATCCTGTGCTTCCATGTTGCGAGTCGAGGTGCCTTCAGCCACGCGGTATGGAATGACGTGGCAGTCTTCCTGGCGCAAGTCCTCCGCTCTCTCTAGAAGACTAGGGTTCGCGTTCATGTCGGCTGATGTAGAACCAACCAGAACGATTTTGCGGCCCTTTTGCCAGAGACGGTCGACGATGTTGCGTAACTTGGTGAGAATCTGAGTGCCTTCGATGGTGGAGCTCAGTTCGAGAAAGTGGTGGACGTGAAGGATCAGGTTATGTGGCTTTGTGGCCGTAGGTGTCATTTTTGTTGACTGCGGTGATAATGGTGATGACGATGGCAACGACGACGACGGCAAGGATGTAGCATCCGCAGCGCGAACCATGGCCTCGAGAACATTGTTAATCTTGAGATCATCCCATCGGTCGTCCGGCTCAGATGTTGCGAATCCTTTCATTGGCAACCGGGACATCCCCGAAACCCTCATAATGGACACGGGTATGCGCGACAGAGACACGTCGGAGTCGTCGTCGCTGTTGGGCAAACTTCGCGAAACCGTCTGGCCATTCTTGAGCGCCGCCGAATAGCCAAGCATGGCAATATTCCCGCGAGCCCAGTAGGCTGTCTGGCCGAGATAGGGTCCTGCAATGTTTGCAATGCTGCCAGCATCGAGATGAACCACATGCGCTGACAGGGCGCGGGCCACGTCGTCAATAACATTCACAGCCTTGCTCCGGCCCTTGTAGTTCATAATAGCCAAGACAGACACAGGCCGTTTCGAGTCCTTGCCCGACTTCGCCGGTGACACGGCGCCTAACTCAGTCGCAACTGTAGAATATAGTTCCTGGAACACGAGGTACTCGCCGAAGTCGGTCCTTGTAGGGATACCATGCGCAATGGCAGAGTCTGCTGCCATTGCAATGGAGCGTGGCGAGCCCTTCTCCAGGCTCGCCTTGATCGCCTCTTTGGATGGCTTGCCAAATGGACGATGCGGGAGGCTCAGAGCATTATCCGGGTCCAGCCGGCTAATCTGGGCCGTTTTCGTCACCTCAGATACATTTTCTAAAGGTAAAGGAAATTCCCCAGGGCCGTGATATGCGATGGATGCTACTGCATATGACGCAGCGGCAGCAATGGCAGCCCCCCGCCTTGCCACGGCCTCAATTTGCTGACCGTCACGCAGATGCGCTGCAGCCTGGGCGACCTTGTGCGCGTCCCAGGAGGCGCCATCTACCCAGGCGTCAAAATAGCGGTGTAGTGTCTCCCGATCGCCAATGGAGAGCGAGGAGAGGTCGGTGTCGTCCGGCGATGAGGTCTGAGGAGGTGTGGGGAATATGAGATTGCTAGCTGCCTCGAGGTCGGAGCTGAGTGATTGTGCGGACGTAAAGGTGGTATGGTCCTCGCGGTACAGACGAACTCGGTCCGTTAGGAACCAGTCGGGAAGGGTAATGGCCGGCATGCCGTCCTGGTTCCGGGTCCGTGCTGCTCGATTACGCCCACCACCAATCCCAACGGCCACCGAGAATGTCTCCTTGGGCCCGTCGGCTGATTGCGTGGCCGTTGCGGGTTCCGATTCCGGTATTGGTACTGTCGGAACTGTGGGAGCTGGTGGCGTAAAAGGGGTTGTCTGGCCAGCAGCTGTATTGACCGAAGTTGACGTTGTCGGCCATGTGTCCTGGCTTGGGCCGCTGCCCTCTGAAGCCCCCTTGCCTCCGCTAGCCGCATCCTGCGGTCGTGGTTCATCATCTCGGCTGGGATTGGGTTCACCCGTTCGTGCGGACCGCGCTGGCGAGCCGATGAAGCCACGGACAGCGCCGAGCGTCGGCCTATTGGGGATGATGCGACGGCGGTATTGTTTGGGTGCCGCCGCCACCGACTGTAGGGCCCGGGCCCCTACGGTATGCATCCGAAACACGTACTGTTGGCTGCCCGTCGCATTGGGCTGTTCTGGGAGTCGTAGCGTGTCCCTTTCTTGTCGGCGCGGGCCTGTTGCATGAGAAGGTCGGATGGTAAAACAGCGGATGAAAGTTCCGATGCGAAATTCTTCGTAAAGAGACCCGATAATACGTAGTTGCGCTAATCCTGGCCAATAACAAGCCGGGATAGCTGAGCCTGTTTAAACCAACAGCTTTCTCGTGGCCACTAAAGGCTAGCGCCATACCTTCCCCTGTGAAATGACAAGGTCGCTACAAGTGCTAATGGGGTCATTAGTATTTTACTTGCTACGAAGTATTAAGCCATTGAAATAAAAAAAGTGGTATTTTATTCCACCTATCCAGGTAATTACACCGCAAGGCACATCTATCTATTTACGGCCCCAATTATGACTCGGTGCTTGGCTTCAGCCCCTCGACCGTCAGCGCTGCCTTGTACAAATTCTGGGCTGTCTCCAGACTGGTAACGGTTGGCCCAAGCAAAACATGCACTGCCTTTCGACCGCCGCCGATCATCTCCGGCCGCCACCTGATGCGCCGGCCTGTGCGACCAAACTTGACGCGAATCTCCTCCTTCTTCTCGTCGATCACTTTGTTCCGCACCTCCTCGGCCTCATCGGCTACGGCCTCAATCCGTGCCATGGACCGCGCCAGTGATTCTACGTGGTATGCCAGTTCCTGTGCCCGATCTGGATCCCCGGATAAAAATGCGTTCCAGAACTGCTTGAGAAACTCCGTCGTCGTCGCGTTTGTAATGTACGCTTTTTGTGCAATTTCCGCCGGGATTCCCATCGGTGTCTGCTCGTCGCTGCTGTGGCCGTAGAGCTCGGCACGTTTCTGGGCGACCGCTGCGAGAACCTGCTTCTGCGCTGCCTGCCGTGCGGCCCGCGAACCCACGTGGTCGGGTCTTCGGGCGTTCTCCTCGTCGCTGTCGCTCTCTTCGTCAATCCCGAGCCCTGCGTGCAGGTCGATACCACCGGCGCCGTCACCTTCTAGTGTGTCAATGTCCGCTTGAACATCAAACAGTACTTCAGACGGCACCTGCTTGTCGTATTCTTCTTGGTCTTTTGCCGAGGCTGCACTGTTGTCGGAGAAAAACCGGCTCTGCTCGCGCACGCTTAAAGTAATGCGGCTGGTCTCAACGTCTCCCCGCAAGTCCCGCAGTGCCAGTTCCTCTTGCGTGTCAATGTCGGCTTGTGTGGTGGTGGTGGGGTCTTGATCAGACGGCGCGACCGTCGCCATGATCTTCTCACTCAAACTGTTCAGCGTGCGCACAATGGGGATGTTGGATCGTGGCCGCATCTCGACATCTTGGCGGTTTCCGCCCTTGAAGCCGCCTCGGTTCTCCTCGTTGGCTTCGAGGTCGATTGTATGCGGGACATGAGAAGAGAGGATAAGACTTGATACGACCGCATCATCTGCCTCGTCGAATCGGTCAAACAGCGGGTCGGCACGCTCGCTGTCCAAGACGCGTTCACCTCGTAACTTCTTGGAGAGTCTGCTCAAAAAGAAGCGCGACCAGAACTGCGCCTCGGGGATGCGCGGAACGTTTTCGTTGTAGATGCGCTGCACCAGGGGGTGCTGCTTAAGGATCATTTGCACCTGCTCAAGGCTGATGTTCAGCTTCAACTCGCCGTCCACCGTCTTGGGTTTGATGGTCGACAACACATTGTACGCGCCTTTCTTTTGGTTGGTCTCGATAGCGTGTGCTCGAAGAAGCGACGTCCTCGTCGACCAGAACTGCGCGTTGAAGGCAGCGTCCGATATTGATTCCGGTTTGGACTTTTGTGCGTCCATGTATGTCTGGTGGAGAGTTTTGTCCTTCTTCATCAAGGACTGCTGCAGCTCAATGTCCACCTTTAGCTGGCTGTCGTCGAACCAGCGCTCTGCAGCAGGCTTTGCGGCCACGGTGTTGGCAAACGACATGGCGGCGGAGAGTCCCGCACCGGCATCTGCGGCCTTGGCTCGGCCACCGCTCGACGGAGTGCCACCATCGGGCTGAGGTGTGCCAGCGGCAGAGATTGGTTTTGGGAGGCTTGGGTCATTCGCACGGCTGTCTGCTATTATTTGCGACAGCAGGTCTTTGACAACATTTGCTTGGGGTCGGGCGTCGCTGGGGTGGTTGAAGTGGAAGAGGTAGGATGTCGGTTCGCCTTCGGTGCCAGGGATCTTCTCAAAAATCTTGAGCATGACCTTGGGGACTGTGTCGGGAGTTTGCTGCAAATCTATGCTACCCGTCAGTTTCTGCCAAGAGGACAGTCACACACCTGGCACATGGGGCTATACCAAGCCAGACTCACTTGTAATGTTCGCTGTCGCCAGCGTCACGGCCGATCCTCCCGCCACAGGTGTCCATGTGACCCGGGTGTGGTCGTCCGACACCGCAAGGATGCCCTCTTTCTTCTTGTATACGGCATTCCCCTGAGCAGCCGCCATGCCGGGCGGTGTGTTGTGGGCTCTAAATACCCGTGCTGCTCGTCTAGTCTAGGCAGACCAGCTTAAAAATGTCGTCACGCGAGTTTGCCTCCGTCGTCATTCAGACTTCGCAGCTGTCGTCCAGCACACAGCAGGTCACGCTGTATAAAGCGTCAAGGCGCCATTCACAGTCCGCTAGAGTGCTATCGCATCGAATTTTTCTCCGGTCGTACGAAGGTGCAGTGTTAAACAAGAACCAACGTTGGATTCGACTTACGTCCTGAGCGGTCGCGCCAAGGAAGCTCAGTGGGCAGCTATAAGTGGGTCGCCGTCGTGGTGCACGACAGCCGTTATCATGCTATGATCGTCTGGTCCCGTGACATCCACATTCTGACAGGCCGCTACCTCATACCACGCTGTAATAGTTCAGTTTTCTATCACCAGTCCACAGTGTCTCCCCAAAAATACACGGTCCTTTTTTCAGCGTCGGACCGCTGTTCGTGGAGCGAAACAGGGCGCTGAACGCACCGGAGGATGCGCGTTAGTAGCAAACCGTTACAGTGCGCTCTACTTTTGCCCCCGTTGCAAGGTCTGAGAGCCGGAATTGTCGACAAGTTTTTTTTCCGTTACTCGGCTGCGCTGTTCTATGGCACTTTGCGCATTCCTGCTCAATGCAGCTGAAATAAAGACACAAGCGGAACGGAGGGTGTGGGACTACGAGTGTCAATGGGAATATTGCCTTGGGGAGAGAGGGGGGGGGGGATAGATTGGCCAGTCTTTTATTTTTTTATTTTTTTATTTTATTTTTTGCATGTATTCGACTTTTGGCTTTTTCTTTCCCTTTTTATTATATTATCTCTACATACTTGGAACAACTGGTTGTTTCGTCTTATTATTACCTATAATAGGAGTTTTAAGCATGTACATCAAAATAATGCCAGTTCAAAAACGTCTTACAACTTAGTCTAGCGATACCCAGCTCGAGCTTTGGATCCTTCATCTATAAATATATATTTTAATATTTATCGTACCTTTAATGTTCGATGTTTTGACATGTGCAACCTCGTAAAGTTATGTCTGACGGCATACATGCCTTACAGTTATCAGACTTTCTGAATTGTAATTGCGCGAACACCTTCTATGTAATAATTTCCCATGGCCGCACCACGCCGTCGTCACCAGTTGTCACCAGCATTTCCTCCACGCCTCTCCGATCGGTGCCGGCATCAAAGCGGCGGCACCATATGATATTGTTGACCTCATACGGCCCGTGAGCGCTGGCGACCTTGCCGACAACACGCCAGTGCCTGGCCGGGGCGTTGCTGTGGTGAGTGGCATGGGAATGAGTTTGGTGCCGGCTTTGCTCGTCGTGTTCTTGAGCATGATCATGAGCGTGGTCGTGGCCGTGTGCGTGATTATGGGCATGGTTGGCGACACGTCCTGGGCTGCGACTGCGACCATTCGAAGCAGCTGGCGCGTTGTTATTGCCGTTGGTCATGTGAACATCTCCGTCAAGCATAGCGGCAGCCTCGTCCTCGGTCGTCACATCATCCTTGTCGCTTGGTGCCGGGCCATCAAACTCGGCGTACACCACCACTGTGCCATCGCTGCCCGTGCTCGCAATCAGGCCGTTGGATCCACTCCAAGACGCGGAGTAGATATCTCGCGTATGGGCGCGTGGTAGCACGGCCGTACAGGTCCATGGCTCGTGCAGGGAGCGGCGCATCGTGTTGGGGACACCACCAAGATTGCTGCGGAACAGTGGGTTCGCGCCTTGGCCGCTGCCTTTCCCGTCAGTGCCCACCTCCGCATCCTCGTCTTCCTCTTCCAGCTCCCAGATACGTAGAGTCTGGTCGGCAGACCACGTCAACAAACGAGGAAAGCGCTTGCGCTCAAGGTCGGTCTCCCACTGCACCCCCCAAACGGTGCCCGCGTGACCCTCAAGAACGGCCACGCACACCCACTCGCCGTCGCCGTCCTCGCGCCAGATGCGGATTGTGTTGTCGTAACTGGTGCTGGCCAGCACGTCCAGGCTGTAATGGCGCCCACTACCGCTGCGGCGGCCGGGCACGTCGGGGCACCAGGTGACACACTTGACGTCACCCTCGTGCTCATTGAGTACGGCCACAGTCTCCCATTCGTCGTCGTCCTCGTCGCCGCCGACGTCTTCCCAGATCCAGACGGACTTATCGCGGCTGCACGTCGCCAGGTACTGGCCCGAGGGCGAGAACGCGACGCTCTTGATTTCATGCTCCTGGCCCTCCAACACGAGCGTAAACTCCCAGCCGTCGTCCTCCTCGTCGCCCTTGTCGTTGTCGTCTTCGTCGTCATCTTCGCCATCGTTGTCGTCACTGTCGCCGTTGCCCACCCGCCGGCGTCCGGCCGTGATCTCCGTCTCCAGGCGCGCACCGCTGCCCGACTGGTCGTTCTGTTCATAGCGCCACAGACCCGCAGTCGAGTCGAAGCTGCCCGTGACCAGGCACAGCTTATTGGGCGGTAAGCTTGGCTTCCATGTGGCCGAGCGGATGGACCTACTGTGGCCGCCGGTCAATGAACTGTGAGCAGAGAATGTGGTGAGAGAAAAGATGGTGACGGATTTGTTGTGGGCGGTAGCCAAGAGCGGGAGTGTGGGGTGTGGTATAGAAAACCAGCCGCGCTGGTAGAGGTCTGGTTGGAAGGACGGCAGTGCCCGGATCTCCTTCACAGATTGCAGGCGAAGGGACTTTTGTTGCAGCGACGTCTGCGCAGGATCTGAGGCCGTGGTGGTTGATGATGTAACCGCCGCGACCGCGGGGGCGGTGGCGGACGCGGGATCCATTTTCTGAGCCAGATGAGGTGGATAACGGGAATCAAGGCTCGTTGGTGATTGATGACAGGACGCAGTTATTGGCCGTCTAAGATCAATCTGCCCTTGTATCGTTGTGTGGCTGCAGGACCGGGATCGGCGTCAAAACGACTTTGCCGTCGTGATACGGGATGGTTAGCAAGCAAAAGGAGGAAAAAAGGCCTAATAGCGGGATGGCACAAAATATTACGTACTCAACAATGTTTTGGGTATCCCACAAAGCTTAGCATATACCGCTAACTTTAGTAGTCATAGTTTACGGAGCGTGTAACGCTCAATGTAGAAAACAACGTATGGAGTAATTACGGTACAGTAATTACAATTACTATTTTCAAAACAGGATATGGAGTATTTAAGAATGTCAAAAGCGTAATACGCTTGAGGTTACGCAGACGGGAATGATCTATACGCTGGCGAAGTAGAGCATCGGGCGCTTTATGCACTACGATGACCCGTCACGCTTGCGTCAGCCCTGCGGTCATGTTGTCGTCATGTCGTGAAATAAGAAGGAAGGTCGTACTTTTAGGTTTGGGTTGATTCTATTTTATTCACAGGATATATAGGTCAAGAGACACCCACTACTCTTCAGAGAAGCAGCTGTTTGTCCAGCTCGGTGCACGCCAATTCCAGCATAAACAGAAGGTCGATTCTACCGGAGGGGTGTCTACACTGGTTCGGCCCGGATGATCCCTTGTCGCGGAAAAATGGGAAGACATAGGTGCAATAGCAATAGGAACAGGCTCGGTCGTGGCAACGTGCACTTCTCCTGATGCTCCAGGACGCGTGCACGTAGGATATGCACTCTCTACACCCTCATCTTGCCTTTCTTGTAAAAAACTGTAGTCACTCAGCGTCACGCGCCGCGCTGGCCTGCCATCGCGGGCCTCCATCTCGGCCATCGTTTGTACCGATGTGATTTCTGGTACGGTATCGCTCGCGCCCCGAGGACCCGGTGTGCAAGCATTATTGTCGGCGCCATTTTCCGAATTGAACCAAGAAGATGGCACTTGTTGCCCTCTGTTTAAGTCTGTCGGCTCTGAAGCCTGTGGTATTTCTGGTGGAGCTGGCACTGGCGGTGGCGGCGACGCGGGCCTTGCAAATGGCAACGTCTCTCGCGCCCAAGGATGGTTCACAATTGTGTGCTGGCTAACCGGCGGACGCCAGACCGGCGGCAGCGGACGTGGAGGTGACGAGCTGTGAAGAGTCGAGGAGTGTCCGTGCAACAGGCTAAAACACCCACCAGTGCTAGTGCCACCGCCGGTTCCCTGCCGGCGCGTGCCGTTGCCGCGTGTGCGTCTGCACCCGGAGCTGAAACCGAAACGGCTCGGTGATGCTGTCGCGGGCCTTTCTCTCCGCCGCTAGAGGGAGAGGTTCGAAAAAGGGCCGTTACTGAGACCGTTGCTGCTTGTCCGTACAGTACTAGTATTGCTAGTATTGTGCCTCGGCTGGCCAGTATCGTAGCGCCGCAACGCCAGTCGTGACTCCAACGTTCGGTTTGCGGACTCAAAAGATGGTACACCCGGTGGCGTGGGACGGCGCCTTGGGGGGGTGTATTGCGGTTGCAGGGGTGCTAGGATTGGTCTGGGTGCTGTCTGGCGAGTCGGCCCGTGCTTTTCTTGCTCTTTTAGCTTCTGTTGTCGGCGGTAGACAAGAACTCGGAGAGGAGGCAAGATTATGGATGCTGATTGATCAGTATGCTCGCACTCCACTCTGGCGGTGTGCATCCCGTCATCTTGAACCCATGGCATCACTTCTCGAAGACCTGAAGGATCAGCGACGCCGGAGGCGGTTGAAGCCGGAGAGGTGGATCTCTGCGTAACGGAAATGGGTGGTGGCCCAGCACTGTTGTTGATATGAGCGTATGAACCATCTTCTGCGAGAACTGGTATAGATCCCCGTGGCAGACTGGACGCGGGAATGCCGGGGACTATGTAGGCGGCGTCATCGTTGTCAACACTGCTGGGGGTATTTTCGGATGAATCTTTGTGTCTCCATGAGGTTCGACAGCCAGTCAGATTGGACGCGGTTTCGATACTGGGACAGGTAGCGGGGGCGTGAGAACAGTTGGACGAGGATGGCCCTGCGGCCATTGTCTGCGTTATACTTGTGTGTTGGATAAGAATATTCCATGGGTAATTGAAGTCATATGATAATAATGTCTGTGGGAGGTTAGAGGACACCTATGTACATTTCGTATAATTCTTATTTCGTATAATTCTTACAGAAAATTAAAACGCATCATGATATGCCACCGAAAAAAATCCAGGGAAGGTGCCGCCTATAATATATACCTGCCTAATTTGTTTGCTGGCTGACAGAAGTCAAACAAGGCAAGACCAAACATCGCAGAACGGCACTTACCTAGGACGGTAAATTAAACCATTATTATGATGCCTTTCAACCATCGGGGCCAAAATCCAATGTCTCCTCATCTGGCATGTCGTTTGCTTCCCCACCCATCCCTTGGCTTGCCGTCGACTACAGTCTTGTGTATGTTGCATGCGTACACAGCATGGCTGCAAAGTACGTCGGTAAGTATAGTGTAAGGCGCCATAGGAATGTGCGTAATTTTCAATGAGCTCGGCCTATCATTGCCTCTATGCGGAGTGGATGGGGACCACGCATCTGCCGCGTTTTGGTGCTCCGTTGTTCTTCAAATGGTCTCTGTATCAATCGTATGACAGGTGGTAACATTCCTGGACGAATATCTCACGGTGTCTCTAGGATGCGGGCTCATCTTTGGGTTTATCATGGCGGGAATACATCTTATACTCCAGGGATGACGAAAAGTCGAACTTGCCGGACTCGACCTGGGCCCGGGTGGCCGTGAGCATGGGCTGAGGGAGACCCATGGACTCCAGAAACGCGACGGCTGTTGTGTTGGTAGTTAGTCAAGGCCAAAAAAATTCTAACGTTTGCAATGGGAGGGAAGCACATACTGTCTTTCCATTCGTATTCCTGTCTGCGTCGGTCCCAGTTCAGTTCCTTTGCCATAATGTCGATGACTTTGGGCAGAGCCTCCAGTGCCGCCTGGGCATTCAAGAACGCCAACCGGGTCCGCCGCGCCAAAACATCAATGGCCGTCTGCGCATACTCGTGGCGAACAGCATACCGCACCTCGCCGTCGACAAAGTCGTACAGCTGTGAAATTCGCTTACCACGGACAGGGAAGCGCTTCTCTGTAGGGCCGCACAGTGAGCCAACGGTCCAGGCACGGTCACCGTAACTCTCGGTCAGATGCTTGGCCACATCAGTTTCCAAGCCGAAGTGCTGAATCAGGTGGATAAATAGCGTCCGGCTGAAGCCGTGAGCACCAATGAGGCGCACCTGATGCGTCTGGCAGGACCCGTCAAGAATGGCGCCATCGTCAATAGCTTCGCTTCCGCTCACGCGGGGCACATTAACCAACGGCTGCGGCAATAGGCGAAACTCTTTGATAGCGGCATCAACGCATTCTTCGGCCATCTGGCGGTACGTCGTCCACTTTCCACCGGCACATGTCAGCAGGCCCGACGGTGACACGTCGACCAGATGGTTGCGCACTAGTGACTCGGTGTTCTTGGCCTTGGGGTCTTTGACCAGCGGGCGGATACCGGACCAAGCAGCAAGGACATCGCCGCGCCGCACATTGATATCAGGCGAAAGGTAGTGGCGGATCTCGTTAAGAATCCACTCAATAGACTTGTCGTCGGGCAAAGGGTTTTTGGCGATAGCAGCAGGTTCATCGGTAGTGCCGGCAATGGTGTTGCCTTGCCAAGGCAGGAAGAAGATGACGCGGCCGTCCGACGTAGACGGGTCGATCAAGCCCATCTTGCCGGGGCTGTAGTAGCCTGGCAGAGTGATGTGGACACCCGAGGCTGGGGCCACGATCTCGGCACACGCCGGGTCGTCCATCTTGCGAATGCCATCGGTGAAGGGACCCGTGCAGTTGATGACGCATTTCGCCCGCACTGTAATGTCTGTGGCGGTCTTACCGTCACGCTCCTGCACCGTGTCACGCATGGTGGCACCTGTCAGGCGACCATGTTCGTCCTTGGTCAGAGAAGTGACCTCCATGTGGTTGACCACAGTAGCACCGTACAAAGCGGCAGTCATGGCAATGCTGACATTCATGCGCGAGTCGTTGTGGGCGCCATCGTAGTACACAAGCGCGCCCACCAGCCCCGACTGCTTCAGCATGGGAAACGCATCGATGGCCTTACTCTTGGTCAAAAAGTACGAACTCTCGATACCCTCGCTTCCAGCTAAAAAGTCGTAAAACTTGGTGCCGGCCCAGTAGTAGGGGACTTTCCACAGGCGGTCGAGCGGCAGCATGATAGGCAGCCACGAGCTGAGATGCGGCGCCGTCTGCAAAAAGTACTTGCGCTCTTTCAGAGCCTCCTTGACCAGCTCGTACTGCGCATAGTCCAAGTTCCACACGGCTTTTTCGAGGTAGCGAACACCGCCGTGTACGAGCTTGGTGCTTTTGCTGCTGGTGCCGCTGCTGAAGTCGTCACGCTCCACGACAGCCACCTTCAGACCGCGTGTAGCGGCATCCAGGGCCACACCTGAACCCGTAGCGCCGCAGCCAATGATAAGCATGTCATACTCAGCATCCTTGTCACCACTCGTGCTTTTCTTCAGGTCGGCAATATGCTCGTCGCGTGGCTTTGTGCGAGGAAACCGGGGCAAAGTGAATGTGCCGTCGGCGCCATAGATGGGAGGAGGGACTACAGGGGGCTCGAAACCGGGGATGTTGCGCGGGCGATAAACATAGTAGACAAGTCCACCCGTCCCTGTGGCCGCACCGATGGCGATGGCCGCCCGACGAAAGGTGCCCGGACCAAAGAAGCGACGCATTGTGGTTGTTGAAAAATTGGAACTAGAGCAGCTTCAAGCTGTCGCTTGACGTGAGCTTGAGAAATACTTGCTTTGCTGTTGCTGGCCGTCGAGGAGCCAGCCCTATCGAAAAGAAAGGATGCAACGTTGTAACAGAGCTGCAATGTCGATAGAACAATGTTGATGAAACTGACGCGAATGGGGTCAATTGAAGTTGACGGGGGACACGGAATAAAGGACCTCGTTAACATACGAGCTGATAGGTTTAGCTGGTGATGACCAGCTTGCAGCAACAGTCACTAGTGAGAGCGATGACGACACGGTGGAGCAAGGGTAGATCGGTTTAGGTGAGAAGCGACGTTTGGTTCAAATAGCGGTTGAAAGAGACCGCCTAGGAAACGAAATCGTCAAATTCGCAATTAAATGTTTCTTGGGGGAAAAAAAGAACCAAAAACTTGGGCAGGACGAAAGAAGTAAAAAAGAAAGAAAGAACGACTGCTGCCCATCAAACAGGTTCTATTAAAGGGGAAAAAGAACACACTGTAGTCTCCGCGGCTACGACAGAAAGTCCGATCCTCTCAACCAGAGCACCTTTTTTGTTTACGAGAAAAATCGATTCGTTTCCCCATTATTCGGCTGTTCTACGGCTCGATCGCAGCTTGCCTCGACAAGCGAAAATCTGTGTTCTTGCGTGGCTTTCGTTTGCCGCCAGCCCGGGGTGTCTCCGATTCAGCGCCGGAAGTAGCTGTAACTCTCATATGGGTAAAGATCTCATAGCACAATTAGCTTACTGGTCTCAGACCTCACTTCCTCTTCCGGGCAGCTTCACTGTACTATCTATCGCTCAACGAGGCCGACATGCTAAAAAGCAACTGCCCTCCTGCCTATCCTGGTCAGAATATTTCCTCCAATGGCATGGGTCTGGAACAGCTAAAGTGGGGGCGTCTCGTGGCTGAATAAGCGTCGTATACACACAACAATATCACATTTGTTGCTGTAATCTCTTTGCACCAGACTCTCTGCAACAGCTTAAAAGGCTTAAATATACGGAAAACGCGAGAGTCCTTCGACGTACAGCATACGTAAACGATTATTTAGTATGGCCTAAGCAGTCCCTTTGCTGCAGTCATAACTCAATCAAACCAGAATCCATTGTCAAGGCAATTATTGATTAATCGTTACTCGTCTGACTGGGCCTGAACCCTCTTGACTCGTGCTGTCCGTTTTTCATTGGAAGAGCAGAAGAATCACGAAATCATTCTATAATAACAAGAGAGCTGATTGCCCAAAAGAGACAAGCTAAAGATCAGCTCGGTATCGTAACGCCATAAACCGTTCAACATCCTTTTTCTATTCCAATGACTCCGAGCAATGCTAAGAAGAAGAAAAAAACTGATTATAAAAGCAAACGATGCTGCTTGGGAATTTTTGCCGCGAAGAGTAGAGACCAGATTATGTGACAAAAAAAGAGAGATAAGGGCTAAGAGGGGGGAGAAATTAAGAGAAGATGACAGGTAGGATGATGCCTCCACGGACCAGGCAGGTTAGAAAATAAGAGCCGGTTGCTTTCGCGCACAGTGGTATAATTGCTGACCAATAACGTCAACTGTGGTTCGCTGGGGAACGATTCCGAGGTCAAAGATGCCTCCGATACCGAAACCGTCCTACTGTTGAAGGACTAGCCACGGTGGGCACAGCTGCTGTTGAAGGTGGACTTAGCAGGTCCGGCACGTGCGAATTTTTTCCGCTATGATAGCCGCGACGATTGCCACTGAACATGCGATGGAAGAAACTCCGCCGTCGCGTTTGTCCATCACGTCGCCGACGTCCAATTGCTTCTCCGCGGCCTGAGCTCATGCTAACAACACTGGTGGTACTGCTGCTGCTGTTGCTGTGGTTTTTGTTGTTGACGCTGCGCGCCAAGTCATCAATAAATGATGGGAGGCTAGTAGCAACAGAGCACGAGTTCGACTTGCGGTGCACAAGTTCGGCTTCCCACCTGTAAAAATCATTATCGTAGCTCAGGCTTGCCGTGGTTGCGCGGGAAAGCCGACTCAAGCCAACATCGTCTGTAATGTTACTGGACCTGCTACCAATGGTTTGGCGGATGGTGATGCTGCTGTCCTGCGTGACGATCGACCGTGGTGGAGCTGCTGACCGAAGTCCCAGAAAGTTGGACAAGTTCATCAATGGATGTGCTGGAACGATGACCCCGCGGACCGTAGATGCGTCGCCGTCTGACAATGTGATGGTAAGCTCGTCGCCGTAAAGACTGGTTGCAGCGATTGCTTCGCCGCAAGAGTTGCAATCGATGTGGAAGTCCAATGGCTGGTCATCATCATGGATGCCGTTGTAATCACTGTCATCATCACTGCCAACGTCAAAAGGCAACCAGCAAGCAGAGGTAACTACTTCACCGTCCGTTGGCCTAGTTAGGAGCGATATCGAAGACAAAGGCGACGAAAATGCCGCGTTCTCGGGACAAATTCCGTGAGAAGACGGCGGCGCACTCCGAGACAAGTCCGTTTCGCATCGGACACTACGCTGAGCATCGGTCAATGTCGACGCGGACATAGCAACTGGCTCTGTGACCGTTACTTGACACACTCTGGTCGCTTGTGCCCCGTTGCCGGCGGGCCGAGAACAAAGCGTTGTCTCGGATGAGGCTCCTTCCATTCAAAGCCACTGTCAATGACCAAACTATAACTCAACTGCGGCAATGGAGCAGCTCTTTAACGAGTCGACGCAGCAATTTGTTCGTCTGATTGTTTCTGGATGGGAACCGGTATTGCCATAGTTTCGGGTGGAATGGCATTGATATCGGTGACGTCAGTATGACCTGGTGCAGTTGCAGGGACTGCTGCGCTGTCAGTGGACGCTGGTGTGATTGTGCTCGTGGAAGAGTTTCTCGGTTGCGACACGACCCGCCGCCTTCATAAGTTCTGGCCGGATTGCTGCTGGTCAACGGCCATCCCGCTCGATGCATCGCCATCAGCGGATGCCGAGGAGGAGCCTTCGCAGGCGACTGTGCTGTGGTTGCTGCCGTTCGAAGTATTGTTGGGGCGGCGGCTGGAGCGTGTCATTCGGTTCAGACTACCGAGGCCCAGCTTTGCGCTCATTCTTTTCCAGCCAGCATTGTGGACGGAAATGGCACGCTGCAGGCCGTTCGGCGATGTGCTGAAGTTCCAATCCGACGTCGGTGGCGTTGTCGGCGGCGTAAGCGGTTCGCCAGCCGGAGGGGTCGAGCTACCATTGTCATCGATAAGTCCAACACGCTCCACTGAGGATGCATCCGCGGAAGAGGCCGAAGGCGAGCGGCCCCGGCCTTCGCTACGGCGAGTGAGATTCAGCTGGGGCAGAAACGACGGCTTGGGGGAGCGGCTGGAATCATCGCCACGAGGGCGTGATGAGTCCTTCGGCATACGCATACGAGTGCGACCCTGGCGAGCATCATGTTGCTGGTGGTCGTCGGCATCGTTAGTCATGGGCTGGTCCTGCTCATGGGCGGTCGTGTTTACAGAATCAACGAAGGAGAGCAAGACCGAGTCGTTCATAAGATCATAGACGATGGTGACAGCCTCGTTGAGTTCTCTAGGGTGGGGAGGCGAACGGCTCTTATCCAGAGCAAGGAGGCGGTCTCGGACGGGGCCAGGAAGGTTGACTTCGCGAGGGCCTAAAGGCGTTATGTAGGTGCCAAGAAGTCTGCGCCAAATAGCACAAGTGTAGTCGCGTGCGTCTTGTGACCATTGTGCGGCATCGTCCTGGCCCTCGTCTAGTTGCACTTGAGCGAACGTAGTCTGATAACGCTCGGCCTCCATGGTGAACTCGAGCGTTTCCAGGCAGTGGTTCTGGGACAGGTAAGCCATAAAGGCGCCGAGGGTCCATGGTGGTGGTGCGGAATTCGCGAGAATGTCTTTGAGGGTTGGGCGGTTGGTCGCCGCGAGAAAAGCGACACTTGTTGGTCGTGAGGATGCCATGGTTGTGGTAGACTTCGGAAGAGATACGTTCAAAAGAGATGACGAAGACGATGATGGGGGCGAGCGAGTCTGTGACGTGACCACGCAATCGCCGAGGCCAACAACTCCAGGCCTCCCCGCAACTGTTGAGGGCTCAGGAGAAAGCTGTCGTGGGCTGGTGGAAGTGCTAAGGTAGGGCAGTTTTGAGGTGATCTGAATCCTCCTTCGTTTCATACTTTCGACAGAGCCGAATAGGTTGACGTCGGATTTGACCATTAGTCTGTATGGAAGGATGCCCAAGACGGGAGACAAAGCCTCAAAAGTCGGCACAGAGAAACGCCATGCAAGTTGTTCTAATTGGGCGATGTGTGAGGGGCCTCTGCTAGGGTAGACGAGTTGGGGAAAAGGAGTTTCCAGATTTTATGCAGCGTTCCGAAGCAGCATAGTCTGAAAATGCGGTGGCAAACGATGCGACACAAGAGAACTGAAAAAATAAGTCGGGCGATATTCAGACAGAGCCGACGAGACAGGCGACAGCCGATCGCGAGGTGAAACAAAGTCGTAAAGTCAGGAACACAACAGGTCGAGTCGTGATCCAAAATCTTTCGAAAGTAATAATGACAGGGTGATGAGAAAAGAAGCAAACGTGACCGAATAGGAAGTGGGCTCGACAGTAGACCTTTTTTTTTTTGGGGGGGGGGGGGGGACAATATACAAAAAGGGAAAGGAGAGAGGAAGGGAAGGCGTGAAGGAAGACGGCAGAAGAAGGAATGGACGATGCGAAGATCTTAAAGAGGAGAAAGCGGCCCAGGCAAAGAAGACAGCAGTGAAGGATGGCCAGCTAGTCACTGTGCCTGTTGGTGGGTACAAGAAAGTACCTTGTACCGGCGTCTCCATAGAAGGAATTTCGTGATTGTTGGCGGGCAGCGAAGGCGCAGACTGGCTCACTTGCTTCGCATTTACGGGGCTTCGAATTGTTCTGTGGAGTGGAATGTGGGTGTGACTAGTCAGCCAGATCCATCGGGCAGGAAGAAAAGGTGACCCATCATTGCGGAGTGCGGTACATGGCAAGCGGCACCAACAGGGGGGAAGGTACAAAAGGGGGGGGGGGGCAATTTGGGATAGACGCACCCCCTTTCGATGAAGGGAGGCGATGGGAGACACCAGAAATGCAACCCTAAGCACCCGAGTACTTTAGCGGGCTTCCAGGCCTTTTTCTGGAATGTTTTCCAGCGTAAAGGCAATATGCAGGCTAGGAGTAGCTGGAGAGTTGTATCAGAAGGGGATTATGGATTAGCAGACCACTAGCAGATAGCGTGCTTCCCTTCTGATCAGTCAACCATGGTAAGATACTGAATCCCAACCTGCCACACATTTATGCCCATCTCGAAGCGATTCGATGCAAGTCTCAGAGGGACTGAGCCATCACTTAGTAAGAATAGTGTTCACATAGAAAAAAAATAACGATCAACAGAATAGAGGGCGAAATCATTACGAAGTACGGAGAATATGTGTAGACCAGATAAATGAGCCACGTCGTGGGCAGGATCCGACTCGTCGCTAGCGTGCTTGTCCATCCAAATCAGCTGTCGTACACTTGCACATTGTCAACCGGTGCAATTATTACGACGTATCCTCTGCGCAAAGGCTGCTTTAGCACGTTCTGCAGTGTGCAGCAAAGCACAAATCTCTGTTTTAGCTTGCAGCTCACAAAGGAATGTAGGTTTGTCATAACAAGGGCGCGCTGTTGTGGGTTCACACACACTCTGTACGGGCGCACTTGATAAGAGAGGGGGGTACGAAGGCCGGGAGTGAAAACCATAGGCCAAAAGTCCGCCCTAACACGGTGGACGATCAGGAGCAAACAAGTGCAATTTTAACGGCCAACGGCTACAGAATCAATGTCAGTTGACAATCCAGTGTTTTTGTCTTAACTTTTGTGTTGTCACCATCATACCACCGCAATACGCCCCTGACCCCAATCAATTCCATTTGAGTTTTCTCTCATTCGGTCATTTTTTTAACTTAAAAGTTATATATTCTCTTCTAGGTGCTTCTAAAGTACCTCTGTTATGGCCTGTGTTGGTTTCGCTTTCGAAGTAGCGCAGTAACACGGCGCAAGGCGAACTGCTGGCCACGCCACCGCTGTATGTATGGCGGGGCGACTTTGAAAGTAAATACGGCAGGGCCGATGAAAAACGAGAATGTGGCCAAGGCGTTGGCAAACAGGGGCGGGGCGAAGCGACGCAGGACGGATCGTTTAAAGAGCCAAACAAGCAACTGGCAACCGGAGAACGATCGGGCAGAGGGCAATACTCCGTAAAAAAGGAGGAACGCAAATGAAAGAGCCCGGGTGCGCCGCAGTTGGACTGGCTTAAAACTAGATGCCACAACCAAAGAAACGAAGATGGCGGCCCAAGCGCAAATGTCATGGTCGGTGTAACCTGGTGGTCCTTTCCTGCACCAAGGGTGCGCGCAGAACGAGGTAAAAAGCAAACTTCTTCGTTGCAAGATACTCATGTGATTCTCGGATGGGAAGTAGAAGTATATCTTACCATTACAAGAAAGCGCCTGGTCGGCGCTCTAGCGCAGTTGCACGAGATGCTCTAGATAACGGCTGCAAAACAGACGACAAATGGGAATGCACAGTAGGCAATGGGCAATTGCGAAAACGAATAGTAGTTATCATACGCTTAGTTTTCCTTTGTCCTCTGTTTCCGTCTCGTCCCTTTGTTCGCGACTGGCCCCGCTTCAGGAAAATCTTGCACTAGAAGCACGCTAGAAGAGTTCCAGTGGCGAGCCTTGTCGCCCGACTAAGCCAGGGTCAAAAGTCTGCAAAGCCAAACAAAGTGAGTCGGGGGCCGAGAGACAGATTGCAAGGAGTGGTTGCACACAGGGCGTGAAGGCGAAAAGTCTTCACAAGCGGCACAACAAGGCGATGTAAAACTGTCATAATTCGTACAGACTGAATAAGTAGTAAAAAGATAAGCCCCAGTATTACAGGCTAGCAAACAGAGAACCAAGCAGTATAAAGGAAGGGATGTGCAGACGAAAGGTTGGCGTTGATTCAAACCTACTTTGTAGTACGTAGTAATGCTAGGAGTTGTCAAAGTAGAGAACGGCAGTGAGCATATGAGCTTTAGCGGGAGCTCCTGCTAAAAATGGCATCGCCAACAGCAATCCTTTGGCGCTCAACGACTGTGCCCACAGGTTTAACAGATCAGACCAGTAACGGTCGTCTGCTTGCAGACTTGTGTTGCATGACTTCCATGTTTGTCGACATTGATCGACGTCTTTTCTTTCCCTCTGCTAGTTTCTTTTTCCCTTTGTCTTATTCCGTCGACTGGAACTCTGTCTTGCTATTTACTTTGGTCAGCAACAATTAGCGGCCAGTACCGTAGGCTAAGCACCAAAAGAGTAAGATTCCACGCCTGAGATCGCCCCCGGCCTCTTTAACTTGGCGACAGACCCATGAACGGATATTCAACGGCCAATGGGAATGGACCTTGATAAAAATATGCAGAAATGCAGCCATGGGACGTGGCATGCATCAGCGGATAGATAGGGGCGCTGGACGTGAAAGGTGGGTGTGAACGCCTACAAAATCATCACACACAGTCGATTAGTGAACTTAGTCTCAGCAGAGGAACTGATGGCGCCAAAGACGGAAGCAACGTACATGAATATACATAACAGACCGGGCTCACAGAGGTACAATATATTGTATGGAACATAACTGTCGTGTCAAATGGTACAGGAATAGAACATGAATGGAATGTAGAAACAAAAACAGATAGAACACAGATAGAGCACAGATAGAACACAGATAGAATGTGGCATGAAGAAACGAAACAGCCCCCAAATCGCCTTCGGCCATTGGGAAAGGGACGTCAAGATCAAGCAAGCGAGGCAAGGATCGGAGGGTGGCACGCAGCGGCAGAGCTTCAGTGAGGATGGGAGCTCCCCCTGGCCAAAAAAAAAAGCGTACTCACAAAGCTTTTTAGTGGGACTTCTTACACTGTCAAGAGTGTTACAGTGAGGATTTCTTGCTGTATTAGAGTGCCAAAACGATTTGTGAGTGCGCTTTATTTTGGCCAGGGGGAGGGGAGGTTGCAGGTGGGCCGCAGCCCATGCAATGCAAGAAACTACTGCGTAAGTGCGCGAGCGGCGCGAGGAGAACCCAACCCCAGCAGCCCAGCATTTCCGGTTCTACAATCAGGCCACCCTTAGAGTGGGGCTCCAGTGGAGACTTCCAGCTGACAACTGTTGGATGGGTTTGCTCTGAGGAGGAAAGACCCAGAAAAAGCAAGCGCCAGCTGCCCCTGCGATACCTTGATGGCGATCGTTTGTCTCCCTCCGAGCCCCTCTACAACCCATGGAGCCCAACAACAGTCTCCAGAGCTTGAAAGCAGTAATTTGTCTTCACCATTCACCCCCACATGAACCACAGTCAAATACTTTCCGGTTTGCTCGACTCTCTTCACCGTTTTTGTTGTAATGCAAAGACACGTCGCACCCCACAGTGTGCACCGCACTCTGACCGCTTTACCATTTTGATCTCATGTTCTGTGCACAGCAACCACAAAATGTGGCTCAATTGCTAATATTCTCCGAGATAGGCCCTCTATCCTTGCACACCCTCCTCGACACCACGCCAGCCACCAGGACCGTGAGTACGACCACGACCAACACCCACGTCACCTCAACTGCTTTCAACCTGTCTCACAGCACCTCAGGAGATGCGCTAGCTGCCGGTTTGTTCATACAAGGACGCTTTTTTGCCGTCTCCCCAGCCTTGCCAGGTTCAACATCGGAAGACGTGCGAGGTGTTTTCAAATGAAGAATCACGAGCGGGAAACGAAGCTGCACGTTGAACACTAACCGGTTGTCCGACGAGGTCCTGCAGCTACTCATATAACTCGGACAGTGGTATTTGGAGTGTATAGTGCTTGGTTACACTCGCTGGCAAAATACTGGCAAGCCCAAACCGAATTAGTAGCCAGGCTGCTGGGCAACATTGTGCCGTGAGGCATGTGTTTCTAGCTAATCTAACCATACCCAGGCCGCGTGGAACACGCCAGGTTGGTCAACCGCATTGTCAGTTTTGATAAGATATGCTATTGTCCCTTGGCGTCTTCTGGCTTACACTGGCTCGGGGTCGACTTGTCACCTGGCTCTATCCAGTTGACGCACAGATACGTTTTGGTCAAGGCGGCTTCTTGGCGCTTGCATGATACCGTCGTATTCTGGAGGAGCTTCCTTTGTTAGCCCCTTCCTTCTTTATGTCCTTCTGATGTTTACCGTTCCACCTGTATTTTGTAAACGTAGCCAGAAAGCTCCAGCAATGTAATTACGATGTAAAGTAAGATAATATACTGTATGGGGAATGTATACGAGTAAGCGAGTTCTCGTGCACTTTTGATTATCCCACATCGTGAATACAAGTACAGGTATTCCCGTCTTACGTCCTGTCCTGGCAGCTATTAGACCGTAATACTTGTCACGGCGTTAATTTCCTGTATTTTGAGCGCACGGCTATTGTCTACCAAAGTTATTATTTTCACTGGATGTCCCTCCACGGCAATCTCATTACACTCGGTACTTGCACGATCATTGTTTGGATTTGTGACACAGAAAATAGTTGAAACAACCGGCTTCACCATCTTTCGGTCCAGGGTGGTTTTAAAAATTAAGGCACATTGTAACTGTACTTGTGTAAGACGTGTCCCAAATATGCTTTCCTGAAACAATCAAATATGTTTGACGGATTGCGTGTCCTATGGCTTCCGTAGTATATATATATATATATATATGTATATTTCCTTCTTCTTTCGTATTACATTAATAATATATACTAATCGTGAGATCTCTCACTATATACGCATTGTTACTGTCCCTGCGCCGCACCCTTGCACCTTCATCGCTTTGAATAGACGGGAAAATTTCCAGCTGGGTCTTTACTGGTTATTCATATAATACGTAGTACATATACGTCGTACATTTACATATGCATTTGCAACAGCATGCCGTCTGTGATCTATATGTATATCATGTCATTCTTTCATCATATCGCATCCTCGTCCTGGCCCCAGCCGCATCGTCTCCTGCGTTTTCCTGTAATACGCTTTTACATAATGCCCCATCTTACATGTGTTACATAAGATATCGAGGATACGAACGTATCTGCACAATAGACTCGTATGGTTTACTATTACTTTCTCACTCTTAACACAGTACACAACTACGTTGCCTACACATATTCCGCCGCCAATGGCGTGCATATGCCGTATGTATAGGATAAAGTGCGCATACTCCGGACTGGCCAGACATATCGTACGTTCTGTAGACCAACCAGATCTCGGCAAGCTGTACTCGTTATGCTCTGGCAAGTTCCGTCTACTGCCCTCTCATGTTCTATTGGCTAAAATCGATATTACCAACCCACCTTTCCATGCGCTGTTCACTCTTCCAATCACGTTTATTTGTCCTTGCTCATATTTTCTTGACGCACTTCCAACCTCGTTGGACCCCAGTCAACGAGTAACGACCGTGAAACGGCTGGAGCATAGTTCAGCTCGACGAAGCACACTTGGTAAAGCAAGTAGACTTTTGCGAAGCGAAGCTGTTATATAGTGATCTAAAGTTTCATTTCTTAGCAACCCTACATCCCTCACCTGCAATATTACCATTTCTTTGTACTGGTATAATATGTCGCTTACTCGTGGTTCTGCCCGGACATCTAGGGTTGGCAGGGGGATGCGTGTGAAGATTATTGATATTCTAGATATCACTCCTCACAATCTACCTTTACCTTCAATGGTGCAACAAAGTGAAGGGTGTCATAAATCGGAAGATAAACGCTTCTTTTATTCGACACTGCCCCACGCGCAGTCTGGATGCCCCATACGTTGCGTCCAGGCGCTTGTCTCTTGCACCTTTTGGACAGTGAGTCTTCTATTTCTCCCTGCCAGGATGCTGTCTTCGTTTCTCTTTTCTCTTTTCGGCGTACGTCGGAGGACAACCGATAGCAGCTGCTGCCAAACAACGACTAGACCATCTCTCTAGCCGGCAGTGGACTAGCTATTGTTGAACATCCCTATAATATACCATTGAATCGGTACGGGACAACATACGACGCAATGCGGAAATCATGCAGATCTCAGAGATGGCCGCACATCAAGGAGCTTTGCAAAGCCCTAGCGAGTCCCCGAGTCAAAGTTATGTGAGCTACCCGGTAGCGGAAAACAGACAGAAAAAAGAAGGTTGAAACCGGTCTAATTCGCCGTCGCAAACCAGCTAACCGATGGGCGTAGCTAGGCCAGTGGCAACGGCCAGGGCCAGCAGTTCGCAATCACGGAGATTGGTACGGAAGAGGAAGGCATAAACTTTTAGTGTCTCCGTCAACAGAGAGATCCGTTCTGGCTTGGCCTTTGTTGAGGCCTCTTACTTGAAAAGGCAAGTATGGTTACGGGGTAGTCAAATGTTGGAGAGGGATACGGTTAATATCGTGATGCAGCGGCATTGGTCAAACTAGGATAGACGGAGCGAAGAAGAGAATGGGCCAAGAAGCCTGAAAAGAAAAAAACAAAGGTACTAGAAAAAAAAGGAACTTCTTTCAGCCCGTTTCCTCTCATACGAAAAGGGGTTCTCAATCCGAGGGAAGGGATATGCAGAAAATGAGGTAAAACGATCCGAACTGCCTGAACTGCATAATTTCTGGAAGCGCCGAGGGGTGGTGTATCCTACAATCACAGCCCTTGTTGCTGCTTTTTTCTTTGTCGATTTCTCCCGAAGTGGACACGGTAGGGGTATATTGCACAAGATGACTGTTTCTAGAAGATTACCACTTTCGGAGTAGCACTCGTTAAAGTGGGTCTTTCGTCACGGCCTGTCCGGTGGGCGGCACTCGGGACACACAACGTGAGGGTCGTGGTTTGATATCTTACATGCATTGGAAACAGCCGCTGCAAGCATTGCAAGCCTCGTTGTCACACAGAACCATGCACGGGCTGCTCCAAAGCACGACAAGTGACATCGGATTATGGAGTTCCTGCTCAAAGAGAGCCGTCGACGGAGAACTGATTAGCGTTGGGCTCCGCATCGTAGCTGTTGTAAAATTACGTCCTAGGAAAGGAAACGAAAGGAAACAGAATACACTCCTACAATCAAGACTTGTCCGGCACAAAGGGAGACGTCCAGCGACAGGAAACAATCTAAGTTCGTCGTACGAGGGAAAAACATGAGACGTGCACTGTGGTGGAATCAGGAGTGGACTCGACAAGGGCCAGGTGGAGCGTTTAATGGTTGACTTTTTGTTTTCTGTGTGTCACCGCCTGCTGTGCAAGGCCTTGAGCCACGAAAAGCCTCTTCTGAGCGAGCGAATAACATTTGGTGGATTAGGCTCGGCTGTTGGAGACGGCTGCTGCTGGCGCTGTGCTTCGCACTTCCGAGAGCGCGTCTCCCCGACCTATTCTCGAACATCGTGCCATAAAGGACCTGCCAATACGGACGGTGCAATTTAGGCTCACGGCACGCCTTACTCAACTGGGAAAAGACAATAAACAGCGAGCCGAGATCGAGCGCCGCTGCAACACGACTGCCCGTCATGTTGTATAAGGCGACGGTTTTATGTCGTTTTGGGCGCTGACTTTCTAGAGCAGTGCGAATGGGGAAAGTACAAGCACCAGTGGCTATGGCACGTTTTGTGCTAGAATTCGTTCCCTCGTCTAGTGTGGGTATCTCCTTGTCCCATATCGTATCGTACTATCTAAGTACACCAAAAAACAGGCCCGTATCCGATCCCATGCCTTGCTGGCCGGCCAACTGTTTCCCTATGCTCTAACCATCCCTTGAGCGTAGCAAGCGTATCTATGCTTCCTTGCACGTTGTGCGCTGATATAAACGCGTTGAATATCCTTGTGAAATGCAAATTTGATCCTCCGATGACGCCAGTCGCAGTGTGCCATGTAGTCAATGCTGTTGGTATCCATCTCTGAAAAGCAGAAACGGAAAAGAGAGAAAGAAGAAAAGAAGCAAAAATAATTGGAGCATGTAACATAATTAAAACAAAATGATCACATAAATGCAAAGTGACGTAAGCCAAGGAACTGTTTCTCACAGCCCTGTAAGGTCTAGGTCGCCAGAGAAGCCGCCATTGATGAGTGTGGCGGCAATGCGGTCGCGCTGTAGAGGCATTTCTACAGCCTTGTAAAAGGACGGATCAAGGCCGAGTGACAGAAACAGTGCGTTGGTAATGGTATGTACGCCACAGTCCCAGCCATTCGTCTGGCGCGGGGAGTCGTAGTGTTGCACATGCCACTTGTCCGAGAACTTGTCCTTGAGAAGCTCCCTAACCCAGCGCATCACTGTGTCGGTAACTTCGCGTCGGCCAGCACCTTTGTTGCGCAGCGAGTCCATGTGCGTGATCGTAGTGCGGCCGGGCCGCACCACGACCAATGTCCAGTGATTGTGCTCGCAGATGGGAATGAGGATTGTGTCGATCTTAAGGAAGTTGTCCTTTGTCACACCCACACGCTTCATCCAGCGTTCGGTACCAGCAGCGCCTTTGGTGGACAGCGGCTTCCAGAAGAAGGAAGTGAATGCATGGCACTTGGGTGTTTGCGTCTTCGGGTTTGTGATGCCTACCTTGCCGTTGATATAATTGGCCAGGTGAAGCAACGAGCCGTTCACAATCTCATCGTTGAGCCACTCTGACTTGCTGACAACAGTCTTAAAGTCGTTGCGTCGGAGAATGGTCCCTTCCGGCGACTTGGCAATGTCTTTGTTTGGGTCGGCGCAGACAGCAGAGTTCACACGCGAGTGCCACGAGTCTGATAGCGACGAAATAACCTTACGTGCAGGTGGACGCAGCCCAGACCGTTTTGCAATCTCTTCTTCTTCCTTGCGACGCATTTCTGCCTCTCTCTTCAGACGTGCGGCCTCTTGCGTAGCATACCTCTCCTTGGCAATATTACGCAACTCGTCTGCCTTTGATGTACTTATCCGAAGTCGCGGCATGAACGTGGCGTCATCATCGTCTTCTGGGAAGATAGAAGCCCAAGGCAAGCGGCGTTGATCAGCGAATTCAACACCAGCCGCCGCATTTTCGACATCAGCCTCATCATCTGATGCAACCTCAGTAGTTGCAGGAGATGGCGGCAATGGCACACAAGCAGCGGCGAAAGCAGCTGCGTCCGCCGCTGCTTTAGTATTTCCAAACTCCGTGTGTGCCGTCGTCTCTAGGCGGGAGCGCTTGAATTGTCGAGGATCCGGTGTAGCAGTTTTCGCTTTCCGCTTGGCGGGCATCTGATAATCTTTGATAAAGGGTAGTGCATAAAACTTTGTGCGACACGGTTGGCCATGGGCACCGGCCTTGTATCTCTGGGATAGCAAAGACCGAGTGGGCGAAATGAGGAGGGGCCCACTTCCATTTGCCAGGCGGCGAGAAGATTTGAGCGAAGCTGCAGCAGCGCTGACGATTCGCGATCTGCGAAGAGCCTCCTGTGACCGCGCACTCGATGTACCGTTGCCATATATGTGGCAAACTGAAGGGTTGCGCCATTTGACGAGAGAAACGCTTGTCTCGGCACGGCTGCCGAGCCACAGGTTACGCAGCTCTTCCGCTGTGACCGATTCCACTGCTCCGTCATCGTCGTCGAAAAGGTATCCCGGAGGGTGGTTCTGCCGCTCAACAGAGACAAAACTTAGAATGGGCTGTTGGCGGTGGAAAGCTTCCAGGTCGACAAGCAATTTCATGAGGGACAGCTGGGAAAATTGCATGCCCGGGTGGCCCCATTGGTGTGATTCCAAAATGGCAAATGCCAGGAAGTCGCCCACGGCGCAGATGCCACAACGACTGTCCCAGAACTGCTGTACCGACGTGCTGATCTCGTTGTACAGCACAATGCCTTGGGACTTCATGGTCTCAAAGTTGCCCGGCGCGTAGAGGACGGAAATCCACCGCTCTGTTGCCTCGATGGCTTTTAAAAACTCCACCGAAGCATCTTTCCAGGCCTGCTCCGAGTTTTCACCGGAACGCTGAAACATAAAATTGTGAACAACGGCCGACAAGCGTGTCTCGTGGCGGTTTTCATCGTCAAAGCGCCGCACAACGGGTCGCGGGTAAGGACAGCGGACAACATGTCCGGCCACGAGGTCGTCTTTCCACGCGCGCAGAAGTGAGGCGATCGCTTCAAATCCGGCAGGAGATATGTGGTCGTGAGGACCGTCACGCCAGATGAGTTCGTAATCTTGGCTGAAAGGGAGTGGGTTGGGGGCACTGTTCGTGGCAGAAGAAGGCGGTTTTATGCGGTCGACCGTGATTGCGTGGTGGTGTGCTCGATCGGCCGCCACATATCGCGCCTCGGGGTCATCGGTCGGAGTGTTATGCTGCAGTATTCTCTCAGATATATATGAGAAGCCGTTCCAAAACAGCTCCTTCAAAGTTTCCGGCCGCATGGCGGCCGTCATGGCGCGTAGCCAGCCAAGCAATCTCCAAGCCAAGGCGACGACGTCTTTTCGAATCTGCAACGCGTTGGATTATCTCCCAGTTTGCGACTCGGAGGCGCGTCAACAAATCTCTTCTTCTGGTCGCGGTATGTCCGTCAGTGCCGTCTTTCTTTGCGCCGATAGCAGGGCTTTTGGCTGTCCGTCGGATCGGGGAGGGTGAGCTGGGGGTTGGTGATCGCGAAAAAGCAAGTGAAGCAGCTCTCGGGAGAACGTCAAGAAATTGTCGATGGCCATGCCACAGATGGCTGATAGTATTGTGTTGAAGCGAGAGGAGTCGCCGCCGATTGCGGTCAAGAGTGAGTGGCGCCGTTTGCGGTCGAGGGTGAGTGGCGGGCAAACAACGTGCGCTTTGTGGTCGCGATTCTTGGTTGCGGACTTGCACTCCACACAGACCCGTTTCGGCGGCAGCTTCCCTAAATTTTCTTTGACGGTGCGAAAGACCCGCTGCCAACATCGTCCCTGCAAGGAGCCTAACGGAGGCCCAGAACAGCCGTTGATTGGGCATGATGATGACTCATCAAGGCAGTCCTCTATTCATACTCGTGGTGCACCAAGCATCTCTCTGAACTGCTATTGTTCTCACTGCACTTACACAACAGAACTGCATTGTTGTCGATGAGCTGACGATGAACATACGAACTAGTAGGACTATTGGACTAAACCTAGCAATTGTTTATATGCTAAGCACTCTTTATAACGCTCTTAGTTACATTTGCGACCTTTTAAGGAAATGAGAAGAGTACCGTTTGTCCAGAACGATTAAACATATAAAATGGGATAAAACTAATTTAAAAAATAGACAAGGACATCGGACTACCACACGCTGAACCAAGTGCCGAGGGTAGACTTCAACACAGACTCCTAATCTCTATATTTTGATTTTTGAGTTTATTACATTACATATGTATTTTGGCACACTCTACGATGTGGCTACGCAATACATAAAATAGGACAGCGGAAAACAAAATACAACACAGAGAAGTAGTTTACAGCTGCGCCGACTCTTGGCCGAGCTTCTTTGTGCAGAATGACCCGAAGTAAGCGTTGAGCGCATCCAATGTGCCGCTGCCCTCTACAAGGCTCGTAACAATACCAACATAGCCGTCAGGTCGGACCACAACAACGCCGCCATGGTCTTCGTCGAAACCCATTTTAACATGTGCCGACGCACGTGCGTCCGGGACACGGCAGCTCGATCGATCGTCGGCGTAGACGTGATTCCGGTACCGTGTGAGAAGGCCCGGCACATCGCGCGAGATCTCGATATCTTGCCGACGGCCAGCAAAAATGATGCAGAAAGTAAAGAATAGGCTGTGGGGGTTGTGCTTCTCGTGATACGAAACCGTGTCCACATCCGCTCGCTGGTAGGAGGCGTAGAACGAGTTGCGTTTCCGCAAGCCACTCTCAAGGTCTCGGAGAGCGGCCGCCGTAGTCGACGACTTGCCTGCAAAGATAAAAATACGGAAGGAGCCGTTCATGGGCACCTCCTGTTCAAGATGCACAACGTTGGCGTCCACAACGCGCGTCACATCTGCATTGGACAAGAGCCGGCCAGGTCGCAGCTTGTTGGCCTCCGGGTCGACAGTTGCTAGCTGTGCTGGGTGGTCGGGGGACCAGGTAATCAGACTGGGCTGGTACTTAACGCCGTAGCCGCTTGTGAACTCGCAGCTCTCCTTGAAAACTTGCACAAACGCATTGTCGTGCTGTTCCTCATTGCTCGAGTTCGAAGGAGCCTTGGACTCGGTCGCGGCTTCCACCATGCTGGCGGCTGGGGGCTTCTCAGAGAAGAGCTTGGCGTATTTGTTGTCGAAGGAGAGGAGCGTCTCGGCCACCTCCTTGCGCTCAAACTGGTACGTCTGCAGCAGGCTGCGGTTGGCAAAGCCCTTCTCGACAAGGTGGATCTTCCAGGCGAGGTTCTGGGCGTCGAGGAATGCGGTGTTCATGCCTTGACCAGCTTTCGGCTAGAGCACACTGTTAGTACCAATGAACTGGATGAACATTGTGCACCAATACAATAATAAAACACTCGAGAGATCCGTACACTGTGAGTGTGGCAAGCATCGCCCCCCAAGAAAACGCGATGATCAAGTGTGTAGTTGTCAGAAATACCCTGGCCGATAGGGTAGACCGAGTACCACTCAACCCGCTCCCACTCGATTGAGTATGGCTGCAAAATCTTCTTTGCATGTGCTTGCACTTCCTCCTCGGATGCCGTCTTCCGCGGGTTGAAATCTGAGTCCGTGGAAGAGGCAATCTGAATATACAGTCGGACCATGTTATTTTCACGCGGAATGACCATGATGGAGCCGTCACGTGAGTGGATGGTGCACTTCATCTGTATTCGAGGAGGGCAGGATTAGCAAGGGCGTCCAATCAGTGCCCAGAATAAACCTTACACGGAGACTCGCCTTGATGTCCGGGAAGTCGGTCTTAACAACTCCGTCCATGACGCCCCACACATAGGAAATTGGGTCCTTGTGGCGGACCTGGATGCCCAGCTTCTGGCGAATGAATGACCGTGCACCTTCGCCGCCAAACAGATACTTGGCCCGGACGGTCTCCTGCGCAGAGCCATCGACGTGCTCGAGTTGGACCTCAACGGGGTATTCGGAATTCTGTGCCTCGTCGGAGTGGAAGCCTTTGATCGTCCATGGCCGCAATATGGAAACGTTGTGCTTCTCAAGATCCGAAATGAAGACGCGCTCGATGAGTCCTTGGTGAAGAAGGGTTGTGAAAGGATACCGGGCATCTATGAAGCTGGGACAGCTGGCCCAAGTTCCTGTGCGCTCAATGCCGTCGCCGCTCTTGGGCGGGTCCCAGAAAGCAACCTCGTACACGCGAGCTGGCTGGTGAGCCATGATGGCGGGCTTCAGACCCATGTTGCGCAGAAGATCGAGAGAACGTGGCTGGATACCATCAGCACGGCCCGTGGTTGTCGGCTCTGGTCTGTTGTCAATGTGCCTGATCTTGTAGCCCCATCTTGCGAGAAGGGTTGACAACATCAAGCCAACAGGACCAGCACCCACGATGACTAGGCACGGGCGAGTAGCAATTTAGCAACCCCAGACCTCAGAATACACGGGAAGCAACTAGGTTGGTACCGCAAGAGCGTGTAAACATACCAATGTCATAGTGCGGCGCAGATTGAGACGTCATATCCGCGTAAAAGTGGTAGGTAAAAGTAGATGCGAGGTTTTGGGATGCTCTGTGTGATGCCTCTCGGCGGGCCTGTACAGTCACAGAAACTTGTAGGTCTAATGGAGCGGGCGGAAAGTGTCCGTACAGCGCAGTCGTTTGGGTGGTGATTCGGTAGGACGTATGGTGTGTACACGAGAAATGCCCTAAACGGTGGCAGTAGGGAAGTCGGCGGGTGGGAAAGAAGAAACGGGGGATGGGAGACGAGAAATATGTCCCCGTTTATATCATGCGCGCCGCAATACGCTCGTACGGCTTTGCAAAAGAAATATCGGACTGGGCAGCTCCTGGAAGGGAAAGCTACCGATGCAACCGTCGCAACTTGAACCCGCGATTAAAGCATTGTAATACAGCGCGAGATATTTGGACAGCGAGAGCCATGGCGAGAGACGATTGTGGAGGAAGCCCCCGTGCTACAGATAGCTAGCCAGTACACGGCAATATCGATCGGTAGTGTATTAACCACTGGGCTGTGATATGACGGAGATGCTCTGGGCTATGCGGGACCAAACCGACGGATAGTTGGACATTTTCCTTGTGGGGGATACGACACGACGGATCGTAGTGGCGGTTCGGGAGATACAGACGGGAGTTGGGCTGAGGATAACAGGCTAGACGGTGCAAATAATCAAAGAAACTGACTTTGCACGGTGGCGAGAACAGGGGTTTGGGGGAATTGGGGATATGTGGGGCATATTCTTGAAGAACGTGAGAGCGCCGAAGATTAATACGACCTACAACATACCACATCGCCCTAGGTACTTTCTTCTTAGCGCAGTCTGGTACACAGACAAAAGTCGCTTTTATCGCACGTGTGGCCCCCTTTCAGACGGCCTAAAAATCAACACTATGCGCGAATGACAGCAACCCCAGTTCGGAGAAGATTACGGCAAAGCCACGGCGAAAAAAATAGGCACCCAGTGGGTCTGTCCCAAGCCTCATCTACGACACTTTGATGATACCGTTCCGACAGCAGTAGCCGAGCAGAAGCACACAAGGACTGTTCATGGTTTCCACAGTAGGTTCTGTCCACGGGTCGCCAAGATGCCCACCGCGGGAACCGAGAGCGGCAGTGCATCGCAGTCAGCCGCTTAGGAGAACGGCTCACATTTGCAATGCGAGCCGGCCTGAAAAGTTGTAGCGTCGTGTCGTATAGTTGGACTCGGGTATCCCCTACTCTTCCGTCTACGCAGCCATGCCGGAGCATCAAATGGACCCGGGCCAGACTCGGGTCACTTCCGGGACGGCGGTATCTCGAGGTACAGGTCATGCGTGGTGTGCAGGTCACCTGTTGACGATGAGGATAATAGAAGCGTAGAAGCCATTGAGACCCCGGACGTGAACATTGTTAAGAGACTGTCAAGTGGCGAGGCCCGCAAACAAGTACAATTGTAATGCCCGCATCGCTCTTTCCACATTTGGAAGGCAATCGCATCTTCTCGCTGTCATTAGATCTTTGGCAAGGCAACAGAACGGCCGACAACAATTAATACAAACGGCAAGTGTAGAAATCCGTCGAGGCCTAGTTCTCGCACTCTACAATGGACTGCCTTCAAAAATCTTCATTGGCGAAGTAGGTCAGAGAGGAGACCTTCGAGGACAGCATCTCGGTCCCCAAGGCAGTCCCATTGAGAAAACTTTTTGAATAGCACATCAATGACTTGTGGTCACGGGGTCACACCACTTGGCTGCTCCTTCCTCGTTGTTGTTCTTGAAAAGCCAAGGCAACCGCGTCTTTATTTTATTCTGCCTTCCCTTAAATCAACTCACGACCACAACAGCTCTAGGTCTGGATGTCTACATGCAATCTCGCTCAATAATGGCATCCCCTGACACAGAGCCGATGATGGGAAATTTCATCCCGCTGCAGTCATCAGAGGGCCTCTTCCTTATCCCGCCCAGACGCACGCGCAGCCCTCGCCGTCTGCGTTCGCGATCACCCCGCCGGCACCGACAGGAGCCTGGTGTACACCTACATTTGAGCCTGACAGACTCGCAGATGGACAAATTGACTTCGACGTACGCTCTACCGGACGGTAACTGAATGCGTTGTGGTGGATCTTGTTCGCTAATTAGTATCGCAGCATAGCAGTGGATGACGGGCCCAGGCCGAAAACCCACCGTCGCTCGGATACAACTGACGGCGGTGATATCGGACTCGCTGCCACCCGGCGCCATCAGTCCACCGCGGACGACTTACCCCCGCCAGCAGCACCTGTCCCTCTCCCAATTCTTCCAGACCGCGAAAAGACAGCATCGGCTACCTCAGCCGCATTGGAAGAACAGCGCCCGGGCATCTCCGTTATCCATCGTACACGTTGCCGGGGCCATAACGACAACCGCCAGGATACTTATGGCTACACAGACTCCATGCTGTATTCGTCACCAACCCATAGCAATGTTAAGGCATCGTCCTCCAGTAAGCATTCACCAGCCCAGGACAGCATGTCGACTCCTGGAACCAGCACACACGCAACGATAGAAAGCAATGGGAAGGCGTGCAGCTTTGAGCTCGGCCCTGCAGCTCACTATCGTGGCGAAAGTAGTACCAAGCTCCAGGCTGCGCCCCAGAATCGGCAGCAGATTCCTGAAGAGCCCAATATGACAGACGCCTCGTCGTCCATCTACTCCATGGACGACCTAATCAAAGCCATCCCGCATATCCACCCTCTCTATGTCAAACGAATCGCCGAGATGGGGTCCCCTAACAGGTCACCTGGACTGTCGCCCCAGCATCCGTCCAACACGCTTCAGGAGTATACTACCTAGGCAGCAGTGTCTCCGATGTCCGTGTCTGAGCAGTTTGTAGGTGGAGATGGTGTGACGAGCACACCGATTACTACGGGGGTTGGTACTGGTGAGAAAGCTGAGGCTATCGGGCATCGTACAGCGAATGCAAAGCCGAGCGGCGAATATGCTTCTGTTCTTGCTGATACCCCTTTGCAAGCAGATGAGGCTGGTGTTGCGCCACGTTCAATGTATTCACCTTTAACGAGTCTCTGCAACGAGCCTCGGTTCGCGACAGTGCGAAGGGGACACAAAGTCATGGTTGGCCAGAACGGGTGGCTTGAACGCCCAGACAGCATCGCTAAGAAGCCGGAGCAACCTAAAAAAGCAGGCTTTTTTGACTCACTGAAGCGCATTGCGAAAGAAGTTGTACGTTGCGAGATTAAAACGCGCTGGTGTGATAGAATCAATGCTAATTTCGTCCAAATAGGCCGATGCAACAGAAATGAAATCTTCCCGCAGGGTGAAAGGTGGGGAGCGCGGACGTGCCTCTTCTCGTGTACGGATTTCCCTTGACCCACGTGAACAGAGCCTCTTGTACTGTGAGCTCGAGTTCCTTTTGACGTCAGCACTGGACTGCTATATCAACAACCAGTTTAACGCTGGGCGACTAGACGCCGATAAGTACAAAAAGGTTGTCGATGCCTGGCACCAAAAGGGACGCCCAAAGGTCGTGGGCTTTCGCTACGATCTTGAGACTCAATTGGATCTTGTGTTTCTTCATATGCAGGACTTCCGGTTTTATGGCGACCGCGCTAGCGTACCGGCAGCGATCTCGGGAATCCTAGAGGCGATGCGAGTGAATGCGCGCGCATTGAGAGTTCGCACGTTCTGTCAGCCAGACTCGGTCATGGCCAAGCAACTACTAGACTCGCAAAGCCTTCTGAATCTTCTCGGCAGCGCTGAGCAGCGCCAGATTCAGCTTGCTGAGGTCGTGCAATTTTTCAAAATTGTCCTTGAGCGTGAGCACAAATTGCAGCGCACCGAAGAGGTTCGCGGATTACCCCGGTGATTCACAGCCAAGACCCTTCCACTGATACCAGAGGGCCACGGGGGCGCTCAAGTCACGACTCGAGGCCCCTGATCTTCGTCGTGCCGTGGTTTTGATTTTGAATTTGGTCGCAAGGGAGCCGACCGTTCACTTGAGTCGGTATTCCTACATATGAGTGAAGGAAAGAATGGGGAATTACCAAGAAATGGCCGGGTGTACGAAGCACCGATGTTACGCGGATATAATATGTGCTTGGTGATACTAGGCCAGGGGCGGGAGAGGTAGGCACGCGATACTTCGGAGAATTTGCAATAGTTTACGGCGGTGGAGATGCCGGAGTACTTTAACTTTGTTTTCTATGTTCGGTGGTTGTCGGCACTACGTCTCTTGTACCTTTTTGTTATTGTTTACGAGGTGTAATTTACTTGAACCCCCCTCACCCCCCAACAAAAGAAAATTGATTAAATGAACGAGACGCAAAATAACACGTGAAATTGTTTTCATAAACGTGAACTGAAAGCCGGAACACATAATTAAAATAGTCATCGAAATCATAACCGTCAAAGCAGCTTCCGCAACACGAAGGAATAAACATGAGCTAATCATAAGCCCTGAACACGGCCATGTTGGTTTCCGCATCACCGACGGTCGTCCCTGTCATCATAGGACCTCGACGAGTTGTAATAGGAATCAGCGGTTCCGCCGTGTTGGGGACGCTGAATGCGAGTGCGGCTATTGCTGCGACTGCGGCTTAGGCTGGCACTCGGACTGCGGCTGATGACAAGGTTGCGCTCGCGGTTATTGCGCCGTCCACGTCGGCCGCCGCTCTCGTAGTCATCATCGCTGTCATCATCGCCCCGGCTGCTACGGGCGCGGCTGTGGGGATGGTCACTGATACCTCTGCTGGTGCCACCGCCGTGATATCCGAGCTCCTGCGGTCTGTGGTCGCGGTCCCAGTCATGGTCATCCTTGTCGCGCTCTTGTCGGCGGTGCTCGACACGCTTCTCAATCGCATTGGCGCCGAGGCCGCCAACGGCCGCACCCACAATAGTCGAAATCAGCGTGGCCTTCTGGTGGTCACGCGAGCTGTGGTGACGGTGGTCACGCTTGTCGCGTGCACGCGATGCGGCCTCGGAGGCTTCGTGAGCGGCAAACCCGCCGACGATGGCACCAAGGACGCCGACACCAATGCCAGACTTGGAAGTGCTAAACGTTTTGTCGGCGGCATGCTTCACTTTCTCAAGTGGGCTGTGCGAGCCTTCGCGGAATCGGTCTGGCGACGGTGAGCGGTCACTACGATCGCTGCCGCGCCGCGAGAGCTCAGAGCGCCCAGTCGACAAAACTGGGGGTTGCGACCGGGGACGATGCCGTGCTGGTGGCACTTGGAGGGAGCCGTGGCAACCAAAGTCTGAATCCGACGCATTGGGAGGAGGAGGAAACACGGGCACATTTGGGTCGTACGGCAGGCGGCCACCACCTGTGGCATTGGTCATGTACGGAGGCGGAAGCCCGGCTGAGTCAGAGTAGTCATCTTCCGGTGGCAGGTCATGGTGATGGCGCCCACGGCCGTGAGAAGAGCTAGGGCGTCTTCGGAAACCATCGTCGTCGTCGTAGTAGCGTGACATGACAGTGGTAAGAAGACCCGGGGATGTAACGCCAGGATTCAACACTCGCACTGTGGTGGGGCTGAGGGGACAAAATGGGTACTAAGAGGGGTGTGTTTTGGGCCGTCTGGAGATATTTGGGGTTGGTGATGTATCGGGGATAATACAAGAGAAAAAGGGAAATGGGAAGAAAACAGGCTGGTCATTAGGTTAGCAGAGGCACGAGGCTGACCTGTTAAATATGAAAACCAAAGCCAGTTGTTGATCAGGCGGCTCTTTAGGATTTGGAAAAGGGAGCTTATGCAGAGGCACCAGCTTCGGGCAATAAAATGTTGCTGTGCCTCGTGGCGCAAGGGAAGACAGGAGCGTTTTTTCTAAAAGCTAGAGGCGGAGAACCAATAACAGAGGAGCCAGGGACGTGGGCCGCACGAAATGGAAGTGTTGTTTGTTGCACGGGGCTGTGAAATGCAGTTCCTAACCTCCCAATAAACGACCCGAGCAGCATGGTCTAGAAAGTTTTATGTAATAAAGAGTGTGTCCCAGAGGATTCAAAAGAGGCGGCTGGCGGGATCCCCGGACGAAGGAAGTGATGTGTTCTCGACTGTAAAAGAAAACAAACCTAAATGGGGCTGGGCAAGAGATACGGAGTTTACGAATTACACGTCAAGAGGAAGGTCTTAAGGGACTATGAAGGCAACGTGGGGAAGACGAGCCCAAAAGAATAAAAGCTTGTTAACGCTCGAGAACGTCAGGGTGTTTCCAGTGGCCAACCGCTGACAGTGGTAAGGGGGTTGGCGCGGGCAGATGCCATGTATTGTACTACGAAAGTTGCTGCATGCGGAGGAGGAGGAAGATATTACGACGCATGCGAAAGCCGTCTCTGACAGGGTCTAGGACTGTGTGCTCCCAGACTACTCCGTAGTCAAGACAGTAGACAATAGGGCGGGACCAGAAAGTGATGTTACATTACATACAGGCCGCCGTCAGCAGGCCTGCATGTGTTGCCAAGGCGGCTGTGCAGTGCAGCCCAGCACTTGGAGGCAAGAAGCACAAAAAATAGTTGCACCACATGCTGCTAAGCTTGAGTAGGCCACATGACGTTTGCCTGCATGTTTCGTTTGTCAAAGGCATGAACCCCTTGAGCTTTACTTAGAGCCGATAACGGAAAAATAATGCCGTCCCAAAGCGGCAGCATAATAAGGTGTCACCTCGAGGTTTTCCTCGAGGTTTTCCTCAATGCAGTCCGGATGCGATGCGCCTCCGGGTGTCATCCGCTGTTGATGCTTCGGCAGACGGCACCGCTTAGAGGTCGTTATTCCGTGAATCCGCGTCCGGCGCGTGGCGGTAAAGCATCGGCTGCGGCCACTTACCGAGACTTAGCCGGGTACTAAAGGCACAACCAACACGCGGTGTGGGACGCGCACCGATCTGTGCTCCTGCAATTGGCCGAGATAGGCCGTCACGGGATTTTTCACGTGAAACTCTTCGTATCCGCGGGACGTCACGCCATTGCATCAACGGACGGCCGCGCCGGCGGCAGAACCTCGGAAAATGGTTGTCTTTGGCGATGCTCTTAGTACCACTGGACCAGTTGTGACCTAATTTGGCACCTCCGCCTCGCGCAGCATGACACTCGCAGAGATTTTACGCGAATGTAAGCTGCATGTTGCCCAGATTGCCACGCACACACAAATTGACACCTTGCTGCTCCAAACCAATGCATTTATTTTCAACGTACCGGCAACGCCAAACCACGACAATGCGGATGCAGTCGCCAATGCATGGACATCGTGGAACCATTAGAGGGCCGTCATCAAGCAGCTCGCCGAATCTTATCCGTTTATCGGACTTTACACACACATACATATACGTCCGGCGTCAGTCCTTCATCTAAAGAGAAGCCTACTGTGGTTCAGTCGAGATACTGTTTGCTGCAGATGACTCTGCTGTTTGCTTTTGAACCCATGCTTCGGACATCTCAAAGAACACCGACTACACCACGGACGGCAGACAAAGTAAGCGATGACAACCGCCCCCGAACCTGCGGCAACCGCAGGACAGAAGCAGTTGGCTACGGCACTGTATTCGGAGGTCGACGAAAAGCACGGCGTCGAATTTGATCCGTCAGGATCGCGGCTACCCTCACCACCACCATCGCATCTTTTGACACCTCAGGCGGATGCTCTTGAAGAAGCTACGGTGGCGGCGGCCTCACCGGCTTCGCTAGCCTCTCCTCCCCTGGAGCCCTTGCAGAGATGGAACGAGTCGAGGACAACAATTTTACGATATTGTTTCACCCTCTATGCGTTTACGGTCATGGGCATGAACGACGGCGCTGTCGGCGTAAGCAACCACATTCCTATCTAACAAACCTAGTTGCTCCTCTAGCCAACCAGACTCAGGACTGCAGTACTCCGTACGAAATACTAATCTAATACTCTGTTGATCAGGCACTGCTTCCTTATGTATGTTCTCATTGCACACCAGCCCAGCGCCTCGAAATCTGGCGCCTGTTTGCCCGGCCTCTTATTGAAACCACATGTAAGATACCTTCTCGGCATGTTCCCTTATGCTAACTTACACCCCTTCCCACTAGATTGAATCGTATTACGATGTATCCTACACAGTCATATCATGTGTTTTCCTGGCCTCTTTCGCAGGATATATCTTTGCAGCCCTGACCAACAACCATATCCATCACCGTTTCGGCCAGTTTGGTGTGGCCATTCTTGGCTCTTTCGGCCGTCTGGCCGGCTATCTCCCCATGATGTTCCACCCTCCATTCCCTGTTTTACCCGTCATCATGATCTTTCCAGGGCTCGGGAACGGAGTCGAAGACAGCGGCTGGAATGCGTGGGTCGGTAACATGGAAAATGCCAACGAGCTTCTCGGCTTTCTGCACGGCGCCTACGGCCTTGGTGCCACCATAGCGCCTCTCATCGCGACCGCCATGGTAACCAAGGCCAATCTACCGTGGTACACGTTCTACTACCTCATGGTAGGTTTGTCAGGTCTTGGAATTGCCCTTGGCGCTATGGCATTTTGGGGTGCAACGGGCCGAATTCACCGCGAATCCCACAAATCAACGACAGGACAGCAACGCACTACAACGAGGCGCGTGTTGCGCGAGCCCATCACCTGGCTCATGGCCATATTCTTACTTGGTTATGTCGGCGTAGAGGTCAGCTTGGGAGGTTGGATCACCACCTTTATGCTCAACGATCGCCACGCTGAAAATTTTGCTGCCGGTCTATCGGTGACGGGCTTTTGGCTCGGCATCACTGTTGGGCGGCTGGTCCTTGGTTTCGTCACAGGTCGCATTGGCGAAAAACTGGCCATTACCGTATACCTGCTTTCATCGATTGGTTTGCAGCTACTCTACTGGCTCGTGCCGTCGTTCATTGCGTCGGCCATCTTTGTCGGCTTCCTTGGGGTTTTCCTTGGACCACTATTTCCTGCCGCTGTTGTGGCTGCCACCAAACTTTTGCCACACGATTTCCATGTTTCGGCAATTGGTTTCGCTGCTGCATTTGGAAGCGGCGGTGGCGCTCTCTTCCCATTCGCAGTCGGTGCCATCGCACAAAGCAAAGGTGTCGAGGTTCTCCAGCCCATCGTTGTCGCCATCCTTGGGTTTATCCTTATCACTTGGTGCTTCCTTCCGGGTGGGTACAAGCGAGGTGGACTGGAGAACGCCAAAGAAAATCACGAGAGCATCGGAAATGATGTCGTCGTGGCCTGCCGGTGGGTAACGAGCAAGCGCACAGCAGTGAAAACCCCACTGTCGCTGCCAACTTCTGTCAATACGGCCTCGCCAGCTGAGATGGCAACCATCAGCTCCTAAGCACTATTCCGGGAGTGCTATTCGGTTGCAATTTGCAGCAATTCGTCGGCAAGACGTTGCAAATAAAATCGTTTTGTGTCACGTGGAAGGTCTCTGAATTTTCCCGACATCCGGCAAATATCCTGTCGAGCCTTTTCATAGGCAGCAAGATCTCGATTTCCATACACATCTCTTCCTGACGAGTATCCTTTGTCGAGATCTCGAAAGAAAACATTAACGGCGACGCTGCTGGTGGACATAGGCGTTGCCGTATGCAACCACAGCTGAGGGAGAAACAGAACGTCTCCGGGTTTTAAAATGGCTTCATGAATGCTGCACTGGGGCATGGAGGATGAAGCCAGCGCCAAAAACACATCAATACTAGAGCTTGATGAGCCGGGCGCAAAGCCAAGTCGTGTGACATCGGAAGGCGGGAATAGGTAAAATCGCTTGGTGCCTTGAACCTGGCAGTAAATATTTGCCAGTACCATTTTTTGTAATGTTAATAACAGAGCAGTACAGTAGCGACATCAACCAGAATTAGTATATTGAGTCTCATGCCCGTCGTTTTTTTCATGTATACTCCCCATACATGCTCAACCGGCTGCCAGAATAGATGTCTTCGAGTCCAGGCGAAGGAGAAAGCTTACATCATAATGTAGCCACATATTGACTTGGCCAGAGATCCGTAAGACTGAGCTGAAGAGCCGTTTTTCGACAAAGCCCAACTGTGGAGGAAGAACGAAATCTTTTGCAATCGTAGGGAAATCAATGTCGAGTTTTGAGGGGGTGCCAAAAGGCTTATCCGCTGACAGAGCTCGTAAATACCACTTTTTTCCATCTTGCACACCATGAGCAAACTCCTTGAATATTTGCGTTTTGTACTGAAAATTCTTGGATAAAAAGTCCATGGATTGATCCGTCGATTCATGAACGACGACCTATCAAAAAAAAAAAAAGCACACAGGTAAAGCATATTAGCCATGGGTCTTCGGAGACTGGGTTTCATGAGCATAAGGAATATATCTTACCTTTCGTTCGGGGCCCACTCGTTCAGCCAGGTAGCTCAGGCTCCATTCCGTGAGACACCGCCCGAGATCGAGACGCTCAAAGACTACCGGCCGACCACCTTGAAGTATATTACTAAATTGCTCCGCTGAATTTAGTTCTATTCGAGGGATGCTGGAGATCGACGAGGTGTCCGTATAATGCAGTGACTCGCCGCAAATCGTTGATACCTCGTTTGTGATCGTCAGCGTCTTGAAATACCTCCACACAGGTCGTTCACAGGTCGAACCGTTAAACGAAGAGGGCGTGCGTATATCAAAAGTGTACACCCCACGATGCCACCTAGGCTCCGTATTGAAGCAAGAAGTGCCGCCTGTAATGATAGTGATCTGTGAGCCACCGACTGCGACTATAGAGGCCCCCACAAAGAAAGGTCTGGGGCTCTCTGGACCAAGTCCATGGGCAATGTTTAGGCATTCGTAAGTCTCGTCTTCCTCTCCGCAGGAACGGAATCGTACAATTTCTTGTTTTGGTGGTATTGCTCCTGTCGTGCCTACACCACCGACAATGAAAACCCAGTCACCAACACGAGTGCTTAAGGCAGCATATCTGGCAAGAAGCTGTGTCTGCCAGCGGCTGGCCATAGGCTCAAATTTAATTGTGGATTCTGTAACTTTCGATACATCCAATAACCACTTAAATGCTTCACGGGAGACGACTCCGTCGCTGGTCAATCCTCCGGCCAAAATGCCCCGAAACAAGGAGGGATTCGTGCCCAGGGCACCAGTGCACGATAGAATGCAGCAGGAAACAGCTGGGGGTTGCAGGGTCCCCTTCACTGAAGAGCGCACCCAACCTACGGTTGGGTGGTACACGAGGAGGTCAGAGTTGCCTGTCGTGGAGTCGAGCTTTCCGCCGGCTATCAGCACCAGTTTCGAATTCCCCAAGCGTTCAGCTGTGTGTCGAAACAGAGGAAATGGGAGGCAGTGCGTCTCGATCCACCGATTTGCGTCCTTCTTGAACACCCAGCAATCGTGAAATGGTGTAGCTGACGAGCCTTTACCGCCAACAAGAAGATAGCCGTAATCTCCGAGGTCTGTAAGGGTAAAATGGGATCGGCCCGCAGGTCCTCCTTGGGGTAAAGTAATGCGTGGCGACCTATCCAAGTTTTCGCTTTTGCTGTATAGGTCGCACGATCGGAGTTGACCTTCTTTCGCATAGCCAAACATATTGACTAAAACCTGTTCGCCCATAATGGTTTGGAGCATCATCGAGGCACCGAATCGTCTGGGAGACACGTCTCTTGTGTCGAGAGTATAGGAGACTGTGGCGTCGAAGGTAGACTTGATAAACCGCTCTCTGCAAATATCCGTGGCCTGGCTTTCTTGCAAGAACGTGTCTGGGCATAGAGTGGCGACACGTGCGTGAAGAACACAATAGTGGCTCGTAAGATAAACAAATTCTTCCCAGTTATCAAAAGCCTCGACCGTGTCAAGCTCTCGCCTTTGCAAAGGGGGCATGTGCAGAGGATCCGACCATGCACACCACCAGGATCGGGCCTTGGCGTCGGCCCAACCGAGAGCTTTGAAGCGCCCCTGTTGACTATTGATAGTTGGATAACGTTCCACGCTCTTGACTTGCATTTTGTCTTTGACCATATGCTGGAGTATCGCCTGAGCGAACGGAGACGAGGGTCCGTCTGGGAAAATATGCTCAAGGAGGCAAAACTCGGCGTCACCAATGGCACCCGTCCAGCGTATGAGTGCATCAACAGCGTCAACCTCCATATGGGCCATGGGCACCTCTGCAACAAAAAGAAATTCACTTCCATCGATATCAAGGACTCGTGAAAGGGCTTGGCCAATCTCAGACAAATTGTTCAAGTCGGAGGCAATTTGGCAGTATTGGTCGCTCTTAAGTAGAATGTGGGAGTCCTGAGGGAACTCCAGGGACGTCAGGGGCGCTAACAGCTCTGGGGTCTGCTTCACAATATCGCATTTTGACACCATTGTCTCTAGAGAGTCGATATCGACAAATGTGACGAATGAGCAGTGTCCAGAATGGCGGGCTAATGAGCGCCATGGAAGGGGGTCACTGGATTTAGGTTAGCAAAAGCAGCGAGGTATGATGTATTGGCGTTTGGATGGAATAATGGACGTAGAACAATATCTGACTTTCCACAACCAATATTCACAATGACTTTTGGTTTCCGCAATGGCCGTGCCAGAAACCGACTGATCGTGGTATCGACCAGGCGCATCCGCAGATAATAGAGGCGGTTGATCAACGTAGAGCGTCTTTGGAACTTCTTCACAAAGAAGCGGAAGTATTGGATTTCGTTAGGGAAGTATATCCGCTCAACATTCCGCTTAGAAACAAGGTCGAATGCATTTTTCTTAAGGACAGTATACAAATACGATGTCAGCAAGGCAGGCTCTTGTTTAGGTAGAAAAAGAAAAGAAAAAGGAAGGATAGACAGCGTTTCTTACATCCATTGTGCTAAGTTGCCTTCTATCGCAAGGTTTTCTGATAGTTTCTGATAGTCTGTTGTTTTAGAATTGTGACTGCAATGGTGGTAGTTTCTTCTTCCGTCCTTTTTTGACTAAATTGTGCGTGTACAGTTTCTGCTGTCTCTGTTCCAGTTCTTGTTTGAGAATACTTCAAACGATGTTTGGTCCTGACGGGGTGGCCTTGCCGATGGAGGAGGTTGTCTCCTCACGTGCGCCTTCTATTTCGGCCAGTTAACTGGCGCAGCGTATATACGGTCTTCCACTAAGTCCCACCTGTAGCCCATTTATGAGCCCCGCAGCCAGCCTTCCCAATTCTAATGGTGCATTACATCGCCCTGAAGCTCGTTTTCTCGACAATAGTAAGCTCTGGCACATCTTCCGTCTTCACCGCGGGCAACCTTGTGATATTGTTATCAACCAAACCCCATACAGCTCCGGTCCCCTCTATTGTGCCACTCTTCGTTTATCGCGGCGTCTTTGCCGTCGCAAACAGGCATCGCCTCTTTCGGCCAAAATGTCCGTCCCCGCGCTCAACTTTGTGACGTTCAACCAGGACCACAGCTGCCTGGCTGTGGGCACATCCAAGGGCTTCCGCATCTACCACACCGATCCCTTCTCGAAAATATTCAGCAGTTATGACGGTAGTGTGTCCATCATCGAAATGCTCTTTTCGACGTCACTCGTGGCCATGGTTCTGTCACCTCGGCATTTGGTGATTCAGAACACTAAAGTGAGTTATCTAACCTTTGGAGAAAAGATTATATAGCTGGTCGGTCTCTGACATGACACAGCGCGCCTCCGTCATATGCGAGCTTACATTTCCGTCTGCCGTTCTCGCCGTGCGGCTCAATCGGAAACGTCTCGCCGTCGTTCTTGAAGACGAGATTTACCTCTACGACATAGCGAACATGAGCCTCTTGTACACCATCGCAACATCTCCAAACCCCAGTGCCATATGTTGCCTTTCTCCATCCTCCGACAACTGCTATATCGCATACCCTCTCCCCAAACCCCGCGAGGACCGCGACGAGAAACGTCCTTCGCATGCTCCGCCACTGTCGTCATATATTGCTCCAACATCTGGCGAGGTCCTCATCTTTGACGCAATCACGCTTAAGGCCGTCAATGTCATTGAGGCTCATCGTTCACCCTTGTCCTGCATTGCAATCAACGGCGACGGCACGTTGTTGGCGACAGCGTCTGAGACTGGTACCATCATCCGCGTGTTCAGCGTCCCCAAGGGCCAGAAACTCTACCAGTTTCGCCGTGGCACATACCCGTCCACGATATACAGCATGTCCTTTAACCAGGACTCTTCCCTGTTGTGTGTTTCCTCAACGTCGGACACCGTTCATATTTTCCGCCTTGGGGGCCCACAAGGTACCCTGGGCGACGGCCTAGGAGGCGCACCCACCGGCGCAGCGGCTTATGCTGGTGTCACGGATTTTGGCTCATCACAACAAGGCCTCTGGGGCCGTTCGCGCAGCCACGACAGTTTTAACGAATCTCCCAGCAGTACTGCCGGCTCGCCGCAGAACGAGTCCTCCGATGTAGCTGGCAGCAGTGCCAACCGAGATGGAACCGTATCCGGACAAAGACGACAAAGCGGCTCGTTTGGAAGCATGTTACGAAGATCGTCCCAAATCATGGGCCGTAGCGTTGCAGGAGTCGTCGGTTCCTACCTTCCACAGACAGTAACTGAAATTTGGGAGCCACTACGAGACTTTGCGTTTATCAAAATCCCACGGTCTGGTGCAACAGCCACTCCATCCAAGGCGACTCCGTCAGGACCTTCTTTCAACACCGGCGCTGGGAGCTTGAACTATTCTGGTGGGCCACTACGAAGCGTGGTGGCGATGAGCAGCAACAGCCCCCAGATTATGGTTGTCACAAGCGACGGGGGATTCAATGTTTTCAATATCAATATGGAAACCGGCGGTGAAGGATATCTGGCTGACCATTTCTCGTAAGTGAACTTGGCACACACGAAGCAACGTGCCCAAGTTGATGTGCTAACGATCTACCGTTAGAATTTTGGACCGTGACGACAAGCTTGAGGCATCTGCCTATAGCGCATAACTTTTGGATGGAGTGCTTCCTCGTCCTGGAATTACGAATGCATATTCAGTTGGAGTTCGTTTGCTTGTTAAAGTAACTGCCTTTTCTTTTTCATCCTTTTTATACGCTTTTTCGCCTTGCTTCTCTTTATTTCTCTCCCGTCCCTGCCATTTCTGTTATTTTACCCCCAGTTACTCTGTCGCTCAACAAGCACGATAGTAGAGAACTGGGTTGCCCATCTTTCTTGCATTTTACCGGTGTTACCTCAAAATGGGCTTTTTGGGATTGGCTTCGTTTTGATGCCCTTTTTATGTTTTAAAGATTGGTTCCTTAAGAGCCGCTGAGTCTCCTTTTCGGTGAACATTGACATTTAATTTTAATAATCCTCAAAATCGGACAACGCGTTTTTCCTATTTCAACAAACAATCCGATTTCCATTCCATAGTAAGTATCCGTTGGGCGCCTTACTATTATCCATACGCGATATGTACCAGAAGAGGGAAATCATAAATCAAACCACATTCTCAAAGCAAAAGCAAACCGAGAAACTCGTCATAACACATAAACCGTAATAGTTTTGGAATCAAAACGCTGGACAGCACCGCACCAATCATGTCTTCTTCTGCCACAATATTCTTGGCATGCTCCTTGCCCATATCTTGCATAAAATAGTAGTGAAAAGCAAGTTTCATCGAACGTAAGGCTGGTTCATCAGTGCCACCTCGCGTGCGATTTCGCCCCATTCGAGCTCTCTCCTGATACCAGCTTTGCAACTGTGGGCAGTGGTGTCACCTATCATCTGGTTCTGCCGAAGCATTTCCTCCCATTTGAGAAGCTCGTAGGCAAACCGGAGATGCGGCTGGATTATGACGTTCAAGCGTCGTGCACGCACAAAACAATATGCTCTAGGCAACGACAGCTTCATTGACCGCATGACTTCTGCGATACAAATCGTTGCACTTCTCGATACGCCAACGCGGCAGTGAACAAGCGTTGCGGTGCCCTTTCTGCGCCCTTGTTCTAAATTGGTATAAATTTTCAGTATAAAGTTCGATGGAGGTTGAATCATTCTGGATCTGTATATCCAGAGAAAATAAGAAAGACTCACGTATAAATTCGAGGCAACGATCAAACTCATCAGTTAGTGGATCGATTCCGTTGTCCTGCACACCTTGTACAACACAAACATTCTCTTCGCCCCAGGCTTCCAGGTCGTCATCCCGCCACATGGCCATCTCCCCGACGCTCAAGATTTGAGTTATGCCCAATGCCTTGAGGAGATCGGGGTTGTTTGCATGGTTAAGGTTTCCGAGGTACATGTAGTCTAGCACTCTGCTGGGAAACGACCCATCTAGTGCTGAGAACCATTTTGGTTGGTTTTGAAGCGAGGCTGTAATGGAATCAAGGTCTGTTTCTGCGCATAGGGGTGACTCGCATAATAACCGTGACGAAAGTGCAGTCAGAAGAGCCACATCCGTTGGATAAGCGAAAAAATTTCGTTTCTTCGTTGTGTGGAGACTGAGCCAGGCATCGTGGATCGGGCGGCCAGTGCTATAACTGAAATAGGCAAGGCCTAGCATACTTGATTCCGTGTAGCCATCTGCACAGTGAATAAGGATCTTTTTCGGTTGAGTTGCAGCTATAGCTGGTGACTCCTCTGCTTCGTCTGCCAGAGTGATATCGTGGCCGTCGTCAACGGGAGCGTTTGAAACATCCGTAAGAGCTGCAAACAGGGATGGATTTGCTGTTCCATGAGCCAAGTGGTATATCCACTTGCAAGACTCGAGGATTGCATCTGCTTCGATTTGTGACCATGTTGGGGGCAAGATGGTTCCCGATGATGGGAAGTCGAGATGTATCCTCTTTCCTGATGGAATGCCTGTTTCTGCCAAAGCACGAAGTGCACGAGGATTCAAGTGTCCCAGGTCGCTGCACTCGATCAAAACGTCGTACGAGGTTTCCTCTTCCGAATTCGGTTCGGGTGTCGGTCCGAGCCAGACATTATGTGAAATTTCGGAAGCTACCGTCATGGCATACATTTCCGAACGCTCCTGGTGGAAGAAGTCAATGACGTTGCCAGTGATGTGTCCTTCCGAATCGGCGGACACTATGTGAGGATAAAATTCCTCAAAGATGGAAAAGTCGCCTGTACAGGCAAATGTGTTGTATCTGGGGAGAGCAATTCCCTCGATGTCATGTTTGTCTCGCCAGGTTTTCTGGGCAGCAGCAATTCTCCAAGCCAATTTCCGAACAGCAGCGCTGTCGTCGCCATACACAATGATATCTGAGGTCATGGCGGTCTTGGCTGCCTGGATCTGAAAGTTCCGCACAGAGAAACCTTCTTTAGGGTCCGGGTCAAGAAACTCGGCAGCGGTGCCCGGCTGTAGAAACTCGCCGGGTGCAATGGCGCCTTTTAGGCGAGCGACTTGGAGTTGACCATCGGCCTTGACAATTGTCAGCCCGCGCAGACAGCAGGGCGTTTTTCGCATCACACGGCGGCGTTGAAAGAAAAACGCTTGTTGCATGTGGTTAACTGGATGGAGGCCGTGAAACCAAGGGAAGACAAGCGAAGGGTCTGGTAGCGGCTGGCGTGCAATATAGTCTACAGCTGCAGCGACGCCAGTTGGATCAATGTCGTATATCGCTAACCCGTCATTCTCAAAGCGAGGGTAATGGTCTGGGGGGAAGAGAAGGGACTGCCGGTAGGGACTGGACTCGTCTGGCGGTGGAGACGGCGACGGTGTCGTTGAAACAACCGGCGGACCCGGCGGGCAGACGGGTATGTGCTTGTTCGGTACTGGGCCTGCTGGCAGCGGATTGGGCTGGGCTGCTTGCCCATTCAGTGTATCGACGTCAATGTTGATAGACGAGCTCAAGGGCGGCATGCTGGAAGAGGCGCGGTGCGGCGGCATCGGCCGGGTTAGAGCGATAGTAGCCATGCCGGGCTTGTCAGAGAAGGGTATATTAAGACGAAACAATGGGCGCAGAGAGAAGCAAAGACGAAAAGGCACCAAATGAAGACAACGGTCGAGGTCGTCCACGAGGAGTAGGGGAGGGTACAGCGAAATAGTAACGATAGGCTAGGTGATAAAAGCGCAGAGAGTTGGAAAGGGAAGGCGGAAAGGGTATTTGGACAGCTTGGCAGGTTGGGAGGAGGACACAAGACGTGATAAAACGGGAAGGACGTGTCAACGGTCGCCGTTGCTACCAAAAAAGTAAGCGTGTATTCAACGACCGCGTTTATTGAGACGTATTATGAAGAAGTCATGAGGTATGCGCGCATGTTCAATCCGATGTCTTTGAAACACGACTAAGATGGATGTTCGAAGGCTGATGATAAGGGACGAGTAAACACGATTTACATGTATGATGTTCAAGGCAGCAAATGGCGATATGGAGAAAAAGCAATGAATGGTGCATGGGAATGAAGAACATACTCAACCGGTTTCCTGAAAGTCGGGAGGGAATGTCTCAAAGTACATCCCTCTTCTGGGCGGGGGCGATAATATTGAGACGAAAGACGGTAGATGGTAACAAGAAATGCAATTGGCGGCGACCGGTGGCGGCTACAATGCTCAGAGGTGTCGAGTATGTATAAAAGAGGTGTAAAAGTCCGCAGGAGACCAAAAAAAAGAAGCCGGGTCGTGGGAAACGACAAAGGTGAGGAGCAGGTCTAGCTTGGGCGGCTGCGGCACGAGACAGGGAGGAGAGTGAAACAAGAAAGAGAAGGAGAACGAGAGGAGCCGATACAGCACCAGTAGAGGCGTATCAATGCTACACAGACGAGAAGATGGGTGGCCGGGGAGCACTGGGGCACCGCTGTGGAACAGACGACGATGGCGACGAGGGCGATAGCGATAAACACAGTGGACCGACAAATGGAAACTGTGCCCGCATGGTTTGGAGTGCTAATCTTCTGATTGAAATGAATGGAGGACGATGGCGAAAATAGGAAACAGCAAGGAAGAAGGAAAGAGAGAATCTGGCGGGTTGATCGAAGACTTGAAAAGATAGAGCATAGAAGAGCGCAAGGCAAAAGGCAATGCAAGCTAGACGCGGCGGCGTGGGCGAGCGATGGTGACACGATAGAGGGTAGTAAATGGACGTACACACAGCACGATAAGGCTGAGATGGACCCAACTCGAGCGGCCTGGTGGCTGTCGATGGATGGGGTGACATATAGTGGATGGCAAGACAGGGCACGAGAAGGTGTTAGGATGATAACAACGCGCGTCGAGTGATAGTATTGTGAATGATGCGAACGATGCGAATGTTGTGAGGCGTAAGTGCAACAGACGACAGTGGCGTAGACGAAAATGCAAGACAACAGGGCACTCGATCAGCTGGACCGCCCAATTCAGTAATTCTTGAACGGCGACCAAGGCTGAGAATGCAATGAGAGAGATACCAGCACCAGAAACGCTCAGCTGGTCGCAAGGGAGGCTCAAGCCCAGAACAAATGGAGGCCTGGCCACCCCTGATAAGAGCACCAGTCAGTGTTGGCGAATCACAACTGTGGGTGCGTGGCGGTTGGCTGCACCAGCCTGCAGCGTGCGGGGTTTTTGTGCAGATCAGCCAATAGTTCGCCGCCACTGAGATCCACTGCAAAAGGCCCCGCTTCTGCGGCGGTTAAGGTCTTGGGGAAGGGCAGGATGGCGTATCTTGGCCGAGCCTCGCACACAGATGAGACCATCGGTCGCGTTTGTCACTCGAGTTTGGAATATGCATCTGCTCTTTCGACAAGTGTTATGCGGTGCTGATTGCTCTAGAGTATAGACAGGATGGTAACGTTATTATTCGAAGGGCGTTTTGATTTGCTTCCAGGAGTTTATACCCGTAAGCATTGCCAGTATCTTTTGAACCCTAGCGTCGTCTGTTTGTTTAGCATGATAATCAAGTAGCCACATATATGGAGCGCGTCGCTTATAAAAGGATATACGTCGTAAGATACAACCAGTGCATGCGGAATGAAATGAATCTTGAGGCAAGAACCAAAACACCTGGCGCGGATACCACGCCCTGTCGGGCTACATCCAAACAAAGTAAGATGCACCTGCTTTAGCTGCTCGGCGCTGTAGCAGAAGCAGATGGGACATTTTTAAGTTACGGCCACCCCCGCGAGCAGGGGGATATTGGGTCAAACAATTCATGGAATTCATTGCGTGTGAGCTTCTTACTTACTACATCGTACATATCTTATGGGGCACAAAGTCCAGGACCCCCCTGTCAAACAGTAGTCACGACCCGGTCAGATGGAGAGAGGCCAGGCCAGGCCCACCTTCCCCATACCAGGTTTGATAACGCCGCTATCTTTGCGCATCTGTTGAACCTATTTTCGGAAGGCTGTCATTGTCATCAGCGGCTCCACCCCTAACCCAAAACCTTAGGCAGCGATTGAAAACCCGTGTTAGAAGCTTACAATTACGAAGTACTGGCTCCTGCATGTTCAGGGCCTGCCCACTTGTGTCAGCAAACGTCACGACCTTTCCTGGCCCCAACTGCGACCGGCATAACCCTTTCTGTCCCTCCCCGCCCTCGCCGTCACCGAAACCATGCGGCCATCCACGGACTTCCAGGGCGTGCCGCCGTCTTCTTCAGATGTGCGGCACCTCTCACTGCGCGGCCTCGCGGTCGGCCTTGGCGTCGGCCTTGTTATATGTTGCTCGAACATGTACTTTGGGCTGCAGACGGGATTCGTGAGCACCATGTCGCTGCCGTCGAGTTTGCTCGGGTTTGGTATTTTCAAGGCGCTCTCGCGACACCTATCCTACCCATTTTCGCCCGTCGAAAATGTTCTAGTTCAGACAGTGGCTGGCAGCATGGCAATTGCTCCGCTTGGCTCCGGCTTTGTTGGCGTGCTGCCGGCTATGAATTACCTCATGAACGCAGATGAGATGGGGCCGATCAAGCTGTCACTGTTCAAAATGATAATGTGGTCGCTTGGACTCTGTTACTTCGGTGTACTGTTCGCCGTTCCACTGTATGGCCGTGTCTGCACTCCCTTCGCTCAGCCACTTTTGACCCAATACTAATCCGTCAAACCGGTGTGATTTTGCCTTCAGTCGGCGCCAGGTCATTATACGTGAGAAGCTGAAGTTTCCCAGTGGCTTTGGTGCCGCCGTCCTGATTGGTGTTCTACATGGGCGTAAGCCGAACCTCGACGGAAGCAAAATTCCCTCGGAATTTGCAAGCCTTGCTGGTGAAGACACTGTCCCGGCCCCGGCCCCGGCCCCAACGCAAGCCATTTCTTCACCTATTGCGGCTGGCTCTAGAGCTGACGATATTACGATTGGCAACAATCCTGTCTCCGAACTCGAGATACGCCGTCGTGAGGAGTGGCGGGCCAACCTACGCCTCCTCCTCGTATGCTTTCTTATTTCCGGACTTTTTACCCTTGCCACATACTTCTTTCCTGCTATCCGGGACGTGCCCATATTTGGGTCGACAGCCGCTGCCACGTGGCTCTGGACTTTCAACCCGAGCCTTGCCTACATTGGCCAGGGCGTTATCATGGGTCCGGCAACCACTATGCATATGCTTTTAGGGGCTATAATGGGCTGGGCGGTCTTGTCTCCTCTGGCAAAGTACCGCGGCTGGGCACCTGGTCCCACAGAGGATTGGGAGACGGGCAGCAAGGGATGGATTGTATGGATTTCCATTGCCATTATGCTGGCCGACGGCATTGTCAGTCTCGGTCATGTTGCCATTCGTTCTGCTCTTCAGTTTCAACCTGAGGTGCATGCAGCCATTGCAAGTCGACTGCCCTCGAGTATTTCCCAGTGGCCTTTTCAGAATAAACTTACCTCTGGCTACACAGCCATTCGAGGCTCAGATACTATACCGGAGGAGGTGTCGATACCGACGAGTCCCCTCTCTGAATTCACAACGTCTGTAGCTGGCCCAAGCGACGAAAACGAAGACGAACACCAAGGAAGTATCGACGGACAGCCCGACGATGACATCCTAGAAAGGGACGCCCCACCAGATCAACAAATTGGTGTGAAGACAGTTGCGATTGGCCTGGTTCTGTCTATTGTCTTCTGTGTTGCTTGTATTCGCATTACTTTTGGCACACTTGTGCCTTTCTATGCGACCATAATTTCTATAACGATGGCACTCGTTCTCAGTGTCATGGGCGTCAGGGCCCTCGGCGAGGTGAGATAGGCCACATCATGACTTCATTTCCCTCTTCATCTGCTCAATCTGGTCTTTTTTTCTCTAACACAATTTAGACGGATCTAAATCCTGTTTCTGGCATTTCCAAACTCACTCAGCTTTTCTTCGCGTTGATCATTCCAAGGTCACACAAAAGCAGTGTTCTTATTAACCTTGTCGCAGGTGCCGTGTCCGAAGCTGTAAGCTAAATAATTGATAATCCTCAAACGGCATTATTACTTGCCGCACAACTTACAGCAAACACTTTTCTGACATTGTACAGGGTGCTCTACAAGCAGGTGAGCTGATGCAAGACCTTAAAACCGGTCATCTCATTGGTGCCGCACCGATGGCACAGTTTTGGGGCCAGGTTATTGGAACAAGTGTTGGCGCAGTTGTCAGTGCTTTCTTGTATAAGCTTTACACATCGTCAGTTTATTAACCACCCGTCATTATTCCCATTGCCTCCCCTCGAGCCGTGTTTTTGTAATACCCTCTGGGCTGTTCTATGGATATCCGCTAACAATTTTCGCAGAGCGTACGAGATTCCCTCCAATCTTTTTCAGATACCGACCGGTTATGTGTGGATCTTTACCGCACGCCTTGTGACAGGCAAGGGCCTTCCCGCGCTGGCCGGCGAGTGGGCTATTGGCTCTGCTCTTTTTTTCGCGGCGATTACATTCTTGAGAATACGGACTGCCGAAAAATCATGGCATGCCTACATCCCTGGCGGAATCGCTGTCGCTGTCGGTACGAAACTGTTGTGTGGTGGCGCACCTTTATCTCTCCGAACCCCCCCCCTCTGTTTCCCTTTGTATATATGTGTGCGTGAAGGTGTCAAGTTCTGACGCATTTGATAGGCATGTACAACGTGCCATCGTTCACACTGGCCCGTAGCGTGGGCGGGTTGATCGCTCTATATTGGAGAATTTCTGGCCGCAACGAAACAAGAGCCATTGTGCTTGCGTCAGTAGGTCCTTTTACACCCTATGTTGGTTAGCGGTTGGCTTTTCATGACGACGTGTGCATTCTAATGACCAACTTTTAGGGATTCATCCTCGGCGAAGGCGTCTTCAGCGTTGTGAATCTGTTCTTACAAACGGCAGGTGTTCCTCATCGATAAGGATAACAAATACGAGTGTTTAGGCTTCATCGAATTGTAATCCGAGCGTGAATTCCAGGACATGTTGAAGCTCTTACTCTGAAAGAATCCTCAGGCCCCTATTCAATGACAACTCCCACTTGCGAGGCCAGTATTAATACCTAATCCATGATAAGAGTTATAGTACAGCGAATGATATGGGAGCTTGATTTGTAAATTTGCTTTTCTTTAGATACAAATATTCTATATCGTGTGTCAAACAAAATCGAAGGTTCAAGCTTTTTACAAAATCCGTTAAATCATTATTTTGTCCACTTGTCAGGACCGTAGTCAACGTGTGCTAGAAACGCAGTCCAAGATGATTCGTTATCTCAATGACCACGATTGCTGCTGCTCTTTCGCATCCCGCGTCCACATGACACGCAACGTTAAGGCGCGTGGGTTGTCGTCCGCCGTAAGAAATGAGAGCTCACCATTTATGGCGCGGCCGTCTGCCGCTGTTAAAAGCTTGGAGTGTGCCTTGTTCAAAAGCAAACACTGCATCCAGTGGGTCGCTTTACCAAACGGCCCCGTTGTGAAGGCGACGCGTTGTTTCCCTGCACCGATCCATTTCTGGGAACTGGCGTCGACAGGCTCTATCTGCACCGTGCGAGATGTGCCAAAGTAGATGTCAAACCAGACCAAGAATCCGTCCAGGGACTCGGCGTCTTTGAAAAGCTCCGATTTCCAGCTCGCGGTGAAGACGAGGTCCTCAACCTGGATGGTATGGAGGTCAAGATGCTTAAACATACTCGTCGTGCCTGCGATGGTCTTTTCCGGCATAACCAGCATCCGGGCATCGTTATAAATGCCTACCTGCATGGCCTTCATATCAAAGCCGTACACGTCTCTCCAAAACGTGATGTTGTCGCAAATGTACTCCGAGTCGCTGACTGGGGCCAAAAATAGAGAGGCGTGACTGGGCACCAGCAAGCCGTCCGGTTTCAAATACTTGTCGCGGGCGTAGAGGACACTCGGCAGCATAGCCTCGTACAGCAAAGCATATCCCATCCACTCACTGACGATGACATCCACCTTGTCGACGGGCAACGTCACCTCCTCGATAAGGCCCTTGAGGCAAGTTACCTGGTTAGCCAGGCCGTTGTGGAAGATGTTCTCTCGCGCCTTGTCGATAATTTCCGATCTATCCACTGCGACGACGAGTTTCGCACCAGCCTTGGCACAAAACATGCTCAAAATACCTGACGCAGGGCAAAAAGGTTAGAAAACAGAAATGAGAGAGCAACTCGGAATGGAGGAAAGTCATGAGAAACAGCCCAGAGGATATCATAATCCATACATGGGCCGCCTTTGCATACCTGTACCGCAGCCGATATCAAGTACTGTTTTTCCGGCGAATAAATCCTTGTTTGTATATATGAAATCGCGGTACGCGTCCGTCCTGATCGTATCCTTGAGCATGGTTTCATGAATGTCTACAAATTCGTACAGTGCGGTCAGCAGGGGCACACATTGGCAGAATGTTGTGCGCGCCGTCCCGTGAAGGGAAGTGGGTTTTTACCGCTGTGGGAGTAGGATTCGAAGTAGTAGTCCGTGCCTCCCGAGGAGGGCACTTCGCCTTCACATCTCTTCTGTGACTCCGAGGTCGCCTTCGCGTTGTCAGGTGTGTTAAATAGCTTCGCGACATTGGCACCCTTTTGCGTATCCTCGTCCATGCCCCAGCGCTGGTCAAGAGTCTTCTGGACGGCCAACCGGTAGTTCTCGAACTGTTTGGCCAAGCTTTCTAACTCGGACTGGAGTTGGTCATTTTTTTTCTGAAGATTGGTCGCCGCCGTTGTCTCAGAGTCGGCGGCGTTTTGTTTTTCACCTGCGACAGGTCGATCCTGGGATTCCGGTAGACTGTCCAGGGCTAGGATAAGGGCATCATCCTCAAGAACGGGCCGGAGATACACGTCGCTGGAAAAGTCTTCCTCTGAAATCTCGGCTGGGAGAGCAGCCTTGTCGTACACCCGCTGGCGAACTGTAAACACAGTTAGGATATCTCCTTGACGAACCCTCGTCCTTTTTGTTGGGCCTCGACCAGACTCACTGTAATTGATGAGTTTCACACTGCCGTAAAAGTCAAGACCCAGCCGATTGCGGATGGCTAGAAAGTCAAAGTTGTGCTCTTCCTTGCAGTGGGCGATCATGGAAGCAGCATCTTGGAACACACGGTCGTCTAGTAGTGAGATAACTAACTGAGGTTCCTCGTCATCCTCGGGGTTGGCGTCGAGCCACCCTTCTTCGTCCGAAGACTCGGAGCTGCTCTGGAACTCACGCTCCGACATTGTGCGTATATGAATTTATGAGAAATAGCCTGAAGCAAGAATTTATAGGAAAGGTAATATGTGGGCAACGGCTACTGGCTTGCCTGACTTTATCGCAGTTTGCAAATTTACTTATGTACTTTTTGAGCTCTTTGTGGGGAAAGGCTTGAATTTTCTTTTTTGTGAGCGAAGTAGCCAAACAGCATGCAGCCCGCCACTAGCGTCTCGACCTTCATGTATTCTGCTGCAACTTATTCCCCACCAATCTCTCTCCCTCCCTCCTTTTTTTTTTTGGAAAGCTTCTCGCCTCCCGTCCAGTCTTGGATGTCGGGGCTTTGAAATAAAAGCTTACCAAGGTACACCGGTCTTCCCAGGCTTATATTCTGAATTTTTATGTGTGATTCTCCATGTAGCGTCTAGTGATCACGTCACTTCCTATCAATTATTATTAAAGCGCATGGTACTTCGAATACAAGTATCTCAAATTATCTCAGTCAACGTCATCGTCCTTGTGGTCGTCATCTTCGTCCTCACCCTCATCCTCGTCCTCGTCTTCATCCTCGTCCTCATAGCCATCCTCATCATCGGATAATGACTCGCCATGTTGGCGTAAACGAGCCTGCAGTGAACAAGAAATAATGTCAGCGGTCAGCAGTCTATCATGGACTTGACTGAACACAGCAGAAAGGCAGAGCGATTCTTTGCAAGTCATGACAATAATAGTCAACGCACCTTGTAGCCTGCCGACTTTTCTTCGAGGTCAGCAAATACCATTAATAAGTCATCCAACTCGGTTTGCGTCGCCTTCTTTTCTTCACGGGTTGCTTGTAGTGCGTCTTCCGCCTAAAATTTCATTAGACATGTACAGTTGGAGTGTTAAAAGTGGAAGCCGCGCCCAGATGTGTGGGATGGTGGGAACGTACTTCTTTAAGCCTTTTCTCGGCGGCTTGCAGCTTCTCGCGGGTCTTAACAACGTCCTTTTCAGCGGCCTGCAGCTTCTCACGAGTGTTCATGTTATCCTCTTCAGCGGCCTCAATTATTTCCCGAAGCTCAGCTTCTTGTATGCTCGCTGCGGCCAGTTTGGTCTCGAGGTCTTTGACTTTCCTCCTTAACTCGGCGGCTACAGTCTCCATATCGTTTTTCTGCACGTTGAACTTATCGTGAGCAGCCTGAAGCTCTTGTGATTTGCTCTTGTTTGACTAACCAAATTGTCAGTTTCCAGGTTGTTGTAGATAACACATCTTCCACCTTGCCAGATATTGGCAATGCAGTGACAAACCTTTAACAAATCCACTTCCAACCGGCTCCCCGTTGCTCGAAGATCTGCCAATTGCGCCTCGAGCCGACGTTGCACGCGTGCCATCTCGGCCTGTGAGGCCTTTTGCGCTTCCTCCATTTGACGCACCAGGTCAGCCCGGCTTGTCTGGTGCTCTATGCGAGCTTGTCTGCAAGATGGAAGTTGAGGAAAATAGTTAGCTTCTGCAAGCTCGTTCCAAGAAATCTTTCGAGGCAGCTATCGCCAGCACTTACCGTAAGATTTCCTCATGCTTACGAACAGCCATATCATGTGCCGCTCTGGCTTTGCCAAGGTCAGAGAACGCTTCATCCTTCGATTTCTTGTGTTCTGCCCTCTCTTGGCCGAGAGCAATTTCCAGGGCGGATATTCTATCTTGGGCTTCGCGCAGTGTTCGGTCCTTATCCCCAAGTTCAGCACGCAGAGAGTCAACCAACTCACGAGAGATGCCCTGTTGAACTCCGTTCGACACAAACGAAATTTCCATGTTTGGGTCTTTATCAATGGCGCGCAGCAGCCTGCTGTAATTGTCTTTGAAAAAGTCGACAAAAGCGCCATCAAAAAACACATTGGGAAGCTTCTCGTCTGTCTGCGGATCCAGCCTTTGGGGTATTACCTCGAAATCACGAAGTTGTGAGTACGCTCGGAGAGTATTGAGCTTGTTGATGTACCGATCGCGGCCCATTCTCGACATCAAAATCTCGTGCAGCTTTTTCCTCGGAATTGACGAGTCCTTGGTGGAAAACTCATAGAGAACACCCAAGAGTAGAGCCGCAAGCCCTTGAATAGCAACCTCGTTGCTGGTGTTTTTGACCACCGCTTGGATCAATCCTTGTAGATTGCTCCCTTCCCCTAGAAAGTCATTGACACCCTCCAAGTCCTCGAAGAGCCATGAAAGCAGTAGCATCAAGTAGCCAATCACAACACGCTCATCGTCTCCCCTGTTCACACTGCTTAAAAGGTGTGCCGCAATAGTTTGTATGCTAGTGACAACTTCCTCGCCACTTGCCTCATCTCCCTCTGTCACAGCCATCACAAGAGCCTTGGCTCTTGGATTTTCGTTAACCAGGTGAAACATAATCACTGACGCAAACCAGTTGCGATAGGGATCGCTGGACGAAGAATCTGCCGGGGATCGCAGTAGTGTCGTTAATACATTGGCTGTCTCGTCAGCACCTGAATTGTGCCCGTCAATAGCTCGCTGCAAAAAGTGCAGTCGAGCAACCTCATGATTAAAGAAGTATGCTTTAAGACATTCACAAGCAGCCATTCGGACATCGAAAAACTGCGGCGAGGGCACACCCAAAGTTAAGTCAAGAAGACCGTCGATCACATACACCTCAGTGTGAGTGCCATTTGCATGTGCTTTTTCGTCGCTTGCTTTTGAGGCTGCGTGGTTGTTGTTTGTTGTTGGCGATGGGACGCGGAGTTGCGCAAAATTCTCTTGAAGAGTAGCATTTCCTCGAATAACTGCCGCGCATGTCGACAATGCCTAAACAAAATTTAAACTGTCAGCTGGGCTTGGCCATGGACATCGACCAGCAGGGATGGCTCTTACGCCGGTGCATGGGTGAACTCACCTCTGCACGAATTTGGTTCTCGAAGTAATCGTTGAAAGACAGCTGTAAGGCATGGTATAGAACCCCGTGCCGCCAAAACTCGGTCTGGTTCTGTACGATTCCAGTAGCACCTTGAACGAGGAATAGCCGGATCACGGCCAGTAAAGCGTATATATTTCGGTTCCGTTGTGCCAATGTCCAGTCTGCCAGCTCGCCGTCCAGGTCATTCGGAGACCCAACATCTTTCAGAAGTCGCGCAAGCTGGGCTGTGCAAAGAGATTCTCGAAACAGCGTCTGATTGTGTGCGTTGAGCCGGAGAAGGTTGGCTAGCAGAATAAGACAGTCTTCGACAGCCCTGCCGCCATCCAAGACGGCTCCTTCTTCCTCGATAATTTTGAAGAGTCGCTCAAATGCATTCTCGAATGCAACAAGTTTTTGAATCTCCGTCGAAGTTGGCGTCAGATATGTTAGCAACGCAATTGCTTCGTTGCGTATCACATCGCGCTGGTCGTCTAGAATGGCAACGAGTCGCGAGATTCCGAGAGGAGCAGTGAAAATACACTCTTCGGTTCGGTCGGTTCGGGCGGCTAGGATAGCCGAAAGAAGCTGCAAGCAGTAAAGTCGCGAGTAGAAATCGCTAGTCTCGAGGAAGTCTAGGAGCAACGTGATGTTTTCGAGCCTCTGTGTGAATTCGTCTGCAAGCCAAAGAGCAATATCGTCTGATGCTTCTAGGCTGGTTTCATTCGGGTTGAAAAGCATCAGCAAGGTCTCAAGGACCACCTTGACCGTATCTACATCCTCGCCATCTTTTGAAAGACTTCCGATCAAGCTGCGCAAGGCTCCAGAAGCTACTGATGCCGGATACTCTTTCGCAAAGCTCCGAAGGCCTAAAATCGCAGCTCGTCGGTCTTCCAAAAGAGTCGCCGAACTTAATCGGCCGCTTAAAACAGATATTGTTTCACCGACCGATTGCTTGGCCGGAGCAGTGGCAATAGAGAACATGGCGGTAGCGACAATGACAGCGAAGCGAGGCGTCCAAGACGCGGTTGCCTTGTCAAGGTTGGGTTTGTTGCACGCTTCAGCCAGATCACGGCTGTACTTCCATCCCAGTGCTTTTTTGTCTGCTAAAATCTGCCAATTCCATTCCCATTTGGGGAGGATTATTGTCGGTGCCCGAATAGCCTTGCCGCAGTTGTCGTGGCTGTGAAAGAGTCTTGTGATTACTAGCTTCGTGGTGTTTGCTGCTTAGAGTCATATCCATTATTTAATTTAGATTTTTGGCATGTGTATTACGGAGTATTGCTCGTAGGACATACGATCGAACGAAACATTCATTTGCGGCAGAGCTGTGTAGTGCCCCGATAAAACGATTCTTATCATAGAAAATCGTTTTTAGTCATATCATGCTAGCCAGTGGCTTAGTCACTACAGCATAACGGTGCGCGACCCGAAAATTCAAAGGCAGTCAACGACGCGATACATGATGCCTTCGAAAGCCTGAACGTTTTAGGCATTTTATCAAACCCAGAACATCACGACAACAGGACGTGGCTTTCGGTTTCAAGCAACTCATTTCGTTGCCATCGCTTTTCCTCGAGGAGGCTCCACAAAAGTTACGAGGACAAAGACAAAGACGGCAGTTGCGATATCTTTCACTTTCTTTCGACACTCTTTGGACAAAGCTGTGACCGCACGACGCGACCTTTCTGCACAGTCTGCAACTTCTCGTAACTAAGAAAATCTATTCGAACTACGATCCCGATAATACACCATCCCCCAATTGTTAGGAAGCAACGACATAATCACCAATGGTCCAAACCAGCGATTCATCAAAGCAATACCTTGTGTTGACACGCCACGAACAGTATTGCGGTGTGCGGTACAACAATATTAGTTCCAATCCCTCATTTATATTACCGACAACCCCACCCCGCCCATATCTAAGAATGGGTATCCCGGCTGCGTTCCGATGGCTCTCGAGCAAATACCCGAAGATCATCTCCCCAGTGGTAGAAGAAACACCGAAAGAAATGGACGACGGTGTCATTATACCCGTCGATACAACGGGGCCGAACCCGAACGGGGATGAATTCGACAACCTCTATTTGGACATGAACGGCATCGTGCACCCTTGCTCTCATCCAGAAGACCGCCCCCCGCCAGCAGATGAAGAAGAGATGATGTTGGAAATTTTCAAATACACAGACCGGGTCGTCAATATGGTCCGGCCCCGCAAGTTGTTGATGATTGCCGTCGGTACGTTTAATCTACAGGCCCATATGTTCCTTTTACTTGATATAGAGATCTAACTTATGTGTTTCATCCAGACGGCGTTGCACCTCGCGCCAAGATGAATCAGCAGCGCTCGCGTCGTTTTCGGTCCGCCCAGGAGGCAAAGGAAAAGGAAGAGGACAAGGAGGAGCTTTTGAAACTACTCAAACAGCAAAACGGTGGTAGCCTGTCTGAAGCGTCTCTCGAAGTCGTGTCTAAAAAGGCGTTCGACTCGAACTCTATCACACCGGGTACCCCTTTCATGGACATTTTGGCTGCCAGCCTACGATACTGGTGCGCCTACAAGCTGAACACAGATCCGGGTTGGTCCAAGATGAAAATCATCATCTCGGATGCAAGCGTGCCAGGTGAGGGTGAGCACAAAATTATGGACTTTGTTCGCGCTCAGCGGGCGTCACCCAGCCACGATCCAAATACTCGTCATGTCATATATGGGTTGGATGCGGATCTCATCATGCTAAGCCTCGCCACACACGAACCGTACTTTCGAGTTTTACGGGAAGACGTCTTTTTCCAGGACAGCAAGGCGCGTCTTTGTAAACTTTGTGGACAAAAGGGCCACGAAGCAAGCGCATGCAGGGGCCAGGCGAAGGAAAAAGATGGCGAGTTTGACGAAAAAGATACCTCACACACTCAGAAGCCGTTCATCTGGCTTCATGTATCTGTTTTGCGAGAATATCTCGCTGTCGAACTTGATGTTCCCAATCTTCCCTTCCGATGGGATTTGGAGCGAGCCATTGACGACTGGATTTTCTTGTGCTGTTTCGTGGGCAATGATTTCCTTCCCCATCTTCCTGCGCTTGAAATCCGCGAGAACGGCATTAATACACTCACGGCGCTTTGGAAAGAGAACTTACCGCTCATGAACGGCTATATTACAAAAGACGGGCATGTCGATTTGAGACGCGCTCAAGTCATCATGAGCGGACTTGCCAAACAGGAGGACAGTATATTCCGGCGCAGAAAACAACAAGAAGATCGAAGAGAAGAGAACAACAAACGACGCAAACTTCACCAAGAACAAGGGATGAACCGCAACGACACTCGTAACACAGCCCGAAGCTTGGGGGGTGATAGTGTCTTTGCAGAAGGCACCGCCGGCTTGAATTTGCGCCCTATTGCAACTTTCACACCCGAAACCTCAAAGACTATCACTCACGACGTGGTCGTGAACGGTAGACCAGCAACCGATGCGAACGTAGCGAACAAAAGCGCCGCCAGCGTTCTGAAGAGCCGCATGCAAAATCGTACCGCGCAGACTACGACCAATACAAACGGTACTGCTGCATCTACAAATGAGAAAGACGCAGATCAACGGACCGCCCTTGGTAAACGCAAGGCCGGTGACATTGAAGATAGCGTCAAGAGCACTCCGCAATCCAGTGAGACGAGTACGCCGGCCACGAAGCTGTCTGTGGAAGGGTCTGTGGATACTGTTCGGATGTGGGAAGAAGGTTATGCAGACCGTTACTACGAGCAGAAGTTTCAGGTCGACCCAAAAGACATTGAGTTCCGCCACGGCGTTGCTCGCGCCTATGTGGAAGGCCTAGCCTGGGTTCTTTTGTACTATTTCCAGGGATGCCCGTCTTGGGAATGGTACTATCCCTATCATTACGCACCATTCGCTGCCGACTTTGTGGATCTGTCCAGGCTGGAGCTTCACTTCGAGAAGGGCCGCATCTCGAAACCATTCGAGCAACTCATGAGCGTTCTTCCAGCAGCCTCTCGCCATGCCATCCCTGAAGTTTTCCACGACCTCATGCTGAACGAAGACAGCGAAATCATCGATTTCTATCCAGAAGAATTCGACCTCGATCTCAATGGCAAAAAGTTTGCATGGCAGGGGGTAGTACTACTACCTTTCATTGACATGTCACGTTTACTTGCTGCCATAGAAAAACGGTACCCTCTTCTAAGTCCTGCAGACAAAATCCGTAACGGTATTGGCAAGATTGTTATGCTGCTGTCTGACGCAGACACGGCGTTATACGACGAGGTGACTTCAAATTTCTACTCGAAACGACAAGGGCCACTCAAGTACAAGCTGGATCCTCTGGTGTCTGGCGGAATCGCCGGAAACATCGAGAAAATAGATGACTATATCCCACACGGCTCATTGACCTACCCATTGGAGCGAAAGGCCCTTCCCGACATTGAATATGACAGATCTTTAAGGTATGTCACTGCTTTCCATATTAAGCCCGTTTGTTGTATCGACTAACATCATAGTGTCAACTTTGAACTGCTGTCCACGCCACACGAGCACAAGTCCATGCTCCTACGCGGGGTTAAGCTTCCAACGCCCGTTATCAACCGCGGCGACAAGGAGGCATTGCTCAATAGGTCTGGCCGTAATCATGGAGGCGGACCGCACAATAGCTACCATGGCAATAGCAACAATAGCCGGCCGCGGCATGATTCGGGCGGAAGGCACCAGCACAACAATTATGGCGGCCACCAGAACGGTCGTGATCACCCACCGTATCACCCGGGGAACGGCCAGAGCGGACGAGGCTCATATCATGGAGCGTCATATCAATCTTGGGCCCCCCCAGCACCCGGCCAAGCCGGGTTTGGTTCTGGTCGCCCCCCCCCACCGCCTTCATCAACCCCTATGAACCTTGGGAGATACAATGACGGTGACTACAATAACGGTGGCTACGGTGGTCGTGGAGGCAGATACGTGGGTGGTTACGACAATGGAGGCTACGGCGGCGGTAGTTACGGTAACGACGGCCACAACCAAGGTTACCAAAATCGCTACGACTTACCCCCACCACCTGGAAGCTACAATCAGCAGTCCTATGGGCAGCAGTCATATCGCCCTCCTCCTGGCCGGGGCCAACGGCCAAGGGCGAGTGACAACCGCTCCGAGGGTTACAGCAACTCTCGCGGCGGCTACCGTAGGTGAACAACTACGGTGGATTTACGAGGATTCCGTACCAGATCGGCTTTCCCAGCACGACACCGGCTATAGAAGCTGGCGTTCTCGGAAGTTCAGGGCCAGTCGTGGTTTATTCGACGCATGTTGTGAGTTATTTTACTGTCATTTCTTTTTCCTTTTTAGTTCGCGTTTGTCTGCCAATAATAAAATCGGTCGTGTTTTACAAAACCTTGTTCCCCGCTATAGTGAATCGCCAGATTGTATTGACCAACTTCACTGCTTCGAGTTTTATTTTGTTGGAGGTACTTGACCGAGACGATTACGTTCTTCATCAGGTTACAAGCGACCTACAGGACAGAAATAGAGAGTTGGTCAGTGCAGAATAAGCTCGTCCAGGTTTACAAAAAGAGACGAATGATAGCCCCCCTCCCCACTGCGATAAAAAGTGCGGGGGTCCAAGCGCCCCGCGCCGTTCCTGGGCGGTCTGATACAGCATATCGCTATAAACCATATTAAAACTCCGTCCTTCAAAGGGATAATTAAAGTAGTTGCCGCCAGGGGCAGACCAGGCCTTGTGGAGAGCCCAGCGAATTTACATCATGAGCATCCGTATCATCGAAAGGCTGTATTCAGATCATCGCCACGTCAAGAGCAATCGCCCTCACCTGTGGCAGCCAAGTTGTTTTTAAGAAAGTACCCTAGGAACCCCGAAGTTCACGATTGCAACCGGTATCTTTTTTGTGCCTCCAGTTCCAGTATGCTCTCCGGCCAACTCTTTCCAGATCCACAGCCTGCAATGTTCATGGCAGCGAGCATCGCGGATTACATACCTCGGCCCTTTCTGTAGCCTTTACTAATTCGTCGTCTCATTTCACATACAGGGCCAATCACCTCTCTTGGAACGCACACACTCTGTGATAGACCCCTTTGCCATGGTCGGCTCCGAATGCTAGTAACACTGGTCGCTGTTTTAACTGTGCTGCTTTGCGGCCACAGTACACCGGTCGTGCTATTATCTACAAGATGAACGGCGACGCTGGCTTGGTTGGCTGTCTCGTTGAGCGGCTCACTACCCGCTTACCCCACCGAACCGGAACCCACGGCGATGGCCTCTTTCACGATGAGATTGTTGCAATCACACGTACGACCCTTGTGAAAGTCAGTGCTTCCTCCATAGTTATCGTCCTCGACACCCTGCTATCGCTGCTCGAAGATGTCGCACGGCCCTACAACAAAATAGCCGCCTCTCACCCGCCCCATGTGCTTTTATCTGAGCTGTACGTACTTGCTCTGCTCGCCGACTGCTGCTCAAGCCACTGGGGCGCATCGGTGGTTGCTACAGACGCGGAGTCAGATGAGGGCGTGGGCGTCTCAACGAAGTGGCGCCGGGCCAAATCACCCCCACCCATTACTCTTGATACCGCCCTGGTCCGGCGTATCTTCGAAGTGATCAAGATGTTCATGAACCCCATGCCAGATGGTCAACTACTATCGGCAAAGACCATTCTTGACGACTACACAGCTGAGAACTTGTCAGTGTCCGGTACCTCAAGCGAGGCCCCAAAAACGCCAGTGTCTTCACGGTCCGATGATGTGGTCGGAACTACACAGATGATGGACTCTCGTGTCTCGGAAATTGAACGCCATGTCAAGACGATTGTGGAATATGTGACGGCGTCCGCCTGGAAACCATCTCTGGAATATCTGAAGAGCGTTTTCCACAAAGTCAGAACTGTTCTATCGGCTCAGGCCCAACCTCCTCAAAGTCTTTTCAATTCCGATGACGAGAGATCTTCCCTGGTCATTCTACGACTCCTTTCCGACTTTTGGGTTGACCGCCAGAGATTAGGCCACGTCCTACAGGAAGTTTGTTCGAGCTTTCTCCATTTCCGCAAACAATACCAGAACTGTATCGCCATCTCGACACCCTTATTGATCGTTCGATGGATTGAAAGATTTCCCGATGAGTTTGTCGAGTTGCATGTCATGCACCTCCGAGTTGATGGTACTCCGGAAACCCTATTCGACATGGCTCAAACAGTGGGAGACAACGCCCGCCGGAAAGCGCTTTTGTACCCTCTACAAACGAGCCTTCTCTTTTTGCTTCCAGACGTATTCGAGGTAGCAAGCAACATGCGAGAGGCAAAGGGCGGCGGTGTGGCCAAAAAGGTGGCATACTTGGAAGGTTTGCGCAAAATGCTACGAAACAAAAACGAACAGGCGGCCTACTGTCTAGTATCTCTCCTCCGTGTAGCACGCCACTTTGATGCAGAGAGCGATTCGGCTCTCATGAGTTACGCCATGGATTTCCAGGATGAGGTTCACGAAGCCCTTTTTCGTCGGGCACCAACTAGTTCCGAGATCGCTCTTTTTGATCAAGATCTGCTTACAGCCGCTTTTGTCAGTCTGACGCACCTGAACTTTGAGAAGTGCGTAGAGTCTCTTGCCATTAATTGCCTTGTAGCATCTGCGCCACCATCCTTCAAGGTCGCAGTTATTCAAGCCTGTTCGCACTTTGCCAGACTTGACAACTCCGAAAAATACGAGCGACTCTTCAGATCGGTGTCTGCCTTTGTGCAGTCCCAAATGAGGGTGAGTTTGCTAGGTTTCCTAACGTCCATATTATGAATCAGATCGTGCGGTGTTGAAAAATTTAATCAAAGCTCGTGGGCTAATGGAGTTCCAGACTATGTCATCCCAATTGACCAGCGCCTACCCTACCGCTTCAGTTTTGAAACACAAGTCCGCCGATTATGGTGTTCCTGTCCCAATGATGTGCAGTATCCTCGAGTTTATAAACGCATCACCAATGACGTTGTTTCAAGGAGAGCCTAGCGACCCTGACGAAGGAGACCTCTTCTTTCAAAACAACTTCGAGTCGTTTATGGCCTGTATGGTCGTATCGGAGGAATCCATCAGGCGTCTGTCAATGAGTGTTGCCTCCCATCTGTTTACCGAAGAGACCGTTTCCCGTTATGGAGAAACGTCAAGATTGGCAACACAAAGATTCAAGGCGAATTTTTGGAATGTCACGTATGCTTTTCCCCCGGGATACTGTGTAATTTGTTGTGTATACGGCTAGCCCTCTTCTCTGGTACTTTTGTTTGCTAACCGTTTCTATTTTGGGTTTGAAATCAGGTCTATCGTTTTGACATCGATGTGCGACAAAATCAGCCCGTTTAGATTGGATGTAGGCCTGAAGGCCATCCATGGCTATTTGGAGTCTCGCCTCCTACTTCTCAAATCCATAACTGTATGTCACCGGAATGACAGAGTCCCTTTGCGTGGTTTTCGATTCTGACTAGATCCAGGAGTTGTCAGAATTGTCCGAGGAGGTCCCTGAACGAACGGCCTGCTCAACAAAACTCGAGACTCTGTTTTTAGTTTCACTCTGCTCTTCAGACATTGAGACATGCCAGCTTGTGACCTCATGCATTGCGCAATTCCTTGAGGAGTGCCGCATTATAGATACCGCATCCAAGAGTGCAAAGTCATCCTCGACTCTCCTAAGAAATGGAGATGTCTTCCGTGAAATTGGGTCGAAAGAGTTTCGTTTCACAGGGCTGGTTGCCTTTCAAAGACGAGTGAACGGCCTCTTGAAGAAGATGCAGTACCCAAGTAGCGGCATCATCAATGCATGGGAGATTGCTTTCGATAAATGGCTTCATCTTTCCAAAGACGTTTCAACGACGCAGGCAGATGCACTTCCCGAAAAAACCCTTGTTGAATGGCGAAACTACTCTGGGTTTCTTGCATCCCTCGGTGGCATCTGCACGCCTGACCAAGCGTCCATGCTCGAAGAGCCAACTATCAGCGGCCTACGATGGATAAACAGAACGTCCTCCGAAAATTCGGATGAAGCTTTATTGAGTCGATTTTTGAGACTGGGCATAAAGCTCTTGGCGACTATGAACGTTCGAGTCCGTGAGACTATGCGGGAGGTTTTGTCGTCCGAGATTTCGCCAACGCTGTACCAAGCTCTGTTCAAAACCCTGGAATCCGAGCTCGATATTCTTTTTACAGGTGTCCTGGAGCAAACATCAAGGAGTCTAGAAGGCGAGGTTGCTTTTGCAGAGCAGTCTGTGTCACTTCTTCGAGCGTTGATCGAGCGGCTAGATTCACCGTCGGATCTCGGCGCCGCTTCGTCTGTTCATCTCGGGGCACTGACTCTCAACTTCGCCAAGTTCCTGGATATGACACCGGACTCGCCGAACAATTTGCGTGTGAAGATCAAAACCTGTCAACTATGCGAGGCCGTGACGAAGAGAAAAGAACATCTGAACTTACGCGATGATGTACGCATTCGAAATCAGCTTCTGGAAATCATTTTTGGCTGGATTGCACGGCCGCATTCCCCATCCGGCCATGTCCACGGCAGCAACGTGGCGAGCCGACAAGATGAAGCTACTCGTGTCCAAAAAGATCTTGATAAGGCCTGTCTGAAATGCCTAGCAGAGCTGACCTACCGTCTTCCCCTGCAGCCGGCTGATGGCCAGTCTGATGCGGGAACCAGCGAGCTAAAGTCCCACATGTTTCACACTTACTTCAACCGTTTTCTTTCTCTACTCAACCTTGAGCAAACCGAGCTTGCCAGAGCGGACTACATTGCCAGTTCTCCTCGGGATGAGATTTCAGCATCTGAACTGGCAATCACAATTTTGTCCAACTTGCTCAGTGCCAACTTAGACGTTGGTTTGAAGCGCTCTCTCAGCATCGGCTACCACGAAAATGTCGAGATACGTACAGCGTTTGTCCGGGTGTTATGTAACATCCTCATGCAAGGCACTGAGTTTAGCAACCTATCAGACACGGCTGTCGGCGACAAGTACGACGAGCTGATTGACATCCTTACAAACGATACTGCGCTGGCGACGTCCATGGCAGCCGTGTGCCCCAGCTCAGAAGTTGACGAACTGACGATTTCACTTTTAAATGTTTTTGAGAGTCGCGGGATGGGATTCGACCTCCTCGAGGCAGTGATAAAGCTCGAGGTTGAAGAAACTGAGAGCGAGTCCGAGCTTCTTCGGCGGACTTGCGTTGCTACAAAAATGCTGTCTGTTTACGCGAAGTGGAAAGGCTCCGCCTACCTCAAAGCAACCCTCCAGAAAGTTGTTGAGCGATTGATGATGACGGCGAAAGACCTTGATTTCGAGCTGGATCCCACTCGGGTGAAATCGCAGGACGAGCTGACAAAGAACGCCGTCCAGCTCCAGATTGTGGCAAAGGTTTTCATCGATGATATCAGTGCTTCGTCGTCAAAGATCCCCTCGGCATTCCGCAAAATATGCAACATTATCTCATCGGCAGTCACGACACGATTTCCGGAAGCAAAATACACGGCAGTTGGTGCTTTTATTTTCCTTCGCTTTTTCTGCCCGGCAATCGTCGCCCCAGAAGTAGAAGGCCTCGTGACGACAACTCCGTCGAAAGAGATGCGGAGAGGATTGCTGCTCATTGCCAAGATTATTCAAAACCTTGCAAACAACGTTCTATTTGGTGCAAAGGAACCTTACATGTTCCCCCTCAACGAATTTTTATCGTACAATATCTACGATGTAACGACGTTCCTTCGCAAAATCTCAGTTGCACCTGATGAAGTCGAGGGATCTCCAATAAGTGACGCCACTGACTTTGGAGCATCTGTCTCTATCCATCGATTTCTTTATGATCATTGGGATCATGTCAAACAAAGGCTAGCATCGCAGGAACGACGAGACCACGTGCGGTCACCTGGAGAAGGTCCGCGAGCTCGCTCTCCCGTTCTAGAGCCGCTGCGAAATCTAATCACAAATCTCGGACCCCCACCGCTTGCTGTCACCTGGAACCGGCCACAGATCACCCTTAATAACCCACCTGCCTATTCACAGTTTCAGAACTTCATGCTGCGCAACGCCTTCAGAAGCAGCGAGTCATTTGTCACATCGCGGGCAGTGTACGATGGCGGCGAAAGCAAGGTGGGCCACTTCTCCCTTGCTGAACAATTATACCATGCCGGGATGGTTTCTGTTTTAGAGATGCTAACCGTAATAGGACGGTCTTTCAATCATCTGCATCATCTTGCGTAACATCGACGTGGATTCGATCGACTATGATGCACTAGTATTTTGCTATCTCAAGGTAAGCCACTGCTTTCCGTCGTTTTAGGGCTGGGTTATTGATTTGCAACGGGCGGATCAAATCACTAAGCACTGCCGCATGTGCAGATCGCCAGCCGTCTTTGGCATAAGCCGTTTGGTCTCCTCATCGACGCAACGTGCTACAGCGGTCAAAACGAGCCACCGGATGAGCTATTTCAGAAACTTGAGGCCCTTACGCCCACAGAGCTCTCTCGCCAGCTGTCCCGTGTGTATATTTACAACATGAACAGCACATTCCGGTAAGCCTCCAATCATGGTGTTTGACAAAGAGATGTACTTAATGTATGAATCCGTTGCATTATCCTAACACATGATAGAAAATGTTTCCGACGTATTCTCCGGGCAGCTGCAAAAAATGAGTGTAGCGTGTTCCATCCTGACAACGTCGAGTACCACCTTGTCAGCAATATGCAGGACTTGCAAGGGCATTTCCATCTAAGCCAAGTCAATATTCCAAAAGAGACTCTTAGTGTTGTCGGAGACACTAGGTATGTCTTTCAACAAATCACCCGTCTCTCGCGGTCCAGAGGGAAAATCGACGTGTCCATCAAGGTCGGCAGTCAGTTTGTTCAAATCACGACAACCAAGAAGCAGGAGATCCATCAGGGATTTGGCTTAAATGCCATCTTCAATGACATTTTTCGATTAGGAGACATCGACCAGGCCCCAATGTCCATCCAAACAGATGACGACTCAGCGTTCGGGCTTCGTGCTGAAAATGGTAAGATTGTAATGTACTTCACCAGTCCCGGAAAGCAAGATATCCTCCAGGCCATAAGGGGCGCCAAGGTGAAATACAGCAAGGACGCGCGGACGCTCAAGTCGTTTGAAAGACATGTTCGCCCACAAGATGTGCCTGGCACACTGCTTAACCTCTCACTGGCGAATCTTGGGAGTGCAGACCATGCACTTAGGCTCTCATCCTATAACCTTCTTGGTGCACTATGCCGGGCATTTAAGTTCTCGACTGCTGCTGGCCTTCTATGCATTAAAGGTGAGCAGCGGCGTCGCCTCACCTTTGTCATGTTTGGTAATTACATGGGCACTGACCAAAATTTGACATAGAAATATCCGTGCCTTTGGATCCATCACAGTTCATAATCAACATTAGCAAAAAGCTTGCAGAAGCAGAACCTCAACTTACAACGGACTTTTTGAACGAGTTTTTTGTTGGCTGGTACAGCTTCTCAGATGAGCAGAAACCCCTCAGTCTAGCGTACATGGCGCCCTGGTTGCCGGGTCTCCGATCTTTTCTTTTGGCAGGCGACGCAGAGAGCGACAAGGCCAAAGATAAGATATCCGCGATATTCAGAAAGCTGATTGAAGTCGCCGTGTCTGATCCGTCACTGAACTATATTCTAGAGCAGACAGTATGGCCTGCCATTTACCAAGACGAAACGCTGTTGGACCTATTTATAGAGGAAGTTGTCAAAACCGGACTATCCATTGGCATCCACGACGACCAGGCAGAGATTATAACATCTATCGTGACGGGTATTGGCACAATTACAATACGCGGCAAAATAATTTCTCGCCTCCGAAAAGCACTCAATCGATCCTCGCTGCGCCCTACAAAGTACCTGCCCGACAATGCCGTCTGGGCAGAAATATGCGTTCTTTTGCAGTTTTGTGTGTCACTATCGTTCGATAGCGGGATTCAGTCACAGCTCTACCTTCCAGAGGTCTTCCATATAGTCACGATGCTTGCCAACATTGGAACGCCTGATGTCCGCTTCCTAGTTCACCGTCTTCTAGCCAACTCTCTCCATGCAGTCTGTACATCCTTCAGTCTCGACGAAGCCCGGCTCAGCAAGCTTCGTGGTGCCCTCGAGTCGCTGTCTGAAGGGAAGAGCGATCTCTTTTCCAACTTTGCGCCTACATCATTTGGCCGGGATGGCGCTTCGATATCGACCAACCAGGAAGTCGGACCGTCACTTGCTGCAACAGAATCCCTCGCAGCACTTTTGTTCGAGCTGTGCTCGGTGGCTGCGCCATCAGTCGACATTGCAAATGCGTGGCGTGCTCGTTGGATGAGCTTAGTGGCAAGTACGGCGTTTCAAAACAATCCGGCCATCCAGCCTCGTGCATTTACGGTGATGGGATGTCTTGCCAGAGAGGAGGTTGATGATGACCTCCTGTACCAAGTCCTTGTTGCCCTCCGTACAAGCATAGGCCGCTTTAGTGACGACAACAACAGCGACATGATGGTTGCCATAGTGACTTCCTTGTCGAAAATGATGGCCAAACTGCCGTCGGCTTCACGCTATGGCTACCAGCTTTTTTGGCTGGCCATGTCCTTGCTGCGGCTAGTTCCTCCGGGTCTCTTCAATTGCACGGCCCAGTTTCTCGAGTCGGTTTTGACCAACATCAGCTCGTCGGGTGAGATTCGGGGCGAGCGCATGATACCGTTCTTGCTACAGGGACGGGCACCTCTCGAAGATGCAGCACTGGCACTAGACGAGGCATACGGCGTCCATTTCAATAGCGAGAACTTTCATTTTGCTGCGTGCGCATGTCTTGTCCGGGGCTTAACCGACACGATGACAAAGTCAACAGCCCTTCGCGTGCTGTCTACACTCCTTGAGCTGACCAGCTGGACACCAAACGAGAAGGAAACGAAGGTGGCGGACATGAGCGGATCGCCATATTTGGCGCTCATCCTAGCGCGTGTCGGGAGTGTGGAAGAATTTAAGGATAGCCTCTGGCATGTGGGAATCAGCCCCATCTCTCTGCCAAGCTTGGCACATGTGCATTCGATCCAGAATGTGTCTGCCATGAAGGAGAAAGACCTGTTGTTGAACACAGCGATGGAGCTTGTCGACTTCCAATATCTTGAGGATGCCTTGCAGAATCGGACTCTTCTGTGGCTAAACGACCTGGCGCGAGAGAAGCCCAACGTCATCTTGCATCTGTAGGTCCCTTACTGCTGCCCTTGATATTCCTTTTTTGATGGTATTGAGCGGCACGAAAGAAAACGAGAAACGAACATGAAAAAAATCCTACAGGAACTGTATAAGATCTAGTACTTTTAACCTAGATCTATTTTACTAACAAAACCAGATGTGCACCGATCGCCTCTATCTTAGATGAGGTGCTTCTACACTGCCAAAACTCGTCCACGCTTGAAGCAGCTCATGAGTTGCTGCAGACGCTCAGTTCTAATTCCAAGTTTGCACAAGTCCTCGACTCCACTGACATGCTCAAAGCGAGTCTGGATGATATGGGTTTTGGGGGTCTGTGGAGATCTTGCACATTCAGCAACTCTCACGAGCAAGACGGGCACTGTTTCGGGTTGACTGAAAGACTTATCGAGGTGAGTTAAAGAGCTATTTCAAGGCGATACATAAAATAACTCGAAAATGGAAAACTGGACAAAATGAGTAGCGAGGCCAACACTCGTCTTCATTTCTAGTTACTAACAACTGTGTTAATGACAGCTTATCATCATCTGAGAGAAGGTTGAGAAAAGAAGCATAAAGACTAAGCGACGCATGTTCTGCTGGCTTTGTTGACATGCAAACGGCGGCATCAGTACGCCCCGTCGAGCGTCTAGATCTTCAGCCAAGTCGCCATCGTACAATTAACTGTCGGTATATTTACGAGGCTATCACTTTATGGCAGTGGACAGATACTTTCACCGTATTCCAACAGCATGATCCGGGGGTGGCGGTGGCGGTAGTTGGTAAACACAGGGGCAGGGGGCGAAATGTTAGAACCGTTATACTCGACAGCAGGAAAAATCACGTATGAATGGGACAGCTTGTATCTGGCGATGTTTGATTATTTGGGGAGTTGCACGGACACGAAAGGCAATAGAAACAACCACATGAGAGGAAAGCAGAAGGTACACAAATAACAAACAAAATCTATCGACGCTGGGCTATTTTATACCCGCCAAGGGAAATCAACCATCAGTCACAGGTTACTAAGGAAGGTCGTCAAAATGTGCGAGTGCAAGCGGCCTAGGCAGCTTGATGTAAATGGCAAACATCGCGGCTACCGAGTTGGAAGACTTGGAAGCCGAATAAAATCATGTTGATGGCCCATAGTCGGAGACAGCCGCTTTCAGCAGGTACAGGCGAAAAGCTCAGATAGCCCACGAACACGATCTCCAGCCAGGAACAGTAGTAGAGTAGGGGTGGATTGGCGACAGAAATAGCGGGGGGTAGCTAAAGACCCGGGCTCGTTAAGAGGCAAAAATGGTCAAAGAAACTATCACTTTATTGGCATGAGAGATGCTGCCAAAAAATGACAAAAGGCTTCAAAGCAACGGGCCAACTATGGGAGGCGAAGTTGAAAAGGCTGAAAGGAACTGGAAATGGGGTGGGTCAAAGGTCAAAGTGGGGCCCACTGTCAAATCTTGTCGGTTCCTACCGCAGCACTGGCTGACGCTAGCGGCAATGCCGAAAATAAATGCTGCACGAAAACGCAGGCCTCTGAGCCATTCCATGCATGGAAGCATGCTGGCGCCCGATATCCCCGTCAAATATCCACGTCAAGATCGAAAGTTGGAGCGAGCAGAACCGGGGGAACCACGAGAAAAAAAGGGGGAGCCAGGAAAAAGGGCGTCTGCAGATAAGGTAACAAATAAAAGTAGGACAGAGGAAATAAGAGAGAGACACGAGAAGCACACGAAATAAGTATGAAAACATCACGGAGGTACCGGGAACTAGCGGAGGCGTAGAGTGAGGTGTTGCCTTTCCGGAGTACCCCGGCTTTTCGGGTCCAATATCAGATTCGCAGGACTATGTAGACAGCAGCATGGTTGTTTCGAAAGATGGAAGTGACATAATAGCAACACAAAATGACCGGCTATCGACGGAGAGCTTTTCATTCGGTGGCATGTGTTTAAAGCAACCAGGGCGTTGGTGAGTGAGCTAAGGAAAGGTAGAATATCACAGTCCGAACACGGCCTTGGGGATGGCGATGATACTGCAAAGTACACCGGCTGGCAGTGTTCAAACGGGTCGGTGGGAGGAGACGCGACCTGAGACCGCTCACCTTGTAAAGCTGCTAGCGAAAGCTCAACACAGCAACGGCTGTCGCAAAGTAGAATGACTAACAGGCACACATTATAAAGGAAACTTTGTTTGGCCACCCCTACGCAGTTGCCTAGCCACCGTTCGGAAAAGACTAGGTATAAGCCATGCATTCAGGTGCCAAGTCTGGGGGATACGTCGTAGACAGAGAGGTGTTTCGAACGAAAGGGAACTCTCTGTGGAAAGTGCATTGTGGCATCTGCTTATGAATCGGAGATGCAGGCCGGGCCGGTCGGAGCAGGATGATGGTGACAGGGTACGGACAGAGCCAAAAGAAGACTATGAACTTAGCTGGGAAGGATGCGAGGAGGCTGGAAAAACACCGGGGACAAATAGCCTGTGTCGCGAGGCCAAAAAAGCAAAGCCGGCAAAGAGGCGCGGGTTGACAGCAGGAGGATATGGTGCCAAAAAGGACACGGGCACGACAACATATGATTTGTAAGGGTCGTGCTCGCCACGAAGCGAAAGCGAACAGCGATGGGCGATATAGAAGACGATTTGACGATGATTCGGCGACGATCGCCAACCGAGCGGAATCCAAGACGGGCCTCGGGGAACGGACTAGGAGTTGGCTCGTGGCCAAAGTTGGTGCTGGAGCCAATAAAGCTGCATTGCCCCAATGTAGGTCCCCTCATACAGCACAGTCATTTTAATAGTATCTCAACTTGTCCCATAGATCGATACGTGAGTACGAAAAGCAAATACGGGATATTAAATACGGAGTATTACGAATACTAAGTACGACGTATTACTCGTGGTAGGGTGAAATGCAAATACAAATCGTGGAGCATGGTCTGACTTCTTATTGCTGGGTTGTGGTGAAAAGCGGAAGGACCGAGACAGGTCTGGTGACCAAACCGCCTAGCTTAAGTCGTGCGTAATCGACCCTCGCGTGACTGACTGAATAGCGGTTCAAGCCACATCTTGAGCAGTACTGGGCTAGGCAGTCACGCGGATAAACGATCTCGTGATCTGGGGGGTGGGGTATCCTTCGTTAATATTCACACCAGGCATGGCAGGACGACTCAAAACAGTCACTAAGAAAAAAGAGTCAGAAAAATCCGAGGATGCACAATACAAAAACACGAGGCCAAATACGATTGCAGCGGCAAACTTTCGTAGCCAACGACGGACCAAGGGAAACAAAAGAAGAAAAAGAGGTGAGGAGAACGAGGGGGGGATGGAGAGGGAGAGAGAGAGAGGCTACGGAGCTAACTACTACAAGCACGGCGGCTGTTGGGTTAAAAGGCCCGCCTGGGTTTGTGGACGATCGAGGCACGGTTGTGCGAGCAGTGAAAAATTGTACCAAACGCCCGAGACGTGTCTTTGGAAACGGTCTTGGGAGCCTTCTTGGGAGCGGTCTTGGCTGTTGCTATTGAAGCCTTGAAGATGCGAAAGGGACGAATGAAGCGCTGCAAAAAATCTTCACTCAAATTCTGCATCAGAGTTTTCCATTCCTGCAGCCCTCTGACCTCACTTTGCACGTGCGACCACGGCGTATGTGTAGTACAGGCCGGGGTCTTCCGACGCACAACCTCTCCTTGACACCGTCGTATTGCGGTAAAGAGGATAAAGAGGGTGTAGTGAAAAGTTTTTCTCGGGCAGCGCGCGTCTCTGGCGCGCTTCAGTTACGAAAGAATTAATACGTGGCTGGGCGGGAAAGTGGCCTACTCGTACGACGTATGTCGTAATTACTGTCGAAGAGTAATTACGGAGTACCTTCTCTGAAAACTCTGCTCCCGTCCTTGCAACAAACCCAATTGCCCCGAGACAGGTTGCGGAGTCCGCCGTCTGCGCCTGGCGTCGGCATTAGCGAGCGAAAGTTGGGCCAAATGTTTTCCCTTTTTCAGCACCCCCTACCCTCTTTCCACTGCAAAATTTTGCAAAAAGTTTCTAATATTAAGTGTCTGGACCACCAGTCGTCAGGGGGGGGGGTTTTGATATGGCATGCATCTTACATCTGCCAAGACCATCGGCAGCCCCGTCATCATCCTGGGAGTCTCTGAAAGGATCTGGCCACAGGCTCTGGGCCGCTGCATCAATCCAATCGTCAGAGGTCTAGGCCTCACCTTCCCAACCCGCTACTGAATCAGGCCTGGGCCACACAAGAATGAAGCGATGAAGGAGCAACAAAGGGCGCAGGTGCAGACTTTTCACAACGGCAATTCAATTCGTCTCATGAAGGACAAACGTGAAACTAGGAAGCGTGAGCTGAAAATGTGAGATGTGAAATGCTAAAAGATGCTGGTTTAGCAGGGCTTGGTAGGCGTGTGGTTACAGGTCGTATTGCAACATGAACGCCCTTCACAAAAGCGACACGGGGCATTGTTTACGAGGCGAGTCGAGCGATTTGCCCCGTGTCATTTGCCTTGGCTGCTCGTAACGGTGCCTGATTCAGTGTAAAACATAGGCCCCAACACAACACGAGGTCGGCAAACGGGACAAAATGTTAAGCAATCGTGAAGGTGAGGCATACATGGCCATACGACAAATGGACAAATGGCACCGGAGTAACTTTCGTCTCTCCGGTCGCTGAAATTGTCGACGTTTCTGGAATTGGAATCTCGTCTCGTCGGAAGTTCGCTGTCAGATTCAGTCGCTTAACAGAGACGCTGTGGTGTGCCGCATGGTGATGCAGAAAAAGGCTCTTTAGACGATATCGGACGTGGGCAAAGCCCGTCCTTGCAGCTTCGCAGGGCATCGGCTGTGGCCATTGGCGACGATAAAGTTAAAAGGCAGTTGCAACGTATACGTTTATCATAACCGCGGCGCTGGAGCAGCGAGGCTCAGTCGGTGTACCTGCATGTGTGATGCCAGTGGCCCAGCAGGTACGGTGTGGCTGAGTCCGGGGGGGGGGGGGGTGAAAGGGAAACATTCCTAGATAGTGAAGAAAGGTTAGAAAGAGCGAAAGGATTAGGGGGAATATTCCACTGAAGCAGGACCGTGACAAGGAGACAAAAGCCTACCTCGCAGCGCACAGAGAAACCCCCCCCCCCCGTCAGGTTGTACTGAATTTGGCCCCTCCCGACCTCTGGGTACGCACAACGTTGCAGGCATGGTGTCCTCCTCCAACCACTGTATCAACGACCGGCCCAGTGGCCGGAGCTTCAGGCAAAAGCGAAAGACGGACCATAGACGTCATCATACCCCTCCACCTCGCGCGACCTTGTCTTTTGCAAGCCGCAGTCGCAAAAGCCTGGTCCAGCTGCATCCAAAGGATACACGTCAGCGAATGAGCTTCTCCTTTTGCAGTGCAGTTCGTCCAGGACCTGTTCACATATCATTCTACAGGTTCTAGAATTCCCTGCTTTTCAGTGTGTCGCGTTTTTGCGTTCTATTCTCTGCCCTTCGATCTCTCGTGCATTTCCTCTTGGATTTGTCTCTTTGATTCCCCCCTGCTCCCCTCGCTTTCTTCCCCCTCCCCAAGGAGTGCTTATATGCCGCGCACAAACAAAGCGTTGTGTATGACTCAAAAACCGCGCCAAGTAGAAATGGCCAGTGCCGCGGCACTTCGACCAAGAAATACACCAGCATTGGAAAAACGACACCATACACCACTTCCGTGGGCTTTTACTATTTCTCTTTCTCTGCCTCTTGCTAACGTAGGACAATCCGGGATAAATTGATGTCGTGCGTAGAGCGACAGCATAGCAAGAAAGAGCGAACCGCGAAAGAGAGATCGTGCACCATCAGATCACATAGGGTCATGACGGCAGTTAATCGTCGAGTCTGCGAGTGCGCTGTCGATGCAAAGCCTCCGCGGATTAGAAAAACCATCTTAATAACAGCCCAGTGCCTTCTGGGCGGTTCTACCACACCCCTCCCCCCTCCCCTCCACCAACCAGCGCGCGAGGTTTGCATCGAGGTGCAGGTACTTCTGTAGATCATCAGGCGCCCTCCCAGAGCCGCTACATCGCAGGCAACAGTAAAAAAGAGAAGCAACTCTGAGGTACCCTATACAGTGAATTAATAGGCCCACCCCACCCCTTCGCTCACCTCCTCCCTGTTTCTTGGGCGGCTTTACACTAAAACCTGCGCCAGTCCCTCGGAGAGCCGGTGTCATCCCACCCCCAATTACTACACACTTACATACGTATTAGAGTGCAGAGTCAGATACTGCTCCGTACCTTCCACAGGTTGACATAGTTTTCTTTCTGTCACCTATATATACGAAGCCCTTCCTCGACTTTGCCACCTTCGTCGCCATTTACTTTTCCCTCCTCAAATCTCCACAAAACTTCAGTCTTGTCGCAAACATACTCTCTCCTACACGATCATACAAGTCCGACGTTCTACTTCTCTTCCCTATAGACTAGGGACGATAATGTTGGTCGCGCACCACACCACCAAGCAACAGCCACAGCAAACATTTTTCAATATCACCGACGACAACGACTCTCGCCAATTCGACGATCTTGATCCATACAGCTATCACCATAAGCCCGCTGCCGTGTCGCCGCCTCGCCAACAAAACAGTTCCCGCCCCGGAAGACGCCTCTCGCTGACTCCCAGCCGCGCGCTGTCTCCCAACTTTCTTGACACCTCTGCTGCCGCCACCGCCGCACAGGACCCAGTCCTCGTTGCTGGCCTTGACAGCGACACCGAGTTCGACCTGGACTTCGACTTCCATATACTGGCCGGAAACGACCTGATGATGCAGTCGGACCGCTGGCTACCAGCAAACCATCTCGCCGCAGGACGGTCCTTTGGTCACCCCAGTTTTTCCCATCACCGCGAATCGTCACTTTCCTCTCTTGGTTCCACTTCCGCAGGCCCTGCATCCCCTTTCTCGCAGACTACGTCCAACCCTCACATCGCTGTCAGCGACTCGGTTGGTGACAGTTTCGCAAACATGTCTTACTACGAAGACCCCTCATTTCCTCTAGTCAAGCAGGCGACTGCCGGGGTTCACGATAGCCTCTATGGCCACCAAGGCCACGCACCTTACACACCTTCAGCAGATAACCTGTCCATGCCTCACGGCACTTATGGTAACCTGCTGGCTGCCAACAGGCAGAGAGCTGGCGTCACTAGTGGTCACAGTGAACGCGGCCTGCAGCCGCCGCCCGACCTATCTATGAGCTCCAACCGGTCACAGCCTGTGTCAGTGGCGAGTTCCATCGCCAGCAATTCGCCTGCCACGCCATCCCTTGACCAGGCTGACGAAGAGGCTAGGCGCCGAAATGGTGAGAGACGATTTAGTCCCCCCCCGGCAACGGGCACAGCAGCGGATGACCTCCTATTTTTATTTGACGGCGGTGGCGAGAATGAGAACGAGAACGAGAATGATGAGTGCTCACGATTCTTCAACGATATAGTCGCTTTCCATGGTCCCCCAAAGCTTGACCGTACAATGACAGACGTCTACAATGACGAGTTGTATAGTCCGAACTTCGCCGCAATGCCCACATCAGCTCCCTCGACGAACGCGTCTCACATGGCCCCAACAAGCCAGGAAATGTTCGCTCAACGGCTGCAGCAGATTAACAGCCAACACCTAAGTGCCGCCTCGCATCAGTCACCGGTATCAACGGGCACTCCGCGCGAGCGGTCACCCTTCCGTCAAGGGTCTCCGATGGCTCCAACCCCGAAGCATGACTTTGGTACCTCGCCTACGAGCAATTTACGCTTCGGTGCCCACCAACAGCAGCAGCACGGCCTCGCTGGACAAGATGCGTCAGGCCAGGCATTCCGGACCCGAATTGCGAGGAGCCAGGGAACGTCTACGCCACAGACAATCTCACCCAAAGATGCTGTTCTGGAATACAGAGATCCGGATGGCGAGGGTGACAGCACGAATTACTCCCTATTTTCTCAAGGTGGTCAGCAAAGCTTCACCGTCGACCAAATGAACAAGGCGGTGACGAACATGGGCCAATCGTATGCCACTGGAATGGGCAGTGGAGTTCCAGCCGCGCCTTATAACTACATGGCGCCGCAACTAAACCAAGGGTTGCAGCTGGCTCAACAATACCCGTTCATGGCTCAGCATCACGGCAACTCCCCCATGGCAGACTCGATATCGACAAACCATTCACCTGTACCTGCTATCCGCTCTGTCACCAGCCTGGCAGCTCTTTCCGAACCTGTTCCCGGATCTCAACGTCCTGGCATTGTCAACAACGACGGCGGAACTTACACCTGTACATACCATGGATGCACTCGGCGTTTCGAAACCCCGGCTTTGCTCCAAAAGCACAAGCGTGAAGGCCACCGCCAGGCCAATGCTCTGGTCGGCACACGCAAAACTGACAGCACCGCACCCCAGGGCCTTTTGAACACCCAAGCTGGCCCTCACCGCTGTGAGCGCATAAATCCGAGCACGGGGAAACCTTGTAACACAGTGTTCTCGCGCCCCTACGACCTAACTCGGCACGAGGACACCATTCACAATGGCCGCAAGCAAAAGGTTCGGTGCAATTTGTGCACAGAGGAAAAAACCTTCAGTCGCGCAGATGCTCTTACTCGCCATTTCCGTGTCTGTCACCCAGAGGTCGAGTTTACAGGCAAGCACCGTAAACGGGGTGTTCATGCGACCTAGATCTCTTACAGAACCTCACCTTGAAGTTTCCGCCAGATCGAACTCTGAAGTGCCTTTTTTGGAAAGCATGACATCATACGCTAGTCCTTTTTGGGCTAATTTGCTCTGCATGATCATGTTACCATAAGCCATTCAGTGACGTCAGTGACGTCATTTGGTTTCGGTGCATCGTTCTGTCAATGAGCAAAACACCAGCTGCTGTGGAGGCTGCACTGTTCTCTGCCAGTTGTCCTAAGGATAATCTGGCTATTTCCTGTTAACGATCTCTTATCTCGTTTTGCGATCGTGTTCTTCGACTTGACCTACATTCTACTACTATGATCGGAAGACCGTGTTTGCCAAACACCGATCAACATTACTTATTTTGTCATCGATCCGATCCATCGAGTGGCACTTTTCTTCACTCTTTTCTTCACTTTTGTTCTCTTTTATGACTTACGCTACATTTTCCAGCTTAGTTTTTCCTAATGTTGCACGTCATTCAACCCGTTGTTTTCGCTGTCTCTGTTTTCTCTTTGTCTTATTCTCCTTTCACAATCTGTTTTACATCATAGATCGGTTTCCATTTTGGGCTGTTTCTCTTTTTTTTTTTGGCTTGTGACGCCTTTGCTCACTTACAATTGCCTTGTTATCCATTTACGGTTCGATTTGGGTATGCACACACGCATTGCATTGCATTGGCAGGTTATCATCATGGTATAGACGAAGCATGCCCCCCTCCCACACCCCCCCCCCCCGGCTGGCCGTGGGCTTGTTCATGGTTAGAGGTATGAATTTGGCCACAAAAAAAATGCATGTACAAAATTACTTGGTAATAATTGGTGTTATTCTTTTCCGGGCAGGAGTTCGAAATATATCGTCATAAAGAGTGGCACCTGGCGCATTGGGTACAGTGAAGTTAGCTTGGAAGGGACATACATACATTTTTTGAAACAGTGTTCAATTGTCAATATCTTAACCGCGTCTTTTTTAAGTAAAGTAAACCTCGAGCTTAACTTTCCGACTTGTCCTCCGAAGTCAACAAACAGTGAAATTGTTAAAACGTAATTAGGGAACGCACCCCTTGGCCTCCCTGTATCCAGACCAGTCAAGCAAGATCGAGCATCTTCACTTTCAGCTTACAACCTATGCCGGCGAGTCATCCATTACTGCAGCACGCGCATCATCGTACGACGGATTTATCCCGGTCCAAAGGCGGAACTAAAAGGCAAAGTTAGCAAACAAAGCAATGTATATAACACGGAAGCAAACCAAGCAATAAATAAAGGATGCTGGGTGAACAAACCTGGTGCCATCCTTGCGCAGCAAGAACCTCTAGCCCAGGGACTGTTTTCCAACCGAATTCCTCGGCGAGTTTCATCACGGGCGTATGCCTAGGCTGATAGGCCAACTCAAGAAGTACACGTACACCCTCAACCGATCTAGAGCGCTCTAAAATTGTTGTTACCAGATGGAGCACGGTCGGGTCCAACGATTTATCCGCAGGTACAGTCGTGATTATAACAGAAGGCAAGTTAGCCCCGTCAGCGTCGACGCCAAGCGGCTTCGGGCCGAGCAGCTGCACATTATAACCGACTGGGAAGGACGATATGAGCTGCTTTCCGTTCTCAAGACTGCGAGCAGCCACGTAGATCGGTCCATAACCCATGGCATGGAGGGCATAGATGGCAGCACGGGTTGTGCCGCCAGAACCGACGACGAGGCCAGCAGGTGGGTTTGTCGAGGAGTGTCTTTCGACACCAGCACCACGTAGCGCGTGGATCATGCCCAACCAATCGGTGTTATCACCGAGAAGACGGGTGGCCGCTTGTTTATCACCCGCAACAGAACGGATGGGGATGATCGTGTTCACAGCGCCGATGATCTTCGCTGCTTCAGAAACTTCGTCGACTAACTTCATGACGTCCAGCTTCAAGGGGATGGTCACGGACGCACCGCCGAAATCAGGGGTTCGAACAGTTTCCCGTACGTCGTCCACGCTAGCAGTCTCTATCAGGGTGTATTGGTGAGGTAGTCCCACTTTGTCAAAAAGTGCATTGTGGAGTGCCGGTGAGCGTGACTTGGAAATTGGCTTTCCAAAAAGGACGAATCGAAGAGGATCGAGAAGACCAATAAGGGAGCGGGCCTGCCGAATTTCTCGGGCAGAGAGCTGGCCCGGAGCGGCTGCAAATGGCAGTGCAGGGTGCGCAACCGGTGTGAGAAAACCGTTCAGCACTCTGCTCAGTTTGCCCGGTCCGCCCATATTTAAAGCGATAATCGGCTTCTGATGAGCAGCGAGCATTCGGGACTTGAATGCTGCAACGTCAAAGTTGTCTTCGACCCCGTGCGCAACACCTATGAGCTTGATAATATCACCATGTTGCAAGGCTTTGTTGAAGTGCGGAATCCATCCTCCGTTCTTCCACGAGAGCTTGTTTTTCGGGTCATGATGCGACGCGATGATAAGTGATTGACCTTTCTCTTTTGTCACGGCTTGGATGACACGGTCAGGCATGGTCATTTCGAGATCAATGTACTCCACGCCCATCCGGATTGCTGCACGGTACAGTGCCAAAGCATGATCGACATCTCCATCTGGGAACCGGCCACCTTGGCTCGCGGTCCTAACGGTGAAAATAACAGGCACATTGGCTGCAGAGCGGAGTAGTGAAACCTGGCTCCGGACAAAATCAAAGGACTGGTCTTCGAGCAGATCGACGCGTAGCTCCACGGCATCGGAGCCGATAATAGCCTGAGGTATGATATCAATCGCCTTTGCAACATTTGGGACAGTAAGTGACACGAAAAAGGAGGTCTTTTTTCTCTTGACCTCTTCCAGATGAGAGCATCGCCCGGTGATCAGTTGAAGCATCTGGACGAAATCTGAGGGAGATTCCCCACGGGTGTCTGTCTTGTCTGAGTGTGGACTGTGGTAGTGATGGCTGCTGCATTCCTCAAACCAGTCTTTGCGGCGCAAATACACGCCTCGGATATCCTCGGAGTATGCGGGACGTGTCTTGTCCTTCATGAGGTAAGCAAGGACCTGCTCGGTATCGCGATGAACAAGCAGAACAATTCCTCCACTCTGATGATAGGCAATCAAGAAGTGCCGGGCTTCGGGTGTCTCAACGATTCCACCTCCACATGAAAAGACATGGCCGGTAGGCTTAGTGTTTATCATACCGGCGAGCAGCTCCAGCTCTGCCCTGCGAAATCCTTCCCAGCCAAGTTCGCCGCGGATCATCTCTGGGATGGTCATTCCGTGTTTCCGCTCCAACTCAGCGTCCAGGTCAATGAACGGCCAGCCGAGGATTGCTGAGGCCCAGTATCCAGCCGTAGTTTTCCCTGCACCCCTCATACCAATGATGAAGATAGACTTGTTCGTAATAGACGGAGCAGGTGCTGTGTGGGTATTGGACTGTGACACGACAGGCTCTTCTCCACTCAACTTGATACTGAAGGACTGTGAAAGTACGTCCCACCACCCAGGCCACGTTTTGCCAACGCATTCGCGTTCCAAAATTAGGACAGGCCGGGGTACAACGGTGGACAGAACGCTAAAGCTCATAGCGACTCGGTGGTCATCGTAGCAATAAACGCCTTCTTCTGGGTTAGTAAGGTCTTCGAAGAGTCGGCCCGTTACTTCTATCCCGTCCTCCAGCTCATTGCAGCTGACTCCAAATTTTGCCAGCTCGTCGTACATGGCCAAGATCCGATTACACTCCTTAACCCGCTGGTTGGCGATGCCAGTAATGCGAGTTGTCCCGCTCGCCACAGCCGCTAGGACGGCGGCCGTCAAAAAGGCATCTGTCATTGGTTCCATATCAACATGAGCGATGGCTTTAAGCGAACCAATCGGCGGGCCTGTCACTGTTGTCGACGTTTCCGTCTGGGTAACGGCGCAGCCCATCGGCTGAAGAACGCTGACAGCAAAAGAAGCATCACCTTGGAGGGATGCAGAACCAATGTTGGGGATGGTGCACGTCGAGCCTGTGATTGCCGCGACGGCCAGGGGGTAGGTGGCAGAGCTAGCATCACTCTCCACCACATACTCGGCTGGACTGGTGTAAACGCCAGTTTGAATATGGTACGTATTAGGCTCGCTGTCAGAAGCCTTCACATGCACCCCAAAAGCCCGCATCATGGAGATTGTCATGTCGATATATGGCTGAGAGATTGGCTTGCCGCCGACAAGACGAAGAACAACCGGGTTCTTTGCGTAAGGCGCGGCCATAAGAATAGATGACACGTACTGAGACGAGACCGTGGCAGCCAGCTCAATTAGGCCGCCCTCCAGACCACCGGCAGCGTCCACCTCAAGAGGAAGACTCTTATCTTTGCCCAGGTACTTGACCTTGACGCCATTGCTCCGCAGAGCGTCGACTAGAGGACCAATTGGGCGGACTTTCATTCTGTCGTTACCGGTAAGGACGGTAGAGGACACAGCAGACGGGGAGCAGAGAGCTACCACTGATGTTAGGAAGCGAGAGGCAGTGCCTGCGTTTCCAAGGTAGAGAGGTTCAGAGCTGGCAAGGAAGTTGCCGCCGTTTCCCTGTACGGACAACACCTCGCCAGATTCCTCCCATGAGTAAGTCGCACCCTTCAATTGGAGAATTGCGGAGAGCATATATTCCGTGTCGTCCGAGCGAAGAAGGTTACGCAGACGGCAAGTACCGTTGGCCAGGGCAGCAAGAACCAAGGCACGGTTAGAAATGCTCTTTGAGCCTGGAGGGGCGACGGTGACATTTAGATCCGAAGGTACGCCTGGCGTGACACGTACGGCGGGGGATAGGACGACACCTATGTCGCGGTCATCAACAACGGTGGCCTTGGCCTCGTAAGTTGCGCCAATTGCTGAGAGAAGAACAATCTTCTTATTGGCGCCATCGTTTTTCTTATCAACGGCCATTTTATCCAGCACAACATCGACCGGGCATTTCTTGCCGGCGGTGAGAGCGACTATCCGCTTGTCAGCCAGGGAAGTTGGTAGGTCGTAGCTCGCGATACACTTGACGAGGCGGGCGACAGCGCTGGGGCGCAGGACGCCCAGGTAGCGAGCCAGCTCGGCTTCCTTGACCATGCCAATAGCGACAGCTTCGCCGTGGAGGACCTGAGGCGTGAGGATGGCCTCATAGGCATGGCCAATTGAGTGACCAAAATTAAGCAGGTTGCGCAGGCCGCCCTCCTTTTCGTCGGCGGAGACAACCTCAGCCTTGACACGGGCTGATGCCAGCACAATGCGCTTAAGAATACCACGGATCGGCACAAGGTGCTCCGATGTCGCCTGGGTAGGACGGCCACGCACAGTCTGAATAACCAGGGCCGCGTTCTCCTCGAGGTAGGTGAACTCGGCCTCGTTCCAAATAGCAGCCGTCTTGACGACCTCGGCCATACCGTTAATGAACTCACGAGTTGGCAACGAGCCGAGGAAGTTGAGATCGATATATACGCGCTGGGGTTGCCAGAAGGCGCCGATCAGATTCTTTCCCAGGGGCGTATCAATGGCCGTCTTGCCACCGATGGATGAATCAACCATGGCTAGCAGCGTCGTGGGCACCTGAACGAAGCGGACACCGCGCATGAACGTGGCGGCCACGTAGCCGATCATGTCACCAATGACGCCGCCACCAAGGGCGATGACAACTGTGTCACGGGTGCATTTTTGGGCCAGCATCCAGTCTTCGATCTCGGCCTTAGTCTCCCGTCCTTTCGAGGACTCGCCGGGTGGAATGGCGTACGTCAATAGGCGTGCACCAGCAGCCTTCTGGGAGCTCGGGCGCACCTGCTCAAAAGCTGTGCAGAAGCTGTCGACATAGAGCGGGAAGAGATTGGTGTCGGTGATGAGGACATAAGTCGATGAGGGAATGTTGTGAAGCAGATCGTGGGGAACCATGTCGAGCCAGATGCCGTGGTCGACAATGATGCTTTCCTTGCCCAGGATGGAAATGCGTGTCGGCTCATGGCCGTTTGTGGAAGCTGTAGTTGCCATTGATGCAACTAGGCTCTGTCCACTGCTCTAGAAGGGCGGAGCGTGGTTTGGGGGTCACAGGTAGAGGAATTGGGGAATTGCGGAAGAAGTTGAGGGTATTCAAAAGAGTCACAAAGTTTTAGCTGGCAAGGTCGTAAATGCACCGCTAGTCCGATTTCGGTGTAATAGCAAGGGAGTCTGAAACTTGCGCTGTTTATTATTTTTGTGTTTTTAGCGGACAACGGAAAATCCGCCACCGATAAAGAACTAATTCGTAGTATGTGGTACGATACCAACGTTGGTCGCATGGGTTAGGTCACGACGCCACGTTCAGAACTCGGGGTTTAAGGGCAATTATCATACGAGTAGATGTCAATAATAAATTACACAGCACGAAGTTATGTGAAATTTACAGCTTCTACCCGTATATAGCTGACACCATGCACGAGTGGTCGGCTTTGGTAGTGGTATGGTATGGGCATTTAAGACGAGCGTTGTTGGTATACGCCTGTGACAAGACTCCGGCTGTCGAAAGCTGCTTATATGTGGAGAAGAGAGTCACTGTTGGCCCTTCGATATATTGCGAGACCGACAACACAAGGCGCCGGCGCATATACGGTGTGAATATTGGCCGTTGGCGTTTGTGATTGCTACCCTTAGTGTCAACAGAGAAAATACCTCCGATAACCGTTCTTGGTAAATCGAGCTATATTACGAGACTCACTTGAAGCCAGCGGTGTGCTGGTCACTCCAACAGAGACAGTGGGTGTTATCTATTAACCATTGTCAATCACATACATGGCCCAACTGCGGGCCCCGGTAGAAATAAGCATAAGGCAAAGAATATGCCATTCCATTACATACCATGACTACCGTCTTCTCTGGGGAGCCGACCGTGATAGCAAACTTGCGTTGCACGGCAAAATCGGATTTGTCGGCTTGTATAGCAATAGTCCATTGCTTCAATGGATAGCTTTACTTCACTATTCAAGTATGTTGGATGGTTACACATCCTGTGCCTCATTTATGACCGCCCAAAACAAATTAAAACCAAACTGAAAACCACAATGAAATAAAAAAGAAAAATAAGAAGGAAAAAAAATGATATAACAGGAAATAGCTGCACCACGAACCACGTGGGCTGTTGCAAGCCGTTTCACCCGCGTCAATTATCGAGCAAGGGACCTGCGTTCCTTTCGGTGTGACAAGGGTGGTCTGCACGGTATCATTGCCGCAATCTTGGCCGTGAAGATGTGAGCACGCTCCGTATTTTGCTTCATATTCCTCCACAGTTTTGGGGGCGGAGTAAGACCAGAAAATTCCGATGTAAATTTTTATTTTCTGTCCGATGTTCCGTCGGTTAGGTATTACCCGCTATTCGTATAATCAAGCCCGGTACATGTACAGTCTGCCCCCAAAACGCCGCCGGGGTACGCAAGGATGATGCCGAGCCAGATGCTGTAACTGTATTTCGTAGATTGGCCCCATAATACAATGCCTAGCTTTCCCGGGTACCAAGATTTGCGATTGAAGCAGCTCAATTGGACAGCGCTGGTGCTCTTGATCGCCTTGTCTCTGTTTGGTCGTTTGTAAATTGACAACCTATATAAGGAAAACCAAACGGCGAATCGAGGATGGCGGGTTTGAAGAGTAAATGACATCGGGGAACATAAACTGCGGTACTGTACGATATAAAGACAACCTATGACAGGTATATATATTCGACATCGCATCATCTCTGTAGTTCTCTAGCCACCATTTCGTCTGTTAGTGTGCGGGCGGTTACCTCGCCCTGGCCAATACATGTCCGTGCTATATAAGCCACCCATCTGGTCTTGAGTTACAGCCACGAAACTTAGATTCGGTGGAAAGGAAAATAATCTTATGGGCTATAAAATTGGTTGTTTGCGTGTGAGCTAAACTTCGACCAGATGGGATGGCTTGGGGGTGGTAGTAGGTGGTCACCAGGTCGTATATACCCCGGTCAAGCTACTTTACTATGATATTGTTCTTCATTTACAGCAGAGGGGGTTTCTTCGGCACTCTTGCTCCATAGTAACAGATACAACCTCGCAGTCAAGTACTTCTGCTGCCTGTCCACGGTGGCCACGTTGTACAGAACGTGTTAACACGTTGGCAGCCATATATACCCCCCCTCCCCGGTTTATATGGTAAAGTGACTAGAAAATGTCGAGTATTTTATCTGGCAATGAGAACATGGAAATGAAATCGAAGCCATGCGAGCTCATGGATATACAAGCAGCTGATAAGCAACTATGTAACGTAAACGTAACCAACAGAGCAGCAAGTCCAAATAAAAGTGGCCCTTCACGGCGTTCATCGTATCATATGAGATACTTTCCATTACGTCTGATGATGCTGTGGCTCAGAGCCAAGCGAAAACTACAAGATCCCTGTCGTTTATTTTAGAACTCACCTGCATATAAGCCATACGGTTACGACAGAATATCGCACATACACCCAGCAAAAGAGATGCGAACACGCACGACGCAATCGCTCACAACGCACATAACAACCATGGTCACGCGTTACAACTGCCAAGGCGCATAACAAAAGGATAACTGTAAAAGAAAGTCATAACCAAAATGCCACCGTAACGCTTGCAATCCAAGGAAGAGAACGCCGCACGAAAATGATAATCAGAGGCTACCTCCATGACAAGGTACCGCTTTTTATCGATGCCATCGACCCCCGGCCAAGTAAAGTGTACGCTTTTACTTCCGAGTATACAGATAATACGAACTTCGGGGGCACGAGCTCACACAGATCGAGAAACAGAAAAAATTGCCCAACAGTGGATGACAAGGATACCAAAACAACCACATTACGTCGAATCAACGGTCAACGTGGCCATATTCTGTGTGCTCTGCACTTGTCTCGCTTGTTCATCCTTGCCGGTGCCGTAGAGACCACCATTGATAATATAATCAATGACCTGCATTATTAGAAGTCGGTTCTTCTTTGTCCGTGAAAGGGGAGGGGTGTAAAAACTAACCGGGTTCGGGACGAAGTATCGGACGCTCATCTTTTTGTGAAGGAACAACCGAACCTTGGTTGACGACAGGTCTATTGGCACACCCTGTGGGATCACTGAGATGTGCTCCGTCCACTTGCTTAAAGCTTCTCGGGCTTCTTCCAAGTCAGTTCCATGTCGCTCCACCACGTAAAGACCGCCATCGCCGCCAAGTATACGGTCCAGGTCATCGGGACTCCATAACCCAGGAGTGCTCATTGAGTGCATCAAGTCAGCACCGCACAATAGTGCGACACGTGCCTGTTTACGCTCCTCAGTATTGGCTCCTTGTATACCGCCTAGATTCTCGTTGATTTCGTAACGGAAGTGATCGAGGACCTGGGCAGTGGGAACGTAGCGCGGCTGTGTGGCCTCCCAAGGGTCGACCATGACACAGTTAGTCGTATCCTGCACGGCCAGCTCACACATGCGGATGCGGTGGTGCGCAGCGGCTAGGTTCGACTTCTTGTAGGCATCGGAAACCGGAGACAGGTAGATTCCGACGAGCTCGTATGAATCTTCCACCATACGAACCCAGTCTGACGCCATTTCGCACATGCGGAGGTCTGCGTTCATCACTTTGTTAGCGGTACCATACGTTGAACGAAGACAAAAGCACTTCGACATATCAAAGACCGTGAGAAACGCACGCATAATGGTAATTGGGCTGAAAGAGCCGCATACTACCAAAACCAGCGGTGTCCGATCCGGGAGCTGTTGCTTCCGTAACCGGTAGGAGGGAAATTGATAGACAGGCGGCGTGGTTGCTGGGGACTGTAGCGATATTGGTGAAGATGACGTTATTTGCAATGACGTGTTCTGTGGTTGTTGTTGAAACTGTTGGGGTCGTGGTTGCTGGAGCTGTTCTCTTTGAAAAATTTCATCGTCATCTGGCAGCATGTGCTGTCCTGAATCAGGGTATGACATTGCGGCGAGTCGGCAGAGGCGTTATAGGGGAAAGAACGAGTTTGAAAGCGCGTTGAAGAGAGGATGAACTGGGCGGGTTGGCCAAATCATTGAACAAGCAAGATTGAATCCTGGAGGTGCAGCCTATTCGCACATTATTTCTCCCACTTTATCGCCATATTTATTAGTCATTTCCTGTGTGGAAAGCAAAAGCTAAGCATACGTCATGAGCATATTGACTAAGACACTTTTAAATTATAACACGCTGAGCCTAATATATATGCATGCTAATGCCGAATAGAAATATCCTGGCCTTAAAATTAAGGCATTATTTCTTACCTAATAATTTAAAAGTTCAAAGGAACTAGACTTGCTTCCTCGCGCCTCGCCTTTTATTTTTGTTTCTTGTTTCCATCCTTTTGTCCTGTTGTCCTCATATGCTGCGTTGACTTACTCCGCCGCTCTTTATCTCTATCTCCCTTTTATTCCTCAGCCGCCTTTTGTTTGGTCTCGTTTGAGATCACTGATGAGGTGGGTTCTGCGTCTCTTTGTTGAGTGTTGTTGTTGTTGCAGTCCCCTTTTCCCCAGCCGTGGATCTGGAGCTTCAAGGCGCCGAGACCTCCTTCTCAGTGTGCTCGGTCTGCATATCGTAATACAAGCATCGAGCCAGCCCGTGTCAACGGGTGTACAAAGACAGCGACGGTCTCGATGATCTATGTAACTAATTGCCACTCGCAGCGTCTCTTACCTCCCAGCTTTGCTTAACGGCCTCATCGCCAGCTGCTTCTTCTGATCTAACGCTCGTGCTTCTCCCGGGCTTCCGCTCACAATCGACATTTCCTCTCTACCACGTCGACCCTTCTTACGCCGAACTCCATCATGTTGCGCCGGTCATTTTGTAAAGCCAGCGGCTCCTCCGTGCCGAGCCTAGTTCGGGCTGCGTCATCGACGTCAAGATGTGCCATGGCTGCCCTGCCGTGCTCGTCGACTAGCAAAGCTCTCGCTGTCGGTCGTCGCCCTCTTACTTTGGCTGTCCATCAACAGCAGATACGCTTCGCCAGTGCCACCCAGTCGGCACCGGATCCGAACGATAACTTCCTGTCGGGCAATGCTGCCAACTACATTGACGAGATGTACCTGCAGTGGAAGCGGGACCCCAAGAGCGTGCATGTCTCTTGGCAGGCCTACTTTAAGAACGTCGAGAGCGGTGACATGCCCATCTCCCAGTCCTTCACTCCACCGCCTTCGCTGGTTCCCAGCTCGTCGGCAAGTGTTCCTGGCCTGGCTGCCGGATCCGGCGTTGGCCTCGCGGAGGGCTCCAACGTCGACAATCATCTGAAGGTGCAGCTTCTGGTACGAGCGTACCAGGCCCGCGGCCACCTCAAAGCCGATATCGATCCGCTCGGAATCCGCAATGAGTCCAAGGGCTTTGGCAACGTCAAGCCCAAAGAGCTCACCCTAGAGCACTACCAGTTCAACGAAAAGGACCTCGACACCGAGTACACCCTTGGCCCTGGTATTCTGCCGCGTTTCAAGCGTGAGGGCCGCGAGAAGATGACCCTGCGTGAGATCATCGCTGCCTGCGAGGACATCTATTGCGGCTCGTATGGCGTCGAGTTTATCCATATCCCCGACCGTGAGAAGTGCGACTGGCTGCGCGAGCGCATTGAGGTTCCCCAACCTTTCAAGTTCTCCATTGACGAGAAGCGCCGCATCCTCGACCGTCTCATCTGGAGTTCCAGTTTCGAGGCTTTCCTTTCCACCAAGTACCCGAACGACAAGCGTTTCGGCCTTGAGGGTTGCGAGACGCTCGTGCCTGGCATGAAGGCCCTGATCGATCGTAGTGTCGACTATGGCGTCAAAGACATTATCATTGGAATGCCCCATCGTGGTCGTCTGAACGTTCTGTCCAACGTCGTCCGCAAGCCGAACGAGTCCATCTTCAGCGAGTTTGCCGGTACCGCCCATGCTGAGGACGAGGGCTCTGGAGATGTCAAGTACCATCTGGGCATGAACTTTGAGCGTCCCACGCCTTCGGGCAAGCGCGTGCAGCTCTCACTCGTTGCCAACCCGTCGCATCTGGAGGCCGAGGACCCTGTCGTGCTTGGCCGCACCCGCGCCATCCAGCACTACAACAACGACGAGAGCACCCACCGCAGTGCCATGGCTGTACTTCTGCACGGTGACGCCGCCCTCGCTGCCCAGGGTGTCGTCTACGAGTGCCTGGGTTTCCACTCGCTACCCGCTTTCTCTACAGGCGGTACCATCCACCTCGTCGCCAACAACCAAATTGGTTTTACCACCGATCCCCGTTTTGCTCGCTCGACCCCGTACTGCACGGACATTGCAAAAGCTATTGACGCCCCTGTCTTCCACGTCAATGCCGACGACGTCGAGGCAGTTAACTTTGTCTGCCAGCTGGCTTCGGACTGGCGCGCGGAGTTCAAACAGGATGTCATCATTGACATGGTCTGCTACCGCAAGCACGGCCACAACGAGACCGACCAGCCGTCCTTTACGCAGCCGTTGATGTACAAGCGCATCAACGACCATCGTCCGCAAATCGACATTTACGTCGACAAGCTGCTGCAGGAAGGCACCTTCACCAAGGAAGACATCGAGGAGCACAAGCAGTGGGTGTGGGGCATGCTTGAAGACAGCTTTTCCAAGTCCAAGGACTACCAACCGACCTCCAAGGAGTGGACCACCTCCGCCTGGAATGGCTTCAAGTCGCCCAAGGAGCTTGCCACCGAAATCCTCCCCCACAAGCCTACTGGTGTTGACCGGAAAACACTCGAACACATTGGTGAGGTCATTGGCTCTGCACCTGAAGGCTTCACCGTTCACCGCAACCTGAAGCGTATCCTCTCTGCCCGCACTAAGTCTGTTCTTGACGGAAAAAACATTGACTGGTCGACTGCTGAGGCCCTTGCATTTGGTTCGCTGGTCTCAGAGGGCCACCACGTTCGCGTGTCTGGCCAGGATGTCGAACGTGGCACCTTCTCGCAGCGCCATGCCGTGTTCCACGACCAGGAGACTGAGGATACATACACGCCCCTGCAGCACGTTAGCAAGGACCAGAGCAAGTTCGTCATCTCTAACTCGTCTCTGAGCGAGTTTGGCGCTCTTGGCTTCGAATATGGATACTCGCTGACGTCGCCCAATGCCCTTGTCATGTGGGAGGCGCAGTTTGGTGATTTCGCCAACAACGCGCAATGTATCATTGACCAGTTCATTGCCTCTGGTGAGGTCAAGTGGATGCAGCGCACCGGTCTCGTCATGTCGCTGCCGCACGGTTACGACGGCCAGGGCCCCGAGCACTCCTCGGGCCGTATTGAGCGATACCTGCAGCTCTGCAACGAGGACCCTCGTGTGTTCCCTTCTGAGGACAAGATTGACCGCCAGCACCAGGACTGCAACATGCAGATTGCCTACATGACTACCCCTGCCAACCTGTTCCACATTTTGCGTCGCCAGATGAACCGCCAGTTCCGCAAACGTAGGTTTTGTAACCCCTCCGCCCCTGTTATGGCAACAGCTTTAGCAGTTTGATAATATACTAACTTCTCCACAGCCCTTATCCTCTTCTTCTCCAAGTCGCTTCTTCGCCACCCTCTCGCTCGCTCGAGCATTGAGGACTTCACTGGTGACTCTCAGTTCCACTGGATCATTCGCGACCCAGCCCACGACCTAGGTACCATTAAGAGCAACGAGGAGATCGACCGTGTGATTCTGTGCTCTGGCCAGATCTATGCTGCCCTGCACAAGTACCGCGCGGACAACAACATCGACAACGTTGCCATTACGCGTGTCGAGCAGCTGCACCCGTTCCCTTGGCAGCAGCTAAAGGAAAATCTGGACTCGTACCCCAACGCCAAGACGGTGGTTTGGGCCCAGGAGGAGCCCCTCAACGCCGGTGCCTGGACCTTCACACAGCCTCGCATAGAGACGATTCTGAATCAGACGCAATACCACGACCACAAGCACGTCATGTACGCCGGCCGCAACCCCAGTGCATCGGTAGCTGCGGGTACCAAGTCGTCGCATAACAAGGAAGAGGAGGACCTCCTTGAGATGGCTTTTACAGTGAGGCAGGACAAGCTCAAGGGCGAGTAGTTGTACAGTGATGACCGCACAGGTGTTGTTGCTCGTAGTTGGTTGTTTTGTTGGATTGTTTCCATATTGTTTCCATATTATCTCCTACATTCCCTCCCCTTGCGTCAGTTTCTTTTTTACCACACTCACCACCTACCAACCCTCGAGATACACACTCGCTGTAAAAATAATAAGATATAAAACAAGAACCCATGTATATGAACGAGAAGCCTGTCGAAATACTAAAAAAATGGATTACTTAATAGGCCTAGAAAAAGGTGCTCTTAAAAAGTGTTACACGTAGGACGTCCCATCTTAAGGTACCATGAAGAAGTTTTGAGAGCCGCCTCCTATTGGTCCGTTCAGGCCCGCTTTTTTCCTGAATACCCTCCCTTTATTGGTTGTTTGGAGACTTTGTAGATTGTTGTAGTCTGATTGGTTCGTCACGTTAACGGCCCCTAGTTTTTCACCTATTTACGCCCTCTTATTCGTTAGAATCGTTTTTTTACTCCACTTTTTCGTTAGTTTTTAACGTGAAATCGATTTGATTCGTTGGAGGGGGGTTTTGTGGTCCGTTTTTATAGGTCCGATTTATTTTAACCTTTACCGTAACCGTGTTCTTATAACTTTAACATTAACCTTTTTTCGTAAATTATTATTAACTTTTATCTTTTATTAATTATTTTATTCTCTTAGTTATCTCCCTCTGATCTCCGGTAGTAGGTTGTAGTAGGTAGAATTAACCTAACGAGTCGATCGGAGTAACCGTACGTTCGACGACGGAGTGGGAGGGTTATACTTTTTTACTTTGATTTTACCCTTACTTTATCGGTACACCCGTATATTCGACGAAGGAGGGTAAGAGGGTTATATTTAGTAACCTTAAAAGTAAGTTATAAGTAGAATTAATCTTATACCCGTATATTCGACGAAGGAGGGTAAAAGGGTTATACTTGTTTTAAGGTATTATAAAGAAGTTTTAAGAGTCGTTTTTTATTAGTCCGTTAAGGTCCGTTTTTTCTTAAATACCCTCCGTTTATTAGTTATTTAAAGAGTACGTAGATTATTATAACCTAATTAGTCCGTTACGTTAACGGCCTTTAGTTTTTCGTTTATTTAAACCCTTTTATTCGTTAAAATCGTTTTTTTACTTCACCTTTTCGTTAATATCGTACGTAAAATCGATTTAATTCGTTAAAAAGGGGTTTTATAAGTTATTATAATCGATTCGTTACCGAAGACCACGAATTAGGTAACTAGACTTATATAATAGGGCGTAGTGTAGCTAATCCTTAACCACACGTTAACGCCACGTTAATAAAAAGCCTTTTCTCCTTAAATAAAAGGACTCCCTTTTTCCTACCGGGAAGAAGGGGTAAGAATTAATCTTTGTTATAATATACACCTACTTTCGTCCTCGAAACTAATGTTTTTTATTAACTAATTTATTATAAAGACTTATTTTATAATTACTTATAATAATTTTAATTCTTCTTTTTACGGATACCTTTTTACGATAATTAAAAGAAAAGAAACGATAAACCTACTTTACACCGGGTCGAACCGAGTTATATATTCGTATTCGTAAGACCTTACGAGTCTCTCGTAAGTAAACGTCGACTTTATCTTTAAAAACCTTAACTTATAATTAACGGTCGAAGACTCGACCGAATCTTCGAGTATTAAAGTAGTAATAATAGTACCGATTAGTAGTAAAAAAGGAGAAGAAGGTAGTAAGATTAATATTATTACGAAAAAATAAGTAAAAGAAAAAAACGACGAAGAAAAAACGTTTAAAAAAAGTTAACGATATTTAAAAAGAAACGAGTTTTTAAAGAAAGAATCGTAGTTTTAAAGAATACGAGACGTTAACGAGTCTTTTATCGAAACGAGAAAATTAAGGATAAATCTACCGTTTCTTTTTCTTTAACCTTATTATTTAAAAAAAATTCTTTTAAATTAAATAATAACTCGAAAGTCGACGAAAAAACGTAAAAGAGTTATAAATCGAGAGATTTAAAAATATAACTATCGTTTAAGGTTTATAAAAATTATTTTACTTTTAAAGACTAGGAATTTTAAATCTTAAAATTAAAAATAATATTTAAGGTTAAACCGTACGAATTCTCGAATTCTCGTAATCGAGTCGTCGTTACTTATAACTATATAAATAAACCGTTTAAAAGGTAATAAAATTAGTATATATATAACGTTAAAGATTTTAAAAAACGTTAACGACTTAAACGTTTTTAAAATAAATTTAAAAAGTAAATAACGATACTCGTTTTTATTATAAACGACCCGTTAATATAAACTTATGAATTATATAAAAAGGTACGTTTTTAATTTAATTAACCGTTATTTAAGTTTTTAAACTACTTATATTTTTTTAAAAGAGTAAATAACGTTTTTTTTTTAATAAATTTAAAAAAAAGACTTTTTATTTTAAGTTAAATAATTAACTTAAGTATACGTTAAACGAAGTTATCGATTATAAAAAGATTAACCTTTAAAACTTATACGTAAAAGTCGAATTATTATTTATATAACGGGTAAGAAATCGTTCTACCGATAACGTTCGTAATTCGTAAAAAAGTCGTAAACGACTCGACGATAAACCATATAAAGATATATTTTAAAAAAAGAAACGTTAACACCGTTCGAACGACTATAAAAATCGTAAAAACGATAAAAGGAGGAATATAACGGGTTTTTAATCTTTTCGTTTATAAAATAAAAAAGAGTCGTAAAAAAAACCCTCGGTTACTTACTTTAAGTATAATAAGGTAAGATATTATATAAATAACTATTTAAAAAACGTACTTATTTAAAATATTATTATTAAAAAACCCGTTAAGTTAAAAAACCTTTAATTACCTTTTTCGAGTTTAAAAAAAAGACGATAAAAATAAAATATAAATTATTAAAGAATATATTAGTAATATATTACGAAAGAGTCGAAAAAAAAACGACTATTACTTTAAACACTACCGTAAAGTTAAATATCGTAAGTATTTAATTCGTAAAACGACTTTAATTACGAAAAACGAGATATCCCGATCCGGCAACGTGTTTAATAAACGCCTTTAAAACTTAAATATTTAAAATTTAAAATATCCTTATTACTTTTACGGATTTTCGTAAAAGGATTAAAGAGACGATCCGTCTTTATATTATACTTGATAAATCGGAGAGTCCGGATATTAACTTTATTTTATTAAGTATTATAAACTTAAAAACGTTAAATATTAATATTTTAATAAAAATACTATAACGTTTTACGTATAAAACTTTAAAGATTTATATTAAAACCCCGAGAAAGTTTACGAAAATTATACGAAACGAAACGGTAATATATACGGTTATAACGTTTTTAATAATCCCGGATAAACGTTTTTATAAGGACTATCCTTTCGATATAAAAGAGTAAGAGATTTACGGGGAAGTCGTATTATCCGTCGAGTTAAAAGACTTTACGGATATCTTTAATATATTTAAAACGATAATTATCCCGTCGTTTAAGTAGATTAATTATATTATAAATCTTTTATCGGATACGTAACCTTTATATAAGACGATTTACCCGTTATTTAAACGGGAATTATAAAAGTTATAACTTTATATTAAAAAGAACTTGTAAAACGAACGTATCCGTTCTTTTAAATCGTTAACCGGTATACTTATATTATTTATATTAAAAAAGGATAATACGTTACGACTTTACGTCGATTATTGTAAGTTAAATAAAGTTACCGTAAAAAACCGGTATACTCTTTTATTAATTTCCGAGATTTTAAATCGGATAAATAAAACCTAGTTCTTTTTTAAACTTAATATTAAGAATACTTATTATTAAATCCGAATTAAAAAGGGTAATAAATAAAAGACCGCGTTTCGTATACGATATAGTTACTTTAAGTATATAATTCTTCCTTTCGGTTTAACTAACGTTTTTACTACCTTTTAATACTATATTTATATAACTTTATAAAGGTTAATTAATATTATATATATAATATATATAAATAACGTTTTAATATTCTTTTAATCTTAAAAGTAATACGTACGATATTTATACGAAGTGTTAAAAAGACTTAAACGAGTCTAGTTATATACTAATTTATATAAGTGTAAATTTTTTATAAATAAAGTAGAATTCTTAAGATTTATCCTTATACGTTATAAAGTTAAGATAAACTCGAAACGAATAACTATTATTATAAAGTAACTAAAACCGAAGTCTTACCGTAATATATAAGTATTTTTAAACTTTTATAACTTTTATAAACGATTTATTCTCGTATATTCGTAAATTATAACCTTATTTAATAACCTTTTAAAGGGTATATAAAATAAAAAGAAGTCGGGAATAGTTACGTTTTCGACTCGTAAACGAGAAACTTTTAACGAGTTTAAAGTATATTTTAAAAAAACGTCGTTACTAAAACACTTTAATCTTAAGTTATAAACCCGACTTAAAACGGACGCGTTAAAAAAGGGTGGTTTTAAAGTACTATTTTAATTAAACGAATAAAGTAAATATTATTTAATCGTTTTTTAATTAAAGAAATAAAAAGGGTTAAAGTTAAACTATAATACTCTCGATTAAGAAATAATAGTAATTATAAAGAGTTTTAAATATTAACGATAATACTTAAATAAAAGTCGTTAAAAAGTCGAAGTTTTATTAAACCACGTTAATTTAAAAGTGTTTATAAGTTAGTAAAAGTTAAATAACCGATAAATTAAATAGTGTATATTTTTAATATTATTTAATTTTAAGATTAAATATTAAATCGGGAAAAGAAACCCCGTCGACGTATCGTTATATCGTCCGGATTATAAGTTTAACGACGAAGATTATAGTTATAAAGACCTTTTACTTATATTATAATAAAGGTTAACGGTAACGTAATAAGTGTTAATTTTATAATAAAAGTATTAATAAGTTTATAATTAAGACTAAAGAGAAGAGGTCGTACCTTTATAACGAGAGTTAAACGAAAAGTCTTTATAAGTTT